TCACTACTTTATCACCACTGTATCACTTCTTTATCACCATTGTATACTTATCCAGATATTGTAGCATTGTTTGGTCAGAGAGGAATTTATGAACTTCCTATGTTTTCCAGTTTCGACCTTTGTCTCGTTTTTGACCTGTAACTTTCCAACTATTGGTCCAAATTTTATGTTATTTATATAGTTGGATTCAACATGAAAAACTAAAGAACTCAACTAGAAACAAATGTCAAAATCATTTACATAAATGTAGAGAATTCAATAAAAGAACACTCAAATGTTCAAACAACAAATACAAGTGGCTCCTAGTACATCTTGAGTACATATTGAATGATATAGTGACTAAGTTATTTGATTTCATACTTGGATGAATTAGACTATGGATTTATATATTTTACAAGGATAATTTGGTGTATTTTTTCAAGAACTTATGTTATGTGAAAATATTATAAATTGTATTTTTATTAGTATATTTTTATTACGGTACTACCGGCGTATCGGCCAATCCGAACCGAATATTAGGTTAACCGATCCGAAATTTACCGAAGTCTTTGGTTTGATTAACGGAAGAGCTTTCTACCGTTCCGAACCGATCCGCACTCATGCCTAGAATACAACAGAGTCTTAATGTGAAGACTCGTATTTTTAAAAGTATATGTATTAATAATTTGGGGATTAAATATTTTACTGCATATTTAGTTATATATTTAAATTGATTATATATATAAATTAATAACATGGATTAAGAGTTTAGACGTGGCATCCTTACATTGTTTTCTTGGAGAGAGAGAGTGTTCTCTCTTATCTTAATTTGGAAATATATTTGAACGTAGTTAGTATGCTGGAGGTGGCTTTTTCCATTAAATTAGTTATCAATTAGTCGATGCATTACCATGCATTTGGACAACTCATGCTTACAATTTGGTGACTAGGCTTTATCTTAGCTTGAGGTGGAGATTACAATTGCAATAGGTGTCACCACCCTTAGAAATAAAACTCCTGACGCTGATACATAGCAACTTATATAAAAGAGTGGCAACCAAGTAATCTGTTTGTGAGAGAGAGAAAGAGAGATGATGATGATGATGAAATTCTAGGAGGACATATAGGCTTAGCTTGTGTTTTCTTAACTTTGCGCAATGCTTTGGAATCGAGGTAGGGTTTTTTGGGGAGTCTTTTGTAGAGATTGATTTGATTAAATTTCATGAACATTATATTATGCGTGGTATTACAGTTTGGTTGGTATTCTTTGTTATTGGGTGTTTACTTTTTATTAATTATTCAATCGAAGTTGGTGTGGTTATAATTTGATACATGAGATAAATGAAAGGCATAATTATTATCATGTTATGGAAATTAATTGGAGTTCTTGGGTTGAGAAAATAATTATTGGAAAAGCTTGTAAAGGAAATGATATTTTGTGGAGTTGAGTCTAACTCTTGGTATGTATCAGGTCTCAGGGATCCCACAATGCACATGGTTTTTATTGGGTGATTTGGGACTGGCCACAAAGAGTTAAGCAAGACGACTAACAAAAGGGGAATTTTGGGATAATTGAGATAAGTGTTGGTTCATATAAATGAGTACTCGGGACCAAGTGGTATAAGCATGGTATGGGATGTGCATGTTGTGGTAACCAAATTAAATCAAAACCCTAGGTCAAATAATTCATTCTATTTAGGGATTATTTGACCTAATTGGGAATTAATCAACCTGATTGGGAGTTACTCAATTTAATTGGGGATTACCCAATTAAATTGAATGTTACCTAATTAGGTTGAGAATTGATTTGATTCATACCACGATTCCCAATTAAATGAGAAGTTACCTAATTAAAATGGGATTTGATTTGATACCTACCACAATTAGGGATTTGATCTACCCTAATAAATCAAATCTCTAATTAATCAAATCAATTCCAAATATGGGAGAAATAATTCCCTTCAATCTACGGAATTATTCATCTGAAACCCTAGCCTCCAAGACCACTATAAAAAGATAGCCACACACAAGGGTTGAGGGACGTCTGAAATCCCTACTGAAACTCTGCAGAAAATTCCTCTCAAACCCTAGCCACCTCCTTTCTCTCTCTCTCTCTTTTACATAAGGCTCCGGCCGCCCGGTTTACACCATAAACACATATCCGTATCCTATTAGCTATTGTTTTCTATACGATTCAATTGAACTAATTTAGGCATCGGAGGGCCTTTGGCCAACACCTCCCGAGTGTGGTCCTCTTATTGGTTCTATTTTACAGGGAGAAGGAGGCAGCGAAGAAGAAAGGGGAATCTTTCCAATCGAATATTCTCGTGGAGAAATTTGCTCACACACATGTCTGCTTGTCCAAATATACGAATTAACGAGAATAGATGAAGAGCATACATACATTATTATTACTGATATGATATTTGACTGAGTGACTGCATGTCACTTAATTTAGTTATATTAATTTACCGTGAAAATGTTCATGTCCCTACTGAGCTGTGGTTGCAGGTGTAAAACCCAAAAGACAGAGGATATGCGAGCTAAAGTTGAATTAGATGAGAGTTATAGAACTTTATTTATTTATTGTACACTTGTAAGACTTTGGATAATACTAGTCTTACCACATTTTTTATACCACAATTTTATACCACATGATGTGGCGGCTGATGTGTACATATCACATCATGTAAAATACTAGTTTCTGATTTTCTAATTTTCTTTATTAAAATACACTTCATTAATTTAATTGATATGCCATATAATATGGACATGCCACATCAAGTGGTATAGAAATGTGGGATAATAATGTGGTAAGTGTAGCATTACTCTTATTTTTATAAGATGAGTAAATTTTTAAAAGGGAGCTTTAGTAATATACCCAAAATGGGACCTGAATTTATAAAAAAACCCCACATAGAATACACTTTATAAACACACCCAAAATCCATTTATATATAACAAATTAGTGTTCAAGTTCCTATAAATTACAGGTCTGCCACTATCAAGCCCAACACCAAACAAACTCAAAAGACACCCAAAACAAACCCAGCCCAAACTTATAAACAAGCCCAAACCGTAACTTTCGTCCAAAAAAAAAAGTAAACCGTAACTTTAAAAAAAGTAAACCAACCGTAACTTCCAGCACGCGCACTTTCATTAAACGTTCTCTGCAAAACGTCTCTTCACTTCACTCATCGTCTTCATCAAGTCAAATCGTCTTCATCAATTCGTCTTCATCGTCGTCGAAACCGAGACTCCATAACCACCACCAAGATTGATCTCGTTTCAAAAACAAACTCCAGAAACTGACCAAGACAAAATTTCAGAGAACCATTTCAACAAGAAAACGCTTCAAAGGTAAGACATTTACAAACCAAACCTTTACTGTAATATTGATTATTTGCTATAAAGATCCAGTCTAGGGTAATAACAGTATTTTAGATTCGAATGAAAGACAAAATCTTGAAACTATATTGGATTTCACTATAGGACTGACTGCATAGGACCATTACTTTAGTCACTAATTTAGCGGCTAGCATGCTGATTATTGGCTATAAAGTTCCAGTATATGGTAATAACACTGATTGTTCCCTATGAAATACTATTTCTAAGGCATGTCTACCACTGTCAAGTTCCAGTATAGATAAAGTTCCAGTATATGGTAATAACACTGATTGTTCCCTATGAAATACTATTTCTAAGGCATGTCTACCACTGTCAAGTTCCAGTTTCCAGTATATGGTAATAACACTGATTGTTCCCTATGAAATACTATCTCTAAGGCATGTCTACCTCTGTCAAGTTCCAGTATATGGTAATAACACTGATTGTTCCCTATGAAATACTATTTCTAAGGCATGTCTACCACTGTCAAGTTCCAGTATATGGTAATAACACTGATTGTTCCCTATGAAATACTATCTCTAAGGCATGTCTACCTCTGTCAAGTTCCAGTATATGGTAATAACACTGATTGTTCCCTATGAAATACTATTTCTAAGGCATGTCTACCTCTGTCAAGTTCCAGTATGGGGTATTAACACCGATACTTTACTGTCGTGTTCCTATTTCTAATGCAGGTATACCAATTAAAAGATGAAGAAAGAAAGAGCCAGAAGAAACTCCAAAACAAAAGGCCAACAGTCATCATCCAAAACAACAACAAACAAGAAGCCTACCAGATGGGAGGACCCAAATTATGTGCAGATCAAGAGCAACATGCTCTCTTTTGCAACAACAATTGACAACATCAGACAGAGACTTGAACGTCGGCACGATGTCTTAACACTGCTATCAAAGACACCTTTTTGGGCATTAATAGAAGCATATATCCAGAGAAGGTTAACAAAGGTAGAGTGCATGAAGTCTAACTACGACATTGTGAGACTCATACAAGTTTATGACACAAAGACAAAGAAGTTCAAGTTTAATGATGTTGACAGCGAGATGAAAAGCAATGATGTGGCTGAAATTTTTGGCTTGCCAAACAGTGGCAAGAAGTTACCAAGCACAACAACCTCAACAAGGCCAAAATTGCAGTTTGTAGAGAAATACTTCGCGCGGTATAAGAAGATAACAAAGACTTCAATTGATAAGTGCTTGAATTTGGCACTTGAAGATGAAACAGAAGAGGGTGCTATGGATGTAACAAGATTGATAATCCTACAACTCTTCATGACCAATCTATTCTGCAACTCTGGTTGTACACTTGCTTGGACATATACAACCACAATAGACACCTTAGAAGAGATGGGGAAATATAATTGGGCTCGAGGAGTTTTGGACTACATGTATTTTGGATTAGAACAAGCAAAGAAGAACAAGAAGGACAAAAAAAAAGCAGCCAAGCGTGAGTGGCTGCCTAATCCTAATACTGGTAAGAACACAAATCTCCAAACTGCAAATTCGTAGCATTATTCTAATGATATGAATTGACACGTGATATTTCAAAAAATATTGTGCAGTATTGGCTGTGTCAAAGATCTAACCTGCTCACTCCAATTCCTGGAAGAGAACAAATGACACCAGCTGCTGTCAAATGGAGTCTTCAAGAACTCAGCGCGAAGCTTCATCATCTAAAGAACAACCAGATAAAGGTACTCTTTCCTTTCAAATAATCTGCAGCTGATATGACAACATTGTTAATACCATGTCATGTACATACTTGTTAATACCATGTCATAGAAGTAAACTATGAATACCATGTCACAGAGGTAAACTATGAATACCATTTCATAGAAGTACACTATTAAAACCATGTCATAGAATTACACTCTTAATACCATGTCATAGAAGTGCACTCTTAATACTAACTCTACTCAACAAACAGATAAAAAGCACTAAAGCTCAAGAGCCAGATGATGATTCTGAAGAAGAGAATGAAGAGAATGATGATGATTCTGAAGAAGAGAATGAAGAGGAGGATGATGGTGCTGAAGAAGTGAATGAAGAGCATGATGATGATGCTGGTGAAGAAGTGAGTGAAGACAAGGATGATGCTGCTGAAGAGGTGAATGAAGAGCATGGTGATGCTGCTGAAGAAGAAAATGAAGAGGAGGAGGATGCTGAAGTGAATGGAGACCATGATGATGCTGCTGAACATCAAGTCCAGCAACACCACCAGGTACAAGAAGACCTCCAAAATGAAATCCCAGAATACCGGAATTCAACGTTGTTTGAGGAAATTGTTAGATCAGTACCAGAATACAAGGAGGATGAAATACAGCTTACAAAAGAGTATATGATGGCGATCAATAATGCTGCTGAATATTGGACGAAGAAAGGAGAGCATCAAAAGATCCGTGATGCAATAGCATCTTGCATTAAAAAGAATAAATTGATTCAGATGCTGTACAATGAAAAAGAAGAATTATTGAAGCATCAGCAGCAACTGCAGAAGATGGTTAAGGAAGCAGCACATCACAAGAAAGTCATACAATTAGATGTTCATCAGGAAAAATCCTACATGACAAAGCTGCAGCTAGAAAATGATCAACTTCTTGCAGAGAAGATTTCCTACTTGGACATTATTAATGAAAAGGAAGCTGTTATTGTCTCGTTGAGAGATCAAAAATTAGCGCAAGAACTGCAGAGTGAAGAGGATAAAGAAGAAAAGAAAGAAGGTGAAGCAGAAAAGATAAAATCAAGAAAAACCAGATTCCTCATTCCCTAAAGCAGAGACGAGAGCACAAAAGAGAAAGGCACAAAAAAAACCAGCCAAATCAAAGAAGAGGGCCAAAGGTTCATTCCTGCAATGGAATACATATCAGGTCTACAACATGCTGGATGAACTCTCACAAGAAAAGCTGAGAAATTACTGGAAAAATTCAGTTGATGGGTAAAGCAATGTGTTTCATTCATTTTCAATGCAAGATGCTATTATTGAACATGCATTAGAAAATAGGATTTCATTGTGTTATTACCCTATACTAGAACTTTACAGGGGGTAGACATGCATTAGTTATAGGATTTCAGAGGAATCTAGCAGTGTTATTACCCTATATTGGAACTTTGCAGTGATAGACATGCATTAGATGTAGGATTTCATAGGATACAAGCAGTGTTATTACCCTATACTGGAACTTTACAATGGTAGACATGCGTTAGAAAAAGGTTTTTTAGGAAACAAGCAGTATTATTACCCTATACTGGAACTTTATTGAACAGTTCTTTCAATTTTATTGCCATTTTTTCTGACTACAAATACTGTTACAGCACTGCTTTTTGGCAAGGGACAAGCATTTTGTTCAAAGATGACATACAAAGCTTATTAGGAGATACTGAAATTTATGGACAAATCATAGATGCGTATGCCGAGATACTTCATCATGATGAAAAGAAGGACCCTAAAAGACAACAGAATGCATACATCACGTGCTACGCATACGTAAGATCATAGCTATCCCATTACTTCTAGTAAAAATCACAAATTATTCATCTTCCTATACTTTTCACATTCTCTCTAATGCCGAAACTATTAATTTTGCAGAGGTATCTCACAGATAAAATGCACCCAAGAACATTCGATGAATATTTTGTCAAACTCCTTGAATGCATAGGGAAAACTTCAAAGGTGTTCATACCAATAACGGATGGCGGACACCACACCCTGCTTGTCTTCGACACCAATTCATTGCAATGGACGCACTACAACTCATTGAGGGGGGAAAACTGAGCAAACCGTTGAATACTACAACAAAAAAGCAATAATTTTGGTAAGACAGACTCCTACTATGAACTGTTAATACAAGGCATGAACAAAACAGTTAATCAGTGAAGCTAACAACATACTTGCCTACAATGCAGGCAGACGCAACAAATGTCTTCCTCAATAGCGTCAAGGAATGTGCTCCAACAATTTTAGAAAAAAACAGCTTCCCACTTCTTGAGTTCAAGAAGCCCGTCTACAATGAAGAATTGACCGACGAGATTGCAAAACTTCTTCGAAACCTGAAAGTTACACCAGCAATTGCTCAAACAATACAATATCTGATGAAACATGATCCCACCAAATTCAACTTTAAGGAGGACAGGGAATGCGCCCCAACAACCTGAAAAGTCGTAAGTTTCACAATAACACTTTTCTTCCCCCAATTCAAATTAAACTATGATTCACTAAATGTTGCATATATATATGTGTGTGTGTGTGTGTGAATTTGCAGAAACGATTGTGGAGTATTTGTCATGTACTACATGCAGAAGTTGTCACAAGGAAAACAAATTGAAGAAAGCTTGAGTACAGAGCATGTGTGGGAAATGAGAAAAGAAGTTTTATTGAAGACAATGGAAAGTGAAAAAAGTTGGTATTTCACAAAAGAGAATGAAGGATGAAAGCATGGATTTCACAAATTTTAGAACTATAAAATAGTAAATGTTCGGCTTCTAACTTCCAAATGTCAAATTGTTAATATGTAGCTTCTAACCAAAATCTTTTGATGCTTCTTAACTTTCAAATGTCAAATAGTTACTGTGTAGTGAGATTCAAATGTAAAAAATTGTTACTCTATAGCTGCTTCTATATTTCAAACTGCGAATTAACAGTGTTCAAAATGCGTATTAACAGTGACTTTCAAAAGCCCAGCCCAAGTTGAGAAAATCAAGGTCAGAAACGAAGTAAAGCCCAAAACAAATCAACCAAGCCATAGAAAAATACAGAAAAAAGGCCCAGTCTGATTTGACAAAAAAAAGCCCAAACAAACCAAAAAAAGAGCCCAGAAAACTCAACAAGCCAATAAAGCCCAATTTCACTAAGCCCATTGAAAAAAAAGAAAATATCTCAACGCAGAGTACACGCACGCACCCAAAAAGCGAAAAAACCCACTCACCCTCTCACTCCGATCTTTGCGACGCGACCCACTCCAAAAGCAGGCGAAAACCTCCATAACCACCAGGCAGGAGACAACCTCCATAACCACCAATCAACGACAAACTCCATAACGAGAAAGCCGGCGAATCGAAGTTATATTCTGCCATAGCCAAAAGTCTTCAAAATCGACACTACAAAAAGCAACTGAGCACAAGGACAACCAGGAAAAAGGGAAGAAAATTTCTTCCATAAACATCGACAGAAAGGTACAATCTCAAAAACCCACAATGACTTTCCACTTTCGTCTTAAGATTCTGCTAACTAATGCAAGAGTACCACGTTTAATACAGGTAACCAACGAAAAGGTCCAACAATGACAGAAACAAACACTCAAGATTCTTCACAAATGGCTGACAAAGCATCACTATCAGACTCCCAGGTATTACAAAATCTCTTAACGTCAAAGTCCAATAGCAATGTTTTGAAAAGACGCATGTTTCGACTGCAAATGTATACGTTTCACAACTGTTCATACCATGTCATAGAACTTGAACTGTTAATACCATGTCACAACTGTTAATACCATGCATCTTGCTCTTCTAGTGCACTGCGAAGCAGTGCACTTGAAGACCAAAATATATAGCATCCTTTGTTAATCAAAATCTGTGACTGCTATGCATCTTTCTCTTCTAGTGCACTGCTTTGCAGTGCACTTGAAGACCAAAAATATATAGCATGCTATGTATCTTGCTCTTCTAGTGCACTGCAAAGCAGTGCACTTGAAGACCAAAATATGTAGCATCCTTTGTTAATCAAAATCTGGGACTTCTATGCATCTTGCTCTTCTAGTGCAACATGCACTAGAAATGTATATGAAAAAAAATCGTAGTGCACTAAAAAAGAGAAGCATGAGGTTCAAATGCATAGAAGTAAATGGTTAATACCATGTCATAGAAGTATTAATACTTATGTTTCATCTTTCTTTTGTTTAGTTAAAGTAACCTATTTGTTTCACTTTGCAGGTGGTCATATGGAAAAAGGTAACCGGGTTGAAATTCAAAAAAAAAGCATACAAAAGGATCACAAGCCAGCAAAAGCACAAAACAGCATCAAGAAACACACAAGGCACACCACCAACAACAGCAAAAGCCAAACTATCCACACCCAAATCCGCAAAACACACTGAAACCAAAGAAAACAACGAAGACAAAAAAAAACATCCCAAACACAAAAACCTCAACCAAACAGACGCAATAACCCAGATTATGTGCAGATCAAGAGCAACATGCTCACATTTGACAACACATTGCAAACGGTAAAAGACAAGCTTGCAGCAAGAAAGGATGTCCTCAAGATCCTACAAAAAACGCCATTCTGGAGCATCATCAAGGCTTACATGGAAGGTCAGTTAACCAAGGTAGAATGCCAGAAGTCTAATTATCAAATAATTAAACTAATCAGACTCTACAACCCCGCAACCAAAAAATTCAAATTCAGTGAAGGCAACGAGCATGAAATTACAAGCAATGATGTGTCTGACATCTTTGGATTGCCAAACAAAGGAAACAAGTTGCCAAGCACAACAACTTCCACAAGAACAAATTTGGCCTTCGAAAAGAAGTACTTCGAGAAGTCAAAAAAAATCACAAAAACTGAGATTGATAGGTGTCTGAACACAGCAATAGCAGATGACAGAAAGAAGAATGCAATGGATGTTGTCAGGTTGTTAATCCTAGAGCTCTTCATCACAAATCTCTTTTGCAACTCTGGGGCGACAATGGCTTGGACCTTTTTGACTATGATCGACACATTAGAAGCTATGAACAGCTACAACTGGGCACAAGGAGTCTTAGATTACATGCATTATGGACTGGACCAAGCCATAAAAAATAAAAAGGACAAGACAAATCAACCAAGCGTCAGTGGTTGCCTTGTGCTAATCCTGGTAAGAAACTACATCCATTTGTTAATCCTGTTATATTATTTGTTTTCATGTGCATTAACACTTTATATTGAAAAACATGTTTGCAGTATTGGCTGTGTGAAAGAAACTAACCTGATCAGTCCAATTCCTGGAAGAGAAGATCACAAACCAGCGGCTGTCAAATGGAGCCTTCCGGAGCTCAATATCAAGCTGAATATTGCAACATATGAAAACATTAAGGCATTTTTCTTACTTCCATAAACATATATAATGTTAGTACACCATAATTACTACTGACTCCAATAATTCAACAGATAAAAGCTGCTGACAATGAAAAAGAAGAAGCAACAAAGACTGATCATGCAGACCATGAAGAACAAGAAGAAAATGAAGAGGATGATGACTTTGTTATCACACTTAAAGATTGGGTAAGATAACCTACAATGATCCAACATTTATATTTCAAAACTGAATTGATAGTGTACAAACACATATACATGTATATAAATTTGCTAATACTTTTTTTTTCCTTTCTAATATTTGTGACAGTTAAAGAGTCAAACACAAAAAGGAAAAAGCCAGACTGTTATTACCCAGAAAACAGAACTTCAGCTTCCATGAAAATGTGGACCAAAGTGCAACCCAGACAAAAACTCCACAACAGGAGCAAAATGAAGACAATGCACAATCATTGGGATGCAAAGCAGATGATGAAATTGAAGAAACCACCAGCACAATCATTGGAATGCGAAGCAGATGATGAAATTGAAGAACAAGCAGTTGACCTTAGTGCAGACTCAGTGACGGAGGAGGACACTGTTAATGTCCAGCAACAGAACCCAGAACTTGACAGCCAAGAAGAAGACTTCGACTCCATTTTTGTGGACATAGTGGGGTCAATCCCAGAGTACTACAAGCATGAAATAGCCCCTACCCATGAGAAAATCCAACAGCTGAAAGAAGCAGTCGACTATTGGATTGAAAAGGCAGATACTCGAAGGGATATGATGCAGACTGCTATAGAATCCTGCATAAAGAAAAATTCATTCATTCAACAAATATGGACTGAAAAAGAAGAGTTGGAGCAACAAATTGAATTACTGAAAAAGCAGCTTGAGCAAGAGAAAAAAGAAGGTGCAAAATTACAAGGGGAACTTCATGCACTCAAATCAAATAGGAGACAGCTACAGGAACAACATGAACTACTTGAAGGGGAAAAGTTGTCCTGCATTGAGAGCATGAAAGAAAAAGACACTGTTATTGCCTCTTTGCAACATGTGATGGGAAAAAAAATCAAACAAGGTGAACAAGGAGAAATTCCGATGAAAGAACAAGCTGATAAGGAGAAAAAAGATGAGAGAATAGCAGAAGAAAGTGAATTGGAGATGCAAGAATCTCCTAATGATGAAGATGAGAACGCCGATGGAAAAACTCCTGAAAAGTTAGTTATCATGCAAGCAAAAGAAGTAGGAACACGGCAGTTGCGTTCTGGCATCAAAATAATCAAAGACAGAAAAGACAGAAAGCCTGCAAAGAAACCAGATTACACATACCCCGAAGCACATAAGAAAGGCCGAAAAAGAGCAAGCCAAAGCGAAGATGAAGCAGCCAACAAAAAAAGGAGGACAAAGATACATACCTTCAGTTGCACATGTATGAGGTCTACAACAGGCTGGATGAAATATCAAAGAAGAAGTTGGAAAATTACTGGAAATCTGCATCTGATTCTGACGAGTAAGCCAATCTGTCACAGTGTTACACTGTTAATACTATGCCTTAGAACTGTCATAGAATTACACTGTTAATACTATGTCATAGAACTGTCTTGTTATTAAACTATTATGAGATTATCATTTTTAAACAAACATTATTGTCGCAGGGGACGCTTTTTACCTACAAAATAGGACAATATTGTACAAACATAACATTGAAAAGCTGATGGGAGATGCTCCAATTTCTGCACTAATCATCGATGCTTATGGAGAGGCACTTAATGATGATGCGAAGCAGAACCCTCAGAAACAGAAAAATGCATATTGTCCGCCAATAACTATGTAAGATCACATCTAATACATCAATTTTATATCATCAACATGCTCACTAATCACCAACAAATGACTTTTGCAGATGTTTTTGCGAGGTGCCTCACACAAGCTGACATATCATGCTTTCTATATGCCACTCCTAGAAAATATTGGAAGAGTTGATAGAGTGTTCATACCAATTACAGATGAGAACCACCATACGCTGCTTGTCTTTGACACCGGTGCAGCAAAATGGACACACTTCAACTCATTCAGGGGGACATCAGAACAAACTCTCCAATATTATCACAAGAAGGCAATTGTTTTGGTAAGTAAGACTGGTGATTAACACTGTTAATACATAGGACACTAAATTTAAAGGAAACTAAGCACATACTTGACTATGATGCAGGTTGAGACAACAAATATATTCCTCTGTCTTCTTAAGGAATGTGCTGCAGTATCACTGAAAACAAAACTCGTCCAAATTCCTGATTTTGATGCCAAGAAGCCGAGAGGGCTTAATGAAGCTTCAGCTAGAATGATAACAAAAATACTTGCCAGCAACGAACTTACACCAGAATATGCTCAGACAATGAAGTATCTGATTTGTCATGATACTACTAACTTCAAGCTGACTGAGAACAGAGAATGTCCCCAACAAGCAAACAATTCGTAAGTTACGCAATAACAGTGAAACTTTCATCCTATTCAACTAAAAAAATACTGAAATAACTCCTGCATGCGTATCTCTATTATGCAGCAATGATTGTGGCGTCTTTGTCATGCACTTCATGAAGCAGCTTTCCAAAGACCAACAAATAGAATCAGATTTCAACAAAGAAAAGGTCTGGCAAATGAGAAAAGAAGTCCTCATGAAAATTATGAGCAATGAAAGAAGTTGGATTTCCATCAAAGAAAGAGAAGAGAGAAATGCAAAATAATGAAGTTGTAATCAAATATTTTGCCAAAATTCTTGCTTATATTGTAGTTTCTTAGGACTTGTGTAGGTTTAGAACATTGAAGTAAAGTGATTTTCAAATTCAAGTTATGTACTTATTCAAAAACCAGTTTATTTACGTGAATTAACAGTGTATGTAACCTGAAATAATGGTCTCCATAGCACTAAAAACAACTAAAAAGGTGAACTACAACAAATAACAACGCACTCTCAATTCAATGTTAATGCTATTTGATAGAAATAAATTGTTAATACCATGTCATAGAACTATCTTTCAATTTCAACAATGGCATGAACAGTGAGCATTAAATAGTGTTCGTTCATTTATAGATTATTCAAACAGCAGTAATGCTTAATTCATATCAAACTTCAAAACCGAAATTTGCAAAATACCAAAAATGGTAAATATTATGTATTAATACCAAAAATTCAAAGTGTATTCATATGCAGTGACTGCTATTTCACCGTATTAACAACTTGCATATCAATTTCTATTCCTTTCAACTATGATTGTCATTAATCAATCACATAGCACTTTAACTAGTTAAAAACTAACTACTCTCATTCAAGTCTTTATACTCAGAACCTTTACATCAAATAGGAACCTTGCAAGTCCTCCTATTATGACGATCACAAGAACCGCATCTCTTGCACTTCACCTGCCTTTTAGTTTCACTGCTTGACTTGAAGCGCTTTGTCGGAGGTCGTCCCGGAGGCTTTCTTGTATGAGGAGGTAGAAGAAAAACATCTGCAGGAGGAGGCTTCTCAATATCAGGTATGGGAAATATAGGGGTTGCATAAGTAGCCTTATAAAAGTCTGCCTTGTAATACTCATCCACAAAGTTGTACAAACATAACCCGGAATGTTGGATAACTTGAATCGCATGCTGACACGGAAACCCAAGCAATTGCCACTGATAACAGGAGCAAAACCTCTCGTCCAAATTGACCATAACACTCAAATCAGCATGAACTTCAAAAACAGATTCACTCGCGCGACATATCCTCCAATGACGACCCTTTGCAGCTAAATTCTTCAACTCATCCTCAATAACAGGACACAAAACACTACTCCATTTCTCGGATGCAAGCTTCCTCCTAGAAATCATCTCCATCATTTTGATCCTAACAGTGTCAATCATCTCATAAATTGGAAGCCTACGCACATCCTTAATCCATGAATTAAACGACTCGGACAAGGCATTACTAACCTCCCCATACCTCTTTCCCGGAAAAATGCATTAGCAAAATTTTGGACAGGGAGATCAGCCAAAAACTTATCAATTATTTTTGAACCGCCATCATCTCTTAATTTTTTCAACGTATCTTGATATTCCTCAACAGTCGGTGCATACAACAACTTACAAAAAAGCCATAAAATATGATCCTTGAAAGAGGAACCAACAGCATGCGGATACTTCTTTTTCAAGTTCTCTTTCAAATGATATAGACAAAAACCATGGGGAGAAGCAGGAAAAACAGTCCTAACAGCATCGATAATAGCACCATGCCTATCAGAAATGAATGTAAGTTGCCTACCTTCATCAACCAAGACTTCAGATATCCTTTGCAGAAACCACCTCCAATTATCCACAGTTTCACCAGATACAATCGCAAAGGCAAAAGGGAATACTTCTACAAGAAACAGAGAACTATATTAGTTAGTTTGAACTGTAACAGTGTTACCACATAAAGCAGAGTAAAACTACAATGCATAAAAATACTCAGATGCAGGGTATGAACAGTATAGAAAACTGTTCATACCACTCAATGGAAGTCAACAACTACAGCATTTACATTTGCATAACTACACTGTTCATACCACTCAATGGAAGTCAACAACTACAGCATTTACATTTGCATAACTACACTGTTCATACCACTCAATGGAAGTCAACAACTACAGCATTTACATTACATACCTTTATTTCCATTCTTTGCAGTAGCTCCTAGAAGAGTACCCTTGTACTTGTTTGTGACGAAAGTACCATCAATGAACAGCATAGGCCTACACCACCGAAAACCATCAATGGAGGCCTTAAAACATATAAAGATCCGCTGGAAACGAGAACCATCCTCGCCACAGTCAAGCACACAATGAGATCCGACATTGCTGGCCTTCAAAACATTCACATACCAAGGCAGGTGAGCATAAGACAACTCCTCATCACCATGCAAATCCTTAGTAGCCGACTCCTTCCCATACCACGCAACATGATAAGGGATATCCAATCCATAATTCTCCTTCAAATCAGTAATCAGCTCAATAGGCCTTACCAAAGGATTGCTACGAACCTTATCTTTGACAATTGAAGACACCAAACGAGACCCCATTGCCTTATTTCTCTTCTCACGGATCAAACCACTGCAACTGTGTGCATTATTTAAGTTCTTAATATAAAAAAAATCCATTTACATTCGACTTAACAGCATGCACATGCCACTCACAGCCATTTGATTCCTTCTTAGCACACACAGCAGTAACACGACGAGGCTCATTTTTCAAATATTTCATCTTAAAACCATTCTCAATCGAGTACTTAGCCAACTTATCACGGAATTCACAAACTCCACCCTCAAACTTCTGACCCTCATGAGTAATATAACCCTCCCAATCAGTAGACAAATACTTACGACCTCCACAACTACCATATTTGCCTAAATATTCATTTCCATACTCACTGCTAATACCATCAAAATCCATACTCAAAGAAGAAGAAGAAGCTGCATTTGAATCAACAATACTACCAGTTTGAATTGAATATTTACATGTATCCTCATCTTCTGCAAAACTGTAATTGTTAGGAACAGCCTCCAACAAAAAAGGAGAAGCAATTATGTTCGTATTAACAGTTTGAACATAATTCACTACAGCCTTATCCCTAACAGCAATGTGAATTAATTGATCCTTCGTCAGTCCACATACCATAAACATGATTTTCAAATCATCATCCAATTCCAATAAACAATTGGAGCAATCCGTATAAGAGTACCTCAACTCAAAATGACCTAACTTCAGCTTGAACCTACTACACAACTCGTTGGACAGCCAATCAAAAGTAGTAGTTGAAGACAAAATAAGCATTAAAGTTCCACCACCATAGGTGCACTTTGCCACTCTCGAATCATCCATATCTATACAAAAAAACAACAAACAAAACAAAAATGACTACTAGCAATAACAGTGGATGCCGGGTATTAACAGTGAATTATAGTCGACTCAAAAACCAATAGTGCATAAACAGAAAAAACACGAATATACTCAGATTCAACTGAAAAAACCTCAATTAATATGAAAACCAAATCGAATATCACAAAAGTTTCACCACACCTCAAATCAAAACACAAGAGCAAATCCACAATCAAAACGAATCTGAAATCAATCCAAATTATAAACAAAAAGAAACGAAAACCTAATCAGCAACTTAATTAATCGAACATGAAATCACCAAAAATCAGACTACAATATAATCGAATCCTCAAAAAACGAATATGAATTCACAAGAAAAAATCGAAATACCTCAAAATCGAAGATCACAGATCGCACCAAGCTCCAATCGAGTCTCTTGCAGCGCAATATCAATCCAAAAATTACCAAATCAAACAGCAAAGAACAAAAAAATTGAAGCAATAGAACTCCAATCTACACCATACTGAGCTCAGAAGAATCCAAAAGAAGATCTGAAACCACATCATACTGAGCTTCGTTCGAAGAGGTGAACGAAGCTCGCTTCGTTCGAAGAACTGAACGAAGCTCGTTTGGAATATTCGATCTGCTGAGGCTGCCAAACAGGTTTCTGTTATGAGGTCACCAACGTAAATTTTCAAATATTCCTATCCTAGCTGGCGAATTTTGGGCCTGTTTCAAAGAATTCAGACCAAAAGGTCAAAACCGTAATCTAACATAGAAAATAAATCCAAAAATTGACAGCTGTTGGTTTTTGGGTTTATTTTGGGTGTGTTTATATGTTTTAAATAGTCTAGGGTTTTATTATAGTTTCATGTCTAGAATTGGGTGTTTCACTAATTTTGTATTTTTAAAACCCATGTTTCACCTATTTTGTTTTGTTTTTTTAATTTTTAATTTTATTTTCTCACACACCGTGCGCAGGATTTCCACCTACCCCTTGTCTGGGCGTGACACTTAATCAAACTCAAACCAATATACTCCATTAACAACTAAATTAGCTAGCCCATGGATCATACCATGAAACACCAAATAGTATATATAAACACAAACATATCAACACCAGCTAAACAATTAAAGGGTTTTGATTGATTATATCTCATACTAGATTAAGAGGCCAACAGTAACCGCACAGACCAAAAGTTTAAAGCACAATAATTGAAGTAGGAAACAAAGCTAGGGTTTTGAAGAGCATAATCCCAGACAAGCTAGCTGTTGTGAAGCTCTGAATTTGGGTTTTGAGGAGGAATTGAGACCAAAGTTTTTTTATGGAAATGGTGTACAAAAGGCGAAAACTTCAGGGCGAAACTGGTGAAAAACAGCCAGATAGAAATTGAGATTGCAAAGGCGTGGCTTTGAAAGGTTTGAGATTCCAAGAGAAGGAAAAGGATTTTACAAAAACAGAGAGAGAGATTGATTCTTGTAAGTTTTCTTTTGTTGGGCTGCAACTGAAGAAGGGTCTTGGACTTCGATGACTTTGATTCCTATCCTAATGAAAACCACTCTTCTCACAGCAATGTATTTTTGTTGGTTCAAATAAGGCATGATAAATTTTTTTTGCTTAATAAAGAAAATTTTGAGACCATATGATAAAGATTTTTCTATACTGCAGTTAACTACACCTTTTTTTGTTACACGCATCATCCTTTAATTTAAATATCAAAGATTCCTTGAAATGGACTTATGGTCCAAGTAATCAAGAGCACTTGAACGTATACCCAAGTCTATACTCGATTCCCACTTCTCTCAATATCATTTGTACTAAAAAAATTTATAAATTCTTTGAGACATGTCGATAATTTAGATAATAAGTTGGGATCTCTGATATGACTCTTTGTCGAAAAAGCTTGCCATACTTTAACTCAAATGTCTCTCTCATCATCATCAATTTCTTTGATGATGGAGTTGTTGAAACTTGGAAAGAAAAGTTTGACTACCTATGTATCTATATAATCTATTTGACTTCAATATGAGAGACTCGCATTGTAATGATTCTTTAGTTTACCAATGTTTGCTCCTTGAAGCTCATAAGTTAAGCCCACAAAATAGTTTCATTGTTTTTATGTCAAATATTGCTGCGTAACTTATTCTATTTATGGGTTTGGTGGTTGTTCTTCAAGATCTCTTTTATGTGGAAGTGGAGTTGATGAATTTGGCGGGATCTACTATCCTTTGGTGTTGTGGAATCATGAGTGGTGATGTAGATATTGTGACTTTCTTTGAGATGTCAAGGTGAAATTTGCGTGAGTTGTAATTGGTTTTTGAGTTTTATGGATCCTGTCATCTTCAATTCTGGGTGAGCTGGGATTTAAATACATGTGGAGCTCACTATTCTTGCACTAGTTGCATTTTATTGTGTATATTTTCCGTTTTCTTGTTTGCAAGTACCCTATTATGGGGTAGTGTTCTTCTTGTGTAATCTTGTAATTGCCTCTCATATTAATGAATCTACTATGTTCATATTCTAGATTTTCAATATAAAAAGTTATTGTGTGCATTTGATACACCACGTGACATGTTAATGGTATATGAAATTCATTGAAAGTATAAACACGTCTATTACGCTAAGTAATGAACAAGTATCAAATACACCCAATAACTTATCTTTCAATTTTTGTAATAATTTAGCTTATATAATAAAGGAGTTTGGCAGTTGGATTCAAGTCCTAAATATCCGATCAGATAACTGATTGCTTAACTGAAACCACTGGGCCAATCTACCAAGGTCCAAAGTCCAACCTTAAAGCATTGGACAGCTTACACTGATGAATAGGCCGTTTGCTCTCAAACTCAAAACCCCACCTTGTCACTTTCTGATTGGTTGTATTTATGCTTTGCTGCATATTCAAATATTCCCAGTGCAAAAGAGTGCCTCTGTAGCACTGATGGTTAGGTTAGAACGTGCAAAATGACCAAATTGTACAACTGAAACAGCATCAACACAAGTTCAAACAAATTTTGGGTGTTTTGAGTCTTTGACTTTGCGACTGTGATATATGAGATACACTTTTGACAACTAGTTTTAATTTTAATGCGTGCAAATATCTGCCATATTTGGATAAAATTTTCCACAGAGTCAGTGGGTGGAGTCACCAAACTTTTTATGGAGGGCTAAATATCTTAATTTGGGAGTCATTACGTGACTGTTTTTATTTCCTTGTTTCAAAATTGCCCATAACTACAAATATCTTAAAACAGTACGTCGAGCTATATGTAGGTTTGGGGACATCTGGCTCCATCACTGTATACAACACGTGTATTTTTTGTTTCGATTAGTTATTATTTGCATTCATTCTTTTCACGTGTTAGTCTTGATTACGTGATCAGTTATTAAAAGGGTAACTTAATTGCATACACTTGTAAAAAAAACTATATGTGTTAAATACTGTGCAATATTCAAATCCAACATCCCCAATATGTGTGTACATGCATCCATGCAGAACTTTGCATTGCACCTTAAAGGTAAGTTCTCATTCTAGAAAGGAGAAGGAAGTCTTAAAGGTTTTAGTCCTATTAGTGGAAGTATGCTAGAGATAATGGCATGCCTTTAAACAAATGCATACATATCCAAAAATGGGCCATAGTTACTGGGGAGGGCATGGACAGCCACATCACTGCCTCAGAGTTGCATAGTGTCCTAGCTGATGGCTTCAAGATACTGTCCTTGGGAATAACTAAGTCCAAGATATAGTATATACTTTCTATCCTCTACCCTGAAAAAAGAAGTTGGTGGAACACTATAAATAGAAAATTTTAGATGCATAACACCTGATGAGAATGTTAAAAGTAATAAAATATACCAAATATGCTTGAAATTATCGTTTCTTTTTTAAGTTTGAAGCGGTTCATAAGTGTTTAACAACTCACTAAACGAATCAAATAACTCACTTGCCGGTCCGATCAACCAATCCTTAAAAAAAAAAAAGTAAACTTACCATGGAAAAATGACATTAAATTATGAGTATCAAATCCTAAAACATGAATGGGTTTGAATTTGCATATGCCACCCATAATTTCCCCTACCAATTTTACCCATTTATGAGGTGACCAATTCCCCTATTAAAAGCACAGAAAGACGCACTTCATATAAACACTATGAAATCTGATCCTGCTTAATTAGGGTATCCCAGTTTTATCCCCAATCTACCCCCACAAAAGTTGCCATTTTTCAGCTTTCTAGCAAAATCAAAGAAGAAGAAAGAAGGGCCAAATCGGAAAGAAAATAGGAAAATACAGAAAATAATTTTATAATAATTTACTAGTCCCAGATCGCCCACCCTTTCCCTTTATTCTAACAGAGGAAGCAACAGAGGCATCATCGTCGTCATCAGCGAAGATTAAGAGTCAAAGTCCAAAAGCCCGAGAGAGAGCCTTCTTCAGTTCTTCTTCGCCTTCTCAATTCTCCCCGTTTGTTTCTCTAAAACCCATCTCTATCTCTTCGAAATCCCAAACCTTTCAAAGCCACGCTTGTGCAATTTCAAATCGTTGCATTTATTATTGTTTACAGTTTTGTCTGAAAGTCTTCGCCTTTTTACACCATTGCCATAAAAAAAACCCTAGCCTCACTTGCCGCTGAAAACCCAATTCAAAGCTTCGCAATAGCTCTCTGTCTGAAAATTGGTATATTTTTTTCTTTCAAAACCCTAGCCAAATTTCCTGCTTCAATTATGGTGCTTTTAATGTAAGATTCGATGATTTGGTTTGCGAATTTTATTTAGTGCCGTTGGGAATATAGCTGGATTTTAGGGCACTGTGAATTTTTTAGGTTGAATAGCAGATTTGGTTGTGTTAGTGCCAGGTTTGGTATCGCTAATTTTATTTTTGTTTGAAAGTTTGGCCCCTTTTTTTAGAGGCATTGAACTGATTGGAGCTACCTGAGTGGTTTAGCTTTGGAGTTTAAATATTGGGAATTCTGTTGCGTTTTAGATAACGTATTGCAGATCAAATTGATTTGGTTAAGTTCTGTTGCTTTTTCTACGTCGTATGAAAATTAGGGCATATATATATATATATATATATATATATCTAAAAGATATGAACTGGAAAAAATTGGGTGTTGCGAATTATCAGGACACAAATTTTATTAGTTGTCCTAAGAGCTTAACGTTTTGTTTATGATATCAAATTTGGAAACTACTAGCTATTTATGCGTTTTATTTTAGTTTTGAATCCTCCCTGAGTAAATTTAATATTGTTTTAAACAATAGAGAATCAAACTTTCAGGCAATTCTTAGACACGATTTGCTTGAACATGCGTGTGTAAAATTATATATGTTAGTAGCTTCAGTAGAATAAATCCAGACTTGGATTCTGTATTCTGGAATAGGTGTTACTTTTTTCTTTATGTTACTACTCCAAACTTTTTGGTAATGTTTATTGGAAGGAGCAAAGTATCACTTTGTACTGGATTGGTTTAGCCCCAGAAACTTTAGAAGTCAAACCTTCAACATAAAATGTTGGATAGGTTTACAATAGATTGTAATAATAAACAAAAAAACAAAGACGCTGCTTTACTTGAATCGCACTTACTGGATGCTCCGTGTTGGTTGTTTGTGAGAGCTGAAATCCTTTTGCTTCATACTCCATCCATCCTGTCTTGTTCCCCAAAAAGCAAGTTTTCACTTGTATATTCAAGCATTGTGCGTTGAAATTCATATGTTATGCATTCCATGCAATACATTTTAGGGTTACAAAAACTATATCCTGGTTACTAGCTAAATGTTTTGCCTGCTATCAATTTGCATTATGTAGCTCTTGATGTGCGCGTTATATTCATGAGGTCTGGCATCTGAATCCTTGTGTGTTGCGTATATTCTTATCTCAAACTGCTTTCAACTTAATTTGACTGTTACTTCTTCTGGTGATGGCTTTTGTCAGACTTCACAGGGCAACGATATTTTAACTAAGTTGTTTAGCTTGACAGCTTCTTGTAGCAGTTCAATGCTGGGGGCAGTATGCCGATGATAGTTGGGAGAAATGCAAAGGTATCATGCCACTGGCTGCACTAGTGCAGTTAATAACAACGCCATAGGTGGGACATCAGGGAGGGATTCTGTGCGAGCTGATTCAGCTGCATTGCCTGCTAACTTATCTCTAGCTTCGAGGTAACTGGGTCCACAAGTATGTTGTATTACCTTTATTTTGTGGAGAAAAAAATTTGATTTTTCCTCTGGGAATTGTTATTATCTAAAATAGTCATCCTGCACTCCTTCCTCTCTGATTATAATTTTTTATTATTATGGAGGAGTGTAGGATTACCATTTTGGAGTGGCAATATCATCTCCATTTCCTTTTTCGGTCGTATTGTAATTATAACTTAAATTATCTTTACTGTGTCATCACTTAGAGACTATTTTGGCTCACAATTTTGTAACTTCCAGTATTTCCAAGATTATATTGACTCTATAATGGTTGTATTATGAAAGTGTTTCATGGGGGAGTTATTCAATGTTTTGACTATTCTATTTATAAATTGAGTGTTTCCTCTGTCATAAAATGTGGCAAATTGTTCTTAATTGTGTAGGCGCACATCGCAGTTAAACCCTTACAAGTTGAAGTGCGAAAAAGACCCTTTGAATGGCCGGTAATTTTTGCAACTGATTATTGTCCTTTTGCTTAAAATATCTGTAAAGAAGAGAGGCTCTAAATATCTGTAGAGAAGAGACATTCATATGCCATTATAGTCTGGGTTTCCTTTGTTTTATTTCATTATCATACTGACCAAAAGAAAACAGGCGCATAAGTTGCTGTAAGGTTTTACTGCTGGATATATTAACTAATGTGTTATTTTTTAATATGTTATGTGTTTGTTATATTTTTTTTGCATCATAAATTTGTTTCTGCTGACTATGGTTCTTAATTCAAAATATATATTTTTGTTTTTTGAAAAATCTTCTTTAATTTGTATAATCTCAGACTTGGGCCACCTGACTTTCACCCCCAAACTCCAAATTGCCCAGAGGAGACTCTTACCAGAGAATATGTGCAGTTTGGATACAGAGAGACTGTTGAAGGAATTGAGGTACTATTTTATAATCAAGTAATCTACAGAAATATTTTAATAGGCTCGTAAGAAAGACTATCAATCTGAAACACCCATGTAGTTATTTCTTCATCCAAAAACACTGGAATAGAAATTTACTCCTAATAACCATTTGTGCACGTCCCTCTGCACTGTTCTGAAGAGTCTTGATTCTTTTCTCTTCTTTTCTTTTCCAATCCATATCAAAGCATATTTTATCAAGGCCATCTTTTTTTTTATGGCCTGATCTTAATTTGGATTATCATATATCTTGTTAAGGTCTTTTGAGATTCAAATTTTTGTGGATCCATCACAAGTGGGTTTTTATGATCACTTGGTGAATTTTACAGGAATCTAGAGAGATATCGCTGAGTCAGGCTCAAGTATTAAGCAAGCCTCTTGTCTTCAGATGCAAAGAGGTAAATCACTTAATTTGTATAGTTATTAGGTAGATCTCCATTTTGGTTTAAATGTAAGAGTTCTTTCTACCTCTTTCTTTGGCTTTTAGTACTTTCCATTGAAAGGCATTAAGTAGATTATATGAGTTTTAAGTTTTTTCTTACCTTTCAGGCCATAAAAAAACGTTTTAGGGCCATCAATGAATCTCGTGCTCAAAAGAGGAAGGTAGTTTATCCTTTCTCAACTATTTTTTGATGTTTGTGGAAATTTCTTCTGCATAAAATTTTTCGGTTTTTGTGGATGTTATATGATTGGTGTCGCATTATGGTGTATTATATGTTTCATTTTTTCCATGGAAGGCTGGTCAAGTGTACGGTGTCCCTCTTGCTGATACACTATTGTCCAAGCCAGGCGTTTTTCCTGAACAGAGGCACTGCGGTGAAGACTTACGAAAAAAATGGATTGAGGTGTGCCTTTTGTGCTCTCAATTAAGCAGTTGTTTCTAATAATGGGAACCTAATTTTTGTATAAAAAGAGCAAAGCAGTAGCCATGCTGTCCTCTCTAATTGTCCATTTATGCTTGAGAAACTCTGAAACATAGAAACAGCTAGGCGCTATTGCCCCTTCAGTTGCTTTGTTAACTTGTGTAAATAGGAAACTTTGTGGTATGGTGACTCTGGTTCATCTCAAACATCTTAACATCATGCTGAGGGCAGCAAAATGAGGGCCACATTTATTCTCACAAAAATGAGGACCACAGTTATTATTATATATTCCATGGCTTTCTGCAAAATGGCATAATTTGAGTAATCTTGAACTATTCGGGTATTCAGTAATTAGTAGTTGTTTGGAATTTTATCCACATTGCCAAATATTGAGTGTTTAAGAGGAAAATCATTCTCAAACGATGAACTTGTCCAAAGTTTTCAAACAAAAAGGTACATCAAGTTGGTGAGTGAGAATTTGATAATGATGGAGAGGTATCCCTCAAAATATGAAGAAAATAGAAATGAAAGGAAGTCAGGAAGTCATCATGCTAGTGGAGGGTCTACCTGTGAAATACTGGGTTGGGCATACCTAGAGGTTTAGGAATAACTGATAAGAAGTTCTGCTGTGGATAACTCATGCCATTTATTTCTTTATATGTTGATTATTTACTTTTTTTCCCATTCTGTTCCAGGGTCTATCACAACAACACAAGCGCTTGCGTTCGTTGGCTGATCATGTTCCTCATGGGTATAGGAAAAGATCCCTATTTGAAATTCTTACAAGGAATAATGTTCCATTGCTGAGAGCAACTTGGTTTATTAAAGTAACTTATCTTAATCAGGTATATATGCTCGCACATTCATAACAGAACCGAGTTCTGATCTTAACCTGTTTGTCAATACTTTTCACGTTGGAAGTTTCCAGTAGCATGTTATTGCTGCATTTTTTGCAGGTCAGGCCAGGTTCTGCCATTATTTCTTCTGGGGCACCTGATAAAGCTCAGTTGTCCCGCACAGAGCTCTGGACAAAAGATGTTATCGATTACCTGCAGTACCTTCTCGATGAGTTATTCTCGAGAAATAATTCTCATTCTACTTCACACAACAGAGATCGTTCGCCACAAATGCTTTATTCTGGGTCAGTTCCACAAAGGAGTGATCTAGCATCAGCAGTCCTTGACGGTGAGGAGCCTTCCCTACATTTCAAGTGGTGGTATGTGGTGCGGCTCTTGCAATGGCATCATGCCGAGGGGCTGCTTCTTCCTACTCTTATTATTGAGTGGGTTCTTAGTCAACTGCAGGTATTAGTTTTTTTCATATGTTTATTGTTTAAAGACTATTTACCAATGTTAAAATTATCTTAATATGCTTCTAACACTAACATTTGTGCTCTTGCAGGAGAAAGAATTGCTTGAGATTATGCAGTTGCTCTTGCCTATTGTATATGGTGTTCTGGAAACTGTTGTTTTATCTCAAACATATGTGCGAAATCTTGTTGGGGTAGCTGTTCGTTTCATTCGTGAACCTTCTCAAGGAGGGTCAGATGTTGTGGATAACTCTCGTAGGGCATATACAGTGTCTACTGTGATTGAGATGCTTCGTTATTTAATACTTGCTGTACCTGATACATTTGTAGCTTTGGACTGCTTTCCTTTACCATCTTGTGTAGTCTCTTATATAGTAAATGATGGATTACCAAAGATGTCTGAGGATGTGAGAAAGATTGGAAATGGTTCGGCAGAAGTTGCTTCTGCGTTCAGAAGTAAAGGTTTTGATGCCCAATATCAGTCCTTGGCCTTTGATCATGTTGTTTCATCCATTCAGAAACGTGCTGACAATCTTGCAAAGGCTGCAAGCCCTAGTTATCCAGTCCATAGTATTGCTAAAGCTGTACAGGCCCTAGATAGATCTCTTGTTCAGGGAGATGTTCGAGGGGCTTATAGATTTCTGTTTGAAGATCCTTGTGATGGAGTCGCAAATGAAAGTTGGATCACAGGAGTTAGTCCATGCTTGAGAACATCGTTGAAGTGGATTGGGACTGCGAACTTGTCATTTGTTTGCTCTGTGTTTTTCCTTTGTGAATGGGCAACATGTGATTTCAGGGATTTTCGAACTGCCCCACCTTGTGAGCTGAAGTTTACTGGCAGAAAGGATTTTTCTCAGGTACATGTTGTAATTCAGCTTTTGAAACTCAAGATAAGAGATTTACAATGTTCACCTCAACGTAAGAATGACAGCTTCCTTGGAGTCGGTAGTGTTGCAAAAGGTTCCACCCAGCATAATAATTTTCCTGTCAGAATATCCATGGGAAATTCCTATGAAACTAAGAATAGATCAAAAAATGGTGATCAAAGAAGTATAAAATCGTCAAATATATTCGAGAGCCCAGGTCCTTTGCATGATATTATAGTGTGTTGGATTGATCAACATGAAGCAGGAAAAGGAGAAGGTTTCAAGCGCCTTCAACTACTTGTAATTGAACTCATACGATCTGGTATTTTTCACCCCCATGCCTATGTTAGGCAGCTTATAGTTAGTGGAATTATGGATATGGATGAACCAGTGGTTGAAGTAGACAGACGGAAGAGGCATTATCGAATCTTGAAGCTGTTGCCTGGGCTCTTGATGCGTGATGCATTGGAAGAAGCAGGGATTGCTGAAGAGCCTCAACTTTCAGAGGCTATGAACTTATACTCAACTGAGCGCCGCCTAATACTTCGTGGGCTTCTCTCTGATCAAAATAAAAATGCGAATATGATTGTGTCTGCTCTGAAGCAAAAGCATTTTCCTATCCCTGGAAAGGACGGTCCTTTGCCAGTTTCTGTTGATCAGTGGAAGGTGGTTCAGTCATCATCCAACATATTGTCTGTTAAAGGTGGCAAATCTGATGCTGATCTTGAAGAACTAAAGGAAGCAATCTCAGTTCTGTTGCAACTCCCAAATAGTTCATCCCCATCAACAGAAACAGGACTTGATGAATCCCAAGGGAGTGTGAAGAGGCCTTTTGGGTCAATTTATAATAAGATGGATCTGGGAGAAGGCACCCCTGGGTGTGAAGAATGCAAAAGGGCAAAGAGGCAAAAGGTGAGTGATGAAAGGAGCTCATACATCCAAGGAAATTCTCCAATTCCTTCTGACGATGAAGATACCTGGTGGATGAGGAAGAGACTTAAATCCTTGGAGCCAATGAAGGTTGATCCACCAGTTAAGTCAACCAAACAGGTCTCTAGGAATCGGCAGAAAATAGTTCGTAAAACTCAAAGTCTTGCTCAACTAGCAGCTGCTAGGATTGAGGGTAGCCAGGGGGCATCTACAAGTCATGTCTGCAATAATAAAGTAAGCTGTCCTCATCATAGAACTGGACTGGAGGGAGAAACTCCGAAGTCTACAGATCCAACCAAAGTGAGCCATGGTGGAGATATTGTTTCAATTGGAAAAGCTTTAAAGCGGCTACGATTTATGGAGAAGAGGACTATTACGGTTTGGTTGATGACTGTTATTAGGCAGCTTGTTGAAGAGACTGAAAAGACTATTGCTAAGGTTGGCCAGTTTGGTAGGACTTTCACTTCTGTTGATGATAGGAGCTCCATACGGTGGAAGCTCGGTGAAGATGAACTTTCTGCTGCACTGTATTTGATGGATGTTTCAAATGATTTAGTTTTAGCAGTCAAGTTTCTGCTTTGGTTGCTGCCGAAGGTTAGTAGCCCCAGTTCTGCATTCCATAGTGGGAGAAACATTCTGCTGTTGTCGAAAAATGTTGAAAGCCATGTGTGTGAAGTGGGGGAGGCATTTCTTATATCATCCCTTCGAAGGTGCACTTTCTATCTCTATAATATGTTCAAAAATTTGTTGACAGTTCTGCTGCTTCTCTAATTACAATTTTACTTATCTATCCCTTGTTTGACAATATAATTAGGAGAAGAATGAAATGTACAGCGATTAATGAATTTTTTGTTCTCTCCTTTAACAAATACTTCTATCATTTATGAGGTTCACTTTTGGATTCTCTTGGAAGTAGGGAGACGTTGATTATAGTGGAGTTACAGTCTTGAGAGCACATTGCACAAACCACATTCAACATATTAAGATTACTCTATACCCTTTGTTAACTTTTTGTTTTGTTTTTGTTTTTTTTTACAATTATTTGTTTTGCAAGTATAAGGCAGTCAGAACAAATTTGCTTTGTTCTCTTCAACTAAAATTGGGAAACTGTTCTTAGTATGTCACCTTGCAATTTGGTTAACTCTAGTTTAGAAACAGAGTCTTATTAATCCTGTATGAGATAGTTTCCCCCAACAGCAAACTCTCCTTCATCTTTTGGGAGTACTCTGGTTCCTTCTTTAATAAATTTACATAAATTCATTGCATCGACTCTTCTTGTCCAATTTAGTTCACAGTTCTATTGTTGCACGCAATTGATAACCAGCATATACTAATTAGTCGTGCTTGATTCTCATAAAGAAATTGCTGTTACTTTCATATATGATCTCTCCCCTCCACTTTTTTAATTGTCCACGACTACTTAGTTGCTTTTCTCTTCATATTGGTACTTTACTTGAGCATTTTTTTAGATCCTGTTGCATTTCCTAACAATGGATTTGGTTCAGGTATGAGAACATAGTTATTGCTACAGATCTTATTCCAGAAGTCTTGTCAGCTATAATGCACCGTGCTTCAGCAGTAGTGGCATCTAATGGAAGGCTTTCAGGGTCGCCTGCCTTAGCATATAGTCGGTATTTGTCGAAGCGATATAGTAATGTGGCTAGTGTCATTGAATGGGAGAAGAATTTCAAGGCAACATGTGATAAGAGACTTCTTTCTGAACTCGAGTCTGGACAATCAATGGATGGAGAGTTGGGGTTTCCGCTTGGTGTTCCAGCAGGGGTTGAAGATCTTGATGATTTTTTCCGCCAAAAGATTAGTGGTGTCCGGTTGTCCAGGGCGGGTTTAAACATGAGAGAAATAGTGCAACGAAATGTGAATGTCGAGGATGCCTTTCATTATTTTTATGGCAAAGAGAGAAAACTCTTTGCTGCTGGTGCTCATAAAGGCCCTCCTGTTGAAAAATGGGATGATGGATATCAGATAGCTCAAAAAGTAATTACAGAACTGATGGACTGCATTCGGCAGACTGGTGGTGCTGCTCAAGAAGGGGACCCCTCTTTGGTGTCTTCTGCTGTTTCTGCTATTGTGGGTAATGTAGGACCAATTATAGCAAAAGCTTCTGATTTTAGAGCAGGGGGTAGCTATTCAAGTTTTCCAGCTGCCACTGATTCCCTGAACTGTGCAAGGCGTATTTTGCGCATCCATATAAGTTGCCTATGCCTCCTTAAGGAAGCTCTTGGAGAGCGCCAGACCCGTGTATTTGAGGTAGCTCTTGCGACAGAAGCTTGTTCTGCTCTTGCTGGGGTTTTTTTCTCCTGGAAAGGCATCTCGAAATCAATATCAGTCGTCTCCTGAATCCCATGATTCCAACACTAATGCTTCTAATGATATTTTGAACAGTTCTACAAAAATTGGTCTTGGGAGAGCAACAAAAGTTACAGCTGCAGTTTCTGCGCTAATTATTGGGGCAGTTGCTCAAGGGGTTACTAGCCTGGAGAGATTGGTGACTGTATTCAAGTTAAAGGAAAGGTTGGATATAATTCAGTTTGTAAGGAGTAGCAGATCCAACTCTAATGGTAATGCTCGGTCTTCTGGGGCATTTAAGGGGGATATCTCGCTTGAAGTTTATGTGCATTGGTTTAGACTGCTTGTCGGAAACTGCAGAACTGTTTCTGATGGATTGGTTGTGGAACTCTTGGGTGAACCCACTGTGATAGCTCTTTCGAGGATGCAGCGTATGCTCCCCCTTGGTTTGGTCTTTCCACCGGCCTATTCAATATTTGCTTTTGTTGTATGGCGGCCATTCCTTCTTAACACTAGCATTGCAGCCCGGGAGGATTTTAATCAATTATATCAATCTTTAACAACAGCTATAGGTGATGCTGTAAAGCACTCGCCTTTTCGTGATGTGTGTTTGAGAGATAGTCAGGGTTTCTATGATCTCGTAGCTGCAGATGGCAGTGATGCTGAATTTGCAGCCATACTAGAGTTGAATGGTTCAGACATGCTTTTAAAATCCAAGGCTTTTGTTCCGTTGCGTGCAAGGCTGTTTCTAAATGCTATCATGGATTGTAAGATGCCAGTGTCTTTATTTATGCAGTGTGAAGGAAATCAGGTTTCTGGACATGGTGAATCAAAGGTTCAATATGCAGAACGTGAAACAAAGCTTGTAGATAAGCTTGTACATATCTTAGATACCCTGCAACCTGCAAAATTTCATTGGCAGTGGGTAGAGCTCAGGCTCCTCTTGAATGAACAAGCACTCATTGAAAAGCTTGAGACTCAGGATACGTCCTTAGTGGATGCCATTCGTTCGTCCTCCCCTAGTCTTGAAAAGGCTGCTGCCTCTGAGAATGAGAAATATTTCATTGAAATCATCCTTACGAGATTATTGGTTAGACCTGATGCTGCACCTCTTTTCTCAGATGTGGTTCATCTTTTCGGGAGGTCACTAGCAGATTCTATGTTGTTGCAGGTGAAGTGGTTCTTGGGTGGCTCAGATGTTCTTTTTGGACGAAAAACCATTAGACAACGTCTCCTCAATATTGCTGAGACTAACGGTCTCTCAACTAAGACCCAGTTTTGGAAGCCTTGGGGATGGTGTAGTTATGGTTTTGATCCTGTGACAAATGGGGGAGATAAGAAGAAGTTTGAAGTCACCTCCCTTGAAGAGGGTGAGATGGTTGAAGAGGGAATAGATTCAAAAAAGTACGGGAAAGGGCTCACTCCAACATCTGATATTGAAAGCTACAATGTCACCCAGCAGCGTGTGACAGAGAGGGCTCTCATTGAATTACTTCTTCCTTGTATAGATCAAAGCTCCGATGACTCACGCAATACCTTTGCGAATGATTTGATCAAGCAGTTGAATAATATTGAGCAACAAATTAGTGCAGTTACTCGTGGGACAAATAAGCAAGCAGGGCCAGCTCCTTCTGGCGTTGAAGGTCCCACAAGCAAAGGAAATAATCGCAAAGGTATAAGGGGTGGGAGTCCTGGTTCAGCTAGACGTGCAGCAGTAGCAGCAGATTCTGCTCCACTATTCCCTGCAGCTTTGCGAGCTTCTATGTCGCTGCGATTGCAGTTACTCTTAAGATTGCTTCCTATCATTTGTGCAGACAGGTAATTCTACAGTTTTTTTGGTTGAAATATTGTACTTATTTTGTTAGCATGAGAATATGCTTGTCTGTCTCCATCACTGCTGATTCGTTTCAACATTATTTTTACATACGCCTGTTTATTTGATTACATATGTATTTGTGTTTTGAGAGTTGAGAGCCAGTTAAGGTGTAATGCATCAATCAGTTAATTTAATTTATTTCTACCATAGTCTCAATCTCTGTCTAACTACCCTAGTTGAACTGTGTACTTAGCATTCTTTTTTTATGCATTATGTCTTTGGTTGTTGTGTAAAGATGTAAACAGATGTGAATTTTGATTATATTGATGCACCGACATATAAGTGGGTGCATCTGGTGGTAAAAAAGGGTGACATTTCTGTAAGGATTATTTTGATCTGAACTATTTAATTTGAAGACTTTCTTTTCATGTTCTAGGAAAGAGATCCTTGAATCTCTATCCGGATCTACGTAAGTTCACTTGTGATGCAATGTCTCTCTTCTTCTTTTTCTTTTTTTTTTTTTTTTTTTTTTTTTTTTTTTAGTCAATACTTTATCCTTCCAAACGGATGGAACTTGGACACATGATCATCACATAAATTTTTTTTCTTCTAAATTTTATTGATTTGTACTGTACCTCCTGAAATCCAACTTATTGTAAAATAAGATATAAAAACTAAAAGGAATATCAACCTGTTGTCTATATAATGAAAAATGAGTAGCATGAAATTTTCTTTCCTCTGCCATTTGTAATTTTATATCACAACAAATTTTTTTGTATATTTTCAGGCACTCCACTGTTGCCACTCTTGGTTATTTTAGCCTAGACAAATACATTCCTTTTTTAAGATACTAAGATTATGCTTCAGAAATACTGGCTTGGGTTTCTGTTACCTTTTCAACATCTGTATGTTGTATGTTTAGTGATATGTGTTGCACATGATAAAAAAATGTTGCAGATGTTCATGGCAAGGTTATTCTGTCATGTTAAAACATTTCAGCAGATCGGCAATTGACTAATTTGAACATATTGGAATTGTCAGGGAGCCATCTGGGCGAAACATGAGGCATGGGCTAGCCTCTGTCGTACTACGTCTTCTAGGAAACAGAGTTGTGAACGAGGATGCGGAGCTATGCGTCAATCTCATGCAGAGTTCTTTTTCCAAGAGGGAGGCAGAGTCTGCAACAGAGGCTGCCTCTGCTGCTTTTGCAGACTTGTCTAGTGAAAGTCTCTTTGATCAGTTACTGTTGGTTCTGCATGTGCTGTTAAGCAGTTGCCAGCCAAGTTGGTTGAGGCCTACTAAGTCAACAAATGAGAGTGGAAAAGATTTTGCTGCATTTGATCGCGAATTGGCAGACTTACAGGTTCGGTTTTTGTAACCTTCATATCATTCGTCCCTACCCTGTCCTAAAAAATAATAATAATAGGAAATAAAAGAAAGGAGGGAAAGCAAAGTCCTAAAGTGCTGCTTTTTTTTGGATGTAATGGTGGTGCTGTGTTATAAGCTATGTAACAAATTCCTTGTAACTATTCTATAACATACCCTGCACTCCAGCAAAATAAAAAAAGCTATGGACCTATAGTCCTAGTTACAAATTGCTACCATCAGTTTCAGTAAGAAATTTATTGTTTGGAAGTCCTCTTCTCACGTTAAAATATTGTGTCAACTGATGTATATTACATTATATGGTACATTCCATGCCATTTTTAGCATGAATGTAGGGTGTGTTGGGATTGCCAACAAAATGAGTTAAACTCAAATACACTTATTGCTGAGTGCTTTTCTCCTTTAATTGTGCCTGATTCAATATTGGTTGAGGTTTTTAATGGAGCCTTCATTGCTAAATTTGGTTACAAATTTCAGTAAAGAGGTAAATGGTTTTCTACTTCTCTTGTGTATGCAGAATGACTTGGATCGCATGCAACTGCCGGAAAGGATTCGCTGGCGTATTCAAACTGCAATGCCTGTAGTTGTCCCCTCTATTCGGTGCTTTGTCTCTTGCCAACCACCACCTGTTCCGAATACTGCTTTGGCAGTTCTTCAAACCAGCATATCGACTCCTGGGTTTTATTCTGGAATCTCAAACCCACCTCAGAGAAATCAGGTTCCTCTGGCACGAACTGTAGCTAACATACCAGGGAAGTCTAAATCATTGCCGACACAGGATTATGATATGGATATTGATCCATGGACGCTGCTGGAAGATGGTGCGGGATCAGGCCCATCTTCAAGTAACAGTGCTTTGATAGGCAGTGCAGACCATGGAAATCTTCGAGCATCTAGCTGGCTTAAAGGGGCTGTAAGGGTGAGACGAAAGGATCTCACATACATTGGTGCTGTAGATGATGACAGCTGAGTTTAAAAGTTAACTTTGTTGTTAATTCCGAGTGAGAACCCCCTCAGCAGGTAACTTCATGTTTACGTTCATTGTGCATAATTGGTATCAGGATCACCCTTGTTGTGCGGGTCCTTTTCTTTGATGACGGAGAAGCTGGTGAGAGGGAATTTTTTTGGGGGGGTGCGTGGGGTATTTTTGGAAGAAATATGAAGATGTTCTCGCGCAATCCGTACAGCCGGTGCTTGTGCCTGATTGACTACTGACCCTTTGATCTCCCCTCATCCAACTGTGCACCTCTGCATGCTGTTCGGAGGTCTGTTGTATATAGAGATATTTTGTTCACTTTACCAATTGATCTGAGTAAGATGTCTCCAGAATGATATGTAGCTGTTTCTTTATAATCAATTTATACTTTCTACTCTCTCTCTCTCTCTCTCTCTCTCTCTCTCTCACACACACACACACACACACACGGATGTGTGCCTGCACAAACTCACACATGCATTTACACGTGTGCGCGTACACACATGCCTACATATTTGCATACATATTTCAATGAGTACATCTTATTTCATACATTGCACTTGTATTAAATTTTTTTTATGAGCACTTTTATTGATTATTATAGACACATATCCATTTATTCGGTTGTGTGTGAAAGTGGTCTGTTTGTAAATGAAAGCACATAACGTTGGCTCTGATTGGTTAAATTTAGTCGCCGGTGAAGGAATGGGGAGCACCACAATGTTAGAAAAGATGGGCAGAAAAACACTACACAACACTGCTGTAGCTTTTTGCCCATGTACTTACTGAACAAATTGGCTTTAGGAACGGCTGAAGGTTTATGGGATCTTTGGTCCATGTCTAATTTGGTCTGATTGAAAAACAAAGTGACTTATAACTTTGCTTGGAGTTCATTTAGTGCGATTCTCCAAATCCACTTCAGTTTTTATCTCTCAAAAAGTCGAAGTGCACAATATGGAGTCGATTTTCAGTTGGTAGTGGATATGCATCAATTTCATTGTTATTAGTATTATTGGATGGATGCTCATGCATTCCAAGGAAACTGGTCTTCAAGGAAAGCGTATGGTCTGTGGGGAGTCGATATTTGTAATTGGTGATTTCCCAATGGCTCTCAATGGAAGTTCAGGGTTGCAATGATACTCTGGTGGTTTTGTATATGCCTATTTTGATATGATCTTTACTGCTTTCGGAGGAACATTACTCTTGCATTTGAATTTGTTAAGGTCGTGAGTATAGAATGTTCTTGTGCGATGCTTCTGCTGATCTTGTGAACAAAATATGTGTGTGCATTTTGCTTGTCGAAATTTTGTCGTCGGCCTGGGAGGAATGGATGTCATGTTTTGCTTAGCGTCTTTGACTTGCAGAGCAATGATCCAATGCTTGCGGATCCCTTCAGTTACTGTTAATATTTGGTGCATCTCAATGCAATGTATTTACTTAGAGGAAAAAACAAACCAGGGGGGTCGCATTGCAACCACTACATTTGAGATTTTAATGTAACTGGAATTATCCTGTCGTTAACAATCTCTGAATTCTCCTGAATTCCCATGATAATAAACGCATTGATCATAACCATTGGTCATTTGATTTAATTATAAAGACTATCTAGACAAGGGTTAAAACTTTCTAGCCTTAACATCCAAGTTCACTATTGGCAACAGTGGAAACTCATGGAACAAACTATTGTGTTGAGAAGATATGGGAAAGTCGTCATTAAATATTAGTTAAGGACTTCTAATCTCAGTTATTGGGTCGTATGTGTGGTATATGTCAAAAAATATTTAACCCATCAACGTATCTAATCTTAGAAGTCCTTAACACAAATACGTATTAGAAAAGCTACCAAGGATGAAATGTAGTAGAATTCTATAGTGACGGCTTTATCTAATTTGAGGATTTAATGAAGAAATGTAAGCAAGGGTCATTTTGCAAATATTGGGGATGGTTACCCAACATTCTGACGGGGCTGGGGGAACTTGGGATGGGCTTGTTTTTTGTGGTTTCATTCAAGCTTCATTAATTTGAGGATTTAATTTAAGATCTGAATATAAATTCTGGAACACTAAAATTGAGTGATGCTAAATGAACCCTAAAATTAATTGAGTACGCCATACTACCAAACTATTTATTCAATTATTAATTTACCCTAATATAAAATGACCAAAAAGAATATATTAAATTGTGAAACAAATACAAGTTTAATAAGTACACCATACTCACCATATTTAGCCCTAATCAAACTTAGAGAAGTTTTTGTATTGATTGGTTCCAATAAAGGATTTGTGTTTTAGTACAAGGATCTTGTTTCAAATACCACCCAAAGATCTATATAGATTTTCTCATTGAATTCCGTCGTTCAAGATGATTGATGATGAATGAGATGGTGTTCCGAAAGAATCCTTTGAGTTTGACCCCGCTTCTTTGCCCACCAATCTTGATGAAAATCATTGATTTGAAAAAGAATAACAGAGCCATGAATATTGAACTAATGGTTTTTCCCGTGAGTTAAAGTGAAGGCAAACCTATAATGGGTATGGGAGAGTATGCACAGCTGAGAAATAGGAGAAATATGAAAGAGAAACTTCAATGCACAGATCTCCAAGAAAGGCAAATAGCAACATAGATAAAAATAAAAAATAAAAAATCTTATTTATTGTCTTATTGGAAATTAAAATTATGCACACTTTGATTTCCTTATAAACTCAGTTTGTTTCTTGTGTGCATGTGCACTAAAACACCTTTGAAAAGAGAAGTAAGATGAAGAAGTTTTGAATTGAAGGAGTTAGCAAATCTACTCCCATTGTAGCTCATGAAATTAAAAAATTTGATGCAAACCCAAAATCTGAAAAGAGGGAACGAATTCATGTAAAAAGAGAAACCTGATTTAGGATTAGAATTAGGGTGTTGTGTGATAGATTGTATTAGGGTGTATCAATGGTATACTTAGTTAATTTTACATTTTAATTAAAATATTATGGTGTACTTAGATCATAGGGTGTACTCATTTAATTTTAGGGTTCGTTTAGCAGCACTCTTAAAATTTTCTGATTTGTTTTACTAGGAGCTAAATGTACAACTAACAAATTAGCTTCATACAAGTAAACAAGCAGCCAAAGTAAAAATGTCTCAAAAATGTTGAACGAAAATGCTGGAGAAGAAAGCTTGAACTTAGTTGCAGTCTCTAATTATTTGCCTTGGTTTCTCACAGATCTTTCGACACAAATTACATCTTCATCCAAGCAACAATGTTGAATGCCAAACTTTCCAACACCCTTGAGTAGCTCTCCAGTACTGCTTGCCCCACATCCTGCAAAAAATAACCATAAAAAACGCTTTCTTCAGATCTACTCTGACACTTTGTTTGATCAACTTTAGACGAAATGTAAATGCCGATATTATTTTTTATTTTTTGAGGTTTCTATTAGTTACTCTATGATATGCTAGAGCCATTAAATTTAATTTCCAACTGATGCGGTAGTGTTTCATTTCTTCAAATTCAAGTCACGACCACGAAATGTGCTTACCCTATTGTATTGGATCTTGCATGTGTCCAAGGATGTCTGAGAGAGCTCAGGATATCTCTGCTTCAAGCAGAACAACAAACACTCGGCTCTCTCTGCCAAAATATGGTTTTTGTCGCTCCTGTCTGTTTCCGACATTAGATCCTTCACCATGACCCATGAAGATTTGAATTGCTCATGCATGCTTTACGTCTCCATGTGTACATTGAAGCTTCAACCCTGTCTGCAAGCTCAAGTGCTTCATGTTCAGTTGCTAGATTGAGGCAGTCGAGAAGATGTTCTGGGGAGAACTTGCCTGTGGTGCACATGTAGCGGTAAATGGAATCCCCCAGACACGATTTTCCACTCTGCACACCCAATTGTTTTGTAAAAACACCAAGTTGGATGCAAAAAACTTCTATCACCATACCAAACCAAAAAGATAAAACTACTAAAATTTTTTTTTTTTTTTTTTTTAAACAAACCAAACCAAGTTAGATAAAAGTACTTTTCTGCATTAATTTTAGCCTAGGACACAATGTTTAGCCTAAAGTTGAATCTCAACTCCAAGGAAAAAGGTCTATTGTTCGTTTCAACCCCCGAAATTTCGGGGTCGGCCTTGGATCTAAGAAGGCTAAGGATTTAAGAAGCGTAACAAAATTCATGTTGGTTGGTTGAAGACTACCTTGGGAAGAGTTGACATGTATGAGTCTGGAATTTCCATCTCAGCAAGAATGCTGCTATTGATTGCCATGGCTGCTTTGTGGATTTGATTAGAAGAGTCACGTTTGTGTTTCAAATGCTTCCTTGACTTCTCAGAGAGGCCACCTGGAGGAACACATGGAATTGGCAACCACCATTTCTCCTCATTCCGCTGAACAATAACCCTTCGGAACGATCCTGAACCTGAACGTTTTGAGTTTGACGACATGCTCCCTTCTTCTGCATACCAGAATTCTGTATCTTGGAAACTATCAAGTACTTCCTGCCAAAAGAAAAAACAAATTCATAACTTGTTTAGGCCTTGATTGAAACAGAATTGCTTTGTTTCAAGACAAGAAACTTAGCACATTAAACTGGGCTTACAATAAGCATTGCATCAAGCTTTTGCAAAGCTGGAAGGTTGATATAGAGATCAGATCTCGGTCTGCTTGTCATCAACTGAAAGAACAACACGCAAAATGTCAAAAACAGACCCCGGTAGCAGAAACTAATTGAGCTTTTTGTCATGGATTTTTGACAGTCACCTCCATTTCTGTCCCATCTTGCAAATTTTGGGATATGGGATGAGTTCTACCATGTAATCACAAACTGATAACAGGCAATTCATTTCCCTCTTCCACATTGCTTTCTTCTCAGGGTTCAAGGGCTCTAGCCTCAAATTTTGCCCAAACACAGTGGCTGCAGAAGAAAATCCCAACAAAATGACTCATTGATATTGAAATAAAAAACAACAAATTGATCTCTAAACAATCTTAAAAATTTCAGAAAAATATAATTACCATAGAGGTTGGTTATCGAATTTGAGATCGTAACCGCGGTGCACACCCCTTTCCCACTTCCTGACATGTCCTCACCCAACAAGAGTTTTGCAAATCGTTCTTTCATCATCTCAAGCTCTGCCAACATTCATATCAAAGTTATTTGGCCAATTCATACTGCTTTTAAATTGTTTCTTGATGAGGCAAAGAGATTGTTGAGAAACAAAACTATTGAAACCCACCTGCATCTACTGCTTCATGATCTTCAAGCTTATCATCTGTGGCATTCTTGTTGTGCTGCTTCATTCCTAGTCTGGTAAGAGCAACCTGGTTATGAAATCTGGTTTTCACGTTTGGGCAGAACCAAGGGGATGCTTCACCAGAGTAGCTGCTGTCATCTACAGACTCAGAGAAAGCTGAGGTCTCTGAATTTGTCCGGCGGTACATAAAGGAATCACCACTTGTTGAAGTTTCTGCCAGTGAGTGATCATTCTGATCCAATGAAGAAGGTGAAGGATGATATCCCAGATCATAGCTTTCATCAGAATTTGATAAATTGTCCATTGGAGCCTTCAAAACTTGTGTTCTAAATTCTAATTGCTCAAAACCCTGCACGTAGTCAACCATTTAAGTGTTACCAACTGGGATACTTGGGTCAATGGTTGAACTCAAATCCAAAAAAAAGACCCGGGAATTGGGTTTATATTCTACAATCTAGAATCTTAGATTTAGAAGACAAATGAACAAAAAAGGAAGAAAAAAGCATTAATCTTCTTCTTCTTTGAAACAAAAAGCAAAAGAGGTTTATGATAGGTTGTTTTCATCAGCAGGCTAAAATAATTGACTGTATGCAGCTAAAATTTAAAGCAAAAAAGTAAGGTTGGAAAATATTTCTTGGGGTGAAAGGCAAACCAACAGAAATTTGAAATTTTAAAGGGAAACGGTTAATAGAAAGCAACGGTATATTGAACAGTCTTTATGTTACCTTTAAAGAGCATAGATTTTGAATTTGAACTATTGAAGGTGGCAGAAGAAGACCGTTTGAAACAGTTCCCTCCTAAGCAAATGCCTTTGCTTTTGATCGCCAAACACTTTTCTTCTTTCTAAAAGAAAAGTTTTCCCAGAAATTAAGTACTCACATCACCATGATCATGGAAAATGAACATTTTCAGCCGTCTGATCGTCCCGTGCTAGAGTTACGAAATTAAACAGCACAAACAAACCCAGAAGCAAAAATGGCTGAATTTTTTGACTAAGAGAAAAAAATGGTTTGGTGCTTGAAAAATTATACCAGACATGTAGACTGCATCTTAGTTGGACTTGAACATGTATATATATGGTAATGGTTCTGCAGGGTGTATTATATGATTCTATTATATATAGTTTAAGATAAAAATAATTGGGCAACGGCTTTGGATATTAAATTATAAATTGTAACTACAAAAAAGAAAGATAAATTGCCCTCAGTTATCTCCATCACCTAAGTTAACTCCGTTAAATCTCTATCAAGCCTCGATTACCTCCACCAACCTTAAAAGCATCTGTTGTGCCCTAATTGCCTCCATCGGCCTTGTTTTAAGTCGTTTGATTATTATTTTTGCGTATTCTTATTCTTAAGTGACATGTTCGGTGCTTGGCGCCCTAAGAAATACAAATTGATTTAGTCTTCACACCTCTAAATTAACAATTTTCATCAAATTAATACTCATTCATTCCCCCGAGTTGGTAGGCTAATTTTGAGAGGAAGGTGAAAATTCCGTTGCTACTATCTCGTTGGACCGAAAAAGAAATAAATTAAAAATGAGTAGAACGTGGGGATCTCAGTTGCATGTTTGTGAATTTAATATGAAATATTAGTTAGTCTGGTCGGAGGTTAGATTGGAAAGCATGTGTCAACTTATACATTAATCCCATGAGAAAAATAAATCTCTTCCTAACTCTGTATTATTGGTGAAAATTAAATAATAATAAAAAGACTTGAAAGTATTTAAAGCAAAATTCAGCTTCTGATAGCTTTGAAAGACGTGCGTCCCATTTGTCACTTAGCTTCTTATAACTTGGTCATCATGGTTCGTGCTTAGATGGGTGATAAGGTTGACATCGAATAATTATTAAGAATTTTCTATAATTATATTTAAGGTCAAACGTTTTTTTCCCCCTATAATTATCAATGCATGAACCTCACTATATGCTATAAAGCCATTATCTTATACTATTTTGTAAAGAAAAAACGAGTAGCCAATGAGATCTAACTCGGTAGAAAAGGGTTTTCTTAATTTTCAGAATAGATGTTTCAAGTTTGAACCCATATGACAACTTGGTTTTGTGCGTGTGAGAAACCCTCTCTCATGTAGTTTAGATTGTCGCTTATACTAAAAAACAAGACATAAATCTAATGAAATTAAAATGTGTCATTATAGAATGTAACACCAACACCCAACCCCGCACCCAAAAAAGAAAATTAAGGTGCAATGCAATCAAAATGTTCCAAGTTGACCTTCTCTGACCCAAAAATAAAAATAAAATACATAATGCGCCTTCTAGGTCGTAATATAGCCATGATTAAGACCTTATGATCCTCTACTTATGCTTGTGCTTATTTTAGAATCCGTTTTATGACAAAACAAGAATCTCCACCATAAAATTCTCCATAGGTTGGCAATGCTCCTACGGATTGATCCTCTTGGTTAGTTTTGTCCTCTGCCAAGAATTCCCTTGTCTCTATCACATGCGCTTCTTTCTGCATAGCACAATCATCATGCCATATATTTAGCATTATATATATATATATAGACAAATTATATATTAATAGGAACTATACACCCATATTTAGATATTAAACTCTCGAACTCACACTCTAACAGTATGTTTAAGAGGGGAAAGAAGTGCGATATTAAGTGTGGGAAATGTTATCTTTTTAGACAGTCTAACATGTTATATTGTTAAATTGTGAATCAGAATCGTTGATTGTAATGTCCGGTTCGAATATGAGATCTATCAATTTATGGATAACATAATATGCTAGATATTTTATAGTAAGAGAACATGACCCTATAACATCTTACATTTGTGATAAATCGAAACCCAATCTTTATCTCTCCTTTATAGGTGTCATCTTCAAGCACCACATTGTACGGAGCTGGTTTTAATTCAATGAATCCTCTGTCCTTCCCCTCAGTAATTATTCCACCAAGATGAACTCTGCATAACAGAACCAAAAGCACATTCCTTCAAGGCTAATTATTATTAGGAAAAATAAAATATTAATAATTAGCAGAATATGATATCTATATGAATACGATAAAAAATAAAATTATATAAAAAAATCCAAAAAAACTCCAAAAAAAAAAAAAAAAAAAAAAAAAAAAAAAAAAAAAAAACAAAAAAAAAAAAAAAGACAAAAAATAAATAAAAAAATAGTTTCACAACAAATCCAGCACTGTGAACACCCACTCGTGTGTCAACCAGTAGTTCTGATATTTGAGATTGAGTTAAGTTTTTTCCAATCTGACAATGGAAATTCATACGTGAATTTTTCATTCCAGCTAATTTTGTCATCTTCACCTGCATCACACAACCCACTTAGGTAGCACTAGGCTAACATAAGAATGATCTGCATAGCATGTCTGAATAAACTGGGAGTTCAAATCAGAGAAGGAACCAAGTAAACATACTTGATGATTCTTTGCTTCTATATTCTCGAGTACCACACTCTACGATCACGTAGTAGGATGCTCTACCTATACAGTAATTGAGTGCAATTTTTAGGATCTTTTAAATAATAATTGAGATATACTGCTGTATGATAAGTCTCAATAAAGTAGAATTGTATGAAAAAAATTGTTCTCTTAGCCGAGAGGATCTATATCTCCTTGAGTTGCGTCTACATACCTCGCTACATGACCTAGTCACGTGCGAGTGTAGACTCAAAGGGATATATATTATGCACACTCACAGTCGTAGGTAAGATTTCTGTGCAACCAATTTTACTAGGAGTAGGCTTACCAAGAAGATTTGTGTGCCTAATGCCTTCAGCATCTACAAGAAGTACTTCAAGGGTTCCTCCTGTCATGTATGTTTGCATGTGGGCATGCACTCATTTGAAGGGAACGGTCAAATATATTTATGCTAAAATACAACGACAGGTAACTCACAAATTAACTGGGCGTTTTAAGGTGTATTATATTAGAGGGTGTTTTATTTTAATGAGTTACTAGCTTCTCGCTTGCAATGGATTTTTTATTAATCACGCATGATACACGCGATTTTATGAATTATTATTTTTTCGTAATTGTATTTAATAAATGCCCGTCTCAAAAGTTTATTTTTTTAGATTGGGCACAGCGCATGTGATTAATAAAAGGTCTTTTCACTCGCATGAGAGGCTAGTCTAATGAATTTTAGGAGTTAAGGCAATCATATTCAATTAATTTTAGGAGTTTTAAGTTTCAACAATTGATGAAAACAGAAGCAAATATGGAATTGGCAAAAGAGACTATAACGACAGGCAATTCACTAATTAAATGGGCGTTTTAAGGTGTAATTAGAGAGAATTTTGTTTTAATGAGTTATAGACGTTCATGTCAGGTCTTCAACAAACAATAAACGCATGTCGTTTTCACAAAGACATGTAAAGTTGCAAGTAGGGGTGTAAGGCCCTATCAAGTCTTATGGGCTTTGCCCGACTTGAGCTCATTACAGGCCTGAGCCCAACACAGCCCATCAAAAATTTCTTTCTTCCTTTTCCTTTTTTTTTTGAAAGAAAGAAAAAAAAAAAAAAGCTAGCAAACACTTCTTCATTTTAATTATGAGCAAAAAAAATCAAAAACATTGTGGCCTCCTAGTGGGATTTGCATATTTGGTGTAAGTTAAAGGTGTGTGTTAAAACAAGGTCTATACATTGAACACTTCTTTGACAATGAAATGTGATGATGGTGTAGTTTCCAAATTGGAAAAAAAGAAAAATAAAAGACAAACGCACTATCTATCTAGTACCTAAAAGTGTCTTACTTTGTGCAGATTGTTTATTGTATATTGTCTAAAGCTCATCATGGTTTCATGGAAGAAAACTGGTCCAAAAGATATTGGCAATGTTAGCTGGTAATCATTCTAGTTTATCCTTGCTTTTATTGGTGCAAAAGATATTGGCAATGAGAAGTAAAACAAAGATATTGAGAGATTGGCAATGATATGGAGATTTACTTGGCAATGAATTGATATGGAGAGAATAACGGCACCTGGTAAACATTGTGGCCTCTTTGCTTTTTTTGTTGTTGTTGGATTGATATGGAGAGAATCACGCATAACTCAAAAGATGACTAAAACCCCAATTCAACAAAGAGAAGAAAATCTAATCAAACCTGCAATATAGATTGGCCATGCGACCACAGATCCATATCAAAAGCCAAAAACTAAAAGGGATAAAATATCCTAAAGAGAAAACAAAGCACAATAAACTCCTAAAAAGTTTTTGAAAATTATTAAACGAAAATAAACTAAGTAGGACCACAGCTCCATATCCTCCTAGGCAACCCGAAGAGAGTCATAGCGTCATATCGACTAAATCCATAGTGCCATGCCGGCTAAATTCAAACCCGATATCTTCTGCGCTTTGCAGCTCCAAACCTAGGTCGAAGGCTGATAATTGGAGCCAAATCCTTATGTACATGGGCCCAAAGATCTTAGGTGTAAAAGTGACGACTTTTAACCACTGAAACTACAAGTCGCTTGCTCCAAAATAATTTTTAAACTAATCACTAATTACTAGCCATCATGGGGTTGCTTTCGCTTGCACAAATCACTGGAAGGGAACCAAGGGACGATATATATGTGGCATGCCTTTTTGCGGCTTTTCCTCTGTGGAAAGCTATAGTGGCAAACATGCCATAATACTTTATGAACATAAATGTTTCACATGACATGATTTCCATTATTCTTCTAAAACCCAGAGGAGGTTTCACATGAGGTTCTACTTCTACACTTCTGCATATGCTTGCTGGTCAAAAACGTTTTCCAGGAATATATATATATATATATATATATATATATATATATAAAGGATTTTTAAGAAAACCCCAGAATCCATGCATAACATGCTATACAGAATTTAAGAAAGTCCATATGCATGACCTGGATACCTACCTACAGCCTGTCTTGGCTCCAAGTAACTGCAAATTCAATTATTTAATCAGCTTCCTTCAATTGACTTATTTATGATTGCTTCACATAAAAACAAGAATTCATACTTTAATTGCAAGTCTTTATAGTCAAACATGTTATATGGTTGATTTTTGCTCATGATTTATAACTAAAGTTTGATACATTGTTCCCAACAGAGTCTAGCCCAGTGAAAAAGGGCATTGATTTGCATACCAGTGGTCTCATGTTCGAACCCCCATGACACCTTGGTAGTGAGTGTATAAAAAACTTCCCTCCCTTTTATAGTTTAAACTATCGATTGTATTAAAAAAAAGTTTGATACATTGCTTTAATTAAAAATGGTTTTAATTAGCTGATAAAACAACTAAATTCCCATTTTCCTATGCTCTTATACAACCAATGTCTTAACATTGTACACCTTTTTATCTGCAGTGTGCAGAGGCTAAACCCCATTTAATTAATTAAACTTAACCAGCTATCTATTTAACAGCCCAACCCATGTGGACAAAGTAAACCTTTTTACCTACATTCTAGGCTCTAGCTAGACTCTAGAGGCAATGTCAGAAATACCTCAAACTTCTGTTAAACTTCCCATGCTAGACATTTCTCAGCCAATATTGCACCCTTCTTCTTTATCCTCTCTAGCTGAAGCCTTCAAAACATGGGGCTTCTTGCACATCACCAATCATGGGATCTCCAAAGATCTTTTCAGAAAACTATATTCACTTTCAAATGGCCTCTTCAGCCTCCCTTCTGATACCAAACTCAAACTTGGTCCTTTCTCTTCTGCAAAAACTTATACTCCTCATTTCATAGCCTCTCCGTTCTTTGAAAGCCTCAGAGTTTCTGGCCCAAAGTTCTTTGAGTCTGCTCAAACTTCTGCCAATGTTCTCTTTGACCAACACAACTCTGAATTCAGGTACTATATATATAGATAATTGTATATATACATACTGTCATCCTCATAAATATGATATATATATATATATGCTTCTGTTATCTTATGTCTTTATCTTCATATTAATTTCTTGAGGTTTGGAAAGGGCCTTGTAGCTCAAGCTATTAAGAATATTCACCCTTACTTCCGAGGCCCTCTGTTCAATTTCCCCTACCCCCACTGTTGCTTGTATCACAATAAATTACTTTAGGTTATAATTAATTTGCTATTTCTGATCATCTGTTTCTTTCTAATAGTGAGATATTACAAGAATATGGGAGCAAGATGACAGAATTATCGAAGAAAATCGTGAAGATCGCACTGATGAGCTTGGGGGATGGTTTGGTAAAGAAATTTATGAATCTGAATTCCAAAATTGTCATGGTTACTTGAGAATAAATAACTACTCAGCTCCAGAAAGCTTGGAAGATCATGAAGATGAGGTTGAAGGACTCGGAATGCACACAGACATGAGCTGTGTAACAATTGTGTACCAAGACGAAATCGGAGGGCTTCAAGTGAGATCAAAGGAGGGTAAGTGGATGGACATAAGCCCATGTGAGGGGACCTTGGTGGTGAACATAGGGGATATGTTTCAAGCCTGGAGCAATGAGAAGTTAAGGTCATCAGAACATAGAGTCATTCTAAAGCAGCCGGTGAACCGCTTTTCTCTGGCCTACTTTTGGTGTTTTGAAGATGAGAAGGTGATATTTGCACCAGATGATGTGGTGGGGAAGAGAATGTGAGGATTTACAAGCCATTTGTTTGCTTGGACTATTTGAAATTCAGAGAGAGCAATGAGAGAGGGAAGTTTGAAAAGGTTGGGTTTACTGTAAGGGATTTTGCTGGATTAAACAGCAAGCCAAATGTGACAGTTGAAAAAACAAAAGCAAAAATTGAAGCTCCTCTTGTAATTAAAGTAATTAATGTTAGGCATTGTATTAAGTAATAATCTGGCTTTAAAATTGTAATGTTTGTGCTAAATTTGTTTGTGCCAGTGTGCTTGCGTGTTTTGACCAAAAAAAAAAAGAAAAAAAAGTGTGCTTGCGTGAGATGCAGAGAAGAAATTGGTAGGAGTTAGTTGAGTTTGAGGACCTTGACTTGTTGGTACTTGACTTATTTGCATTATCATTATACAATCCTTGAATTGGTGTTCTTATGGAATTTCTACTATGTTCTTCTTCTTTTTTCTTTTTTTATTATTTAATTTTTATAATTATCATGATTGTGCTAAGATTAATGGTCCTTATTACATGTAAATTTTCGTAGGGTATCACTATTTGGACCACATTTACTTGCTGACCACTTCTCTAATATAAGTGGGTTCCGAATACACTGGTGAGGCCCACCTCTATTATAGAGGGGGTCATCAATATGGTACAGATAACATTAGTCTCAATACAATTATTCATTGGAAGTTTCATTCTTCTAAAATGATAAAATGTATTTTCATGTAGAGGCAACTCATCCATTCTATTTGTTTGATCATATGAAATAAGCTTACTTCACTTAATTTGCATTCCTATAACTCGAAGTGGGAAGATTAATTGGGATCTAAGAGATCAAAGGTGGTGGTGGGTTTCTTCTGCCTACCACTTTTTTGTTTCTTGAAGAATTAATGTAAAGATTATTAAATTTGTGAGAACACATGAAGATGGCACTTGTCAACTTGGCATTATTTTTGCAACCATTGAACTGTAAGCAATGCATTAAAATGTCCTCGTTTTGTGCGGTGCTAATTAGGCCACAAAGCTTACTTAAGAAACCTAATTATTGATTAATGAATCAAATTATCTTCAATCCTCTGCTGCCTGCTGTGATAAAAGAGGATCTCTGGGTAACTGGGTTGGCATGTTTATTTGATGAAGTGTTTAATTGAGGGTCATTTTACAGTGGTTTTTCCAGCTTCTACTGTCAGGATTTTTACCTGGCAGTAATATAAAAGAGACAAAATTACTACTTTATTGAACTCGCAATCTAACTCTAGCTGATACTAGATAAATTACAATGGATGTTCCATTTCTTCATCACATGACAAAAGTCACCAATGGTGAAGCTATTATCTAGTGATAAACAGTAGAGAAGGGATGCACGTTATCAAACTGCTCCAGTTACTGCTACAAATTTTAACTTCAAGTAGCTACATTACTCTTCCTGCCTATAGAAATCCTACAAATACAAGTTTATTAGCTTGCCGGCTTCTCAACACTTACCGGCAATTTTCCAAAGCGCCTGTTTTATCATCCCAACTGGTGCAACCGCTGCTCCTCGAAACTGAAACCAATCGATAGTGAGAACAGTTAATTCAGCATCAGGGTGTTTGAATATGAAAATAATTCACAGAAAAAATTAAAATGAATGGCGGATTTTATCTTAGTTCACCGCAATGTTCCAGAACCGGTTAGAATTATGGATAAAACAAGGAAAGATGCTAAGATGGTCTCTTTAGATAAGTCAGAAGACTTGGAAATACAAACCTTTGATGTAAGGCTCAATGTGAGAACACCATCAAGGGTGGATGATTGGACTGAGTGAGCATCTAAGTACAGATTGTTAATGGCATCCATTATATCAAGCAAGATATATCCCTATAAGGGCATCTCATCTCTATCAGAACCTCCTGCTCTTTTAAAATGACTTTCACATCTAGTGGCAAGCTTTCTCTGGGAACAAGCCTATTGAGATCCGGATCAGTTTCGTCAATGTCACAGGCCTTTCTCTTGTTTAACCAAGGCATTTTAACAGTATCCATCTTTATTTTATCATAGTTATCTGATGTCTTCTCTGCCCTGTCCAGGTATTTCCTTCTAGCTATCGCTTCCACGGTGTCCATGCAGGATTCCATCTCTTCTGCTCTTGCCTCAAGCTCTTTCAAGTACTTAATTGTGTCATCCAGGACCGATGCTTTATCAACCTGAAAAATTTTGGACTGGTTTTTCAGTCATGGGAACTCATGAAAAAAGTGAAAACTTCAGAAAATTATGTGAAATTAAAATAGTTGCAAAGCCAGTATACTAATGCAGCAGTAGAACTTCAGTGCAGAGTCGTTTTCATATGAAAAGTTGTTGAAAGGGAAAAAAAAATAACTAGATCAAGACTGCATGCTTTAGCAGTTTGCTATATTTACAGGACTACTACAAAATAGTACAGAACATAAAATTTCTTTCAAATAAAATGTAAATATGATTTCCAACACAAGGCATCTGAAATTACCTCACTGATAGAAGGAACCATTGACCTCAGGACCAGCAATTTTTCATTCTCTTTCAGTTTATCAGGCATAACATGTCCCTTGTGAATATCATCACTTCGCAACTTCAAGAGCCCATCTTGTATAGTATTTTGGGAGCTCGCACCACACATCAAAGGAACTGTAAACAAAATCTCTTTAGTATTTTCTGATGTACTGTTGGCCTACAATTATCAACGACTCCTTTCTTCCATGTCATTTTTTTTTTTTTTTTTTTTTTTTTTTTTTTTTTTTTTTTTTTTTTTTTTTTTTTTTTTTTTTTTTTTTTTTTTTTTTTTTTTTTTTTTTTTTTTTTTTTTTTTTTTTTTTTTTTTTTTTTTTTTTTTTTTTTTTTTTTTTTTTTTTTTTTTTTTTTTTTTTTTTTTTTTTTTTTTTTTTTTTTTTTTTTTTTTTTTTTTTTTTTTTTTTTTTTTTTTTTTTTTTTTTTTTTTTTTTTTTTTTTTTTTTTTTTTTTTTTTTTTTTTTTTTTTTTTTTTTTTTTTTTTTTTTTTTTTTTTTTTTTTTTTTTTTTTTTTTTTTTTTTTTTTTTTTTTTTTTTTTTTTTTTTTTTTTTTTTTTTTTTTTTTTTTTTTTTTTTTTTTTTTTTTATTAAACTAGAGATTTCTTGCCAACAACCCATGATTATTCTGTCACCAACCAAACATGGCTCTCAAACCAGCCTTGGGGCTTTCAGTTTTTCAGTGGAGTGGCTTACCAGAGTGTTTGGGAGCCCAACAGAAAACCAGAAGACTGAAAATTAAGCTCTGAAAAAAGTTTATCTTGGTTTTGACTTTACAAAGACATCTATGACTTTCTTGAGGTGGAAAAGTAGAGACTCAATGCAATGGGACGTACACAGCGTTCGAGTTCTGTCTTTTAAGCTTGAATTATACAAGAATCTTTTTTTTTTTTTTAAAAAAGTTAGAAACAACGTGGTAGTTCTTCTGGGATTCTCTTCTCTCTTACTTCATTGAAACAAAAAAGAGTAATTTACATAATTACAAACTAATGTTGAACAGTAACGTCACTTTATGTGGTGTTGCCACGTGCTGTTACCAATTAACTTACGCAAACCAAATGTAATTTACATTTTAAAGAGAGCATGATGATTTTCTTGTAGTACAACAATATCAATTATAACACTTGTTGAGTGTAACATGTTAGTATTAATGAATGTACCCGGAAGTAGAATTTGATTAGATTTGTAACATCACGCGTGATGTAACGTCTCACCTAATAACCAATAACTTTTCTTAAGAGTATCTGCTCTCTTGATAAGTTTGAATTTTCTTATTCAATGTTGAAAGAGATCTAAAGAAGGTTGAATCTACACAAACGTGGGTTAGGTTAGTTAGTCACTACAGTGAGCCCGTACGTATTAATAAAATAATCGAATCTCTTACTCCCATCAATTAAAAAGAAAAAGAAAAAGGAATTTTTGGATATGCATGTGAATTAAACTATACAAGAAAGCTGGAGCGAAGCCAAGGACAAGATGGAGTTACTGCTTTCGGACCATACGCATCAATGATGAATGGGCATCTGATTTTGACTGTTGCCAACTTGAACCGATACACGTGATCAAATTTATATCCACTGAATTTCATGTCAGTCAAATTTATTACTAATTACTAATTACAATTATTCCGACCAGCGTGCTGCTGCTGTTTCCATGCGTACTTCATACTTTGTCACCCCAAATAAATTTTTTTTTTTTTTTTTTTTTTGTTGGACCCAAATAAACTAAGCTTGGTAAATTTTAATTGATAAGATTTTTATGCTTTTATTTTGGAAACTGTTTCACAAAAATTTACTTAAAAGGTATTTGAGAACCTATTTTTTTGTTTTGATTTTTCACTAATCTCTATAAATAATTTTGAGTCTTTTTACTAATTAAATTTTATTCTAGTTACATTTCTATTTCTATGTCAAAATTCTCTAAATACGAATATCCTGTCCTCATTTGATCAAAAGAAGAAAAAAAACTTCTGTAATTTTAAACTTTCTCAAACATTATATATATATATATATTGTTTTTTAATCACAATTGGTCCCTGAGGTTTACAAAATTATCATTTTTTGTCCTTAATATTTTTTTGTGACACTAATGGTCCTTAAGGTTATCCTCCATATATCAAAATGGTCCATACCATTAGCTTCCGTCAAATTTTTTTGTTAAATTACTAACGTGGCTCATGTGTGGAACCCACACATCCAATCAAGGACGGATCCAAGAATTTTCCTTGCAAGGGTCAACGTTTAAAAAGAATTTTTCCTGAAAGATCAGTTTGTGTAAATGTGTGATCTTTAGGTTGACATGGACCCTTTTGTAGATATGCTCGTCTAAGTTTGTCTCAATGTTAGGATCACAATCCAACATTGAGGTCGAAGTCTACGGTATGTAGGAAGATTAGCCAAGACATCTTGCAACTCGCTTTCTTTCGAACTACCCATAACATCTCTTGAACTCGAACTACCCACATTATCTGAACTAGAAGTAGTTGATGAGAACTTTCTCTTAAAATATCGTTCCATAAACTGTATTGGTAGAATATCAATAAAACATGAACAACCAATGCAATCCAACAATTGAATGGACAAAAATTAAGCCAATTTGCCAAGAAGATACAAGCATACAAACTAACAAATACAATCTATTAAAAAATCCCTAATTTATTCAAACTAACCAAAATAAAATCCCAACAACTAATACAACAAAAATATATAAGAATCTTCGTTAATTAACAAACACAAAAACTAATCCAATTTACCAAGATATAATCTAAGCATATACAACCTAATAAAAACCCTAATTTATTAATACTAACTAACCAAAATAAAAACCCAACAAAAAAAAAATTAATCAAGAGAAACAAAAACATATAAGAATATTTACTAATTAATTAATTAAAGCATAAAAAGATTAGAAATTAGCATAACATACTTTCAAATTTAGGGACAATATCCATCTTTGAAATCAAATCGAATTTGAGAATGACTTTTTAATTTTGCTGTTGCTGCCACCATTATGAGGATGTCACCACCGCCGGATTAGGTGAAGGTTGGTTAATAGGATTTGGGGATTTAGGGTTTGACATATGAAGAAATTAGCTAAAACTCATTTGGGGGAGGGGAGGAAGTTTGCTGCTCTGCTCTTGTGCCTCTGTTAAAACAGAGGATGAAAAATACCAATTGAAGCGGAGGGTTTCTTCAAACAACAAGGAGTGGGTCAACCATTCAATCAACGAGTCCATAAGAAGTGATCCCATTTTTTTCATCGGGTCAAGGTAGAGACCAAAGGTCTTGAGCGACCAATCCGGCAGAACAACTCAAAAGATAAAGAAGTATCGTTAATTTTATTTTATTTTTAATATGAGCCCAAAACAATGTTGTTTTGCCTAGTTATTTATTTATTTATTATTTTTTTTAAAAAGTTTTAGTGGGACGACGTGTTTTGACGTTGACAAAAAAAGAAAAGAAGAAGTGTTGGGTAGAAAACAGAAAAGCACTTTCATCAAGCAGTTTGCGGGGGTCAATTTTCTCCCATCTAATGGCAAATTCCAGAGTTGTAGGGGTCACTTGACCACCTTTGCTCCTCTGTAAATACATCTTGCATCCAATGGTATAGAGCCATGTGGTTTTAAATAAATATAATATATTTTAACAGAATAATGACGAAAGCTAACAACAGACACCATTTTGATGTGTGGAAGCTAACTTTAAGGACCATTAATGTAACAAAAAACGTTAGAGACGAAAGGTGATAATTTCGCAAATTTCAAAGACCATTGTGATAAAAAGTTTATTTTTTATTATTGAATTTGAATAGCCTATCTAGATCATCAGCTTTTAAAAACACAATCCGACAGTTGGTCATTAATAATGATAATGAGAGCCGTCACAGCATGTGGTCCTTGATTTTGAAATTATGAATCAACAAAAGTTGGTAAATATTTCCCCCTATTGGTACATAAAGTAGGTGGAAATCTTCAAATATACTACGGCTCTAGCATTTTTGAAGCAATAAATAAAGGTAATCATCGAGTTTTGTAGAGTAGAGATAAAAAAAAATTTAAAAAAACAAAAACAAAACAAACAAACAAACAAAGAGATATATGTTGAAATATGAAATCTGTCCATGCATGCAAAAAGTTTTTGCTGAAATCATGCAAGGATAACATGGTTGCATCAGTGAAATTGTAAAATGATTAACAAATTTCATGCGTGTAAATTACTAATGAAACTACGCAGTAGTAGGTACATGAATTTGGATTTTGTTGATCATTGTTTTACCATATTCAGCAGACTAGCCAAATGTACTTTTATAACATATTTGACTGAAATTACTTCAGAAAAATCACTCCAACAAACTAGCTATCTACAAGTTTATTTTTAATCTTGTCAACAGTTGATAGCCAGATGTGGTTTGCTAGGAGTGAGAAAATAACCTTTTGAAAATTACTTGAATGCGAGACTCACAACATCACATAGTGTTATTATTTATAAATGGGTCGGATTTGGATCAATGTACCTCAATCCAACAAATTCATTTATAATCGGATTATTGAATTTGGATCGTATTCAGACTATTGAATTGCACCTATCAATCCATATTCGTTAAGCATCGGATTCGGATTAGATCGGATTATTATCATATTTATTTTTTAATGTGAAAAAAAAATCAAAATTCATTAGTAGCCTTGTCCTTTATTGTATTTATCTACTTTTTGTTATTAATTTTTGATATTTTATCATAAAAATTAGTTTTTAAGTGTATTCTTAGTGCATATAAAACTAAAATTTACTCATTTACATAAATAAAATATTAATATAAAGCATAGAAACACTAAATTATGCTTCATATTAAATCGGATCGGATCAACTATAATTTATATCCAGATCCATTTATAATAGGATTATCGAATTCGAATTATCGGATTGAGAAGTCCAATCCATCTCCTATATTTCAACGAATTCAATTGAATTCGAATCAAAATCCAATTCATTGACAGGTGTATCCGTATCATTTTAGGTGGAATCTGACCAAAGTTAGCCAGCATTGATGCAAATGCTCTTATAGTTTCTATAAAATCACTTATTAAAAATATTCTAAAGATTCTTGTATATATTTAAAACCCAATACACACTATAACTCATAAAAAAGCATTGCATTTTTTTACAACTCACATAGATTTGCACCAACCCACATATTTCCCTCCCGGTTATATTACGATCTGCTATGTCTCCCACCAGTACCACACCCCACATCTTTATATATCCAATTAGCTCCCAACACTACATGTACTCTCTCTCTCTCTCTCTCCTCTCTCTCTCTCTCTCTACCCCACATCTTTATATATCCAATTAGCTCCCAACTTCTGTTTGGCTCTTCCTCACCTCGACCAGACGAACCCACCACCAATCTCATTTCATCAAACCCTCCACAAACCCTAGAAAGCTAGACAAACCAATGGAACCAAAACGAGGTTTAGAAGTATATATTTGAACCCATTTAAAACCCACTTGAGGGGCTGCTTAAGTTGATTGAGATTGCATATATTTGTCCGTACTATACGATGTGATAAAATTAGGGCATCTTTCATTCATTTATTTGCCACTGTCCAGTGTCCACTAGTACATTATTGATATTCACGTTTAATGTTGTCCCTGGCCCTCTCCTCACGGCTTTCAGGTTTTGTTTGGTGTCAATGACTCAATGCATGGTACGTGAATTCAACTATACATAGGGAAATTAGCAGATCCCTGAATTTAATGTTTTAATTGCTCTTCAATTTCCTATGGCCCCATAGAGAAAACCATATCTCTATATGAACGCTTAATAAAAGGGCATTGAGTTGTCTTTCTCATTTGCACTTCTCTAAAAATAAAAATAATATGATGTGGATTGATTCATTGAGTGGTCACTTCCTTGCTATTATAGAAGTTTGATATATATGGTCATATGTCCAAATTTATGCTTGTGGTAAAATCCTCAAACTTTCGATGCGGTTAAACTGCGGATTTTCACGAGTACACCTATGTACTAAGTACATAGGCAGTATTCACTGTTGGATTAGTTTTAAAAGCAATCAACAATCATTATCTAATAACTGTTCAATGGTGGATACTGTCTATGTACTTAGTAAAATCGGTTAAACTATAATAAATCTAAAAGCTCAGCCAAGTCCATACAAATGAAAACAAATATATAGATGCATATATTAAACCAACAAAAGCGTACGTAGGGTAGGGGCCGGATACTTCACTTATATTTTTGTGTGTGTCTTTATAATATAACTTTAGCTATAGCTTTACACTTTAGAAACAACACAATTTCGATTATAAGCACAATCTTTGTAAAGAAACTCGTCGTGGCACGTGTATATAAACTCGTCGCTCACATGTTATAATCGAAGATGAAAATATCGCCCATCCAGTTACTATTGGTATTCAAATTTATAGATACACACACTCATCGATATTGTTTCCAATATAAGTCGATATGGGTGATTGCCAATTTTTTTCAAGGTTAGTATAGATGAGTAGATTAGCTTGAATTATTCAGTTTAGATTTGAGTTTAGTAGACTTTAAAACACAATTAGTGTTGTGTGTGTCATCCTTGCTTATTTTTCCTCCTCCTTTCTTTCTATGTCAAATCAAGTATTTTAGCTATGTTGAAAGCTGGCATCTGGAGAATCTCGAGGACAAAGGAAAATCTTTTATGAGGGAAAATTTTCAGATACGATAGAAGAAATTGTTTCACCCCTACTATTGGCTACACATGGCTTTTAGTACGTACCATGCAATATTGTTTAATTAGCGTTAGTATATCAGTAATTAAAGATGACAATTAACTTGAATTTAATCGGTTTAGATTTGATTTTAGTAGGAATTTAAAACACAATTAGGTTTGTGTCCTTGCTTCTTTTTCCTCTTCTTTCGTTTTATGTCTAATCAATGTAGGATAAAGGGGAAATAATCTCAGTTATATCAGGGAAATTTTCGGATACGAGAGTAGAAATCGCTTCACCCCTACTATAACAAATATTTCATCGTTAGTACGTAACACATGACTTTTAGTACCAAACAATCTCTACAGTCACTTTTGAATTATAATGTACTCTCTTTACTGTTTTAAATCAAAGATCTATCTTTTGTTAAGGAGAATATTGTTTAATTAGCATTGCAGTAATTAATGATGATAAGAAGCAGTAATCACATGCCAATAATTACATAAATCCAATGAATAGTGTACTATACCATTTTTTTCCCCTTCTTTTTCAAATCCTCCCCCCATGTGTACTTGTTTTGAGTTTTGACTTTTTATGCCCCAAATTATGGGAAGAAGGCAAACAAAATATGCCCGAAATCAGTCAGGCTCTGAGGTGAAAAGTGTTTTTGGATTTTTGCCTTCGGTAGCCATTAATTTAAAGCGCGGTACCTTTTCTTGGGGTGCTTCGGTCGTCTTCACCCTCTGGTTTTTTGCCTTTTGCTATGGGTTTGTTCTGTTTGTTTTCTAGTTTCGTTTTCAGATTAAAAAAAAACATAAAATCAGAAGCCTTCACGGGCTTGAAAGAAGGCTCTGTCGTGCTATTGCGATAGTATTCCCTGCGTTTTGTATTGTTGTTTGAAGGCTTATGGTTTTTTGTGGTCCAATAATCCAACGTCAGCGCAAATTGTTTGTGTTAATTAATTACAGCATAGTAACTTTTTGTAAAGATACCTTTGGGAACATGTTGGGATAAATCTAACCTTGAATTTCGCAGATATTTTGGTCTTCTGTGAGCAATTTGCTTCCGGACAAGGGAATAATGAAGTCTTCCTTTCAAATGTAGTTTAAACCGCACGAGGAAATTGTTTTTATGGATTACGACGAGAAATTAAATTGACGTGTGAATTATGTACGTTGATTGATTTGAAATTAATTTTGTAAATATACCTTTGGGAACATGTTGGAATAAATATAACCTGAATTTCGCAGATATTTTGTTCTTCTGTGAGCAATTTGCTTCCAGACAAGGGAATAAAGAATTCTCCCTTTCAAATTTTGTTTAAACTCCATAAGGAAATTCTTTTTTACGGACGAAAAATTAAATTGATGTGTGAATTATGTACGTTGATTTATTTGAAAGTTTAAGAACTAAAACGAGGACTTTAAAAAAAGAGTAATGCTACACTTACCACATTTATATCTCATATTTTCATATCACCTTATGTGACAGATGAAGTAGACAATCACATCAATTAAAAGTGTCAATAAATCATAAAAGTTAAGAAAACTTTAAATTAATTTTAATTGATGTGTTGTCCACCTCATCTGCCACATAAGGTGGTATGAGAATGTGGTATACAAATGTGGTAAGAGTAGCATTATTCTCAAACAAATTTAGGAACCACTTGTTCATACATTTTCTTTCATTAGTCTTCCTCACTTCCTTATCCCTTCTTGTCTCCAGTAGATTTAAAAATTAAAATTAAAAACAAAATGATGAACCCTTGTCTACATGTTTTCATATTTGAATCTTATTTTAATGTAATCTGTACATAATGAAAAATTTATTTCTCTTCGCCCTCATTACCTATTCCTCTACCTCTAGCTCATTTCCCTCCCTCCGTGGCCCACCCTCTGCTACTCCTCGTACCCATGGTTCAACAAAATTTGCATATCACGAAAATAACATTATTTTACTATCTTCAACTAATTACGTATTTTCATATTTTTTTTTATAAACAAAGCATCATAAATTTAAGATAAAATTCATTGAATTTAATCTGGCCTCGAATGACAACCAGCTGAGGCATATTAATGCATGCACCATACAACTTATGATAACGATTATATTGAAGAAATAGGACAAAATTATTAATGTGGGATGCGTTACAAACTTTAAAGGAAGCCATCGGCCCTGTAACCCTGTTTTTAATTTATTTATGTCTTCAATTCGATGATCACATCATTTCTTCTATTCGACAAATCTCGTGACGTTGAATTATGTGCCTCACGTGCTTTATCCAGAAATAAATATATGAAATTGGAAATTACATAATTATTTGCATCCATGCCATACCACATGGAACTTAATCATTTGCCTTCTTTTTTAATTCGGCAGGTCCGCACTTTTTAGCTCCAGTCTACATGGGGGTGGGCTACCTAAAGATGATATTGGGGGAAGGGTCCATTTTCTTTTACCTAAAATAGAAGGGTCCCATTTTCATGACTTTACGAATTTGGTTTATATCATCAAATTCCAAACAACTTCATTTGATTTGGGCCGTTGGCAATGGGCTGTTGTCAACTTGTATTGGGCTGTCATTTGCAAATTGATAAAGACACTGCCGGCGAATTTTTAGGACGACTCTGTCTGCTCATTTGGAAGGAAAATTAAAAGAGCGGAAGAAAAGAAATGTATGAAGGATGCAATGAGATGGGAGGGGGTGTCGCCCAAATTGGGTCAGAGAGAGGGCAACCCGCGCCAAACACTGAGGCGACAGTAAAGATCCCAGGTTCAAATCTCCATATAACGAAAGAGAAAAATAGAATATGATGAGTGTTATAAGTCATTGGGTGTCTACAATAAATAACATGGCGTGGATAGAATTACACAAATAACTATTTGAGCCCGCCCATGACGAGCTGGATCAATCGGGCCGAGCCCATATCTAATAACCATCTTTAACGATTTGTTTACGTGTACGATGGAAAATGGTCTGTCACACGCCTTCCGTTACCGGTGATTATTACCGTTAAAATGGTGATCTCAGTTTCTTAGAGCTGAAATAACTGTATCTTGGATCCATAAACCCCATCACATCACAGGTTCTCTCCCCGCCACTCCACCTGTTTGGTTCCGGAGAAAACAGTGGAAAATGAAAAGGAAAATCCACTTTCCACACCGACTCCTCGGTCCCCTTAAAAAATTTCCTACAGAGAAGTAGTGGTGTTGCAGATACTGAGATACGGAGAATAAAAAATGTCACAATTGTCAGCCCAAGCATTGAATAGCCTGAGGCCACGGCCGCCCAGTGCTTGTAGCTCAACGAGAATGGCTTCGTTGTCGTATGGAACACAGACCCCTATAGCTTCTCTGAAAGTCTCTTCCGGTTTTTGGGGCTCGGCGGAGTTCAATTCGTGCCGTTTGAGCGTTTTGGGGAGTGATCGGTCTCGGAATTTCTCCGTGGTGAGGGACAGTGCAGAGAGAAGTGAGGGGGGTGTTGCTATGGAGACTGTTGGTGACAATCAGGTGGGGAAAGTTAGAGGGATAGGGTTAAATGCAGTGATAAATATAAAGTTAGAAACTTTTTGAAGTTTTTCTGGTTTATTGATAGGTTGAAGATTCACCAGGAAAATTGGAGGAGCGTGATTTTACTGGCACACCTTATGTTCCTGTCTATGTGATGTTACCAGTGAGTTTTGATGCACTCTTTTATACTCTGTGTTGGCTTATTGTGGTTATTTTTTGCTTATGTGCATTTCAAGTTTTTAACCGTCAATCAAGAACATTGTTCCTAGTTAACAAGTTAAACCATATTTTTATTGGGTTTCAGTCATTCAAATATATTCTTATTGGGTTTCCATCGTCATCGAGATTATTGATTTAGTGAATCATGTTTGAATGTGTAATCTTGATTAACAATCTTGCTATATAATATAAATATACAGAGTGTCCGTACAGCAACACAATGGTACTCATGTATGTACTTTTAATCCGGTTCCTATTCAAAATCATAATGGGCCTCATTGACAACATCACTGTTAAATTTGTATTTATTTGTTTATAATCTTCTGCATGATACTATGTTATTACAAGTCATGGCTAAATGCAGTTGTTCTTGTGTTTCATGGTGGCAGTTGGGTGTCATCAATATGAACTGTGAGCTAGTTGAGCCAGAAGTTCTGTTAGATCAACTAAAAGTACTGAAGTCAGTTGGTGTTGATGGTGTTATGGTTGATTGCTGGTGGGGAATAGTAGAGGCACACAATCCGCAGGGATACAATTGGAGTGGTTATAAGAGACTTTTCCAGATTGTGCGTGATCTTAACCTCAAGTTACAGGTGAGTGGTATAGAATTGTACCAGCATTTCTTTTTTCACTTTGGGTGTGCATTTCAATATGCCTTTGCTTCTTATGTTTCTTGTTTCCTTTTGGAAGTCATTACAGTGCACCAAAGGATGAAAACAGTAGTTCTTAAATCTTGAATGAGTCTTTAAATAAAAATTCCGGTAAAGATTCCAAATTTCCAGTTTACACAAATGTTAACCTGAAATAATCTCACAATTTTGGTTTGTTTTATAGAACTAATACTGTTTAGCATCATAGCAGAGGAAATGGTTCTGGAAGTGTCACATATGTTTCTGACTTGGTGTGCTTTTAGTTGCTTCAGGATATCCATTTGTTTCTAAATAGGTTAAGTCCTATGATTTTTTGAAATTAAATTAAGCGATTTAAACTTCATCATACTGCTTATCCTGAAGGTTATAAACATACATTCATTACAATGGTCCAGAAACATAAAATTATTTCCTTTAGATCGTCTTGGAAACATTCTTAGAGCCAACATTTGTCAGTCTCTCAGTCAAGATACTTATTCTGAAACAGTTGAAAAAGCTTTGATTTATACAGATATTTGGGTGATTTGTACTAAAACTAGCCTTTTGATTAGTTTTCATTAGCAAATGGTTGTTTACTCTCCTTGTTAGGTAGCATTATAGTCTTGAGTGGATTGATGAAAAGCAAATACATCAGTAGTTCTCTTTTTGAATAATAGTTTGTGAGACTGCTTATCTGTTAAATCTCATTTTATATAGGGTATAGCTTTTCTGCTTTATAGTTTTCCTCTGAAGATGAATGTCGGATACGGTTCCATTGTCTAACTCTATATTGCTATAGGTTGTGATGTCATTCCATGAATGTGGAGGCAATGTTGGGGATGATGTACATATCCCACTTCCTCACTGGGTGACAGAAATTGGTCAAAAAAATCCTGATATATATTTTACTGATAAAGAGGGGAAACGCAACAATGAATGTCTCACATGGGGAATTGATAAGGTGCGGGTTTTAAGAGGCCGGACCGCTGTTGAGGTATAGCATTCTAGAACTACTAATTATGTTTTTTGTTTTTTTTTTTTTTTTTTTTTTTTTTTTTTTCTTTTTTTTTTCATTCTGGAATGAAATAATCTTCTATATGTCTTGTTTGTAAAGTTGTTTTTAACTAATGTTTTTGAAAAGTAACCATTGCCTAAAATCTTTTCTCTTTTGTATGCTATGGGAATTATAGCTTATCTGAGCTTCTATTTTGTTATTTTATAATGAAACTGATGCAGGTTTACTTCGACTACATGAGGAGCTTCAGAGTCGAATTTGATGAATTTTTTGAGGGAGGAATAATCTCGGAGATTGAAGTTGGACTAGGTCCATGTGGGGAGCTACGCTATCCTTCTTATCCTGAAAATCATGGATGGAAATATCCTGGTATTGGTGAATTCCAGGTAAATTAAAATGGTGACCATTCTACTTTTCACTTTCCATTACTGGGAGACTGATAAGGTCTTGGCATGCATGATAATTAGTCAAAGATTATGTTAATAGCCCTTCGTTCATCTTGGTTATGACCTGTAAGCCCAGCACGTTTAATTTATCATTTCTATCTAAACTGTGCAATAGTTCTCTGATTCGACCTTGTTCAGTGCAGTGTTATGATCGATACTTGATGAAGAATCTGAAGGAGGCTGCAGAAGCAAGGGGCCACTCCTTCTGGGCCAGAGCACCGGATAATACAGGTTCTTATAATTCCCAACCACATGAAACAGGGTTTTTCCGTGACGGAGGTGATTATGATAGCTACTATGGCAGATTCTTCCTCAACTGGTACTCCCGTTTTTTGGTTGATCATGGTGATCGTGTACTTGCTCTGGCCAATTTAGCTTTCGAAGGCACTTGCATTGCTGCAAAGGTGAGTTACTTTCTTGAGATTAGTTCTTCACATGTTCTCTTTTCGTGGAGTTGCTTTATTTGATGTATGAGCAGGTATCAGGTATTCACTGGTGGTACAAGACTGCCAGCCATCCTGCTGAGTTAACCGCTGGATTTTACAATCCCTGCAACCGTGATGGGTATGCTCCAATTGCAGCAATGTTGAAAAAGCATGAGGCTGCCCTGAATTTCACGTGTGTTGAAATGCGTACTTTAGACCAGCATGAGGGCTTTCCAGAAGCACTGGCAGACCCTGAGGGATTAGTTTGGCAGGTAGCTAGCACAGATTTAATTTATTTCTTGCTTGGTTCTGGTTTTTATATTTGAAATTTAACCAAGTTTCTGTGTCAGTTTGTGTATACTTCTGTACAGAAATGTTGTTTGTAAAGCATTTTTGTTTATTTGATGTTTTTTTTTCTTTCCGGAATTCCTTTTTGTGGTCAGGTGCTGAATGCTGCTTGGGATGCTAACATTCCAGTTGCCAGTGAGAATGCTCTTACATGCCATGACAGAGAAGGCTACAACAAGATATTGGCAAATGCTAAGCCCCAAAATGATCCAGATGGCAGGCATTTGTCAGCGTTTACCTACCTCAGATTAAGCCCTGTTCTCTTGGAGGGGCATAACTTCATGGAGTTCGAACGATTTGTCAAGAAAATGCATGGTAACAGAACACGTAGTCTAGTGTTTTCTTTCTTTCTTTATTTTTTGCTTTTGGCCTGATCTCATTCTGCAGGGTTTTGAAATCATGATTTATCCATGCCTCACTTCTAAAATAATTGCAAACGCAGGAGAGCCCGCACCGGAATCCTGATCTTTAGATTAACTCAAATAAATGAAAGGGATTCTGACACACGGGACCTCGAGTGCATGGATGTTACTCTTAACTACTTGTGCTAAAGCCCCTTGCTAAGTCCAGAGCAGTTTAATACTGTATAATAAGGAATAAAATGAATGTATAGCATTCTACAAGTTTGTTAAACTGATCAAACTGTGGTTACAAACTTGTTCTTTTCCTTATCCTAAATTATCATTATTTTAGAACGTCATTATCTACAGTTGACAATCGTCTATTCAAAAATGATATATTTAACGTTGCATAATGCACAACAATACCCATCAATGTTACAGTTAACGTTGTGGACTGCACGCCCAACGTGTCGACAAAAACAACGGTCCATCTAAAACGTTATAATTAACAACTAATAATTATAATTATTTTAATTCTTAATTAATGGGGTTTAGTCTAGTAAAAAAGGATTTTGAATTACAAACCGTCATCTTCATTTTGTAATTTAAATTATCGCTTATAATTTTATTTTATTTTATTTAAAACGGACTCATAATTGTTCATCCACGCGGTGACATTACCGTTCACCTTCACATAACATTTCACTTTCACAACAGTTTTACAACTACCCGGAGCCAAAAAAAACAGTTCACGTGATCGCACCATCAGGATACACCCAAATCTCGTGTTCCGGATCTCTCAAGCCCACCCTCTGGGCACGTGCGACACGTGTCACTCCACACGCCCAACCCGTGAAACGCATGCCTTTCACATCACTCGCTCATACACACACGCCTCGTTCGTGCCACCCCCCAACACACGCTCACACGCGTGACAATCCCTAAGCCCCCTTCCTCGCATGCTCGCTCGCTCGCACGCTTCTCCTTCTCCAATCCTTCTCCCGCCCGACCCGACCCGCCGACCCCCTCAGTCTTCCTCGTCGGAGCCCCGCCTTCTCCCCCCTAAACGACGCCGTACTCCAGTTCCGGTCGCCGGAAAACTCGGGCACGATTTACCGGTGAATCAGTTCTGGAAATGGAAGAGAAGATGGATCGGTGAAATGAATGGTGGCGTGAGCTTTGACTGAGGACGAGAAGGTGGAATTCGAGGGAAAAATGGAGCCTTTCGGCCAATGTGGAGTCGATTTTGCGAGACTTCGGTGTTCCGAGCTGGTTTGAGAAGGTAATTTAGTCCAGGACTTGGAAATTTTTTTGCTTTTTGGCTACCTTTGGCTACTGAGAAAGTTGTTTCCGAGAAAATTTCTGAGCTTTCTCTTTTGTGAGCATATGTGCGTGGAAATAATACCAATGAGGAATGAAGTCTTATAATTTCTGTCTGTTATTTTGCGTTGGTTTTTCATGGAAGTCAACTCATTTAAGCCAGATAGGTGTAACCAAGCTACTTTAGTATTTTCTGTCTCTGTAATTTTAACTAAAGTAGAATTATTCTTGTTCATTTGAACCTCCAACTGTTCTGTCTCTGTCTCTGTTCCCCTCCCCCACTCCCTCCTTTGGGCGGTATGTTGGTTTTAATTAATATGAGATATGGCTAATTTTGAAGTTCCAATTTTTGACAGAAAATTCTAAATTAGCGTGGAACTCAGAATCAGTAGGATGATTTCTGCATTGTTTGGAACAATTTAATCCTTCCAGCGGTTATGTGGGAAGTTAAGCAGTTATGGTTTCTACATTCATGATAGAAGGATCAAGAAACTAGGATAATCAGGGGGTCAAAAGTGTAGGATTAAGAGAATAAGGAGAATATGGCTACGGATATCCAGAAGTTAATTGGAACAAGTGAAGAAGATGAGGACGAAGAAATGGAGATGGACGTGAAAGAAGAGGGCGATGACGATGATGAAGAAGATGGTGAGAAGCATGTTGATGCCACCTCTATGATTGCGGGGGTTGATGGAGGAATGCCAACAAGAAGTAGTAATAATAACCGGTTTCAGCAGCACCATCAAATTCAAGAACAAGTGGGGACCCCAGGAGGGGGAGGAGTCAGGAGGTGTAGACCGATAGAGGAGAAGGAAAGAACCAAGTTAAGAGAGCGGCAGCGCAGGGCGATCACTGCAAGGATCTTAGCAGGGTTACGGAGGCATGGAAATTATAATCTTAGAGTTAGGGCTGATATCAATGATGTAATTGCGGCTTTGGCTAGGGAAGCTGGCTGGGTTGTTCTTCCAGATGGAACAACATTTCCTGCAAAATCTCAGGTACTTGTCTCTCAGGGAAGAAGCTTGTTTATGCTGTTTTGAAAGTTTTTGCTTTGTTTATGTGTGTGTGTGAGAGAGAGAGAGAGAGAGAGAGAGAGAGAGCACCACTGCATCAACGAATTCACTTGTCTCTCAAAGAAGAAGCTTGTTTTTGCTGTTTTGAAAGTTTTTGCTTTGTTTGTTTGAGAGAGAGAGAGAGAGAGAGAGAGAGAGAGAGAGAGAGAGAGAGAGAGAGAGAACCACTGCATCAACGAATTCAGAACTATTAGGTGATTTAGGTGATTTTTATTGTCATACTTGATGGTTGAAATGTTCCTTATGTGGTTCATGTATTGGCTCATCTTAGATCATGAATGCATGTTAGGTTTTGACCTCCTTAATATAGCTGTGAAGGACATTTGGTGCATCCTATTGTGATTCTCATTTCTAACAAATTTCAGAATGGGAATGCTTTCTATTCCACTTTTACAGGGCCCAAGGCCTGCTGGTGTCAATTCTGCTGCAGTATCTTCCCAAATGGTGTCCCCACAAACTCCTGCTTCCCTTAAAGGAGTTACTTCTGGCTATCGGAGCTCTGGGGAGCTTAATGCTTGTAACATGAAAGGTGTTTTTATTCCTAGTTCATCACCTTATGATCTCCCCTCAAGTGCTCGGTCTCAAAATTCATCCATTGTGGGAGATGGAGGAGGTCAAACAGATAGTCATCCTCTTATTGGTGGTTCCATGGATAATGTTGGTGACAAACAGGTACTATGACTAGAGCTATGCTACAACCCACACCTACAAAAGAGAACGATATCATAACATTATTTTACTTCATAATGTGACACATTATGTGTCTTGCCATCAAGCGTGGTGATATGTGTGTGGCACATTCAGGGGACAAGTGTGAGTGAATTGTGTGGCAATCTATATGAGTAACAACGTTACAAAGTAAAAGACTTATGTAAAGTTCTTTACACATAGCATTTTCCTTATGACTAAGTTGTTCAAAATTCAATCTCCTAAAACAAAGTAGTTTAGACTTTAATGGTTATATCTCTTGGTAAGCTGTTGTCAAATTCTAGTATATGGTCATTCTTTGTATCATCTTGGTTGATTTTGCCATCACATATAAGGCGATAAATAGCCTATTTAACACTAGCCTTTATTAGAAGATGCATGGAGGCATGGCTAGTCTCTGGTAGCCTGTTGGAGTTGTGCTACATACACAACCCAGCAGGTCCTGGATTCGAGACTGACAGGTGTTTCTCTAAACCAATGTATGGAGGCATGACTCTGCAGCAAATAATGGATGTATACCTTCTTCATTTATGATTATAACTGCATTGAATTTACTAGTACCCCATAAGTAGTGAAATTCTGTTTCTCATATAGCTTATTTAAATTTCTAGTAATAATCATTATTTGAATGTTAAGTTGTTGCTTCCTTGTTGGGCAGTGTCACATCCTTAAACGCACTTCGAATTCTTTCTTGTAGATTGTTGACATACCCCTGAAGTTACCAGAACGTGATTACTCCAACACCGCATGCATTCCTGTTTATGTGATGCTACCTGTGAGTTGTGCAATTTTAATTTATACTTTTGCTATCTAAGTTATAATTATTCTTTTCTAGTTTTTCTGTACCATGCTTTTCTACTCAATATCCTGCATTAGAGGTTGCCATTTCAAGGAGTGCAAGACTTGTTTGATAGATATGGTTGTTTTTAAATTTTAGTCTCTGATATTTATGGTTATATCGTGTCATATCTTTTGGTGGCAGCTAGGTGTCATTAATATGAAGTGTGAGATGGTTGATCCAGATGGTCTACTAAAGCAGCTAAGGATATTGAAATCAGTTAACGTTGATGGTGTTATGGTTGATTGCTGGTGGGGAATAGTAGAAGGACATGCTCCAGGGGAGTATAACTGGAATGGATACAAGAGGCTCTTTCAGATGGTGTGCGAACTTAAGCTGAAGCTGCAGGTCAGTTTTATATGGACATGTTTTTTCACTTGCAGAATCTTTTTGCTCGTAGTGGTCATGTAAACATGTGCGGTTAATAGTTGCTATCTTCGTGGTCATCTGTATCTTTTCCATAGTTTTCCTGTAATTATTGGCAAACGTCTGAGACTTTGTCTGTACAATGTGGGAATCAAGGAACTTACTCCCCTTTATCGTACTGTGAATTTGCTCACTATTAACCATTACTGTAAAGTGTGGAGATAGTTTATTCATTTAGACATGGTTCTTTGGTTGGTTCTTCTGAAAATTTATTCCGGGTCTGATGGGCAACTTCCCTGTTTCAGGTTGTGATGTCATTTCATGAATGTGGAGGCAATGTTGGTGACGATGTATGTATTCCACTGCCCCATTGGGTGGCTGAAATTGGTAGAAGCAACCCTGACATATTTTTCACTGATAGAGAGGGAAGACGTAATCCTGAATGCCTTTCATGGGGAATTGACAAGGAGCGAGTTTTAAGAGGGCGAACAGCTGTCGAGGTATTACATTCAGATATGATAAGTCTGTCATTAATCTTTCTGTTTGAATTTGGTGTTAAACCTGGTAGTGATCAACTATGTACATCTATTGATCTATAGACTTGGTTGTGTGCGGAAAATTTCATTACTGCCATATACAGATGGCAGTAATTCTATATTAGTGAACCATGTTTTGAAGGGTAGTCTTATGTAGGCAGCGCCAAAATGCTAATGTTTTAACTAATATAGGTGTACTTCGACTGCATGAGAAGCTTCCGTGTAGAGTTTGACGAGTACTTTAAAAATGGTAATATCTCCATGATTCAAGTTGGACTAGGTCCGTGTGGGGAATTACGATACCCATCTTGTCCTGTAAAGCATGGTTGGAGATATCCCGGCATTGGTGAATTTCAGGTAACTTTATGAAGTATTATCTGTTTATCAAGTGAATGAGTCTGTCGATTGCTGCAGAATTGGAGCACTGCATTTGCAAGTTGCGTTCTTCACTTTGAACATTTAAAAACATGCAGTGTTATGATCTGTATTTGCTGAAAAGTCTGAGGAAGGCGGCAGAAGCAAGGGGACACTCCTTCTGGGGTAGAGGTCCAGATAATGCAGGTTCTTATAATTCCCGGCCACATGAAACCGGTTTCTTTTGCGATGGGGGTGATTATGATAGCTACTATGGCAGGTTCTTCCTTAATTGGTACTCTCGAGTTTTAGTTGATCATGGTGATCGTGTTCTTTCTCTAGCAAAGTTAGCTTTCGATGGCACCTGCATTGCTGCAAAGGTGAGTTAGCTTCCATCATTTTGAACATAAATGAAAGATGAATTTTTGATATCTGATATTTGAAAGTAAAAAAATGACAATTATGCTCTTTTCCTTGAAACTGCGGACAAAGCATTCAATGCATTCGAAGAATACCTTTAATTTCAAGTTCTTATCAACATATGAAGAATGTTATGGATGTTCTTCATGCCTAATGTCGTTAAGTTTTGAAAGTGTTTTTTCCCCTTTTGGGAGTAGGGGTTGGAAATGAGAAGTTATTTGGTTAGTTATGAATTGATCAGTCAGTTTGCTATTTTAATTGTTAAGCAGCTATCAGGTCTTCACTGGTGGTACAAGACAGCCAGTCATGCAGCTGAATTGACTGCAGGCTTCTATAATCCATGCAATCGAGATGGTTATGCTGCAATTGTGACAATGCTAAAGAAGCATGAAGCTACTTTAAACTTAGCGTGCACTGAATTGCACATGTTAGACCAGCATGAAGACTTCCAAGAGGCACTGGGAGATTCTGAGGGTTTATTCTGGCAAGTAAGCATCAAATTTATCTGCAACCTTGCGGTTAACTCTAAATATCATGATTCCAATAAGAGACGCAACAGTTGTCTTAGTTAAGTTATCATTTCATTGGCAGACAGGGACTCTTTGAATATAAGAAGTCTGTCTGTTTTGGAAATTACCGGGACTCATTGTGAAAGAAATACCCTTGATTGAACAATATGCATGTTCGTGGTGGAAATCTTTGGCACTTAAAATTATAATATACTCTTTCAGGTGCTGAATGCTGCATGGGATGTTTGCGTACCAGTTTCTAGTGAGAATGCTCTTCCTTGTCATGATCATGTCAGCTACAAGAAGATATTGGATAGTGCCAAACCCTTGACTGATCCGGATGGAAGGCATTTGTCATCTTTTACCTACCTTAGGCTCAGTCCACTTCTCATGGAAAGACACAACTTCATGGAATTTGAACGATTTATTAAGAGAATGCACGGTAAGGAACTTTTTTTGGGTCAAATCATAGCAATGCATTATTCTATGATTTAGCTTGATGCATTCATGATCTAGTAATGGCAAATAACGATATCCCTGCTCCACATAGGAGAACAAAAATAAATCAGAATCAAAACAGTTCACATAATTGTAAAACTGTTAATGTTGGGAGAACATAAAAAAATTAATAAACAAAAAGAATCAGAATTAGTTTACATAATTGTTGCTGTCCTTTTGATGAATACGGTTATGAGTTGTAGCTTTGAATTTCACTGCAGGGGAAGCTGTTGGCCTCCAAGTATATAGCAACTAGAATCAAGTCTCTCCGGATAGTGTTTTATTAATTGCTGTTGAAGGAAGAGGTTTGTCCAGATAGCGTATTATCTTCTTCTTTCTCAGAAAAAAAGGAACATTTTATCCCCGAAAAATGTTGTGCCCATTACTCTAGATGAGGTATTAGTATTAGTCAGTTACCTATACTAGTTGATAGGACAGTGGCTAACAACGGGATTGAACTTTTTTGTAGTCGAACACCGACCATGATTCATATGTAAAAGTGATTTAAATGTAAAATCCTCGTAGTCTTTTAGAAAGCATTGCAAGCAGAGCTTGCATTTTCTACCAAATTACGGTTTTCAATGTGTTCTCTTGAGTATATAAGCAGACTGATTTACTCAAGATTATTGTGGTTGCGGCTGTGGCATGGGTGCTGCCTCCCCCATAAGCAGTTTCTGGCCGGCTGCTGGTTCCGATCAGCAATGTTCTTCACATAAATTTTATACACTATTGAATTTGCAATAAGAAAATTATTAAAAATTGTAGGCAGGAATCAAAGCATCTGTTCAAAAAGGCGCAGGAATCAATGATCACAAAATCATGAGCGGAAGATCTTATAATATAATCATTGGGATTTTTTAAAAATTGATGATGGCATGGCGGACCAACGTTTTATGTACAGCTTCACTTCCATACGCTGCCTCTCTTGCCCCCCCACCATCAATCTAAAACACAATCATGAACCCCCAAAGAGGATGGTTCACAAGAATCAAAGAATTGCTTTCATCGGCCAAGTTATTACTTCTTGAACACCATGTCACCAGACTCATCTACATCGAAAAGCCGCTCCACAAAGTCATCCCAGCTTTCTGTCCTCTTTTTTAATGATTCACAAGGCGTCTCCCCGTTCGATCTTCCAGAGTTCTCCCCCTCTTCCGTTTCAGTAAATGTAAATGTTCCATACGCTGAATCAGAGTAGGCATGATGGATATCCAAAGCTATTGCCCTCCGAAGTGCTGCCTTGTACTCCAGGCTATGTTCACGGACAAGGGACTTTCTTCGCTCCATCCTCTGCTTTGCCGGAACTTCCATAGTTCTGTCTTCCTCGAGCATTAACTGACCTCATGGGAAAAATAATACATCATTACTAGAACAAGGATAGAATCTCAGATCTTGAAGATTAAGCTAGGTGGGATTATCATTCAGAAACCTTGCAGAAATTCAAACTGTAATGGAGGGTCTAAGGACTTACATCAAAAGCCTTTTGTGCTTCTCTCTCTATCCAGATTATGGCATGGTCAGAAGTAATATTGCAAGAAAGAACTATGTGCTCAAACCTCCCATCCACAGGCACTGCTGTTTTCACAACAGGCGGAAACCTTCCAAATCTGCAACCAGTAAGCTCCCAATGATTGACTGTAATTCAATCTATTTCTCACCCAAAAGTTATCAACTTATGATATGATGCAGGTGCCATTTAAAATTTAACAACACAATCAACACAAAGAAGTTGTAATGCAACTACATTTTAATATACCTGAAGGGCTTCCGCTCAATAATGTGATAGAGACGCCCGGGTGCATATAATCTTCTTGGATCTGTAAGCATATTCTCTTCTAGCGTGCACGTTTCCTTCAAGCACATTATGCAAAGAAAACATGGCAAACTGTGCAAATGAAGGAAAGCAACCTCACTTAGCATCTCTAGATAAAATAATAAAGGTACAATCTGAATTGTATCAGTATATATTGCATTGGGCTACTAAATGCAAGAATGGTGACAAAAAACGTACTGTGTTTTACCAGAAAAGTGATTTGAATAAGTTGTCTAAAGCGGTTGTTGTCCGAGGTAAGAAATCATCCTGGTTCATTATAGCAACTACATTAGAACATTGAGGACCTATAATCATATCCATGAGCAAAAAGCATATATTATTTCCTGCCTGGTGAAGAACATTGACTCATTTTATGTGGCCAGCCTTATTTACTAATTGGTGGCAATTTTGCCTATCCGACGTATTAGATGTACAGTCCATGAAGGTTTTCTTTTCTTAACCATTCATGTTTCACTACATTATATTGATAAATTAAATCGTGTAAGCATTCGCCAATATACGTGGAACAAAGCACACAAGTTTAGAATCAAATGCGATAATCATACCTGAAGTACAATAGAATTGATAACATCTGCATATCTGACTGCCAGATTCAGTGACATGCATCTAGAGGGGGCTGTAGCATAGCATCTAATCTTCTTTCTCTCAATATTTCCCAATTTTTTCAGATCCTGAAGTACCAACAATGTCAGCAATGCCACCACACCAGCCCCAAGGGAATGGCCAGTAAAGGTCAGGGTATAATTTGGATACTTCATTACCAATTCCCTCAAAACTTCACACTCTGCATCAAACATCCACTCTGCTGCCTTCAATAGCCCATTGTGGACATAGCCACCATCAAATTTTGTCTGCCCAAGTTTGTTGTCAAGCATAACTGCATAATCACTTTCCTTAGCTAAATTGAGTCCCCGAACTACCAAGACTATATCAGAATGATCATGATCAAGATAGACCATGTAGGGAGGAACATGGCCAAAGGTTTCTTCGTAGTCTCTACGTAAGATTACCCAATCAGGATTAATGCCATAACCTCCGAGGGGTGCCCAAAGCGGGTTACGGAGATCTTCCTCATAGAGTGCTAGAATTAGGCGACAAAACCGAGGGACAGGCTCAAATTCTTCAGCAGTGGCCAGACCCCAGTTTTCACTTTCACGGCCTGCAGTGTAGAGGCATTTCAGCCACACCCAACGAGCACAGGCCAGGCAGTATACAGACTCAAGGATAGGAATCCCACAGCAGATTGACATGGACGCCTATGAAGCAAAGCATGTAAACGCATATAAAAAACTTGATGTGAAATCAAGGAAAAACAAAGCAAACAATTATTTTGGGCCTTCCGCCCGGCTCAATAGATACACATTTGGGAATGGATTAAACTGAATTATAAATGGAAAATAGGCGTTGAACACTATATTTGGTTGAAATTCTAGAATCTAGTTGAATTGCAGAGCAGATTAACAGAAATAGCTTTAGATATCAACTAAACAAACAAAACTAGGAACTAAGATAGAGATCTATAGTTCAGGTTTTCAAACAGATTATCTCTATATATCAAAGAAACATTCTTCATTAGAATACCAACAGCTAAACAGGCACTATATGGAAGAATCAAATATCAGAGATATTACATGTATCAAAGCTCAAAGTGCCCTGGGCTTGCATCTAAGCAGAAACATTTGCAGAATCTGTAACTTTGCACAGAACATAGTTGCAGCTAAAGAACAGCAGTCTCAGACCAATATGGATCAAATCCCATGAGTCAAAAGTTGTAACTGAACAAAACCCAGATTCTGAAAATTTGGAACAGGGAAAGGTTGAGAATGAACCACCACCATAAAGATAATTAATTAGCTAAAACCCAGGCTCTGAAAATATGTTTATGGAAAGAAAATGGGGTTTCCTATAAACAAGAGGGGTTTAGTGGGGGCTTGGGAGAGGTGAAGTTCGAGTCTTCTGTTCTGTGCTAACTTTGGATTGTTGTTCCATGAGAAAGTATATGACATATATACATGCATCTATCTGTATAAATTTAAAAGAAAGACCCAAAGAGAAGAAAGAGATCTGCTCACTAAATTTGTGCTGAGGTCTTACCTGCAAGTCAAACTCATATCTTTTTGGGTTGCTTCAAGAATCTACTCACTAAAATGCTTTTATTCCACAAGGTTTTGTATGATCTTTAATCATTGTTTCTTCATTTGGCTTTATGTTCTTAATTTTATTCTAAAAGATGATTGGGCATTGGCTGATTAGGCTTTGAGCCTTGAAATTCAATGCCAGTTAAGTGGTTGGGTGAGAGTCCATTTATACATTGCTTGGCCCAACATAATCAGAACATGGGCTTTGTTCTGATTTGGACACTTCCCTTCTGAACTTGAGAGCAGCGAGTCAAAACAAAACTTCAACGTCATAAAAATTGCAATAATTTGCAACCATTTAAATAAAAAATTTGTGAGTTTTTTATATATTTATTTTGGGCCTCAAAGCAAGTAAGGGTTTTGACCAAAAACAAAGAAAAATCTCTTGTTATTGATAGATATTTTGTTTTGAATACGATTAAAACTCGGGTGTAAAGTGAGGAGCACATTCACTCTAACCTACTTAATTGAATTCATATATGCATTATTGATAGATTTATAATAGTTGTAAAATGTATACAAAAACTCGTTGCATTTGAATGGAGAAAATAAATTTTGATTTTGGACAAAATGTTATTGTTGAGAAGAGGGATTCAATTAAGAAGAAATATTATTAGATTAATTTCTAGTTGGTAAGGTGAAATTAAATCGATATAATGATTGCTTTTAAAAAAATTCTATTTTTTAAACTACAAGGTATAAAACATGATTGTTATCACTTCAAAAAAACTTGTCGTGTGAATGTTTTAAATTATTTTTTTTGGAGTCAATAATAGTTTCCTAGTAATTTATTTATACTTTTCTCACATTCATTACTTGCTTATTATAAATAAAATAAATTTTTATTATGCAAATATAAGAAAAAGTAATTTATATGATGAACATATTACTGAAATTTTTTACCAAAAAAAAACATTACTGAATTTGAGATTGTGTAAATTATAGAAACTCATCATCACTGATACTTATGTCAGCCTCGAAAATAGCAAAACGGAATACGGATCAGTCTGTTTTCTGGAAGCGCCAATCTTTATCTTCTGCGTAATTAAGCACGTTCCCTTTTCTGCCCAACAGTTCATTGGCCAAGGCACGTCAAGTCCAAACTTTTACCATACACCGCGACGCACCAGATCCAAAAAATCAATTCAACCGTACAGTACAGGCCTCTCTCTCTCTCTCTCTCATTTTCAGTTGAAACGATTGCAAGCACCATGGATTCCGAATCAGGTCTGTCGCGAAAGACCAAAATTCAAACCCTAATTTCAATTATCTGTTTAGTCTCTGAGCTTGCTTCTCTGTGTTCTTTTGTCTGTTTCATTTGCATTTTGCAGTGATTGAGTTCCTGGGCTGCGTTCCTCTGCTTCAGAGGCTTCCCAGCTCTTCTCTCAAGAAAGTCGCCCAGCTCGTCATTTGGAAGCACTACGGTCAATTCTATTATCTAATTGCTTCTTCTGCTGAATTTAAGCTTGGTTACTATCGATAAATGTTTATACTTTATGTGCACATATACGTATGTAATATTGGGTAATTGTGAATTCACTTGTTTGTATAGTTTTTGTAATGGTATTGAAGATTTTGAGCGTGTTTCTTTGTGCAGATAGTGGAGAGTATGTTGTTCGTGAAGGTGAAACCGGAGATGGGGTTTACTTCATATGGGATGGAGAGGTTAGTTTGATTGTGTCATTACTTATTAGTTACTTATATTGGATCTTAGAGTGAGCTTATATGGTGGTTTTCTTACACAGGCTGAAGTTACTGGTTCTGTTAATGCTGATGAAGGCAATCGACCTGAGTTCAAATTGAAACGATACGATTATTTTGGTTATGGTGAGAACTGAGAACCTTTTTCTTTGAATGTAAGAAATTGGGTTACTTTCTGATGCTTACATGAGAATGCGTCAACAATTTTTATCCATATAAGATTTGAGTTTCTTAGAACAGTCCCTGGCCTGCAGGGATTTCTTGATTTGAGATTGTCAGAGGGTATATGGAGTTGTTGCCTTGATGCATTTCTTAAGTTTAGGTGTCATGTTGTCATGAAACCAGACACATGTAGTTGTCCCCATTTTCTTGAGATGAAGTCTTAGTCTGGTTGAGGATATAGATTATGTATCTTGTACTTAGGACGTTTGGCCAATGATTTGCAATAATCTAGCTGGGATTGTAATTGTCACCATCAATTATCAAGGAAGTATAATGCCAAGGTAATTTTGCAGGTTTTGCAGCATTGGAACATCAGGCTGATGTGATTGCTTTATCTAAGGTAGTTGAAATGTATATATATTAGTTTAGCTTTTTTATTTCTTTTATTTATTTTTATTAAGCTTTGGGTGCTTGGAGATGGAAATCTACCAGGCTGGGATTGAATAGTAGATTGGGCGGCACTTGTAGGGACTATTGCCTTGCTTTTCTGTGGCAATTACATCTTTTTGGTTGCTCAAGCTCACAAGGTTTTCCTTTAAATGTTGTTGTATGTATGCTAATAGTGGCTTTCTGATGTGTTGTTACTTATGGCAGTTGACATGCTTGGTGCTGCCCCATGAACACTGTACTCTTCTACGGCCAAAATCAATCTGGAATGCTGACAAAGCTCATGATACATGCTCTCTTGTTGAGAATATATTGCATTTGGAACCAATTGAAGTATGTTTCTTTGAAGTTTTTAAGAGAATACTCTTATTATCTTTTATATTTTCAGTTCAGTGCTATACTGCTGTCTAGGAGATTTGATATATTGATTGTTTAGTTATGATGTGATGCTTATAGTGCCAATTGTACAGTGCTATCTGACTTCAGCGATTGTAGTTTTTTCTGCATGTCTAAGTCCACTATTTCTCCTGGATATGCCATATGTAAATTGATTCGGAACTTTGATTCTTTCTGCTTAGAAATATAGACTACTTAATAATCGTTTCATGGTGCCTGTTGACAGTGGCATCCTTGTGTGATTTTCTTTTATATTTTGATTGATAAGATTCTGTTCTCCTTTTGTTTTCAAAGGTAAACATATTTAAGGGGATTACTTTGCCAGATGCACCAAGATTCGGACAGGTTTTTGGAGGACAGTTAGTTGGACAGGCATGATTATGTAACTTTTTCTCTTCCTCCTTAATATTTTTCTACTGGATGTTTCTCGATGAATGTATAGTAGATATAAACGATATTGAAATAGTGTGATGAACTGTAGAACTTAAACTTGCATGCATGATCCTCCTAGTTCTGCCCAAAAAAAAAGAAAAAAAAAGAAAGGAAAGCACAAAAGAGTACATCCTTTCTAAAGTGGACAAAGTTTATCTCCGCACTTGTTTGAAATTGATTGCTTATATTTACTTAACAATCTTCTACAGTGATTTATGTTTGTTCAAATATTAATTTTCAGTTGTACAATAATTTTTTATTGAGATTTCAACTTGATTTTTTATAAAATAATTCAAATGTGCTCATGAAAATATTGATATGTTTACACACCCAGTTTCTACTTAATTCAACTTGATTTTTTAAATAATGCAAGATTTGTTATAAACACTGTAAATGCAATGTTCTTTTTTCTTAAGTGAATGGCCATATTTGCTTTTTCTCTAATTTCCTTCAGCTTCATAATAATATCTGCAACTCGAAATGATTGTTCTTTTATCCATATAGTTTTGAGTTCATTCAGGCACAAAAGTTGTATCATGGCTGGGAATTTATTTAGAAGCAGTTCCATAGCATACTTGTCTCTAATATATCCTATAAAATGCAGGCATTGGCTGCAGCAACGAAAACTGTTGATTGTCTTAAACTTGTCCATAGTTTGCATGCGCATTTTCTGCTTGTTGGGGATTTTAACAGTAAGTATATGAGCCTAATATATGAGGATGAGAATCTTAAATGTGGAGGAGATATAAATATATTTAGAAACCTTATGTCTGTAATATTGCTTTTGCAGCACCAATTATATATCAAGTTCACCGAGTACGTGATGGGAAGAGCTTTGCTACTCGAAGAGTGGACGCAATACAAAAAGGGATTAACATTTTCACGATACTGGCTTCATTTAAAGTATGTGTTTATTTAGTCAGTTTACAAATTATCAGAATTTTGTTTTTGGTCGAACAAATGATCGGATAAAAATCTTTTGAATAGTACTTTCTTTGCTTGTCATTATATGTTGCATATCAAAGTGGCTAGGAGGTCAAGTCTTTATCAAGATTTGTTTATCAGATTGCAAAAGGTCTTAAGAACCATGCCTTAATAATGGTATCCAGGGAGTCGATATGCCTGCTGAATGATGTTGTATAATAAATCTTGTGTCCTAATAAATATTGTAAATTTGCTTATCTTGAATGTATGCTAAAGTGGTAGCTACGGTTGAACTGCTGCAATGTTGCACGTTGGTTTTAAGATTGGTTAGATTTATTTTGCAGAAAGAAGAAGAAGGGTCTGTCCATCAGGAAGCAAAAATGCCATCTGTGCCTGATCCAGATACGGTAGCATTTTCTTGCTTATTTATTAACAATTTTCCAGCTGATGTTGGCTGTAAATGTTGAACTATTGATCCATAACAGCTTCTGTCAATGGAAGAATTACGTGAAAAACGTCTGCTTGATCCGCGTCTTCCAAGGTAAGATATATAGTTGCATTGTAGTTCTCTGCTATATGCGATCAAGCCTGTTCTAATTTTGCCTTGTAATTTACTCATTTGTTTTTTTCTTCTTTTTCCTTTCTGGGTATTGGGGGGTTCAGTTGGGATTTCTATATAAACTATGTTTTTAGAGTATTGTTGAAACAGTCACATAGCTATACATTTTACATTTTTAGCCTTCTGGAACAGAATATCCTGTCGGATACGGTAAAGGCTCTTCCCCATTTTTATGACAAATTAGAGGGGATGGTTCATGGATCTGGACCTTTCATGGAACAGAACTTTTGTTGGGCGGAAACCACGGACAATAAATGTCTTTCTCTGGACTGGCGCCTTCCATTTTGTATGAAATTGAATTTGCTCAAGTGGATGTGTCATTTTCCTTTCTGAAAATTTAGTATCATTTGGATTTATTTTTGTACCAAAGATATTGGCTTTGAACAGAACAGCCAGAGCATTCTGTTTTATGTTTTTGTAAATAAAAAAATTCAGAAAAGTTGCTAGCTGTTTAACTTTTTGTATTAGGCTTCCTCCATTAGCACAAAATTTAGTGAACAACAATCTTAAGTTTTATGAAAGTATAATTCAAGGGCTTTTGCTTTTGTTGGAGAGTTTCTATAACTTCTGTGGAAAAGTTCCGTTGCCAAAAAGCTATGCTGGTTGATAGCTGAAGGAAGAAATTGTTTGATAAACATTTTATAAAAGCTGCTGTATGTAGTAGAAACTTTGTGCATAGTTTTTCAAGAAATTTCATAGTAAGTGTTGTGAAACTTTATGCATAGTTTTACTAAATGATCAGAATGATCATTTATTTTTCACACCATCGTGATTTTCGTTATATGTGAAGCTTTTGTTTTGTTGGATAATTGATATCTCAAATTTATATGATACTAATGATTACTTGATTCAGGATTTACCGAATCAAGGCAGCTGCAAAGAAATTTGTCCCTTGGCCTATAGAGATACGATTTTGTGAGCCTAGCAGCTCAACCAATCAGACTAAATCCCCACCAAGGTTTGCTTGCTTTACTGTGTTTCGTAATCTAAATTTTTATTGTGCCCTCAGTATGCTTCACACTATGTGAAGATGAATATTTCTTTTTTGTTTCGTTGATTTACCAGTTTTGGTACTGAACTCTTTATCTAAGTAGAATTTAGTGACGTTGCAGTTTGAGGTTCTGGTTTAGAGCAAAAGGAAAACTTTCAGATGATCAGGCTTTGCATAGGTATGCACCCATTTTATCAGTAAGCTAAGCTGATAGTACCCCCTTTTTTTTTTGGGTCAATTATCGGGTTATTTATGTTTGTATCTAGCACATTTAGTAAATACATTCACAATGTAGCTCATTTTGGGCCTCTCTTTTACCCCTTTTCATACTTCCAAATGTAAGTAAAATTTCATGGAGCATTCAACATGGATTACTGATTATTGTTTTCCAGTATGGTGATTGTTTTGTATATGATTAATTTCTGTAGATATTCTATTGTTCATATTTTGATATCTGTATGTAGATATATAATCGATTGTTGTATGATTATTTTGCAGATGCGTTGTAGCATATGCTTCAGATTTGATATTTTCTGGTGTAAGTTTGAATCCCCATCGTAGAAGGGGAGTTAAGTCATCCCAAGTTAGTTTGGACCACGCGTAAGTCCTTTTCATGTATGGTGTCCCTTTTTTCTTCCATGCTGGTAGTGATTGAAAAATTCTTATTAAACATATATATATATATATATATATATATATTTCCAATTTCTCTCAGGATGTGGTTTCACCGCCCAGTTAGAGCTGATGACTGGTTACTCTATGTGGTAGTCTCAAAATCGATATTATTTCTCACATTGTTTAGTTTTGTTAAAATGCTGATGCATGCATGCCTTCTTTTAACAGATAGTAAGTCCCATTGCCTATAATGCACGCGGATTTGTTTCAGGCCAAATGTTTAATAGAAATGGAGAGGTAAAAACTTTGCTGTTAGGTTTGTATTCATCCAAGCATTGCTTGAGTGCGTGATGCACTAAAGTTATTGCATCTTTTGATGGCAGCTCATTGTTTCATTGACTCAAGAGTCCCTGAATAGGCCAATTAGACCAATTTCTGCTCCGACATCTAAGTTGTGAGCTGGTGTTGCAGTATACCATGGCACCTAAAAGCACGGCCGGCGATCATGTCCCGGTGTACCAGTTTTAGTTCAGGTTCCGGGTTTCTGCACCGGGTTTTACAGCTAAATAGAATAATGGAATCATAGTATTTGTTATCAAAATGCTTGCAAGAAGTGTGTAATATTCTGTTAAGATGTAGCAGTTGCCCAGATTGCTGACATTGTCAGCCTCCTAACTGTTGTCCTTGGCCTAAGTATCATAAATTAACTAAAGAATGTTTTACAGTTTTATGAAGTGAAATTAAACATGTAATCGAATGTTTAAAAGTTTAAGTGAAGCCCTCTTCAATTTTTTTTTAAATTTAAATTTTATGATTACTCTTGTTTTGGATAGGTGGCTTGTGATGGATGAATCTACTTCATTAGATATCTATATCAAACTAAAAGCTGAGGGGCGAGGAGAAAAAAGGCTTAGCAGAGGATCCGGATCCTTGTCGGAAATCGGATAATGTCCATTTTCAAGTAGTTTTTCGTGCACATGCTTTGATGATGGCTTTGCCTCATCTTCAAAATATATGACCAGTTTGTTGACGACATTAAGATTTCTTAAAAGACAATATAAATTAAAGATTTCTATACACATCAATTTATTGACGAAATTAAGATTTCTTAAAAACAAATCTCCTCATTCACAGTACATTTTTTTTAGTTTAGAAAAAAAAATCTTCATTGAGCTCGGATTATCTATCTTACTTTTATTTGGTGCCAAATGTATGCTAGCTCCGTTTAAATATTTTTCTAAAGCTTTAAATTCTAAACTTTAACCCAATTTCTACAAGATTATTATTATTATTTAAATGGTTAGCCGAGTATGGTAGATAAAATATGAATGAGAAATTTGTATAAATACCACTTGAACTTTTAGGCAAGTGTTCCATTATAACCTGAACCTTTAATTTTTATGTTAACCACCTGAATTTTGTAAGGTGTTACAATCCACCACCTAGGTCTAACCGCGTTAAAGTTTCCGTTAAGTTTAAGGATATTTTTGTATGTTCCATATAACTAAAAATAAAATTTAAAAAACAGAATTTAAAAAAAGGAAAGAAAGATGTCATTACTGCTAATCCACCCTATGCATCAGTGTTCTCCGACCAACAAAAAAAACCCTATGCATCAATGTTCAACCAAAATTTATTTTGGAACACATCACCAGCAGCCACCACCTCGATTTTCACCCCCCTCCCATTCCACAATGTATGATTCTCCTTCTTTATTATATGCATAATAATAGGAATATACCTTTTTTCTTTTTACACAAAATAATAGGAATATACTTAAGCAATGTATGACGATGAAGAAGTTATAAGATAGAAAATTTAAACACTTCTCTTCCACTTAATATCAGACTGCCATGGTTCTATCATTAAATCTTTTGCCTTCTTGCATTTCTTGGCTTGTCGTTCAATCCAATGAAAGTTTTCATTTTGAAAAAAAATAAAAATTTCTAATTGCAATTAAAGACTAGCACTTGAATTTTATAACTTCATCACAATTTTGGGAAGGAATCAGTTTTTTTCTATTACGTACTAGTCTTGCTAAATATCCCAAAAAGTTCATAAACATCTGCCATTGGCAAACAAGTTCTAAAACAAGTGCAGTCCTTATAATGGATATGCCTATAATAAACTGCAAGTTAATAAAAAAAAACATAAAAATAATCAAGCAGTTAAGTTCTCTATGATCTCCAAATCATTGTCTTCTTAGATGGAGACTTAAGACTAAATTTCCTTATTGTGTGGGTTGTCATAGAAGAAATGGGTTGCGATTCCATTAACAAGCTAGAGTTTGGTTGGTCTATTGCTGTATTTGCAATTCAATTTCAACAACCCACGTCAAGATTCCAAGAGACAGAGAAATATAGAGTATGGTAGGGTAGGGGGTTAGGGAAGGTGTGGTATAATTAGGTTAACTTTATATATAAAAATTCTGTTTTTTATATTTATTTTAAGTTATAAGGAACATACGACAATATCCTTAAACTCAACAGAAATTTTAACGGAATTAGACATATGTGGTGAATTGCAATACTTTACAAAGTTTAGGTGGTTAAAAATAAACATTAAAAGTTCAGGTCATAACAGCGCACATGCCTAAAAGTTCAGGTGGTATTTATGCAAATTTCCCAATGAATAAACAAATAAATTCTATTTTATTCACCATGTTCCAGAAACGACGAGTCGTCTACATTTTTGCACTATTTCTTTCCTTTTAGTTTAAACTTACCAAGAATTGGGTAAGCTTCGACCAAAAAAAAAGAAAAATGAGTAAGCTTTCTATTAATTAAGAAAAACAGAGCTTAATCGGAAAGGTTTTGTAATTAATTATTATATAACTTGACGTGTTCTGCAGCTCTTGAGCCATTCTCAGGTTCATTTTGAATCGATTGGAGGTAAAGAAGAATGTGGTTCCAGTAACCAATCAATCAAATCTCCATTTCTGAGACTCACAGGTCAGTTTCCGCCAAATCGTTTATTTTTTTGGTCTTCTTATCAAATATGTTTTCTTTCTCTTGCGAACGGTGATATATCGATTCGGTCAAATTAGGGTTTCAATTCAACTCGTTAGGTTTGGTATTTGATCCACTTGGTTGCTGTGAAAAAAGAAGAAGAAGTTTCTGCAAATAAAATCGAATTGAAATTGTTTCCTGACAATTGGTATGAATTTGCTTTTGAATTTTATTGGGTTTGAAGAAACTTCTAGGTTCTATATATTTCCGGGGATCGAAGACATAGCTTCGGTGACAAATGGCCATTCTGTGAATAACTTAAATGGGAAACTGGTATGTAGAACAAGAGAAATGAAAGAGAGAATGTTTCCTGAACTGTGTGACTTGGAATTGGGTTTTTGGTCTTGTTGCTATTGCCTATTTTGTCAAATTGTGGCTTTTTAGTAGTGTACTGAGTGTTTAAGTTAATGTGGATTTGAAGAGTTCTGCTGCTACTAATGAGGAAAAGAGAAACTTTAACTTCAATTTCAATTTCAATTTCTTTAAGAGCTTTTTATATTCAGAACTTACATTGAGGTGAAAATATGGTAATTACATGCAATGCTATATGCTAAGCTACTAGATTGGAGAAACATATAAGTTCTTCCATTCCATAAAATTATAAAAGAATAAATTCAAGGTTAGAGAAAGAATGCCTCATCGAGATGGGGAGGGGGGGAAACGTTTTGGCGGTGTTTGATTTGTAAATTTCAAATAGATTCTCCAAAATTAATCAGCTGTAGAAAAACCTATTGAAATTGCAAACTTTATTGGTGGAAAGGGAAAGTTTGTTGTCCCTAGTTCTAGTCTTGGCGTCATAGCTGAAGGTGTAAGCTGGCTTGCATATTACTAAGATTGAGAAAGTGAATCCATTGTTCAACATACAAGCTGCTTGTTGGCTTATAGTCTTACTTATCTAAAATCCTTATGGTTCCATTTTAATTTTTCAGGCGACATTAGAATGGACCAGCCAGGTGTCGTATCAGAGGGGATCAGTGAAATGGACCTGAGCCAACAGTCGCTTATATCTGGCCTTCCAGATGACATTGCTCTCTTTTGCCTGGCTAGGGTTCCCCGGAAGTATCATACACTCCTAAAGTGTGTTTCAAAAAGATGGAGAGACTTAGTGTGCAGTGAAGAGTGGCATTCTTACCGTCAAAAGCACAAACTTGATGAGACTTGGATCTATGCTTTGTGTCGAGACAAGTTGGACCGACTTTGCTGTTATGTGTTGGATCCCAACTCATCAAGAAAGTCATGGAAGCTTGTTCATGGACTTCCGCCTCGCGTCTTGAAGAGAAAAGGCATGGGTTTCGAAGTGCTGGGAAACAAAGTTTACCTGTTGGGTGGTTGTGGTTGGTGTGAAGATGCTACCGGCGAGGTCTACTGTTATGATGCTTCCCTGAATGCTTGGAGTGAAGCTTCTCCATTATCCACTGCTAGGTAATACTTGTCAATTGTACTTTCTGCGGAGTTTTTCATGGGTTAAAGCTGGAATAATTTCTCCCAGGTTCAAATATATCACATTATCTGCTGAGAGAACACCATATTTCATGCAATTGTAAAGATTGGTGATTTCGTCTTTTGACCTGTCAGAGCATATAGATTTCTTATTATTGAATGCTGTTGTGATGAATAGTAAAAACTCTTGCAAATTAGTTTGCTCTTTGTTGTTATTATAATTGTAAAGAGCCTTTGCTTTATTGGATTTGTGCATGCAGGTGCTATTTCGCCTGTGAAGTATTGGATGGAAAAATATATTCCATTGGTGGTTTAGGTTCAAATTCAAGCGATCCACATTCTTGGGACATCTATGACCCTTGCACCGATAGTTGGAAATTTCACTCTGACACAAACATTGTACCTGAAATTGAGGATTCTGTGGTCATGGATGGGAAGATCTACATTCGCTGCGGGACTTCTGCTGTAACTTCTCATGTGTACGCTGTTGTTTATGAACCATCAAGTGGCACATGGCAGCATGCAGATGCCGACATCGTTGCCGGCTGGCAGGGTCCAGCAGTTGTCGTAGATGGGACCCTCTATGTGTTGGATCAGAGTTCAGGAACCAGGCTGATGATATGGCAGAAGGAGTCTAGGGAGTGGATTCCTGTTGGGAGGCTGTCATCCTTGCTCACCAGGCCGCCCTGTCAACTTGTAGCTATTGGGAAGAAATTTTACGTTGTAGGAAAGGGGCTTAGCACAGTCATGTTTGATGTTGAGAATGCAGGGAATATGGAAGGGGTGATGGTTAGTTCTTCAATACCTAAATTGAATTCTGATGATGATGTAATTCGCTGTAAATGTTTATCAATTTGATTTGAAATTATTGTTGCCGAAGGAGTCTTGGAAAACTACGATTGTATAATATCTTCAGTGTACTGTGTACATGCTTGGATGTATTTGGATGTCTCATAAAAATGAAACTATTTATAAGAATTTTTGGTTTATCATTCTTGATTAAAAAGTATAAGCTAAGAAGCTATTTATAACACTCGCACCGCTAGACATCCCCAACGGTTTGAACTCGACGTGATTGGCTGTGATGTTGTGGTAAGATTTGTGTATTTACTATATATATACCATCTAACTCAGTCGGGAGAGCGCAAGGCTCTTAACCTTGTGGTCGTGGCTTCGAGCCCCATGGTGGGCGCTTACAAATGTTTTACTTCTTTTTTCATGTTCATACAGAGAAGAGAACCTTTAAAAACAAAAAACAAAACAAAAAGACTTTAAAAAATACTGGACTTTCAAAGTAAGTATTTTCTTTCTTACACAGACGGAAAGATAATGTTAGTAAAGTGCATTTCCCAGATTGACAACACTTTCATTTCTGTGATTGAATCACTTAACTCAAATTATTCCATTTTTTTATCCATACGAGCAATACAGTAAAAGGCAATTAAGCGTCTACATTCCCTACATTGAGATAACATGCTCGAATTAGAAAAAACCATGAGGTGCACAAGAACATCATACCAAATACTACATTATGGGTGAAGTTCCCATTAAGTTCTTACAAATAACGGTGCAGCTCATTTACTATAAAATAAATGGTTCCTTTATTTCAGTGAGATCCCTTATCATCATCACTCTAGTACTCGAATGCTAGTACAAATAGCAGTCCTTCGTCTAGTCCATCTTCAACTGAAGGGAAAGAATGTCGTCTCAAAGGTGTCTGCGCTAAAGACGAAGGGAAACATAATTATAACCAGCGAACAAAATCATGCATGCATGTTTTTATATAGCAAAAGAAAGAAAGTTCATGTTTCCTTTCTTTGAAAAAAAAAATTAATTATGTTATGTAATATCTGCATGCATTTCGGGATAAAGAACAACAAACTTGCATCATTAAAATTTCAAAAATAGTAATGTGAGATAGATAGTAGTAATTACCATTTATCTAGTATTAGGCATCCTTTGCCTGATGATTTTGCCTTCACGTACAACCAATCTGTGAAACAAGTCCATAAATTGAAGTATGTATATCTGCATGACCTGTTGAATAGAAGAGGGCCAAAAACTCCCCAAAATCCAATAGCAAACCCAAGCCCCAAGCTGATGTAAAATCCTTGCGTTATGAGCCCATCTTTAACTTCTTGATTCACCAACATAGTTTGTCCTGGACCTTTTTCCCCCTCATCACATGTCCTTAGGAGTGGCAGTCCACAAAGTAGAGGATTTCCACCATAAGAAGATTGACCAAAGCTTTGGAGCTGGGTGCCTATTGGAATTTTTCCAGACAAGTCGTTTTTTGACAAGTCCAAGTAACTAATACGAGGTATCTGAGATAGACTGTTTGGAATTCTACCATTAATCTGGTTTCTTGATAAATCAAGGGAATCTAACTCTTGCAACATTCCAATCCTTGGAGGTATTTGACCTGTTAATTGGTTTCTTGACAGGTTTAAAGAAATCAAACCAACAAGATCAGTGATTTCACTAGGAATCTCCCCAGTCAACTTATTATTTGAGAGATCAATACTCTTTACAAGTCCCAGAGTACTTTTGTATTTAGACATTACCCCTTTCCATGTTAAAGATGCTTCCTCCTCATAATTCCAAAAAATAGATAATTCTCCCAACTGATACATATATGAACCTTGGATAATTCGACTTGAATTTCCTTTCTGAGCCAAAACAATCAAATTGTTGAGACATTTGGGTATAGTTCCAGAGATGTTGTTCATCGACAAATCCAAAATTTGAATGCGTGTCAGATGGCATAATTGGGGTGGGATGCTTCTATAGAACTGATTACCTCGAAGGATTAAGATACCCAAATTTGGAAGACTATCTCCTAACCATTCAGGTATTGAGCATGATAAGTTATTTTCCCCAAGATCAAAAAGTATCAACTTTCTACAATTCTTCAATTGTGAAGGCAACTCTCCCACAAATCTGTTGTTACTTAGTCTTAGTGTCTCGATATTGAACAAGTACCCCATCGTGGTGGGAATTTTTCCAAATAAGTAGTTATTGCTCAAATCAAGGAAGCCTAATTTTTTAAAATGGATCCAACAATCAGGAAGTTCTCCAGATACATGATTGTTGGAGAGATCAAGAAAGGTTAAATTACTATCCTTGGTTGCACACAAAAAGAAGCTGCCCCTGAAAAGTTATTATGGGAGAGATCTAGAATTGAAGCTTTTGATAGAATTGAAGGGATTGGACCCTCCAATTGGTTCCAACTCAAATTTAGGCGTGGTGCAAACTCCTCCGATATAATATTTCCAACTGTTCCTCTCATTTGATTGTGAGAGATCTCCATAACCGCTAATTTTTGTGACAAATCCCAAAACCAACTTGGAATGGTATCAGAAATTCCAGCATCAGAAATATCAAGCCAGGTATAATTTTTTTGAGTTTGAAGCCATTTTGGGAAAGACGACATCTTACAAGACTTCAATTGTATGTATTGCAATTGGAAGGGTGGAATCCAATCAAAACTGAAGTTTAAAAGTAGTGAGTTAGATGATAAACTCAAATCACTTAATTTGGAGAGTTTTGAAAAATGAGTTTCTGAAATCACTCCTTCCAAAGAATTCCAACCCAAATCAATAGTCTCCAGCTTGGACATCTGTCCAATACTTTCAGGTATTCTTCCACTTAAGTTATTGCTCCGGATTCGCAAGTCTTTCAATGACAAGAAGTTCGTAAGATCAGGCAATGAACCCGAAATATCATTATTATAAGAGAGATACAAACTCTCCAATGTCTTTTGAGCGCATTTGGACAATATTTCAACAAAGTCTGAAAGTTGTCCACTAAGACTATTATCCCAAAGGTCCAACTCTCGCAGCCTACATAACTTGGCAAAGGAATTCGGGATCCCTCCTTCAAGTTTGCTACCCTGGAGAATAAGATCTTCAAGAGAGCTCATGTTTCCAAAAGATGCAGGAATTGAGGAACCTCTGAAATTGTTCCAAGAGAGATCAAGATAAACAAGGTTGGTATGAGTACCGGACAACCATTGGAAGATTGAAGAGTTGAGATTGTTGTAGGAGAGATCGACATGAACAAGAGAGTTAGAAGAATTCATGAGCGAAACAGAGGATATAACTGGAGGAGGAAGTAGACAGTTCACTAATATCAATTTTGTTAGTTTAGGAAGCATATTAACTGCTTCCAGCCAACCAACAACATCACTGAGATTAGTGTAACTTAGGTCCAAGTGTTTCAGACCTGAAAGATTAGGGAGCCAATTGAGGTTTTTTGCATGAATAGAGTTCCTAGGGCGTATAACAGAATAATAATGAGAGCTGAGATCGAGATATTGCAACTGTGTAAGGTTTCCAAGTTGGTTTGGAATTTGACCTCCAAAATTAGCAGAAGAGAGGTCGAGGTGTCTTAAATTGCTCAGAGATCCAATGAAATCTGGAATTTGGCTCCGACTCAAATTATTGTAACTCAGGTTCAAATACTCCAAATGCTGCAAGTGAATGAGTTCAGGACTAATCTTACCTTGCAAAGATTGGTCTCCAAGATCAAGCTTAACAACATGGTCAGTTTGGTTGCTGCTACAGTAGACTCCTTCCCATTGGCAACAATTTTTGTTTTGGGCTTCTCTTCCCCATGAAAGGAGGCGATCGCCGTCGTCACCCACGAGGCCTTGTTTGAGTGCAAGGAGTGCTTGCCTGTCCCTCTCGCTACATCCAATGCAAGGGCTGCTCATGTGTAGTAAAAGCACCAGCACAATTGCATAGAGGAGTTTGAAGCAGCACCTTGCTTCAGCCATGTTAGGTACAGTCATGATCAAGGAGAACAAGGGAAACTCTTCAGGAAAAATGTAAAGAACAACCAAAGTAAGCATACATGCAAAACTGGTGAAGTACGTATATATATGCTTGTATGATATCTCAAGATTGACTTGACTCTTTATCCTAAAACAGAATTTTAAAAAATAATTCAAATAATTAACTCGAAATTAATTTAATTAATTGGGTTTAATTTTAAATTACAGAGCCCCAAGGCCCATCTTTTGATTAGTTAAAAATATATTATTTAACTATTGACCCATTGACCCAACTAATTCGGCATTGAACCCAAATGCCAAATTCAACAAGCCACTCAATTGGGCCACTTGCATAGCCCAATCCTAATTATTCTATTTCCGAGAGTAGGGCCTTATAAAGACATTCAAGGAACTATAGTTTTTCAATATGGGACAAATTTCAATTAAAAAATGTTTGCAAAAATCAACAAAGATTGACGAAACATGGTTGACTTGAGTCTTTATACTAAAACAGAATTTTGACAAAACCGCTTTCCCACTTATTAATGCAATCAATAAAGCCCCATTATCCTAAAACAGAATTCTGACAATTTATTTTGCCAACTGTCTATTTACGGGCAGCAAGTGATTGATGTGAAAGACGAGCATGCTAGAGATGAAACACGGGTTGCATTGAGAGATTATCCAAGAGCAAAGCAAGAGATAAGAAATAAAAAAAGTTATTGTTTTGTTGTTGATTTAACTCAATGTACTTTGTACTGTTATTATTCTCATAGTAAATTCTGTCTAAATATGTATGTACACATGATTATGTCAAACCTTGTAAATCTCTCGCGCATTAGTATTTTTACTCTTTGTTTATTTTATTTTGTTTAATTGTGATTTGCGTTGTGGTGTAGTTATTTATGAATCTTGGTTTAACACAGTCAAAAGCACAACAAGAAATAATGATATATCTTACAATTACAATTGTAAGGAATTGATATAAGTGTGCTCTGGAGGATTAAAAACATGTCTTTGTTGATTGCAAGCTTGATATTGAGGTTTGGCAGGACACTAATTGGTCAAGCTCAGAATATGAAAAACGTGTCTTTCCCTACATATGGATTCACAAGAAGGAGTGGTTACCAAATTTGGTCCTCCCTCCCTATCTACTTAGTCTACGTAACTTGATATTTCTGAGCCGCCAATTTGGACGCCATACATTCATATGTGAAGTAACAGTTGACCAAAACAGCAATGATCTGCACTTGTGCTAGTGATTGAATGCATCTTAGAATTATTAATTTGGAACGCGTAAAATGGATTGACGTGCTTATAGTCTTTTCATAAAGTTGGGTAAAAGCAAGAATTCCTAGCTAGCTATTCTTGGCTTCTTATTGTTGGTTCTAAATGTTGTTGCCTTTCGTTGTGTTTACGATTTTCGTTCTAATCTTTCATACGGTGCAAGTCTTCAACCCACAAAGAGCCATGCCCGTGCTTAAAACTCCAGAGGACGACATACTGTAGGGAGATAGTTGCACAAAAATGAAGCTAAAGAGTGTCCAAATAAGAACATCGGAATTTTCCTTGTTTCCACAAGTGCTACGAATAGGAATTTCATTGAATTTAGGGAAATTAATGGATGACAAGACTTTTGGAAATAAATGGATGAGAGAATACTTCTGGAAATAACGAAAATTCTACAGTGGAAAAAATGGGTGAGAAGACTTGTGCAAAAAATGGATGACAGAAGACTTGTGGAAAAAATGGATGACAGAAGACTTGTGGAAAAAATGGATGACAGAAGACTTGTGGAAATTTGGTATTGGAAGACTGAATGAGCCATCGAAAACACTTTTTTCAAAAGTGAAACACTGAATTTGGGATGAATGTGCAACTGTCGAAAGATGAAGCTCTTGTTTGTGCCCAAAAAATCACACAAGATGAAATTCTTCTCACTTTTATGAGAAAAGCCCAATTTATCTTGGGGAGTTGCCTAGAATCATGGGCCTAAGCTAGGCATATTTGCCTCCCCTTTCTTCTTTCTTCCCGAAACCGTCTCTTTTGCCTAAGATAGCGATATGGGCATAAGATTATGAGCAACGAGTTAGCTGTCTTGCAAGGAAATTCATGGAAATATATATATATATATATATATATATATATATATATACTAAACTGATAAGAATATTACAACCACCTTATGGTGTGTAACTCATTCTAATGAAAACACTACATCCATTGCAATTGATCAAATCATCAACAACATTCGTTTTTATACCAATGCAATGGGGTAGGGTTGCTGCTTGCTGGGATAAATTATTTTTGTTCAGAGTTATTGGATAAATATAATAAGGTGCAAATGGTTATTTTTTGTTTAATACAATTATGATGATGTAGATTTATTAAAGTTTATTAGATTAATTTAATGATTAATATTATCTTAAATGTGTGTATATGCACGGATGATAAATGCAGAAGTTCAGGATATAAGGAGAAAGGCAGCGGGCAGTTCTTAACGTGATAGGTTGTGGCTTTCTAGGATGTTTCTTTCCTTCATTTTTAATAAATGGATGATTGTCTGTGGGCTTATTTTTATGTTTTCAATAAATATGTAGATGGGTAATAAAAGTTGAGTGTGGGCCATGGGTCCATCTGACTGCTTGGAATCATGCTCGGATGTATTTGGATGTCTCATAAACATGAAATTATTTATAAGATTTGTTGGTTTACCATTCTTGATTAAAAAGTAAAAGCTGTGAAGCTATTTATAACACTTGCACCTGAGAGTTCACGTAAAGCAAAAGCCCGTCTAGCTCAGTTGGTAGAGCGCAAGGCTCTTAACTTTGTGATCGTGGGTTAGAGCCCCACAGTGGGAGCTTACAATTATTTTTTTTTTTTTTTTTTTTTTTTTTTTTTTTTTTTTTGATATTCAGAGAGAGAGAACCTTAACAAAAATAAATAAATAAAATACTGGACTTTCAAAGTAAGTATTTTCTTTCTTACACAGACGAAAGATAATGTTAGTAAAGTGCCTTTACCAGATTTACAACCCTTTTATTTCAGTGATTGAATCACTTAACTCAAATTATTCCATTGTTTTATTCATACTAGCAATACAGTAAAAGGCAATTAAGCGTGTCGAAAGCTAGTACAAATAGCAGTCCTTCGTCTCGTCCATCTTCAACTGAAGGGAAGCATGTCATCTCAAAGGTGCCTGTGCTAAACACTAAGGGAAGCATGATTATAACCAGTGAACAAAATCATACATGCATGTTCCTTTTATATAGCAAAAGAAAGAAAGTTCATGTTTCCTTTTCTTATTTATTTATAAATAAATATTAATTATGTTCTGTAATATCTGCATGCATTTCAGGATAAAGAACAACTAACTTGCATCATTGAATTTCAAAAATAGTATGTGAGAGAGATAGTAGTAATTACCATTTATCTAGTATTAAGCACCCTTTGCCTGATGATTTCTACCTTCACGTACAACCAATCTGTGAAACAAGTCCAGAAATTGAAGTATGTATATCTGCATGACCTGTTGAATAGAAGAGTGCCAAAAACTCCCCAAAATCCAACAGCAAACCCAAGCCCCAAGCTGATGTAAAATCCTTGCGTTATGAGCCCATCTTGATCGTCTTGATTCACCAACACAGTTTGTCTTGGACCTTCTTTGTCCTCATCGCATGTCCTTAGGAGTGGCAGTCCACAAAGTAGAGGATTTCCACCATAAGAAGATGGACCAAAGCTTTGGAGCTGGGTGCCTATTGGAATTTTTCCTGACCATCTCTTAATTTGGAGAGTTTTGAAAAATGAGTTTCTGAAATCACTCCTTCCAAAGAATTCCCTCCAAACCAAATAGTCTCCAGCTTGGACATCTGTCCAATACTTTCAGGTATTCTTCCACTTAAGTTATTGCCCGAGAAGTCCAAGTGTTTCAATGATAAGAAGTTCGTAAGATCAGGCAATGAACCCACAATGTCCTTATTGTAAGAGATATCCAAATGCTCTAATGTGTTTTGAACGCATTCCGACAATATTTCAACAAAGTTTGTAAGTTGTCCACTAAGCTCCAAGCGTCGCATTCTACATAGCTTGGCAAAGGAATTCGGGATCCCTCCTTCAAGTTTGCTACCACGGAGAATAAGATATTCAAGAGAGCTCATGTTTCCAAAAGATGCAGGAATTGAGGAACCTCTGAAATTGTTCCGAGAGAGATCAAGATAAACAAGGTTGGTATGAGTACCGGACAACCATTGGAAAATTGAAGAGTTGAGATTGTTGCGGAAGAGATCAACATGAACAAGAGAGTTAGAAGAATTCATGAGAGAAACAGAGGATATAATTGGAGGAGGAAGATTACACCCATCTAATATCAAGTTTGTTAGCTTAGGAAGCATATTAACTGCTTCCAGCCAACCAACAACATCACTGAGATTAGGGAACTTAGGTCCAGTGTTTCAGCCCTGAAAGATTAGGGAGCCAATTGAGGTTTTTTGCGTGAATAGAGTTCTTAGGGAGTATAACAGAATATCCATGAGAGCTGAGATCGAGATATTGCAAGTGTGCAAGCTTAACAACATGGCCAGTTTGGTTGCTGCTACAGTAGACTCCTTCCCATTGGCAACAATTTTTGTTTTGGGCTTCTCTTCCCCATGAAAGGAGGCGATGGCCGTCGTCACCCACGAGGCCTTGTTTGAGTGCAAGGAGTGCTTGCCTGTCCCTCTCGCTACATCCAATGCAAGGACTGTGCATGTTTAGTAAAAGCACCACCACAATTGCATAGAGGAGTTTGAAGCAGCACCTTGCTTCAGCCATGTTAGCTACAGTCATGATCAAGACGAACAAGGGAAACTCTTTAGGAAAAAGATAAAGCATACATGCAAAACTAGTGAAGTACATACGTATGCTTGTAAGATACCTCAAGATTGACGAAACAGGGTTGACTTGACTCTTTATCCTAAGACATAATTCTGACAAAACCGCTTTCAGACTCTTTGTTAAAACATCATGCAATTTTAATGGGACCTATGTAGTAAATGGTGAGAAAGTCATGTGGCAGTAAATGATGGCAGAAATTGAAGACAATTTGGGCTTCATTTTGCTGCTGCCAAAATAGGAATCAACTGCCTAACAATGGGCAGCAAGTGATTCAATTGAACAAAGACCAAGACCGAGTAAGAGTTGAAACACTGGTGCATTGAGAGGCAGAGCCGGCCCGCCGGCCCTTGGCTAGGGCAACCAGGGCCACCGCCCGGGGCCCACGATTGAGAGGGGCACAAAAAAAATTTATATTAGCCTATATATATGTATATGATCAGACAAAAAAAAATATATGTATTTGCCAAAAAAAATAAAAAATAAAAAACTAAAAGTAATGGGTATGACATTGGAGTGGCCGGCATAAGAATTCTTTAGTCATCAAACTGAAAAAACAAGGGAGAGAGAGGCATGCGTATGGGTATGCCAATTGATCTTTTTTCTAATCAGATTCTTTAATCAATTTTGATAAAAAATATCATTTTGCCCTGTATTTAAAAAAAAATTAACAAAATTGACGGCATGACCATTTATCCTAACGAAATTGAAGTTGAAGGACCACGGGAATGATTTTTTGGAAATTGAGGGACTCAAATGCAAATCGAGTTTAAGTTCTGGGACTAATAAAACGATTAACCCTACAATTGTAAGGAATTGATATAAATGTGCTCTGGAGGATAAAAACATGTCTTTGTTGATTGCAAGCTTGATATTGAGGTTTGGCAGGACACTAATTGGTCAACCTCAGCATATGGAAAATGCGTCTTTCCCTACATATGGATTCACAAGAAGGATAATCGTTAACAATTCGTAAATGTGACAGATTCGTGCATAACATCTTAGATTGAGCTAAAATTGAAGATAAATGTGACAGATTCATAAATGTGTGCATAATATCACACATCGGCTAGTATTGGCATCAGAGCGATGGCGCAAATTTGCTGGGCTAAAAGGCCACCACCGTCTCTTCAGGGAGTGTTGGATGCGGATGGTCTTCCAGGACCACCAAACTAATGTTCTTATTTATATTTTGTACTAAGTTAGCCTCTACACTTGCTTGCTTTGGCTGAGTGTGTGCTAGCTTAGTTAATTTGTTCTGTTCGAGGCTTTTGCCTCTTAATAAAGTTCCTTTTCGTTCAAAAATAATAATTTGGGAAGACATTACAAATATTGAAGTTGATTGAGACTTCTGGCTTTCATTATTCAAATTTGAATTTGGTTGATGAATTTGAATATTTATGTTATTTAAAATACGTTTGGAATTATATATATTGTTTTTATTATATTTTAATATATATTTTTAATTGCCATATTCCTAACCTCATCATATCCTAGTTTTTGGAGATTTGCAGTATTTGCATGTCGTGTCGTATCTTATCGTTGTATTCGTATCCATGTTCGTGCTTCATAGCAACGGGCTATCCATAAGCAGCAAGTGTAGGAGTTCATCAGATTTTGTCTTGTATTGCACAAGATATTTTGGCAATACCTATCTCTACTGTAGCATCTGAATCAACATATAGGAGTCACTTATTTGAGTCACTTATTTGCACACAAAATTGATTACATTCTTCACCAAAAATTAATATGATATTCTATTCTTTGTAGAAATTCTGGGTCCCACATCAAAACTTACATTGAATGAAAATTGATGTGGATGATTGCATTGCATGCTCAGTAACATGGAAGGATTGATGGACGTGGAAGCCTGAAAGAGTTCTCAAAGTTTGTTTTGAAAGAATGGATGTAATTCTTAATGTAATGTTGTTTTTAAATTTCATATTGTGTCTTTGATTGTATTAAATTTTGAATTATATGTAATGAAAGACTAAAGTTCTTTTGTAATGATTATATTTTCATACAAATCGATGATCCAATTCAATCCAATCCAATGCATAATGGATTGGATTAAATTGAATCCTGACATTCGATTGTATTGGATTGGCTTGTGAAATCTGTAATCCAATAAAAAATTGGATTGGTAAGAAACCATTGGTATTGACCCGATGCTCTAGCTTAGGACTTTGTGCTAATTTTAGCTTTAAGTTTTAAATGTTTTAATTAGTTGGACGTTCGAAAGATTTACAAGCCCGATGGAAAAAAGTGATCTTGGGTTTAAATTATTGGAATTATCTGAAATTTCAAGGATTTCTTTTTCTCTTTTAAGTTCTTTGGTTAGTGATAAAAATGAAAATTTTGGAGCAAAAAGATTTGTCAGAGGTACAAAGCTTTGTTCCTCTTCTTCCTGATGGTTTAACTGCCATGAAAACCCACAATATTTAGGGAAATATGGAACAATGAAAACCCACATATGAATGATTTAAATAGTAGTACTAGGCTATCTGAAAGAGAAAAAGTAAAAAATAAGGAACAGAAACATAAAGAACATGCTCATAGGATCTTTCTCTTGATCACCTTTAATGCATGAGGATATATGAAAGAGGAGCTTTCTGGGAAATTTGCAACAACATATTATGGTATACTTCAAAGCATGTTTTTCTTGAGTAATTACATCATCATATACGAGTTTTGATCATACGAATCAAATTTGATCAAATTTCAAAACATGTGTCATTCTACATCAATCAACAGGTGATACAGCAGTCATTCAAGGGTTGAAAACTCGGTCAACTAGTCCTTTTCTTTTAAATGCAGGATGTATGATTATGTTTTCAGAGTCTAAATTGTCAATCTTTGAAATACACTCTGTCATCCTCTTCAAAACAATAGGCAAGGCAGTAACATTGCTGGAAAGTTCATCTCTAAACAATCGTAACTTCTCGGAAGTCTGATCTCCATCAGCCAGTCATGCCCCCTTATTAGAAGCAACTAGACCTGCACCTGCAAAATATAAGTTTGTTAAGTGCTTCAACCACAACAGGAAATTTACCCTAAAAAAAGGAAATTCCATGCTACTTTTCTTTTCTAACTTCGGGGGATAAGTAGGCACTGAAAACAAAGAGTGTATAGGCATACCCAATCAAGGTAATATAGGAAATCATGGAAAAGGTTTTAATGACAGACGAAAGAAAATTCTAAGCCAGGTAAATAAAGCACCAATCTATGAGCAAAAAACCATACAACAGTGTCTTAGAGATGGTTATTTCAAAACTTTAATCAAGCAACACCAATAGAGAAAGAGGGAAACCTAGTTGAAACAAAAGCTATTGCTTTTACTATCATAGTCCTACCATTGTAATTTATGACTCAACATTTTCACCATCACAATCATAAAATAGTTCACCCCTGCGGCCTGTGCCAAACAATAGCCATATATTCAACTACACAAAAAAAACATCATCTCCACTTGTGTGCTACCATTAATTCAACTAAGACGACCACTTTCACACGGTGACTACCACCAATCTTGCCTTCAATAACATTCATCCATCAGTATTGCTATGCAACATAGCAACATACCGTCGTTTTACTGATTTCCCCCATTCTTCAAAGAGCATAATACAAGGGAGAGGAATTTTATCTCTCAAGTAAGCATTTCCACCAATGAGTCCTTTCTTGAGATGGCAAAAGAGGCACAGCATCAAAATCAGCCATGTTTGGTGTGTGAGAACACTAATGCTAGTATGATCACTACCACAAAGGATGGATGCCTTAACACTATGCCAACACAAGCTTTCCTATTTCTATCGTTATTGCCACAGAAACATAAAAATCCATTCAAATATCTTTGCAGCCACCAAAGCAAAATTAAAATCCCACTTGGGCTCCCAAAAGGGGGTTCCTTGTACCAGCTTCCATCTTCTGTGCAAACCAAAATTATATGAAAAGAAATGAACCTCAAGTTATAATTCTTGACATTTTCCAAGCTAGGGAGTCTTTCAGTTTCCTAACACACACACACTTTACCTTACTTCACTCTTTACACAAAAGACCCAATTTTGATTCTGAAATTTCTAAGAAACCCAAATAAATCATGTCTAAAAAGACCCAACTTTTCGTTCTATATCCCACCTCGTTTTTCCAACAACCTTGTACCAGCTACCAACCAGAAGTTAAAAGGTTTCAAACAATATCAATCTGATCTGAGAACCACGGCATTCATTATCCAACAACCCCAAAAAGTATACACAACACAACAAGAAGTTAAAAGAAATGTACCCGAATTCGGAGCTCTGGAAGTCCCAGGATCCGAGCCATTCAGAAAAACGGGTTTCTGAGCAGCGAGAATTGAGGCGAAGGTGTTCTTGAGCTGATCTGGTAAAGTGGCTCTGTACTCTAAAATCTTCTCTGCCATTTCCTTCACTTCACACTCCAGCACCTCCAGCTGGGTCGGGTCCGCTTTCGGAGCCCTGACGCTCGTTCAACGCCATGTCTCAAATCCAGAGGGAGAGAGAGTGAGAGTGACGATGGTGTGTGTCAAGATCAGGTTGGGGTTGATTTGGAGGGTAAGTGTGCTTTTATTTCGACGTCAGGGATTTTTTGAAATTTGAAAATCCAAGGAGGGTTTTTGAGATTTTTCAAATTCTTTCTTTCTACTTTTCGCTTTTGGAATTATTTTTTATTGAGACATTTGCTATTGTTTTTATTTATTTATTTCCTAGCATAATGAATACGAGCATCCTGAGGCTCTATATTTAGAATTTACATATTTTCTCGCATTTCACTTTGTCTTAGTCGTCGTTATAATATAAGGGTGGTGCTAGAGACATCAACTTTGGGCACCACCTTGGGCACTAACTCTCTAATAGAGGTGGAGCCCGCCAATACAACGGGTCCCACGCTCTATAAGAGAGTTGGTGCCCAAGGTGGTGCCCATAGTTAGTGCCTCTAGCATTTTCCATAATATAATGACATATAGAATCATTCCCATTAAGTTGTTTACTAAATATATGGAATTAACAAAGGAATGAGATTGATTCCCACTCTTATTGTTTACTAATTTGCATGAATTAGAATCCAAATTAATTTGATTACTAAAATGCCCTGCACATTTTCACCACAACACATATATAATTATCAAATGGCTAACGAGACCAAACTAATCCTCCAGCAAACCAGTAAGGCCGTGTAAACACGAGGAATCAATATGATGAACAAGATGAACAACATGAGCTTAGTTCAATGATAATGTTTTTTTTTTTTTTTTTTTTTTTTTTTTTTTTTTTTTTTTTTTTTTTTTTTTTTTTTTTTTTTTTTTTTTTTTTTTTTTTTTTTTTTTTTTTTTTTTTTTTTTTTTTTTTTTTTTTTTTTTTTTTTTTTTTTTTTTTTTTTTTTTTTTTTTTTTTTTTTTTTTTTTTTTTTTTTTTTTTTTTTTTTTTTTTTTTTTTTTTTTTTTTTTTTTTTTTTTTTTTTTTTTTTTTTTTTTTTTTTTTTTTTTTTTTTTTTTTTTTTTTTTTTTTTTTTTTTTTTTTTTTTTTTTTTTTTTTTTTTTTTTTTTTTTTTTTTTTTTTTTTTTTTTTTTTTTTTTTTTTTTTTTTTTTTTTTTTTTTTTTTTTTTTTTTTTTTTTTTTTTTTTTTTTTTATATTCCCACATTTTTCTTACGTGATGATCAAGCTTGTCGTCGCGCTAAGTTGTCTTTTGCGACTACTTTGTCGTTGCGCAAATATTTGCTGCCAAAAAAAAAACCCATTGTTTTCTGTCCAACTTTATGCGACGAAAAGGGACACCGTCGCGCAAGGTTTTCTCTCGTGACGAAATCTGTCGTCGCGCAAGTGTTTGGCGCCAAAAAAAGAAACCCGCGTTTTTCTTCCTCACTTTATGCAACGATCTTGTCTTTTGTCGCGCTAAGATTTCTTGCGCAACGAAAGTTTTAGTCGCGCAAGTTTTCGATATTTTGCGTGACCAATATTTTTTTCCGTCGCTCAAGTGTATCTTGCGTGACGAATTTTGCAATGCCGCGCAAAATATCATCGCGCAAATAGGAAAATGTAGTAGTGTTAGTTTGCTTTTTGTTATTATTTATAATTGTAAAGAGCCTTTGCCTTATTGGATTTGTGCATGCAGGTGCACATTCGATTGATCCACATTCTTAGGGACATCTATGACCCTTGCACCAATAGTTGGAAATTTCACGCTGACCCAAACATTGTCCCTGAAATTAAGGATTCTGTGGTCATGGATGGGAAGATCTAGGGGGTGGGCATTGGAACCGCAAAACCGTAAAACCGAACCAAACCAATCCGGAAAAAAACCGAAAAAAAAACCGTGTTGACCGAAAAAGTCAAAAACCGAGAAAAAATCCAAACCGAACCGGTTCAGACCGGGTTTCGGTTCCGGTTTTCCACCCTTAGGAACCGGTCCAATCCGAACCGGTCCAATAAAATTAATATATATATTTTTATATTATATTTGAAATTATATAAATATTTTTATACTTGGCTAAGTTTGATTGGGTGTCTACGCTACTACCATAGGCGCGCATCACAGAGGAAAAAAAAAAGACTGACTGAAACGGCCTAGGTTTTTTTGTCTTCGTTCCTCTCTTCTTCGATTTCATTTCTTCTTCGTTCGTTCCTTTCCTTCATTCATACAGAGCTGCCCCCTGAGTCAGAGAAACGACCTGGGTTTTTTTGTCTTCGTTCCTCTCTTCTTCGATTTCATTTCTTCTTCGTTCGTTCGTTCCGTTCCTTTCCTTCATTCTTCGTTCGTTCGTTCGTTCCTTGCCTTCTTCCAAACTCTATTTCTCTCTCAGTCTCAGCCATCACGTCACGCCTCTCTGCCATCGCTCTTCTTCCAGTCGCCGCCGTCGTTCTGTCGCTCTTCTCTCTCTCAGCCGTCGCGCCGCCGTCTCTCTCACTCACGTAGCCTGCAATTCAAGAGATGTCATCCGACCTCAAGAGATGGAGTTCCATGTCGTGACGCAGGTATAGATTCTGTCTTTTCTTTTTATTTTTTGACAAATTTTCCATGGAGTTCCTGCAATTCAAAATCTTCTGACAAGTTTTCTTTTTCTCAAAATCAGCAACGTGCAGAGTTATGAGTGACATAACGTGCTCGATTCCTGAGTTTACTTGTGTATCACCATGAAAGGTTGTATCCTAACCTTGTTAATCAGTTAGATCTGAAAATAACTTGCTCTTTGCTTTCTTATCTTTTCGTTTTTATGAAATATCAATGGCTTCTTGTTTTTTTATTTCTTATTATTTAGTTTTTATGAAATATCAGTTCTGGTTAGATTTCATGAATCAATTTGAGGTGCAAATTCTTGCAATGATATTGTCCCAAGTGACTCGGTGTCATGGATTCAAGTCACGGATACAGTCTGCATTTGTCTCGTCCTTACCAAACTCTGCTTATCTCTTGAAGATTGGAATTGTACTTATCTCTTGAAGATAACCTGTATTAACATTTACCATAACCAAATTTTGTTGTTGAACCTTGGTGACTTAATAAAGCTGGATGTGTTTCACAGTTTCAAGAATGTAGATTGAACCTTATGATTTTATAATTGTTTTCCCTTTTTTCTTTGGTATACTCTGTTCATTTCTTATAAGTATGTGCTGCTCCAGGAAATTAGCAAAATTTCGTTTGTTATTTATTATGTATGTATGTATGTATGAATGTATGCATCTTAATGCAGTGACAATATATAGAGGGCCTAGAGGCACTGTATGTTCCATTATTTGAATATCCCTGTTTGATGGGTAGAATCTTTGTCATATCTGGGAGTGTATTGGTTAATGGAATTTTATTATTTTTTCGGTGGTTTTTTAGCAGGTTTGCTTCATGATCGGGAATGGGTTCTTACAAGCCTAAGTGGTGAAATTCTTACACAGAAGAAGGTGAAATACCAATTTAGTAGTTTTCGACCAAAAAACCATTTTTTCTTTTATTGACAGCTTATGGGTTCTTCTCTTTCATCAGTGCTGATACTAATACCTTCCTTCATGCTAATGTCTAGGGTTGGCATCATCCTCTCAGCAGCAGCTCACGGTGGTAAATACACCTCCATAGGCTCGAAGTTTCATTGGTTTCACGCAGACCAGCATCAATTTTCTCGCAGCTTCCATCAGCAGCAATTCTGTCTATCTCAGGTATTCTTCATCTCTCTCTCTCTCTCTCTCTCTCTCTCTCTCAGATATTTTGAATTGATGTTTTGCAACTGAAATTTGGATGTTTGCAACTGAAATTTGGATGTTTGCAACTGAAATTGGTTTTGATTATATCTGTATGTTTTGATTATATCTGAAATTTGGATGTTTGCAGCTGAAATGGTTTTGATTATATCTGTATGTTTAGATTATATCTGAAATTGGATGTTTGCAGCTGAAATTTGATGTTTTGCAATTGAAATTTGTATAGCTTGTATGATAATTGGTTTTGATTATATATGTATGTACAGCTTGTAATTGGGAAATGAGACATAGTTGTTTTTTTTTACTCAAGTGTTTTGTTTTGTTAGTTCGATTGTATAATATTTAATTTTCTGTTTTTTTTTTAAATTGAGGGCTTGTTTTTTGTTAGTATCATGTTTAAGTTGCTTTTTTTTTTGTTTCTTAAAGAAATCATGAATGAGTCAAACCCATTTGGAGAGGTACATCCCACTACTAATAGTGAAGTTGGTTCATCATCCGCATCCGTATCCACATCCGCATCCGCATCCGCATCTTCTTCAACACCTTCATCCACTTTACCTAACCCTCAAACACTAACTCAAAGTACACCTCAACCGAGTGGTCTTCCACCATTACCTCATTCCGGCCCAAAAAGAGAAAAATCGGAAGTATGGGATCACTTTGAGAAATATGAAGAAGTGGTTGAGAGTGTGAAGGAGGATGGGAGCAAATATGCAACCACTAAGAAGAGAGCTAGGTGCAAGTATTGCACTATGAGCTATGCAGCAGACTCTACTAGAAATGGGACCTCAAATTTGAGGAAACATATTGAAAACTTATGTAAGAAATATCCGGGAAGGGTTCCTAAAGATAAACGGCAAAAGCTCTTGTCTTTTGACCAAGAACATGGGGTTCTTACATCAACAATGCATGGTAAAGAAGAGTGGTTAAAGGCATGTGTAGAGATGGTAGTAATGGATGAGATGCCGTTTAGTGTGGTTGAAGGAAAAGGGTTTAGGCGGTTTTGTAATTCTTTGAACCCCCATTTTCAAGTGCCATCGCGTAGGACACTTGTGAGGCATTTCATGGTAATGTATGATGCCATGAAACAAAAATTGAAAGAAGAATTAGCACCACATAGAGTATGCCTCACAACGGACACTTGGACAAGTGTTCAAAACATCAATTACATGGTCATCACGGCACACTTCATAGATGGTGATTGGAACTTGCACAAAAGAATCTTGAACTTTTGTGTGATTTCCAATCACAAGGGGAACTCAATTGGTAAACTCCTTGAGTCATGCTTGCTTGATTGGGATTTGAAGAAGATATTAACCATCACGGCCGATAATGCTTCTTCAAACACAAAGGCTATAGATTACTTGAAGTCGAAAATGGGCCATTGGGGAAATGGTAGTCTTTTATTAGAGGGAAAGTATATGCACATTAGGTGTTGTGCTCATATTGTGAATTTGATAGTTCGTGATGGGTTGAAGAAGTTGGAAAAAAGCATAGTGTGTATAAGAAATGCTGTGAAGTATGTAAGATTTTCTCCCAAAAGGTTGGAGGACTTTAAGAGTTGTGTTAAGAAAGAGCAAATTGATTGCAAAGGAATTTAATGAAGTTGGATTGAATTTGGGTTGTAATGTATATTTGAATTGAATTTGGGTTGTATTTGGCTAGTAATTTATTTGAAACTTATTTTGTTGAAGTTTGATTGAATTTGGGTTGTAATTTATATGTTGAAGTTTGATTGAATTTGGATTGCATTTTTGTTGAAGTTTGATTGAATTTGGGTTGTAATTTATATGTTAAAGTTTGATTGAATTTGGATTGCATTTTTGTTAAAGTTAGATTCATTTTGATGCGTTGAAAGCTTGATAGAACCTCAAATTTGAGGTATGTTAGTATATAAATTCATTTTGGGCAGGTTTGTTTATTATTATTAAAATAAAAAAATAAAAAAATAAAAAAACCGGAACCGTTGGATTCGAACCGGAACCGGACAGGTCCGGTTTGGTTCGGATTTCTGTATGGATATTGAGCAGAACCGGTCCAAACCGAACCGGATTGCACTATTGGATCAGGTTCCATTTTTCTCCAAGAACCGGTCCAAACCGAACCGTGCCCACCCCTAGGAAGATCTACATTCGCTGCGGGACTGTTGTAACCTCTCATGTGTACGCTATTGTTTATGAACCATCAAGTGGCACATGGCAGCATGTAGATGCCAACATGGTTGCCGGCTGGCAGGGTCCAGCAGTTGCCGTAGATGGGACCCTCTATGTGTTGGATTAGAGTTCAGGAACCAAGCTGATGATGTGGCAAAAGGAGTCTAGGGAGTGGATTCCTGTTGGGAGTGTCAAACAAAGTAGGGCAAATATTCAGTTATGCTAAGATACGCTCATATTGGCTCATATTGACTTATATTATTATTCTTCTCCAATATGGAGGTATTTATAGAGAAGTACAACCCTAAATAAAATAGGAAATAAATCAAATTACAATAGAAAATAAATATAAATTACAATAGGAAATAAATCTCAATTATAATAGGACTAGATAAATGGGTAAGTAACCAAAATCCTAACATAGTAAGGAACCCAAAATCTAAGTAAGTAAGGACTCGCCAACACTCCCCCTCAAGTTGGGGAAAAGATATTTCGCATGGCCAACTTAACAAGCGAGTCATAGAACACCATACTTGAGAACACCAATTGTAGTGAAGGTCTTTTCGTCAACCACGAGTGAAACAAGTGACAAACTAAAGCAAAGTTCGCAGTGGAAACACAAGAGCAAACCCTAAAAATATGGCACATAGCAGAACATAGAAACTCTGTGAGCACGGCAATAGGTAAGGCAGAACACAGAAACCCTGTGAGCACGGTAGTATGTAAGGCAGAACACAGAAACCCTGTGAGCACGACATTAGGTAAGGCAGAATACAGAAGCCCTGTGAGCACGAAAGTAGATAAGGCAGAACACAGATACCCTGTGAGCATAGTAGTAGGTAAGGCAGAACACAGAAACCCTGTGAGCACAACATTAGGTAAGGCAGAACACAGAAGCTCTGTGAGCACGACAGTAGATAAGGCAGAACATAGAAACCCTATGAGCACGGTAGAGGTAAGGCAGAACACAGAAGCCAAGCAAGAGCAACAATACTGTACTAACAACAGCAATACAAGGCACTGGCTCCAGCAAAAGCAACAAGGCAGGGACATAATAGGCATCATCAACAGTAATCAACACTATCCCCAATAAGAGTCATAACAGGCAGGAGCAATAACATTTTCCCTAACAAGAGACATAACAAGCAGGAGCAACAGTACTAGCACCAGCAAATGACATAGTAGTCAGCAACAATAACAATGACAAATACTTTCATTATTGCATAGACAAATTCTCTTCACTCACTCTCTCCCCCTGAAGAGAAGAGGTCGTCGGAACTATAAGAAAAGTGGCACTTAAGAAACACAAGCGGATTGACACTCAGATGTAGAAGAATCAGTCATGGCAGATAGGTAGCTGAATTGTAGCCGAATAGATGAGTAGTAGTGTCACTCCCCCTCAAATCCGACGATGTATGAGAGTCGAGATTTGGAGAAAGTAACACCCAAATAAATAGAGCGTAAGAAAACACAGATGTTTCTGGGCAGGAAGTGAAACACATTATCAAATGGGAAAAAAGAAGCCATGTAGGCGTGCACATAGAGAGAGGATCCGCGAATAAGCATGAGAGGAAAGTAAATAGGAGCAATTGAAATAATAGAAAAAAGACTCAAATATGCCAGTCTCATGTAGAAACAAATGCAAGAGGGGAATGTGGCAGCATACGGCTGTCCCAGGAAGAAAAAACTTCAGAAAAGAAGAATAGTAAGGGAGGAAACCCAGCAAATCATGAATAGAGACAAGACAAAGATAAGGTGCTCAAACTGAGAAGCGGAAAGGCAACTCAAGAGAGCAACCGAAGAAGACAGAGACCAGTAGAATAGTCAAAGGAAAGGCTCGGCGAGCGTTGACGAGGCTCGCGGAGGAAAACAATGGCTTGGTGAGCGGTGACGAGGCTCACTAAGGAAAGCAACGGCTCGGTGAGCGGGATTATAGGTTAAGTGTATAGTGCAACATAAATAGGTAGTGCGGCAATGACCATAGCAATGGAAAGCGAAGCAAACAAGGGCAACATCAATGGCAACAATAGCGGCAACGATAACATCAATGGCGGTAGTAGAGGCAACGACAATAGCAAGAGAAAAATGGGCAAAGCAAGGTAAGGCAAGGCAATGATCACAGCAACGAAAAGCGAAGCAAGCAAAGACAACATCAACGGCGACAACAGCGACAATGACAACAATAATGATAGCAGTTCTTCCATATCAACTTTAGCTAATTCACGCAGACACACATTCTCTTCACTCTCCCTTTCCCCCCTGAAGAGAATGGGTTGTCGGAGTCAAGAAATAAGCAACTTCTTCATGGGAATACATCAAGCTAATGGGGATACATCAATAAACATATATTTTTCACTCCCCCTCCCCCCTTGAAGAGGAGGGGAGGAGAGTGCATAAATTTCAAGGAGAACGCAAGCACAGGTCACAAGAAAACCTAGGCTCTTATACCATGTCAAACAAAGTAGGGCAAATATTCAGTTATGCTAAGATACGCTCATATTGGCTCATATTGACTCATATTATTATTCTTCTCCAATATGGAGGTATTTATAGAGAAGTACAACTCTAAATAAAATAGGAAATAAATTAAATTACAATAAAAAATAAATATAAATTACAATAGGAAATAAATCTCAATTATAATAGGACTAGATAAATGGGTAAATAACCAAAATCCTAACATAGTAAGGAACCCAAAACCTAACTAAGGCCTAGTTTGGGATTGTTGCCGCTTAAAAAAAACGCTGCTTCTACTGTGCTTTAAAAAGAATCAGCTGTTAAGTAAAACAGTTAAACGTTTGATAAACTGTAATTTTAAAAGTGCTGTGAATATGAAAAGTACTGTCAGAGCGTTTGGTAAATTTTACCCATAAAAGTGCTGTAACTATTTATAATGACTAAAATGGACATGATGCTGAAAGTGCTTTTACTAATCTTTATATAAATATGTATGTATTGGAAGATGAACATGTTATAGCAAATAATGTTTTTACTAAAAACATGCATAGTGCCTAAGTAATTACCTATAGGAAAACTTGGGCAAAACTACATACATCAAAAGCAATACACCAAGTCGTACAAGATGACAAGGATTCAAACACACTCCTATATACTTTTCCCTTATTTTTTGGGTTTGCAGTTTTGATATTTATTCACAAAACATAAGCTTTACAAAAGATTAATGAAAGTCAAAGAAAAACTATACATATATCACTTATGGAAAATAAAAATAAAGAGCAAATTTTTATTTCTTTTATTTAATCAAGCTCTCTAGAAAATAAAATTAATAAACAGTAAGAATAATACATATAACAGTTATGGAATAAGAATAATACATATATCAGTTATGGAATAAAATTCTATGAATTCATGAGCTTTGTTATAACTATTTTTGTGTTTTTGTTTTCTTCTTAATAATTGCTTATCACAGCTAACCTACAGCACGCACCAATTCATTCTCTATCTACTCACAGCAACAAATTTGAATGATTGTAAAAGCACACAATGATGACATCATCAATGGGGCTTCCATTCAACCCTGTGGCTGTAGCAAGGTCACTGGGTGTCCAGCCTCACTCACTTGTGCATAAGCCAAGCATATCAGATGGGTCTTCAATGGTGGCTATATTTAGTGACCCTAGCAAATTTTGAGAGATTGAAGAGATTGAAGAATAAATATATCCCAGAAAATTATAATCAATAACTTTGAAGAGATTGATAATCTACCTTGTAAAAGAGATTGAGAGAGATTGAGCCTTGAGAGGCTACGTGAAGATGAACTTTGGTGTCTGCAGATTTGAGAGAAATACGTGAGGATAATTACCTAACCTAATAAGGGTATTTGTGGAATTGCGAAAATTTCATTAAAGGGAGAGCGCTGCTTCAATTGAAAGCAGCTTTAAAAAGCAACCCCGAGGTTGCTTTTAAAAGCTGTTGTCAAAAGACCATTACTTTTAAAATAAGCAGGATATTTTATTTTTACCAAACACCTTAAACTGCTTAACTTTAAAGTTAAGCAGGTTTTTGGCCAAAAAAAGCAATCCCAAACGGGGCCTAAGTAAGGACTCGCCAACAGGGAGGCTGTCATCCTTGCTCACCAGGCCGCCCTGTCAACTTGTAGCTATTGGGAAGAAAGTTTACGTTGTAGGAAAGGGGCTTAGCATAGTCATGTCTGATGTTGAGAATGCAATGAATATGGAAGGGGTGATGGTTAGTTCTTCAATACCTAAATTGAATTCTGATGATGATGTAATCAGCTGTAAATGTTTATCAATTTTATTTGAAATTATTGTTGCCGAAGGAGTCTTGGAAAACTACCATTGTATAATATCTTCAGTGTACATGCTTGGATGTATTTGGATGTCTCATAAACATGAAATTATTTATAAGATTTGTTGGTTTACCATTCTTGATTAAAAATGTATAAGCTATGAAGCTATTTATAACACTTGCACCGCTATACATCCCCAAGGGTTTGAACTCGACGTGATTGTATCTGATGTCGTGGTAAGATTTGTGTAAATATACCTCCTGAGACTTGAAGTAAGCGTATAGCCTGTCTAGCTCAGTTGGTAAAGCGCACTCTTCAGTGTACATGCTTGGTTCGAAGTCCACGTGATTGGCTGTGATGTTGTGTATTTACTATATATATATCTTGAGAAGTAGATGTATAGCCCTTCCAGCTCAGTTGGTAAAGCGCAAGGCTCTTAACCTTGTGTATTAATCATACGGGTCTTGGTAACCCCTATTGAGTCATCCAACAGAGGCCCAAGCCAAGTCGGATTTTCCTCAAGAAACCAGTAACCCAGGTCAATGTCGTGGCCCCTATCAGCTATAACGTTGAGAAGAGAACCTTTAAAAACAAAAAAACAAAAACAAAAACAAAAACAAAAAACAAAAACAAAAAACTTTAAAAATACTGGACTTTCAAAGTCAGTAATTTTTTTTTCTTACACAGAACGAAAGATAATGTTAGTAAAGTGCCTTTCTCGGATTGACAACCCTTTCATTTTTGTGATTGAATCACTTCACTCAAATTATTCCATTGTTTTATTCATACAAGCAATACAGTAAAAGGCAATTAAGCGTCTACATTTCCTACATTGAGATAACATGCTCGAATCAGAGAAAACCATAAGGTACACAAGAACATCATACCAAATACTTCATGGGAGAAGTTCCCATTAAGTTCTTACAAATAACAGTACAACTCATTTACTATAAAATAAATGGTTTTTTTTTATTTCAGTGAGATCCTTTATCATCATCACTCAATTGTACTCGAAAGCTAGTACAAATAACAGTCCTTCGTCTCGTCCATCTTCAACTAAAGGGAAGCATGTCGTCTCAAAGGTGTCTGCGCTAAAGCCGAAGGGAAGCAAGATTATAACCAATGAACAAAATCATGCATCCATGTTTTTAAATAGCAAAAGAAAGAAAGTTCATGTTTCCTTTTTTTTTCTTTTTCTAAAAATATTAATTATGTTTTGTAATATCTGCATGCATTTCGAGATAAAGAACAACTAACTTGCATCATTGAATTTCAAAAATAGTATGTGAGAGAGATAGTAGTAATTACCATTTATCTAGTATTAGGCATCCTTTGCCTGATGATTTCTGCCTTCACGTACAGCCAATCTGTGAAACAAGTCCAGAAATTGAAGTATGTATATCTGCATGACCTGTTGAATAGAAGAGTGCCAAAAACTCCCCAAAATCCAACAGCAAACCCAAGCCCTAAGCTGATGTAAAATCCTTGCGATATAAGCCCATCTTTATCGTCTTGATTCACCAACACAGTTTGTCCTGGACCTTTTTCCTCCTCATCACATGTCCTTAGGAGTGGTAGTCCACAAAGTAGAGGATTTCCACCATAAGAAGATGGACTAAAGCTTTGGAGCTGGGTCCCTATCGGAATTTTTCCAGACAAGTTGTTTTCTGACAAGTCCAAGTAACCAATACGATCTATCCGAGATAGACTGTTTGGAATTCTGCCATTAATCTGGTTTCTTGATAAATCGAGGAAATCTAACTCCTGCAGCATTCCAATCCTTGGAGGTATTTGACCTATTAATTGGTTTCTCGACAGGTTTAAAGAAACCAAACCAACAAGATTAGTGATTTCACTAGGAATCTCCCCAGTCAACTTATTGCTTGAGAGATCAATACTCTTTACAAGTCCCAGAGTACTTTTGTATTTAGACCTTACCCCTTTCCATGTTAAAGATGCTTCCTCCTCATAATTCCAAGAATAACCTATTTCGTCCACATCAGCCTCATATGAATGTTCCATAATTTGACTTGATTTCCTTTCTGAGCCAAAACAGTCAAATTGTTGAGACATTTGGGTATAGTTCCAGAGATGTTGTTCATCGACAAATCCAAAATTTGAACGTATGTCAGATGGCATAATTGGGGTGGGATACTTCTATAGAACTGATTACCTCGAAGGATTAAGATAGTCAAATCTGGAAGACTAGCCCCTAACCATTCAGGTATTGAGCATGATAAATTATTTTCCCCAAGGTCAAAAAGTGTCAACTTGGTACAATTCTTCAATTGTGAAGGCAACTCTCCCACAAATCTGTTGTTACTTAGTCTTAGTGTCTCGATACTAAACAAGTGCCCCATCGTGGTGGGAATTTTTCCAAATAAATAGTTATTGCTCAAATCAAGGAAGACTAATTTTTTAAAATGGATCCAACAATCAGGAAGTTCTCCAGATACATGATTGCTTGAGAGATCAAGAAAGGTTAAATTACTATCCTTGGTTGCACACAAAAAAGAAGCTGCTCCTGAAAAGTTATTATGGGAGAGATCTAGAACTGGAACTTTTGATAGAATTGAAGGGATTGGACCCTCCAATTGATTCCAACTCAAATTTAGGAGCGGTGCAAACTCCAATCTAATATTTCCAACTGTTCCTCTCATTTGATTGTGAGAGATATCCATATCCTCTAATTTTTGTGACAAATCCCAAAACCAATTTGGAATGGTATCAGAAATTCCAGCATTAGAAATATCAAGTGATGTATAATTTTTTTGAGTTTGAAGCCATTTTGGGAAAGACGATGCCACATCTTACAGGACTTCAAGTATATGGTTCGCAATTGGAAGGGTGGAATCCAATCAAAACTGAAGTTTAAAAGTAGTGAGTTTGATGATAAACTCAAAACACTTAATTTGGAGAGTTTTGAAAAATGAGTTTCTGAAATCACTCCTTCCAAAGAATTCCAACCAAAACCAATAGTCTCCAGCTTGGACATCTGTCCAATACTTTCAGGTATTCTTCCACTTAAGTTATTGGCCTCGAGATACAAGTCTTTCAATGATAAGAAGTTCGTAAGATTAGGCAATGAACCTACAATGAAATTGTCAGAGATACCCAAACTCTCCAATGTCTTTTGAGCGCATTTGGACAATGTTTCAACAAAGTCTGAAATTTGTCCACAAAGACTATTATCCTCAAGGTCCAACTCTCGCAGCCTACATAACTTGGCAAAGGAATTCGGGATCCCTCCTTCAAGTTTGTTAGAATAGATATAAGATATTCAAGAGAGCTCATGTTTCCAAAAGATGCAGGAATTGAGCGCCCATATAACTCGTTCGCAGAGAGATCAAGATAAACAAGGTTGGTATGAGTACCGGACAACCATTGGAAGATTGAAGAGTTGAGATTGTTGCCGAAGAGATCGACATGAACAAGAGATTTAGAAGAGTTTATAACAGAAACAGAGGATATAATTGGAGGAAGATCACAGTCTGATAGTATCAAGTTTGTTAGTTTAGGAAGCATATTAACTGCTTCCAGCCAACCAACAACATCACTGAGACTAGCGTAACTTAGGTCCAAGTGTTTCAGACCTGAAAGATTAGGGAGCCAATTGAGGTTTTTTGCATGAATAGAGTTCTCAGAATCTTCACAAGAGCTGAGATCTAGATATTGCAAGTGTGTAAGGTTTCCAAGTTGGTTTGGAATTTGACCTCCAAAATTAGCAGAAGAGAGGTCGAGGTGTCTTAAATTGCTCAGAGATCCAATGAAGTCTGGAATTTTGCTCCAACTGAAATCATTGAAACTAAGGTCCAAATACTCCAAATGCTGCAACTTAACGAGTTCAGGACTAATCTTACCTCGCAAAGATTGGCCTTTAAGATCAAGCTTAACAACATGGCCAGTTTGGTTGCTGCTACAGTAGACTCCTTCCCATTGGCAACAATTTTTGTTTTGGGCTTCTCTTCCCCATGAAAGGAGGCGATCGCCGTCGTCACCCACGAGGCCTTGTTTGAGTGCAAGAAGTGCTTGTCTGTCCCTCTCGCTACATCCAATGCAAGGACTGCTCATGTGTAGTAAAAGCACCACCACAATTGCATAGAGGAGTTTGAAGCAGCACCTTGCTTCAACCATGTTAGCTACACTCATGATCAAGACGAACAAAGGGAAACTCTTTAGGAAAAATGTAAAGCACAACCAAAGTAAGCATACATTCAAAACTGGTGAAGTACATATATATGGTTGTATGATATCTCAAGATTGACTTGACTCTTTATCCTAAAACAGAATTTGGATAAAACCGCTTTCCCACTTCTTGCAATCAATAAAGCCCCATTATCCTAAAACAGAATTCTGACAATTTATTTATTTAAATAATTAATTTGGCTATTTTTTTGTCGTTGACCAAATTAAAATTTCGTGTAAAATCTAATGACCAAAAAAATATTTAACCATTTTTTAAATATAAAAAAAAAAAAAAAAAAAAAAACAAAACTTGATTGTTGGTTTGCATTGTAGTGTGGTTACTTGTAAATCTCAATTTATCATGGTAACAATTTCCGAGTTCCAACTTGTTATTAATAACGATATTTATAGTGGTTACCATAACCTAAACTCGTGTATAATAATTCTACTAAATCACATGGCTGACACAGGTAATTCACCAAACATGGGTGAGTCTTTAGCTAACTCACTTTCCACCTAGTAAACTACTACATTTCCCAATTCACCGAGGCATAGAAATCAGTAAAGCCCCTTTGTTTAGCCTAAAAAAGAATTCTGCCAAACCACGTTTTTCACGAGTGAAAGTGTGAACTCTTGAATTCGAGATGAATATCTTGCCTTAGATTATCACATTTAGTGCATCTATGTGTTGTGGTGTAGTTATTTATGAATCTTGATTTAACATAGTTAAAAGCACAACAGGAATATGATATATCTTACAGTTACAATTGTAAGGAATTGATATGTGTATTGGAAATCTGGTGAAGTATATTTGCTTGTTTGATATCTCAAGATACAAGCATTAATTATTTATAGTGGTTACCATAGCCTAAACTCGTGAATGACAAAGTGGGATTCTTTAATTCTTTAATGCGCCAAAAATGGGTGAGTCTTTCCACCAAGAGCAACATTTTCTAATTTACCGAGGCATGGAAATCAATAAAGCCCCTTTAGCTAAAACCACGTTTTTCAGCTGAAATGCCTTTTCAGTGTGAACCCTTGAATTTAAAATAAAAAGTTCCTTTAATGGAGATGATCATATTGCCTCTCTTACGGTAAAAGCTCAGTATTTATAAATTTGTATTATAATAATAAGGGCATCTACAAGTTCTTTGCATTAAACTGATTGCTATCACAATAAGTCCATACAGTACATCAAGCAATAAGTCTACAATTATTTTGTTGGATTTATAACATATCATGGTGGATATGAGTTTTTTTTATATGAATGGATACTATTCTCAGTTAGACTTTAGTTTGCAAGTCCCACAGAGTGCTCCCTCTTTCTTGAAGGGATGGCACAAATCTCCATCGGGCTAGGTCTCCAACCTTAATGGGGGGAGATTTCGGGGGAAAATCAGGGGAAGCTATGGGATCCCCGAATTTTAAAAAGGAAATGATTTAAAAGTCCACTTCAAGCCTTAGATTGTCTAATTAGTACAAACAATTAAAATTTTCCTCTGCCGCTTCAAATGTTAAGCCGGTCCATTTTAAACGGAACATCAATGGATGTCACTCTCAGACAATAACCTATTGAATGTCACTATTGGGTTTAACAAAAAATGCACCCACAATCAATGTCACTATCGAAAAATGACATGGGCATAATATAACCAGCATGTTCTTATTTGAAGGCGTTGGACCATTTTGTATTCGTCTCCTCCTATTTATCCTTATATGGTAAATTCCCTTTTAATAATTTCAAGTTGGGAGCCGCGGATGGTATTGTTATCCTCATACTCCTACAGTACTAGGCCCAATAAGTAATATATGTAATAACTATGTAAATTATAATATAATATTTATTTAGGTTTTTTAAATTGAATGGATATTATTATAAGTCATTGAGTTGAATTTTATAATTCAATTGAATGTAATTGATTTGAATGATAATTTAAAGTAAAATCTAAGTGTTATAATGTAGGATAATTTTTTTTAAAAATAAAAAAATTGGAGATTCAGGTAGGATTTAGGAGGCAACTCTCCGACGGAAGGTCACTTACAATTTCCATGGCTCTGTTCCATGATTTTTATTATGTCGTAGTGGAAGCATTATTGATGACTTGACTTTGAAGACTTGGACTCTTTCATTCCACCAAGCACATTTTGGAGAATTGGGATTTGATAATGCAAAAGAAAACATTAGTGTGTCTTTGCCAAACTTTATACCCAACTAGTTTTTTCCAGTCCACCGAGGTATATTATATTGAACTCTCTAAAGTCCCCTTTTACCAAAATAACAATTGTGCCTAAAATAGTTTTACCAAAACCACATTTTTCAAAAGGGAATTATCTTTTTGAAGTGGGATGTTGCTGGTATGCAAAAAGAAGAGCGTGTATTAATTTTTTAAACATCCTTTCAACTTGACATTGGATTCTTTCCTATCTTTATAACGTGTTTGAGATATTCACACAGACAGAAGAGACCAAAACCAAAGTCATGCATTTATTCAAGATAAAACATGAAAAAGGACTACAATCTATCATTCATCTGCTACTACTGCTAGAAATTAAGTTGGACAGTAATTTCCAAAACGCAAGTGGCCAGGAATTAACTTGAGTTAAGTAATTGAATAAATTTTGGAATTTATCAAATGCCACATCTGACCTAGAAGGCGTCGACATGGTCAACAACTAGACAAAGTCAAGCAGGAAAGACAGCAAGTCCCATCTTCTTTCTTCCCGAAACATTCTCTTTTGCCCAAGATAGGGATATGGGCCTAAGATTATGAGCAACAAGTTAGCTGTCTTGCAAGGAAATTCATGGAAATATATATATATATATACTAAACTGATAAGAATATCACAACCACCTTATGGTGTGTAACTCATTCTAATGAAAACATTACATCCATTGCAACTGATCAAATCATCAACGACATTCGTTTTTATACCAATGCAATGGGGTAGGGTTGCTGCTTGCTGGGACAAATTTTTATTCATATGAGCAATACAGTAAAAGGAACTTAAGCGTCTACATTTCCTGCACTGAGATAACATGCTCGAATCAGAAAAAGCCATGAGGTACACAAGAACATCATACCAAATATTTCATGTGTGAAGTTCCTATTAAGTTCTACAAATAACGGTACAACTCATTTACTATAAAATAAATGGTTTCTTTATTTTAGTGAGATCCCTTATCATCATCACTCAAGTACTCGAAAGCTAGTGCAAATAGCAGTCCTTCGTCTCGTCCATCTTCAACTGAAGGGAAGCATGTCGTCTTAAAGGTGCTTGCGCTAAAGACAAAGGGAGGCATGATTATAACCAGTGAACAAAATCATGCAAGCATGTTTTTATATAGCAAAAGAAATAAAGTTCATGTTTCCTTCATTTATTTATTTATAAATATTAATTATGTTCTTCAATATTTGCATGCATTTCGGGATAAAGAACAACTAACTTGCATCATTGAATTCCAAAAATATATGTGAGAGAGATAGTAGTAATTACCATTTATCTAGTATTAGGCATCCTTTGCCTGATGATTTCTGCCTTCACATATAGCCAATCTGTGAAACTAGTCCAAAAATTGAAGTATGTATATCTGCATGACCTGTTGAATAGAAGAGTGCCAAAAACTCCCCAAAATCCAACAGCAAACCCAAGCCCCAAGCTGATGTAAAATCCTTGCGATATGAGCCCATCTTATCGTCTTGATTCACTAACATAGTTTGTCTTGGACCTTTTTCCTCCTCATCGCATGTCCTTAGGAGTGGCAGTCCACAAAGTAGAGGATTTCCACCATAAAGAAGATGGATCAAAGCTTTGGAGCTGGGTGCCTATTGGAATTTTTCCAGACAAGTTGTTTTCTGACAAGTCCAAGTAACCAATACGATCTATCCGAGATAGACTGTTTGGAATTCTGCCATTAATCTGGTTTCTTGATAAATCAAGGGAATCTAACTCCTGCAGCATTCCAATCCTTGGAGGTATTTGACCTGTTAATTGGTTTCTCGACAGGTTTAAATAAACCAAACCAACAAGATCAGTGATTTCAATAGGAATCTCCCCAGTCAACTTATTGCTTGAGAGATCAATACTCTTTACAAGTCCCAGAGTACTTTTGTATTTAGAACTTACCCCTTTCCAAGTTAAAGATGCTTCCTCCTCATAATTCAAAATATAACCTACTTCTAGCTGAGCCATATATGAATGTTGGATAATTCGACTTGAATTTCCTTTCTGAGCCAAAACAATCAAATTGTTGAGACATTTGGGTATAGTTCCAGAAATGTTGTTCATCGACAAATCCAAAATTTGAATGCGTGTCAGATGGCATAATTGGGGTGGGATGCTTCTATAGAACTGATTACCTCGAAGGATTAAGATACCCAAATTTGGAAGACTATCTCCCTAACCATTCAGGTATTGAGCATGATAAGTTATTTTCCCCAAGATCAAAAAGTATCAACTTTCTACAATTCTTCAATTGTGAAGGCAACTCTCCCACAAATCTGTTGTTACTTAGTCTTAGTGTCTCGATATTGAACAAGTACCCCATCGTGGTGGGAATTTTTCCAAATAAATTGTTATTGCTCAAATCAAGAAAGACTAATTTTTTAAAATGGATCCAACAATCCGGAAGTTCTCCAGATACATGATTGCTTGAGAGATCAAGAAAGGTTAAATTACTATCCTTGGTTGCACACAAAAAAGAAGCTGCCCCTGAAAAGTTATTATGGGAGAGATCTAGAACTGAAGCTTTTGATAGAATTGAAGGGATTGGACCCTCCAATTGATTCCAACTCAAATTTAGGCTCGGTGCAAACTCCAATCTAATATTTCCAACTGTTCCTCTCATTTGATTGTGAGAGATATCCATATCCTCTAATTTTTGTGACAAATCCCAAAACCAACTTGGAATGGTATCAGAAATTCCAGCATCAGAAATATCAAGCCATGTATAATTTTTTTGAGTTTGAAGCCATTTTGGGAAAGACGATGGCCACATCTTACAAGACTTCAATTGTATGAATTGCAATTGGAAGGGAGGAATCCAATCAAAACTGAAGTTTAAAAGTAGTGAGTAGATGATAAACTCAAATAACTTAATTTGGAGAGTTTTGAAAAATGAGTTTCTGAAATCACTCCTTCCAAAGAATTCCAACCAAAACCAATAGTCTCCAGCTTGGACATCTGTCCAATACTTTCAGGTATTCTTCCACTTAAGTTATTTTTCTCGAGGAACAAGCTTTTCAATGATACGAAGTTCGTAAGATCAGGCAATGAACCCGAAATGTCAGGATTATGAGAGATATCCAAACTCTCCAATGTCTTTTGAGCGCATTTGGACAATGTTTCAACAAAGTCTGAAAGTTGTCCACTAAGACTATTATCCCCAAGGTCCAACTCTCGCAGCCTACATAACTTGCCAAAGGAATTCGGGATCCCTCTGAGACGACCTGACCCAAATTCCACTTTGGAATCCAGGTCGAATCCTGTGGAAAACTGACACCTAGTGCCTGTGGGTCGTAAATGACCAAAATGCCTTGGAAGCGATAACACAAACTCTGGGGCCCTATCTCGTGGCTGCGCCTGGTAACTGTAGGCTGCCTACGTACCCTTTCTGAGGGATCAAGCCACACGTAGTTCTTTCACCTGCCCCTGACCTGTAACTGGTTCAATTATCCGTAAAACATACTCTAGGGCTGACGTTTTCGGAGCATCCGGGACTCCGTTTTACGATCCGTCAAATACTATACGATCCTGGAAATACCTAGATCAACATACCTGAAAATTGTTACGATCCAACGGTGCAAAACTAGTGAACCCAGAAATCACACACTAGGCGAGATCCGTTCGGGGTTCAAACGGTATCCAAATTAAGATCCGCGATATCCTACGTGCTCGTGGGGACTAGGAGACTATTCTAGGACTGACTGCGGTCTCCACCCTACTGCTCACGCGCTGCCCACGCGCCGGCAACGCGTGGTGCCTAAAGCTATAACGCTTCGCCGGAAAATCTCAACATCTAGGCTCAAGACTCCTATCCTAGGTATAACACCCCATTTGGAGCCACTTTTGTTCTTGGACCTACCCCAAAAAGTGGCCGGAAATGGCCGGAATAGTAGCCCGAAAATCTGTCAAAACCTAGGTTTCGAAATCGTTCTCCTACACGTGAAATCAACCAATTCCTATCCAACAGGCAGCTAGAGCTCGAGAAATAGGTGAGAAACCATACCTCACTCATTGGAAATGGTGGCCGGATGACGGAGAACGAGCGCCTGAAATTTTCTCCAGAAACCGATCGGGTTTCTGCAAAATCCGCGGATTCCGGCGGTTTCGACGACTGGGCTTGGCCGGGAAGGGAAGAGGAACGCTTCCCGGTTCTTTTCGATCCGGTCCCAAGGCCGGAGGTGGGGTGTGGCGGCGGCGGTGGCTTGGAGAAGCCACCGGCTGGAGAAAAGTATCGGGGGGCTCGGGGTGCGCAGGGAAGAGAGAGAGAAACTGAGGGTTTTAAAAATCTGACTCTCCAAAATTACCCTTTTTGCCCTTGAGCGTATTTTGACCGTATTTTCTTCGTTATAATTCCGATTCGAGCCTAATACGTGTCTACGGACTCATTTCGTCACGCTTTACGCAACGATGTAATTGAAATTCCCAATTTCCTTCTTGGTCGAAAGGTCAACATTTAAACTAATAAATATTCTAGGGGTATTTTAGTCTTTTTCTCAAATAAATTAATAATTAAATATTAATTTTGGGTTTGGGTTATTACAATCTACCCCCCTTATAAAAATTTCGTCCTCGAAATTTACTTACCCATCACTTGAAAAGGTGAGGGTACTAAGCCTGCATCTGTTACTCGGATTATCAAGTATGTTCTTTTGAAACTGCACTCACCACTTGTATCTCATAACAGTAACTATAAGGCAATCAATAAAATCTGAAAGCAACCTATGTATATCCGGATATCTGAGGTGGCTTAAGAAAATCTAAAACTTTAAAAAGATCTGCTAATTAACTGAAGTTATGATAAATTTAAACCTCTGCTGCCATTAACCTGATATTTAAATAAAATCCCTTCCTTTTTTTTTCTTTTTTTTTCCCTCTGAGTGTCTGACACCTGGCTAATGCTGGTCACAAAAGACTAATTTGCCCTTTTTAACTGAAATTAAATGAAATTCAAGTGCGACTTCTGCCGAAAATTCGGCAGAGTCTCCCCTGTAAACTGAACATTCCCAAAAACATTCTACTTGTAAAATAAGCATGTATATTTATATAACTCATCTGCCAGCATGCATTAAATCATATTCAAGTAATTAAACATCATAATATTCAGGTCTCAGGTCGTAACAAACCAAATAAATCAATCTACTAATCAATCTCATTTTCCTATATCCAAACAGGATATCATACTTGGCAGCATATAGATCAAATATTTAAAAGCACTTATCAGTTTATAAATCACTCATGTGAATAAAACTATGAGTGAATAAAACTTATTCAAGATCAAATACTGCAACTGAATTTCATAAATTCATTTATGAAAACAAACTCTGCTGCCATTAATCTAATATTTAGCTAGAATTTCCTTTTTCTGTATCCATGAAGGATATCCCACTTGGCAGCATATAATTTAGACGAAGAAATAAAAGCATTTATATCAAGTAATCATGCTTTCAAAACCATAATCAACAATTCCTCGTGACACCAAAGGTGACACATCCTGACCTGAAATCATCGTTGGACTCAGGAGACATCTGGTCAACCTGGTCCGCAATCCTCGCTCCCACGGTCTGGATAACTCTGAGACTCGTGGGGCAAAATATGCTAGAAATACTTGAGCTGCTTAATACCATATTTAATAATAAAAAGATGAATATCAGCAACTTAAATAAAATAAAATAAGGTAAATTAAAGCAAACTTAATTAAAACAAAATAGACAAACTTTGTATTGAACTCATTAAAAATTCGTAAGTAACCATGTGTATATATATATATAATATAATATATATTTCCATATAGTACTTGTGATGCTGAAAGAAAATAATGATAACTGTATAAAATCCTTAATTTAGTTTAAAAGCATCTCAAACTGAAATCCTCTCCACCTAGGTGTACCCCATATTTGATCCGTCAATTCCTGATATTCCGTCAATTCCTGATATCCGTCAATTCCCCTCGCATCACCATTGGTGACACGTCCTCGCAGGTCTCGGTGACACAAAGTCAATCCGAGCTGCAACCTCGCAAGATTCAGGGGACCTTGGTCAACCTGATCCGCGTCCTGGTCTCAGGGGGCCAGCCTGAGCCGCAATCCTGGCAGGTCTCAGGGGGCCATTAGCCAGCCTGAGCCGCTATCCTCGCACCACACGGTTCGAGCGTCCCCGAAACTCGTGGGGCAATATCATAACTACTGTAAACTGGCACCACACGGTTTAGGCGTCCCCGAAACTCGTGGGGCAAAATAGCCAACTGTCTCAAGGCAACTGGGGGGTACGCTGTGGTGGGTTTGAAAACCATAAGCTGTTATTTACATAAACTTTTAATAAACTGGTTTTCCACTGAACATAAAATATATCCATATATATATACACACAAAATCTGATGAAAACCAAAAATTAAATTTCTTTCTTTTCAACCCCTGAATATATGCATCAACTACTTAGCTAGTTGGTTAACCACCTTACTCTCTGCTGAGCATATCATTCCAATAATAAATTTATAATCTTACAACACCATTAATCATATGAACAAATATAAATAGGTGATGAACAAACCGATAATTAAATACTGCTCTTGCTAAACCTCAGTTCTCGACATATAAGCATATAATAACATGTATAACAAGTTTTTCAAATGAAAACCTCAACAAATTTTTCAAACTCTTCTGGATACCTGTTTACTCAGTCACACCAACAAGATAAAATAACATAAGAAAGTCCAGCAATTCCTCAAAATAAGGATGCACAAGTAATGCAAAGTCTACAGGAAGTTAACCTAATGCTCTGATACCAATTGAGACGACCTGACCCAAATTCCACTTTGGAATCCGGGTCGAATCCTGTGGAAAACTGACACCTAGTGCCTGTGGGTCGTAAATGACCAAAATGCCCTGGAAGCGATAACACAAACTCTGGGGCCCTATCTCGTGGCTGCGCCTGGTAACTGTAGGCTGCCTACGTACCCTTTCTGAGGGATCAAGCCACACGTAGTTCTTTCACCTGCCCCTGACCTGTAACTGGTTCAATTATCCGTAAAACATACTCTAGGGCTGACGTTTTCGGAGTATCCGGGACTCCGTTTTACGATCCGTCAAATACTATACGATCCTGGAAATACCTAGATCAAACATACCTGAAAATTGTTACGATCCAACGGTGCAAAACTAGTGAACCCAGAAATCACACACTAGGCGAGATCCGTTCGGGGTTCAAACGGTATCCGAATTAAGATCCGCGATATCCTACGTGCTCGTGGGGACTAGGAGACTATTCTAGGACTGACTGCGGTCTCCACCCTACTGCTCACGCGCTGCCCACGCGCCGGCAACGCGTGGTGCCTAAAGCGATAACGCTTCGCCGGAAAATCTCAACATCTAGGCTCAAGACTCCTATCCTAGGTATAACACCCCATTTGGAGCTACTTTTGTTCTTGGACCTACCCCAAAAAGTGGCCGGAAATGGCCGGAATAGTAGCCCGAAAATCTGTCAAAACCTAGGTTTCGAAATCGTTCTCCTACACGTGAAATCAACCAATTCCTATCCAACAGGCAGCTAGAGCTCGAGAAATAGGTGAGAAACCATACCTCACTCATTGGAAATGGTGGCCGGATGACGGAGAACGAGCGCCTGAAATTTTCTCCAGAAACCGATCGGGTTTCTGCAAAATCCGGCGGATTCCGGCGGTTTCGACGACTGGGCTTGGCCGGGAAGGGAAGAGGAACGCTTCCCGGTTCTTTTCGATCCGGTCCCAAGGCCGGAGGTGGGGTGTGGCGGCGGCGGTGGCTTGGAGAAGCCACCGGCTGGAGAAAAGTATCGGGGGGCTCGGGGTGCGCAGGGAAGAGAGAGAGAAACTGAGGGTTTTAAAAATCTGACTCTCCAAAATTACCTTTTTGCCCTTGAGCGTATTTTGACCGTATTTTCTTCGTTATAATTCCGATTCGAGCCTAATACGTGTCTACGGACTCATTTCGTCACGCTTTACGCAACGATGTAATTGAAATTCCCAATTTCCTTCTTGGTCGAAAGGTCAATATTTAAACTAATAAAATATTCTAGGGGTATTTTAGTCTTTTTCTCAAATAAATTAATAATTAAATATTAATTTTGGGTTTGGGTTATTACACCCTCCCTCAAGTTGGTTATCATAGAGACTAAGATATGCAAGAGAGCTTATGTTTCCGAAATAATCAGGAATTGAGGAACCATTGAAATTGTTCTCAGATAGATCAAGATAAACAAGGTTGGTATGAGTACCGGACAACCATTGGAAGATTGAAGAGTTGACATTGTTGACGCCAAGATCGACATGAACAAGAGAGTTAGAAGAATTCATGAGAGAAACAGAGGATATAATTGGAGGAGGAAGTTTACAGTCCCATAATATCAATTTTGTTAGTTTAGGAAGCATATTAACTGCTTCCAGCCAACCAACAACATCACTGAGATTAGTGGAACTTAGGTCCAAGTGTTTCACACCTGAAAGACTAGGGAGCCAATTGAGGTTTTTGCATGAATAGAGTTCTCAGGGAGGCCAGGAGAGCTGAGATCGAGATATTGCAAGTGTGTAAGGTTTCCAAGTTGGTTTGGAATTCGACCTCCAAAATTAGCAGAAGAGAGGTCGAGGTGTCTTAAATTGCTCAGAGATCCAATGAAATCTGGAATTTGGCTCCGACTCAAATTATTGAAACGAAGGCTCAAATATTCCAAATGTTGCAACTCAAGGAGTTCAGGACTAATCTTACCTCGCAAAGATTGGTCTTCAAGATCAAGCCTAACAACATGGCCAGTTTGGTTGCTGCTACAGTAGACTCCTTCCCATTGGCAACAATTTTTGTTTTGGGCTTCTCTTCCCCATGAAAGGAGGCGATCGCCGTCGTCACCCACGAGGCCTTGTTTGAGTGCAAGGAGTGCTTGCCTGTCCCTCTCGCTACATCCAATGCAAGGACTGCTCATGTGTAGTAAAGCACCACCACAATTGCATAGAGGAGTTTGAAGCAGCACCTTGCTGCAACCATGCTAGCTACAGTCATGATCAAGACGAACAAGGGAAACTCTTCAGGAAAAATGTAAGCACAACCAAAGTAAGCATACATGCAAAACTAGTGAAGTACATATATGTTTGTATGATACCTCAAGATTGACGAAACAGGGTTGACTTGACTCTTTATCCTACGACAGAATTCTGACAAAACCGCTTTCAGACTCTTTTTGAGATGAGAGTCCAGAAGTCGGAAATGAAGTCTTAAATCCTTGACCACGCGAAATGTGAGAACTGTTCAGACTCTTTGTTAAAACATCATGCAAAAGGGACCTATGTAGTAAATGGTGGAGAAGTCATGTGGCAGTAAATGATGGCAGAAATTGAAGACAATTTTGTCTTCATTTTGCTGCTGCCAAAATAGGAATCAACTGCCTATTGAACCAGCTGCCTATCAATGGGCAGCAAGTGATTCATTTGAACAAAGACCAGGTAAGAGTTGAAACACAGGTGCATTGAGAGGCAGAGCCGGCCCGCCGTCCCTTGGCCAGGGCAACCAGGGCCACCGCCCGGGGCCCACGATTGAGAGGGGCACAAAAAAAAAATTATATTAGCCTATATATATGTATATGATCAGACAAAATATATATATGTATTTGCAAACAAAAAAAAAAAAAAAGAAGTACATAAAAAATAAAAAACAAAAAGAATAACTAAGTAATGGACATTGGAGTGGCCGGCATAATGATTCTTTAGTCATCAGACTAAAAAAACAAGAGAGAGAGGCATGCGTATGGGTATGCTAACATATCTTTTTTCTTTTCAGATTCTCTATGAAAACTGACGTGGTAGTCTACATTCATTGTTTTCCAAGAAGCAGACGGAGCAAACTCTTAAAATTGAAAGAACTTTGTTTTTGTGATTCTCTCTCTCTCTCTCCGAAACCAAAACTTGAGTTGGAAAACAACGCCATTTTGAGAAGTTGAAACTCACTGATTCTTCTCTCACGGAATCAACAGCACCCATCGACATACAACAACATCTAAAATAGAGGTTTTATTGTTCTTTGTCTTCATTTAATTAGTTTTATTACTTTTATTGTTGTCGATTGATTGCTTGTGTTTATGATAAAATTTTTAAAATGTTTCATAAGAAACAACTTTATGGAAATCTCAAAAGACAAAGAAAGGAAAAGGAAGAAGAAATTGCTCGAAGCGTAAGAGGATCTTTGAATAAATATTTCCATAAAAACAGTGAATTACCAAATGTAACTGAAGAATTACCAACAGTAGCCGAAGAAGAATATAATGAAAGAACGGCAGAGCAAGAGAGAAAAAAAAATTTATGAGGAGAGATACAGTTCTAGTGGAAAGCTAGAGGAAAAAACAAAAACTTTTGGGAGAGATAAGAGTTCTTGGGAAGTTTACGAGTCGGGTTGTTCAAGGGTTTCAGGTTTGGATTATGTTGATTTAACTCAACTGTATCTTGTATCACAACATGGTTGACACCGGTAAAAAAGTATTTAACCTAGCAACTGTAGTTGAAATAGCAAGTCTATAAAACCCAATTCCTAAATATATTTCTTGTTCAATGATTAATTTGGCTAAAAAATATTTCATTGACCAAATTAAAATTTCGTGTAAAACTCAATGACTAAAAAAAATATTTAATATATTTTGTATTTTGTAAAGCAGATTGTAAAACTGAGTTTTCACATTATTAATCAATCATTACATGAAAGGCTTTTATATAGCCAATGATCAAAAGCATAAACAATAACTAAATGGATTCATTCCAACAAGCCTAACTAATTAAGCTAATCCCGCCCAAATTAGTCGTAACTATCACGTGCTATATGTAACTGAGTTTGTCTTCCTGTATGACAGCTGGACCTATTGTGGTTTGCATTGTAGTGTGGTTATTTCTAAATCTCAGCTTAGCATGGTAACACTTTCTGAGTTCCAACTCGTTATTAATAGCGATATTTATAGCGGTTGCCATAACCTAAACTCTAGTATAATAATTCTACTAAACCACATGGTTGACATAGGTAATTCACCAAACATGGGTGAGCCAACTGTCTATTAACGGGCAGCAAGCGCAATTCATGTGAAAGACGAGCATGCAAGAGATGAAACACAGGTTGCATTGAGAGACAAACCAAGAGCAAAGCAAGAGATAAGAAATAAATAAAAAGTTCTTGTTTTTATGTTGATTTAACTCAAGTGTATTTTGTACTGGTATTATTCTCATAATGAATTCTGTCTAAATACGTATGTACACATGATTATGTCAAACCTCGTAAATCTTTCATGCACTAGTATTTTTACTCCTTGTTTATTTTATTTTATTTTGTTTAATTGTGATTTGCGTTGTGGCGTAGTTATTTATGAATCTTGGTTTAATATAGTTAAAAGCACAACAAGAATAATGATATATCTTACAACTACAATTGTAAGGAATTGATATAAGTGTGCTCTGGAGGATGAAAAACATGTCTCTGTAGATCAAGCTTGATATTGAGGCATATTTGCCATATTTGCATGTCGTGTCGTGTAGTATTGTATCACTGTATTCGTATTTGTCTGTGTGCTTCATAGCAACTACCTATCAATGGGCAGCAAGTGTAGGAGTTGATAAGAATTTGTCTTGTATTGCATGAGGTGTTTTGACAATACTTGTCTCTACTACGTAGCATCTGAATCGACATTTAGTACTCGTGGTCGCATCCTCAATCCATAAAGGAGTTCATTATCCCCAAGAACAGTGGAGGCACTCATTTGCACACAAAATTGATTACATTCTTCACCAAAAACTAATATTCTTGAGATCACAAATGATATTGAAGACATGAATCAGGTAAATATTATTTGAAGATAAGTTTCATGTTTTAAATTACTGGTTTTATTATTCTTTGTAGAAATTTTGGGTCCTATATCCATTGAATGAAAATTGATGTGAATGATTGCATGCTCAGAAACATGGAAGGATTGAGGGGACGTGGAAGCCTGAAAGAGTTCTCCAAGTTTTTTGAAAGACTAGACGTAATTCTTAATGTAATGTTGTTTTTAAATTTCATGTTATTATTATAATTGTAAAGAGCCTTTGCTTTATTTGATTTGTGCATGCAGGTGCTATTTCGCTTGTGAAGTATTGGATGGAAAAATATTCCATTGGTGGTTTAGGTTCAAATTCAAGTGATCAACATTCTTGGAACATCTATAACCCTTGCACCAATAGTTGGAAATTTCACTCTAATCCAAACATTGTCCCTGAAATTTAGGATTCTGTGGTCATGGATGGGAAGATCTACATTCTTTGCGGGACTTCTGCTGTAATGTCACATCCCGGGATCGGTTCCGCCGTAACACGATATTGTCTGCTTTGAGCCCCCCTCTCTGCCCTCACGGTTTTGTTTCTAAGAACTCACGAGCAACTTCCTAGTGGGTCACCCATCCTGAGATTGCTCTAGCCCCAACTCGCTTAACTTCGGAGTTCCCATGACTCCGAAGCCAGTGAGCTCTCAAAATGTCTCATGCTAGATGGAGGCAGGTATGTACATATAAGGCACATTACCCCCTCTTTGTTGGTCGATGTGGGATGTTACAATCCACCCCCCTTAGGGGCCCGACGTCCTCGTCGGCACACTCGCACCACATGGTAGAGTGGCTCTGATACGAAGTTGTCACATCCCGGGATAGGCTCTGCTGTAGCACGATGTTGTCCGCTTTGGCCCCCCTCTCTGCCCTCACAGTTTTGTTTCTGGGAACTCAAGAGTAACTTCCCAGTGGGTCACCCATCCTGGGATTGCTCTAACCCCAACTCGCTTAACTTCGGAGTTCCCATGACTTCGAAGCCAGTGAGCTCCCAAAAGGCCTCATACTAGATGAAGGCAGACATGTACATATAAAGCACGTTACCCCCTCTCTGTTGGTTGATGTGGGATGTTACATGTAACTTCTCATGTGTTTGTTTATGAACCATCAAGTGGCATATGGCAACATGTAGATGCCGACATGGTTGCCGGCTGGCGGGGTCTAGCAGTTGTTGTTGAGGTAGAGAAAATTAAAAGAACAATATTACCAGGAAAAATGAGTTGTGAAGCTGTGAACGATTCTTGGGATGAGTCGTGTACAAAGTCGCTCTCTTTAAGACGTTTCGCGGCTCTGCCCAATTTGTGCAAGCAGTTCAAGAAATGCCACTACGTCCCCAGGATAAAACAGCCCCAGAATCTCCTCTGTCTAGGTTCTTCCTTGCACTGAGGAAGGACCCGAATACAAACACCTTTCTAAGTTGCTCAGAAACCTTAGTTTAGAAAAAAAAGATATGAAGAGAAGGAAGGCAGCAGCTATAGTCTATATACTTTCTCTCCTAGCAATTTCAACTATATATATATACAAGATTTATCACAAAGAGACGTTGTGGGCATCAATGCATCAGTTGAAAAAAATTCAGCCCATATTAATTGAATATTATCACAAAGAGACGTTGTGCATCAGTTGAAAACGGATTCAGCCCATATTAATATTAATAGAAAATAACTCCTCTTAATAAAGACAATTTAAGGCAATTAATGAAATATTGAATATATATTTTTAAAAATAAAAAATAAACATACAAATTTCAACAGTTGTTGTAGATGAGACCCCTATGGGTTGGATCAGAGTTCAGGAACCAGGCTGATGATGTGGCAAAAGGAGTCTAGGGAGTGGATTCCTATTGGGAGGCTGTCATCCATCCTTGCTCACCAGGCCGCCCTGTCAACTTGTACCTATTGGGAAGAAATTTTACGTCGTAGGAAAAGGGGCTTAGCACAGTCATGTTTGATGTTGAGAATGCAGGGAATATGGAAGGGGTGATGGTTAGTTCTTCAATACCTAAATTGAATTCTGATGATGATGTAATCAACTGTAAATGTTTATCAATTTGATTTGAAATTATTGTTGCCGAAGGAGTATTGGATGCTTGGATGTATTTGGATGTCTCATAAACATGAAATTATTTATAAGATTTGTCTCTTCAGTGTACATGCTTGATTCGAAGTCCACGTGATTGGCTGTGATGTTGTGTATTTACTATATATACATCCTGAGAAATAGATGTATAGCCCTTCCAGCTCAGTTGGTAGAGCGCAACGCTCTTGATCTTGTGGTCGTGGGTTTGAGGCCCACAGTGGGCGATTACAAATGTTTTACTTATTTTTTTGTCTTCATACAGAGAAGATAATTTTTTTTTGTGTGTGGGTAAAACAGCTAAACAGTATTAATCATACGGGTCTTGGTAACCCCTATTGAGTCATCCATAGAAGGAAACAAAAAAACTTTAAAAAATAATTATTTTTTCTTACACAGAAGGAAAGATAATGTTAGTAAAGTGTCTTTTTCAGATTGACAACCCTTTCATTTCTGTGATTAAATACTTAACTCAAATTATTCCATTGTTTTATCCATACGAGAAATACAGCAAAAGGCAATTAAGTGTCTACATTTCCTACATTGAGATAACATGCTCAAATTAGAAAAAACCAGGAAGTACACAAGAACATCATACCAAATACTTCATGGGTGAAGTTCCCATTAAGTTCTTACAAATAACGGTACAACTCATTTGCTATAAATAAATGGTTCCTTTATTTTAGGGAGAACCCTTATCATCATCAGTCTAGTACTCGAAAGCTAGTACAAACAGCAGTCCTTCGTCTCATCCATCTTCAACTGAAGGGAAGCATGTCGTCTCAAAGGTGCCTCGCTAAACACGAAGGGAAGCATGATTACAACCAGTGAACAAAATCATGCATGCATGTTTTTATATAGCAAAAGAAAGAAAGTTCATGTTTCCTTTCTTTAAAAAAAAATAATAATTATGTTCTGTAATATCTGCATGCATTTCGGGATAAAGAACAACTAACTTGCATCATTGAATTTCAAAAATAGTATGTGAGAGAGAGTAGTAATTACCATTTATCTAGTATTAGGCACCCTTTGCCTGATGATTTCTGCCTTCACGTACAACCAATCTGTGAAACAAGTCCAGAAATTGAAGTATGTATATCTGCATGACCTGTTGAATAGAAGAGTGCCAAAAACTCCCCAAAATCCAACAGCAAACCCAAGCCCCAAGCTGATGTAAAATCCTTGCGTTATGAGCCCATCTTGATCGTCTTGATTCACCAACACAGTTTGTCTCGGACCTTCTTCGTCCTCATCGCATGTCCTTACGAGTGGCAGTCCACAAAGTAGAGGATTTCCACCATAAGAAGATGGACCAAAGCTTTGGAGCTGGGTGCCTATTGGAATTTTTCCAGACAAGTTGTTTTCTGACAAGTCCAAGTAACCAATACGATCTATTCGAGATAGACTGTTTGGAATTCTACCATTAATCTGGTTTCTTGATAAATCAAGGGAATCTAACTCTTGCAACATTCCAATCCTTGGAGGTATTTGACCTGTTAATTGGTTTCTCGACAGGTTTAAAGAAATCAAACCAACAAGATCAGTGATTTCACTAGGAATCTCCCCAGTCAACTTATTATTTGAGAGATCAATACTCTTTACAAGTCCCAGAGTACTTTTGTATTTAGACCTTACTCCTTTCCATATTAAAGATGCTTCCTCTTCATACTCCGAAATAACAATTTCTCCTCCCATCAGCTGAGTCATATATTCATGTTGGATAGTTAGACATGAATTTCCATTTTGAGCCAAAGCAATCAAATTGTTGAGACATTTGGGTATAGTTCCAGAGATGTTGTTCATAGACAAATCCAAAATTTGAATGCGTGTCAGATGGCATAATTGGGGCGGGATGCTTCTATAGAATTCATTACCTCGAAGGATTAAGATAGCCAAATTTGGAAGACTAGCCCATAACCCTTCAGGTATTGAGGATGATAAGTTATTTTCCCCAAGATCAAAAAGTATCAACTTCGTACAATTCTTTAATTGTGAAGGCAACTCTCCCACAAATCTATTGTTACTTAGTCTTAGTGTCTTGATACTAAACAAATGCCCCATCGTGGTGGGAATTTTTCCAAATAAATTGTTATTGCTCAAATCAAGGAAGACTAAATTTTTTAAATGAATCCAACAATCAGGAAGTTCTCCAGATACATGATTGCTTGAGAGATCGAGGAAGGTTAAATTACTATCCTTGCTTGCACACAAAAAAGAAGCTGGCCCCTGAAAAGTTATTATGGGAGAGATCTAGAATTGAAGCTTTTGATAGAATTGAAGGGATTGGACCCTCCAATTGGTTCCAACTCAAATTTAGGCGTGGTGCAAACTCCTCCGATATAATATTTCCAACTGTTCCTCTCATTTGATTGTGAGAGATCTCCATAACCGCTAATTTTTGTGACAAATCCCAAAACCAACTTGGAATGGTATCAGAAATTCCAGCATCAGAAATATCAAGCCATGTATAATTTTTTTGAGTTTGAAGCCATTTTGGGAAAGACGACGACCACATCTTACAAGACTTCAATTGTATGCATTGCAATTGGAAGGGTGGAATCCAATCAAAACTGAAGTTTAAAAGTAGTGCATTAGATGATAAACCCAAATTCCGTAATTTGGAGAGTTTTGAAAAATGAGTTTCTGAAATCACTCCTTCCAAAGAATTCCAACCAAAACGAATAGTCTCCAGCTTGGACATCTGTCCAATACTTTCAGGTATTCTTCCACTTAAGTTATTGGTCTGGATTAGCAAGTGTTTCAATGACAAGAAGTTCGTAAGATCAGGCAATGAACCTACAATGTTATTGTCAGAGAGATCCAAAAGCTCCAATGTCTTTTGAGCGCATTTGGACAATATTTCAACAAAGTCTGAAAGTTGTCCACTAAGCCTATTACCTTCAAGGTCCAACTCTCGCAGCCTACATAACTTGGCAAAGGAATTCGGGATCCCTCCTTCAAGTTGGCTACCACCGAGAAAAGATGTGCAAGAGAGCTCATGTTTCCAAAAGATGCAGGAATTGAGGAACCTCTGAAATTGTTCCAAGAGAGATCAAGATAAACAAGGTTGGTATGAGTACCGGACAACCATTGTAAGATTGAAGAGTTGAGATTGTTGTCGCCCAGATCAACATGAACAAGAGAGTAAGAAGAATTCATGAGAGAAACAGAGGATATAATTGGAGGAGGAAGATTACACCCATCTAATATCAAGTTTGTTAGTTTAGGAAGCATATTGACTGCTTCCAGCCAACCAACAACATCACTGAGATTAGTGTAACTTAGGTCCAAGTGTTTCAGACCTGAAAGATTAGGGAGCCAATTGAGGTTTTTTGCATGAATAGAGTTCACAGGGAGTGGGCTCATTTCAGAAGATGAAAGAGAGCTGAGATCGAGATATTGCAAGTGTGTAAGGTTTCCAAGTTGGTTTGGAATTTGACCTCCAAAATTTGCATAAGAAAGATCGAGGTATATTAAATTGCTCAGAGATCCAATGAAATCTGGAATTTTGCCCCAACCGAAATTATTGTAACTCAGGTTCAAATACTCCAAATGCTGGAAGTGAATGAGTTCAGGACTAATCTTACCTTGCAAAGATTGGTCTCCAAGATCAAGCTTAACAACATGGCCAGTTTGGTTGCTGCTACAGTAGACTCCTTCCCATTGGCAACAATTTTTGTTTTGGGCTTCTCTTCCCCATGAAAGGAGGCGATCGCCGTCGTCACCCACGAGGCCTTGTTTGAGTGCAAGGAGTGCTTGCCTGTCCCTCTCGCTACATCCAATGCAAGGGCTGCTCATGTGTAGTAAAAGCACCACCACAATTGCATAGAGGAGTTTGAAGCAGCACCTTGCTTCAGCCATGTTAGGTACAGTCATGATCAAGACGAACAAGGGAAACTCTTTAGGAAAAATGTAAAGCACAACCAAAGTAAGCATACATGCAAAACTGGTGAAGTACGTATATATATGCTTGTATGATATCTCAAGATTGACTTGACTCTTTATCCTAAAACAGAATTTTAAAAAATAATTCAAATAATTAACTCGAAATTAATTTAATTAATTGGGTTTAATTTTAAATTACAGAGCCCCAAGGCCCATCTTTTGACTAGTTAAATATATATTATTTAACTATTGACTTGACTCTTCGAGATGAAAGTTGCTTTGAGAGAGATGAATATCTTGCCTCAGATTATCACATTTAGTTCATCTACGATTAATTACAATACGCAGAGACTGGCAAGGTCTCTGCTACCACAATAAGCATACAGTCAAAAGAGTCCAGTCTGTCGGGAGATGTGGCATTATGATGGTTGAAATTGAAGACAATTCTGGTCTTATTTGTTCTTGCCGAAAAGAGCATTGTTTTCACATTGAGCCAACTGTCTATTTATTTGTTCTTGCCGAAAAGAGCATTGTTTTCACATTGAGCCAACTGTCTATTAACGGGCAGCAAGTGATTGATGTGAAAGACGAGCATGCTAGAGATGAAACACGGGTTGCATTGAGAGATTATCCAAGAGCAAAGCAAGAGATAAGAAATAAAAAAAGTTCTTGTTTTGTTGTTGATTTAACTCAATGTATTTTGTACTGTTATTATTCTCATAGTAAATTCTGTCTAAATACGTATGTACACATGATTATGTCAAACCTTCTAAATCTCTCGCGCATTAGTATTTTTACTCTTTGTTTATTTTATTTTGTTTAATTGTGATTTGCGTTGTGGTGTAGTTATTTATGAATCTTGGTTTAACACAGTTAAAAGCACAACAGGAAATAATGATATATCTTACAATTACAATTGTAAGGAATTGATATAAGTGTGCTCTGGAGGATTAAAAACATGTCTTTGTTGATTGCAAGCTTGATATTGAGGTTTGGCCGGACACTAATTGGCCAACCTCAGCATATGAAAAATGCGTCTTTCTCTACATATGGATTCACAAGAAGGAGAATCGTTAACAATTCTTAAATGTGACAAATTTGTGCATAAGATCTCAGATTGAGCTGAAATTGAAGATAAACACACATGACCAAAGAAAGTGAAATGCAACAGACTTTTGAAGTAGATATTAAATGGAAAATTAGATTAAAACCCAAAATTGGTAGGGTTTATTAGGAACAACCCATGCATTTTTAATGGGAACTACTTACCAAATAGGTTCGAGTGTCGAGGTAGTCTACCTAACAAAGAGAAATACGATTTGTGAGTTTTTCTTAGTATACTAATTTGGGGAGACAATACAATATTGAAGTTGATTGAGACTTGTTGTTTTCATTATTCTAGAGTTGGTTGTTCTAAATTTGGATGATATTTTGAGTGAATTGAATTTAAATTTGAATTTGGTTGATGAATTTGAATATTTATGTTATTTAAAATATGTTTGAAATTTTATGTATATTAATATATATTTTTAATTGCAGTATCCAAATTACCAAAGCCTGGAGGCCGCATGAAGCTGTTTGAAAGCTGCTTCCGCAACCTTCTGCTCTTTTTCTTGTTTTTGCTTGTTCTTTTGGAACCTGATCCCACACCGATTGCAAAGAGTCTGCAAAAATAAAAACATCCAATTACGTATACCTATTCAATTACTTTACGTACAACTTCTTTAGTAAGTGGAGACTTTTCAGTGCACGAAAATAAACGAGGAGTGGTTACCAAATTTGGTCCTCCCTCCCTATCTACTTAGTCTACGGAACTTGATATTTCTGAGCTGCCAATTTGGACGCCATACATACATATGTGAAGCGTCATTTGCTTATTTCCATTATTGTCTTCTGCTTCAAATTTCTCCTTGACTGAAGTAGACAAGTAATGGACTTAAATGTTTCACTCGAAACTGGGCTCGTCTAAAACACGCTGCAAAGAAAAGTAGATTCACAAGTCATAAGGAGAATCGAGCAACAGGTGACCAAAACAGAGCCACATATTCACCAAACAGGACCACAGCAATGATCTGCACTTGTGCTAGTGATTGAATGCATCTTAGAATTATTATTGGAACGCGTAAAATTGATTGACGTGCTTATAGTCTTTTCATAAAGTTGGGTAAAAGCAAGAATTCCTAGCTAGCTATTCTTGGCTTCTTATTGTTGGTTCTAAATGTTGTTGCCTTTCGTTGTGTTTACGATTTTCGTTCTAATCTTTCATACGGTGCAAGTCTTCAACCCACAAAGAGCCATACCCGTGCTTAAAACTCCAAAGGACGTACTGCAGGGAGATAGTTGCACACAGGGACAGAGCCAGGAAATTAATGGATGACAAGACTTGTGGAAATAAATGGATGAGAGAAGACTTTTGGAAATAACGAAAATTCTACGGTGGACTTGATGCACTATAGACGTTGCCATGGAAATAAATTAGAAATAAATGGGTGAGAAGACTTGTGGAAATTTGGTATTGGAAGACTGAATGCGTGGCTCACAACCTGTAAAATTGTCGTCTTCTTTTTTTTTAATCGAAAACACTTTTTTCAAAAGTGAAGTAACAGTTGACCAAAACAGCAATGATCTGCACTTGTGCTAGTGATTGAATGCATCTTAGAATTATTAATTTGGAACGCGTAAAATGGATTGACGTGCGTAAAATGGATTGAGCTGCCAATTTCTCCTTGACTGAAGTAGACAAGTAATGGACTTAAATGTTTCACTCGAAACTGGGCTCGTCTAAAACACGCTGCAAAGAAAAGTAGATTCACAAGTCATAAGGAGAATCGAGCAACAGGTGACCAAAACAGAGCCACATATTCACCAAACAGGACCACAGCAATGATCTGCACTTGTGCTAGTGATTGAATGCATCTTAGAATTATTATTGGAACGCGTAAAATTGATTGACGTGCTTATAGTCTTTTCATAAAGTTGGGTAAAAGCAAGAATTCCTAGCTAGCTATTCTTGGCTTCTTATTGTTGGTTCTAAATGTTGTTGCCTTTCGTTGTGTTTACGATTTTCGTTCTAATCTTTCATACGGTGCAAGTCTTCAACCCACAAAGAGCCATGCCCGTGCTTAAAACTCCAAAGGACGACATACTGTAGGGAGATAGTTGCACAAAAATGAAGCTAAAGAGTGTCCAAATAAGAACATCGGAATTTTCCTTGTTTCCACAAGTGCTCCGAATAGGAATTTAATTGAATTTAGGGAAATTAATGGATGACAAGACTTTTGGAAATAAATGGATGAGAGAATACTTCTGGAAATAACGAAAATTCTACAGTGGAAAAAATGGGTGAGAAGACTTGTGGAAAAAATGGGTGAGAAGACTTGTGGAAAAAATGGATGAGAGAAGACTTGTGGAAATTTGGTATTGGAAGACTGAACGCGTGGCTCACAACCTGTAAAATTGTCTTCTTTTTTTCTTCTTTTTTTAATCGAAAACACTTTTTTCAAAAGTGAAACACTGAATTTGGGATGAATGTGCAACTGTCGAAAGATGAATCTCTTGTTTGTGCCCAAAAAATCACACAAGATGAAATTCTTCTCACTTTTATGAGAAAAGCCCAATTTATCTTGGGGAGTTGCCTAGAATCATGGGCCTAAGCTAGGCATATTGCCTCCCCTTTCTTCTTTCTTCCAGAAACCGTCTCTTTTGCCTAAGATAGCGATATGGGCATAAGATTATGAGCAACGAGTTAGCTGTCTTGCAAGGAAATTCATGGAAAAAAAAATATATATATATATATCCATTGCAATTGATCAAATCATCAACAACATTCGTTTTTATACCAATGCAATGGGGTAGGGTTGCTGCTTGCTGGGATAAATTATTTTTGTTCAGAGTTATTGGATAAATATAATAATGTGCAAATGGTTATTTTTTGTTTAATACAATTATGATGATGTGGATTTATTAAAGTTTATTAGATTAATTTAATGATTAACATTATCTTAAATGTGTGTATATGCACGGATGATAAATACAGAAGCTCAGGATATAGGGAGAAAGGCAGCAGGCAGTTCTTAACGTGATAGGTTGTGGCTTTCTAGGATGTTTCTTTCCTTCATTTTTAATAAATGGATGAATGTGTAGATGGGTAATAAAAGTTGAGTGTGGGCCATGGGTCCGCCTGAATTGCCTCTACAGGAGGGAAAGAAATATTGCAGCAGATGACTGCTTGGAATCATGCTTGGATGTATTTGGATGTCTCATAAACATGAAATTATTTATAAGACTTGTTGGTTTACCATTCTTGATTAAAAAGTAAAAGCTGTGAAGCTATTTATAACACTTGCACCGGTAGACATCCCCAAGGGTTTGAACACGACGTGAATGGCTGTGATGTTGTGGTAAGATTTGTGTATTTACTATATATACCCCCTGAGAGTTCACGTAAAGCAAAAGCCCGTCTAGCTCAGTTGGTAGAGCGCAAGGCTCTTAACTTTGTGATCGTGGGTTAGAGCCCCACAGTGGGAGCTTACAAATGTATTACTTTTTTTTTTTTTTTTTTTTTTTTTTGGGTGATACAGAGAGAGAGAACCTTAACAAAAATAAATAAATAAAATACTGGACTTTCAAAGTAAGTATTTTCTTTCTTACACAGACGAAAGATAATGTTAGTAAAGTGCCTTTACCAGATTTACAACCCTTTTATTTCAGTGATTGAATCACTTAACTCAAATTATTCCATTGTTTTATTCATACTAGCAATACAGTAAAAGGCAATTAAGCGTGTCGAAAGCTAGTACAAATAGCAGTCCTTGGTCTCGTCCATCTTCAACTGAAGGGAAGCATGTCATCTCAAAGGTGCCTGTGCTAAACACTAAGGGAAGCATGATTATAACCAGTGAACAAAATCATACATGCATGTTCCTTTTATATAGCAAAAGAAAGAAAGTTCATGTTTCCTTTTCTTATTTATTTATAAATAAATATTAATTATGTTCTGTAATATCTGCATGCATTTCAGGATAAAGAACAACTAACTTGCATCATTGAATTTCAAAATTAGTATGTGAGAGAGATAGTAGTAATTACCATTTATCTTGTCTTGGACCTTCTTTGTCCTCATCGCATGTCCTTAGGAGTGGCAGTCCACAAAGTAGAGGATTTCCACCATAAGAAGATGGACTAAAGCTTTGGAGCTGGGTGCCTATTGGAATTTTTCCAGACAAGTTGTTTTCTGACAAGTCCAAGTAACCAATACGATTATCGAGATAGACTGTTTGGAATTTTTCCATTAATATGGTTTCTTGATAAATCAAGGGAATCTAACTCCTGTAGCATTCCAATCCTTAAAGGTATTGGACTTGTTAATTGGTTTTTTGACAGGTTTAAAGAAACCAAACCAACAAGATCAGTGATTTCACTAGGAATCTCCCCAATCAACTTATTGCTTTAGAGATCAATACTCTTTACAAGTCCCAGAGTACTTTTGTATTTAGACCTTACCCCTTTCCATGTTAAAGATGCTTCATCATCATAAAGCCACTCAGTTAATGCTTCACCCACCAAAGACATATGGTCATGTTGGATAGTTAGACTTGAATTCCCTTTTTGAGCCAAAGCAATCAAATTGTTGAGACATTTGGGTATAGTTCCAGAGATGTTATTCATCGACAAATCCAAAATTTGAATGCGTGCTAGATGGCATAATCGGGACGGGATGCTTCTATAGAACTAATTACCTCGAAGGATTAAGATAACCAAATCTGGAAGACTAGCCCCTAACCATTCAGGTATTGAGCATGACAAGTTATTTTCCCCAAGATCAAAAACTGTCAACTTTCTACAATTCTTCAATTGTGAAGGCAACTCTCCCATAAATCTGTTGTTACTTAGTCTTAGTGTCTCGATACTAACAAGTACCCCATCGTGGTGGGAATTTTTCCAAATAAATAGTTATTGGTCAAATCAAGAAGACTAATTCTTTAAAATGGGTCCAACAATCCGGAAGTTCTCCAGAAACATGATTGTTGGAGAGATCAAGAAAGGTTAAATTACTATCCTTGGTTGCACACAAAAAAGAAGCTGCCCCTGAAAAGTTATTATGGGAGAGATCTAGAACTGAAGCCTTTGATAGAATTGAAGGGATTGGACCCTCCAATTGATTCCAACTCAAATTTAGGCTCGGTGCAAACTCCAATCTAATATTTCCAACTGTTCCTCTCAATTGATTGTGAGAGATATCCATAACCTCTAATTTTTGTGACAAATCCCAAAACCAACTTGGAATGGTATCAGAAATTCCAGCATCAGAAATATCAAGCCAGGTATAATTTTTTTGAGTTTGAAGCCATTTTGGGAAAGACGACGGCCACATCTTACAGGACCCCAAGTTTATGTCTCGTAATTGGAAGGGAGGAATCCAATCAAAACTGAAGTTCAAAAGTAATGAGTTAGATGATAAAACCAAAGAACTTAATTTGGAGAGTTTTGAGAAATGAGTTTCTGAAATCACTCCTTCCAAAGAATTCCAACCCAAATCAATAGTCTCCAGCTTGGACATCTGTCCAATACTTTCAGGTATTCTTCCACTTAAGTTATGGCCTCGAGATTCAAGTGTTTCAATGATAAGAAGTTCGTAAGATCAGGCAATGAACCCACAATGTCCTTATTGTAAGAGATATCCAAATGCTCTAATGTGTTTTGAACGCATTCCGACAATATTTCAACAAAGTTTGTAAGTTGTCCACTAAGCCTATTTCCATAAAGATCCAAGCGTCGCAGCCTACATAGCTTGGCAAAGGAATTCGGGAACCCTCCTTCAAGTTTGCTACACTGGAGAATAAGATATTCAAGAGAGCTCATGTTTCCAAAAGATGCAGGAATTGAGGAACCTCTGAAATTGTTCCAAGAGAGATCAAGATAAACAAGGTTGGTATGAGTACCGGACAACCATTGGAAAATTGAAGCGTTGAGATTGTTGCGGAAGAGATCAACATGAACAAGAGAGTTAGAAGAATTCATGAGAGAAACAGAGGATATAATTGGAGGAGGAAGATTACACCCATCTAATATCAAGTTTGTTAGTTTAGGAAGCACACTAACTGCTTCCAGCCAACCAACAACATCACTGAGATTAGTGTGACTTAGGTCCAAGTGTTCCAGACCTGAAAGATTAGGGAGCCAATTGAGGTTTTGTGCATGAATAGAGTTCCTAGGGCGTATAACAGAATAATAATGAGAGCTGAGATCGAGATATTGCAAGTGTGTAAGGTTTCCAAGTTGGTTTGGAATTTGACCTCCAAAATTAGCAGAAGAGAGGTCGAGGTGTCTTAAATTGCTCAGAGATCCAATGAAATCTGGAATTTGGCTCTGACTCAAATTATTGAAACGAAGGTTCAAATATTCCAAATGTTGCAACTTCACGAGTTCAGGACTAATCTTACCTCTCAAAGATTGGTCTTCAAGATCAAGCTTAACAACATGGCCAGTTTGGTTGCTGCTACAGTAGACTCCTTCCCATTGGCAACAATTTCTGTTTTGGGCTTCTCTTCCCCATGACAGGAGGCGATCGCCGTCGTCACCCACGAGGCCTTGTTTGAGTGCAAGGAGTGCTTGCCTGTCCCTCTCGCTACATCCAATGCAAGGACTGTTCATGTTTAGTAAAAGCACCACCACAATTGCACCGATGAGTTTGAAGCAGCACCTTGCTTCAGCCATGTTAGCTACAGTCATGATCAAGACGAACAAGGGAAACTCTTTAGGAAAAAGATAAAGCACAACCAAAGTAAGCATACATGCAAAACTAGTGAAGTACATATATGCTTGTATGATACCTCAAGGTTGACTTGACTCTTTATCCTAAGACAGAATTCTGACAAAACCGCTTTCAGACTCTTCGAGATGAGAGTCCAGAAGTCGGAAATGAAGTCTTAAATCCTTGACCACGCGAAATGTGAGAACTGTTCAGACTCTTTGTTAAAACATCATGCAATTTTAAATGGTGGAGAAAGTCATGTGGCCGTAAATGATGGCAGAAATTGAAGACAATTTTGTCTTCATTTTGCTGCTGCCAAAATGGGAATCAACTGCCGGTTGAACCAACTGCCTAACAATGGGCAGCAAGTGATTCATTTGAACAAAGACCAGAGTTGAAACACTGGTGCATTGAGAGGCAGAGCCGGCCCGCCGGCCATTGGCCAGGGCAACCAGGGCCACCGCCCGGGGCCCACGATTGAGAGGGGCACAAAAAAAATTATATTAGCCTATATATATGTATATGATCAGACAAAAAAAATATATATGAAAAAAAAAAAAAAAAAAAAAAAAAAAAAAAAAAATAAAAAAAAATAAAATAACTAAAAGTAATGGGTATGACATTGGAGTGGCCGGCATAAGAATTCTTTAGTCATCAAACTAAAAAAACAAGGGAGAGGCATGCGTATGGGTATGCCAACTGATTTTTTTTTTCTGATCAGATTCTTTAATCAATTTTGATAAATAAATAAAAATTATCATTTTGCCCTTGTATTTAAAAGAAAAATTAATAAAATTGACGGCAGAACCATTTATCCTAACGAAATTGAAGTTGAAGGACCACGGGAATAATTTTTTGTTATGTTTGTGGCTTTTGCCTCTTAATAAAGTTCCTTTTCGTTCAAAAATAATAATTTGGGAAGACATTACAAATATTGAAGTTGATTGAGACTTGTGGTTTTCATTATTCAAATTTGAATTTGGTTGATGAATTTGAATATTTATGTTATTTAAAATACGTTTGGAATTATATATATATATTGTTTTATTATATTTTAATATATATTTTTAATTGCTATATTCCTAACCTCATCATATCCTAGTTTTGGAGATTTGCAGTATTTGCATATCGTGTCGTATCGTATCACTGTATCCGTATCCATGTTCGTGCTTCATAGCAACTGCCTATCAATAAGAAGCAAGTGTAGGAGTTCATAAGATTTTGTCTTGTATTGCACGAGATGTTTTGGCAATACCTGTCTCTACTGTCAGTGAAGGACCTACAAAGCCGCAAGGAGATGCACCTGCACCTCCCCTCATAGGAAAAAGCCATGGAGGTGCTAGAGCCCAAGGTTTTAAAGCGCTATGTAAGGGGTTTGGAAATCACCTCAAGGAGCCAATAGTTTGGCAAGTTACACATACTAGCATGGTTCAAGGCAATGTGAGGTGCATGATGTGTAGCAGAGGTGTCTCTAATGGAGGATGAGGCGATGGTTCACGAAGGAAGAAGATAACTCTATACCCTAATTTTCTTTTTCACAAACGACGTCATCCTTTAGTTTTGTTTAATGAAACGCACGTTTCATTGAAGTTTATTAAAAGTCAAACTCTACCGTTTTTGTGAAATAAAATTCATTTTCCTGCCCAAACTCTAACAAAATTAATAAATTAATAATAAATTAATAAAAACCTTACTTACAGCCCAACTAGTTAAAAGTGAAATGTTGAGTCTTGACCAATCTGTTAAAACCAAATCGTTATCACTGCAGCATACATGTATGTATAATTCTGTAAACCTCCCTAGCTTATTCTTATTTCCTTAGCAAGTCAGCCTAGATAAAATAGTTTTCAGATTGATTATTTTGCTTCAATTACTTGATTATAGCTATTGTAATATATATTTCATTATAATAATCATTTTAATATGTTCTTTAATTTTATTTTTTTAAATTCCGTCCTATCAAAATGTTATTGCCCCTCCTTTGAAAACTTCCTGGATCCGCCACTGTCTACTGTAGCATCTGAGATGTTTTAGTACTGGTGGTGGCATTCTCGATCCATATAGGAGTTCATTATCCCCAAGAACAGTGGAGGCACTCATTTGCACACAAAATTGATTACATTCTTCACCAAAAACTAATATTCTTTAGATCATAGATGATATTGAAGACATTGAATCAGGTAAACATTATTTGAAGATAAGTTTCATATTTTAAATTACTGGTTTTATTATATTTATCTTAATATGACATTCTATTCTTTGTAGAAATTCTAGGTCCTACATCAAAACTTACATTGAATGAAAATTGATGTGGATGATTGCATGCTCAGTAACTGGAAGGATTGATGGACGTGGAAGCCTGAAAGAGTTCTCAAAGTTTGTTTTGAAAGAATGGATGTAATTCTTAATGTAATGTTGTTTTTAAATTTCATATTGTATTAAATTTTGAATTATATGTAATGAAAGGCTAAAGTTCTTTTGCAATGATTATATTTTCATACAAATCCATCATCCAATTCAATCCAATCCAATGCATAATGGATTGGATTAAATTGAATCCTGACATTCGATTGTATTGGATTGGCTTGTGAAATCTGTAATCCAATAAAAAATTGGATTGGTAAGAAACCATTGGTATTGATCCGATGCTCAAGCCTAGGACTTTGTGCTAATTTTAGATGTAAGTTTTAAATGTTTTAATTAGTTGGATGTTTGAAAGATTTACAGGCCCAATGGAAAACCAAAAAACCAATTACCAAAAGAGAAGGAAAAAAGTGATCTTGGGTTTAAATTATTGGAATTATCTGAAATTTCAAGGATTTATTTTTCTCTTTCAAGTTCTTTGGTTACTGATAAAAATGAGAATTTTGGAGCAAAAAGATTTGTCAGAGGTACAAAGCTTTGTTCCTCTTCTTCCTGATGGTTTAACTGGCTTGTCACCTTCTTACCTCACAATATTTAGGGAAATATGGAACAATGAAAACCTACATATGAATTATTTAAATAGCAGTAATAGGCTATCTGAAAGAGAAAAAGTAAAAATAAGGAACAGAAACATAAAGAACAAGCGCACGAGGATATCTGAAAGAGGAGCTTTCTGGGAAATTTGCAACAACATATGAAAAATGGGTCTTTCCCTACATATGGATTCACAAGAAGGATAATCGTTAATAATTCGTAAATGTGACAAATTCGTGCATACCATCTCGGATTGAGCTGAAATTGAAGATAAATGTGACAGATTCGTAAATGTGTGCATAACATCACACATCGGCTAGTATTGGCATCAGAGTGGTGGCGCAATTTTGCTGGGCTAAAAGGCCACCACCGTCTCTTCAGGGAGTGTTGGAAGCGGATGGTCTTCCAGGACCACCAAACTAATGTTCTTATTTATATTTTGTACTAAGTTAGCCTCTACACTTGCTTGCTTTGGCTGCGTGTGTGCTGGTTTAATTAATTTGTTCTGTTCATGGCTTTTGCCTCTTAATAAAGTTCCTTTTCGTTCAAAAATAATAATTTGAGAAGACATTACAAATATTGAAGTTGATTGAGACTTGTGGTTTTCATTATTCAAATTTGAATTTGGTTGATAAATTAGAATATTTATGTTATTTAAAATACATTTGGAATTATATATATTGTTTTTATTATATTTTAATATATATTTTTAATTGTCATATTCGTGACCTCATCATATTCTAGTTTTTGGAGATTTGCAGTATTTGCATATCGTATCATATCGTATCGCTGTATCCGTATCCATGTTCATGCTTCATAGCAATTGCCTATCAATAAGCAGCAAGTGTAGGAGTTCATAAGATTTTGTCTTGTATTGCACGAGATGTTTTGGCAATACCTGTCTTTACCAGCCCCGGCCCTGACCAAGGGCAGTTAGTGCGACTGCCCAGGGCCCATTATTCAAGGGGGCCCCAAATTTTTTATTTATATAATAAGTGTTATATTATATTATTATAAATTGATTTAATATTTTTGAGAGAAAAAAAAATGGCATTCAGAACTACGATCTCTTCTATTCTTCTTCTTCTTCTTCTTTATCTCATCTAAGCCTCTCATCTCATCTATAGTTGGACATTTGTTTTCATTATTTAGGAATATGGAAGACATTGCTCAAAATCTAAAAATATTTTGGAATAAATACTTACTCAAAAAAACCAATGCTTAGTTGATAAAACAAGAAGTATACTAGTGTTAGTGATTAATGTGTGTAGGGCACACTTTAGATTTTCGCCTTGGGCCTTTGAAAACTTAGGACTAGCCCTGGTCTCTACTATAGCATTTGAGATGTTTTAGTACTGGTGGTCGCATTTAAGATCCATATAGGAGTTCATTATCCCCAAAAACAGTGGAGGCACTCATTTGCACACAAAATTGATTACATTCTTGACCAAAAAACTAATATTCTTTAGATCACGGATGATATTGAAGACATTGAATCAGGTAAACATTATTTGAAGATAAGTTTCATATTTTAAATTACTGGTTTTATTATATTTATCTTAATATGACATTCTATTCTTTGTAGAAATTCTAGGTCCTACATCAAAACTTACTTTGAATGAAAATTGATGTGGATGATTGCATGCTCAGTAACATGGAAGGATTGATGGACGTGGAAGCCTGAAAGAGTTCTCAAAGTTTGTTTTGAAAGAATGGATGTAATTCTTAATGTAATGTTGTTTTTAAATTTCATATTGTATCTTTGATTGTATTAAATTTTGAATTATATGTAATGAAAGACTAAAGTTCTTTTGCAATGATTATATTTTCATACAAATCCATCATCCAATTCAATCCAATCCAATGCATAATGGATTGGATTAAATTGAATCCTGACATTCGATTGTATTGGATTGGCTTGTGAAATCTGTAATCCAATAAAAAATTGGATTGGTAAGAAACCATTGGTATTGATCCGATGCTCAAGCCTAGGACTTTGTGCTAATTTTAGATTTAAGTTTTAAATGTTTTAATTAGTTGGATGTTTGAAAGATTTACAGGCCCAATGGAAAACAAAAAAACCAATTACCAAAAGAGAAGGAAAAAAGTGATCTTGGGTTTAAATTATTGGAATTATCTGAAATTTCAAGGATTTATTTTTCTCTTTCAAGTTCTTTGGTTACTGATAAAAATGTGAATTTTGGAGCAAAAAGATTTGTCAGAGGTACAAAGCTTTGTTCCTCTTCTTCCTGATGGTTTTATTGCCTTGTCACCTTCTTACCTCACAATATTTAGGGAAATATGGAACAATGAAAACCTACATATGAATTATTTAAATAGCAGTAATAGGCTATCTGAAAGAGAAAAAGTAAAAATAAGGAACAGAAACATAAAGAACAAGCGCACGAGGAGCTTTCTGGGAAATTTGCAACAACATATTATGATATACTTCAAAGCACTCTTTTCTTGAGTAATTACATCATCATATACGAGTTTTGATCATACGAATCAAATTTGATGAAATTTCAAAACATGTGTCATTCTACATCAATCAACAGGTGATACAGCAGTCATTCAAGGGTTGAAAACTCGGTCAACTAGTCCTTTTCTTTTTAAATGCAGGATGTATGATTATGTTTTCAGAGTCTAAATTGTCAATCTTTGAAATACACTCTGTCATCCTCTTCAAAACAATAGGCAAGGCAGCAACATTGCTGGAAAGTTTATCTCTAAACAATCGCAACTTCTCGGAAGTCTGATCTCCATTAGCCAGTAATGCCCCCTTATTAGAAGCCACTTGACCTGCCTCTGCAAAATATAAGTTTGTTAAGTGCTTCAACCACACCAGGAAATTTACCCTAAAAAATGGAAATTCCATGCTACCTCACTTTTCTAACTTTGGGGGATAAGTAGGCACTGAAAACAAAGAGTGTATAGGCATACTCAATCAAGGTAATATAGGAAATCATGGAAAAGGTTTTAATGACAGACGAAAGAAATTCTACCCCAGGTAAATAAAGCACCAATCTATGAGCAAAAAACCATACAACAGTTTCTTAGAGATGGTTATTTCAAAACTTTAATCAAGCAACACCAATAGAGAAAGGGGGAAACCTAGTTGAAACAAAAGCTATTGCTTTTACTATCATAGTCCTACCATTGTAATTTATGACTCATCATTTTCACCATCACAATCATAAAATAATTCACCCCTGCGGCCTGTGCCAAACAAAAGCCATATATTCAACTACATAAAAAAGACATCATCTCCACTTGTGTGCTACAATTAATTCAACTAAGACGACCACTTTCACACGGTGACTACCACCAATCTTGCCTTCAATAACATTCATCCATCAGTATTGCCATGCAACAGAGCAACATACCGTTGGTTCACTGATTTCCCCATTCTTAAAGAGCATAATACAAGGGAGAGGAATTTTATCTCTCAAGTAAGCATTTCCACCAATGAGCCTCCTTTCTTGAGATGGCAAAAGAGGCACAGCATCAAAATCAGCCATGTCTGGTGTGTGAAAGCACTAATGCTAGTATGATCACTACCACAAAAGATGGATGCCTTAAACACTATGCCAACACAAGCTTTCCTATTTATATCGTTATTGCCACAGAAACATAAAAATCCGTTCAAATATCTTTGCAGTCACCAAAGAAAATTAAAATCCCACTTGGGCTCCCAAAAGGGGGTTCCTCGTACCAAGCTTCCATCTTCTGTGCAAACCAAAATTATATGAAAAGAAATGAACCTCAAGTTATAATTCTTGACATTTTCCAAGCTAGGGAGTCTTTCAGTTTCCTAACACGCACACTTTACCTTACTTCACTCTTTTCACAAAAGACCCAATTTTGATTCTGAAATTTCTGAGAAACCCAAATAAATCATGTCTAAAAAGACCAAACTTTTCGTTCTCAATCCCAACCTCGTTTTTCCTAGCTACCAACCAGACGTTAAAAGTTTTCAAACAATATCAATCTGATCTGAGAACCACGGCATTCATTATCCAACAACCCTAAAAAGTATACAGAACACAACAAGAAGTTAAAAGAAATGCACCCGAATTCGGAGCTCCGGAAGTCCCAGGATCCGACCCATCAGAAAAAGGGGTTTCTGAGCAGCGAGAATTGAGGCGAAGGTGTTCTTGAGCTGATCTGGTAAAGTGGCTCTGTACTCTAAAATCTTCTCTGCCATTTCCTTCACTTCACACTCCAGCACCTCCAGCTCTTCTGGATCGGGTCCGCTTTCGGAGCCCTGACGCTCGTTCAACGCCATGTCTCAAATCCAGAGGGAGAGAGAGTGAGAGAGTGAGAGAGTGAGAGAGTGTGAGTGACGATGGTGTGTGTCAAAATCAGGTTGGGGTTGATTTGGAGGGTAATTGTGCTTTTATTTCGACGTCAGGGATTTTTTGAAATTTGAAAATCCGAAGGAGGGTTTTTGAGATTTTCCAAATTCTTTCTTCCTACTTTTCGCTTGTGGGATTCATTTTTTATTGAGAAATTTTGCTATTGTTTTTACTTATTTATTTCCTAACATGATGAAGATGGATCCGACCCTATGCATTTAGAATTTACGCATTTTTTCATATTTTGCTTCATCTTAGTCGTCATTATAACATAAATATAACATGACACGTCAACAACTATAAATTTAATTGTATTTTATGAGAACCACCATGTTTTTTTAACAACTTAAAGTTCAATTTTGCCGTTTAATTAAAAAAAAATTCAAAACTTGAAACTTAAAAAAAAAAACAAAAACAAACCGAGCACAAACTTCCCCCATCAGGGACCCACCGCCTCTACCCTCCTCCCATTATTGGCATTGGTCACTGGTGGCCCTACCCATCTCTTCCTTTCTTTCTATCATCTTCTCTTTGTCACAGCCAAGGTATAAAATATCAATAGTATTGGAAATATTGGTACTAAAAAACCAAGGAAATTTCCATGAAAACATCGGGATATTATCAATATCAATAAAAATTAAATAAAAACCACATAAATTGTAAGAAAAACTTGAGAATTTTTATTGAAACTTTGAAGGATGTTTATTTAGTCAATTATCTATTAGTTTATCACACAAAAATGAAAGGAAATGCATTGCATGATAGGTTTAACTGATTTAAGTTGATTATATAGCGAACTGACAAACACTTTGAGTGTAGAAAATATATAATAATTAATGAAAGAAGATTAAACACAGTATAATTATTTATATATAATGATTTACTACAATATTTTACACTTTATACATTGCATGGTAAGATACATGAGTGACTTAGTACCACATTGAGTTCTCCTTTGCGTATTTCACAAAAACATAAGCAAGATAGTGATTTAGGCGTTGGAGGAGTGAAATGATAGGTGTTCGAATCCCCTTTACTTGTATGCTTTGTTTTTTTTTCCTTTCTTTTTATTACATCGATATTTTTGATATTATAGCAATATTTTGACAAAATATTGCTAAAATGTGAGCAAAATTATCAACATTGATATTTTATGATATTATCGATATTTATATGATATGTGTATGGATACGTTCCGAAATATTCGTGATTCGAAAAAAGATAATATCCTCGATATTTCATTAATACTATCGATATTTTAGACTATGGCCACAACCTCTCTTTTCTTTTCTATCAACACAACCCCATAACCTGTAGAAACTGTTGAGGCCCAAAAAATCCAAGGTTGGGCCCAAATATATTTCTGGCCCAATACAACACTTAACCGGGAAAGAAGCCTGACTTGGGTATGCAAGAATTTTTGTATGTGCTTACGCAAGTTATGGTCCACATGCCACGCCAAGCAAACACGCAACTGGTCATGCAGAGATACCATAACGAGCCTGTAAAATGTACTGGTTCTATAAATCCGCGCTTATTGTCCCGTCAAGCACCATTTAACCCGGCTATAGTCCACTATAATATGGGAAAGCTCGAGCACAAACACGCTAAGTAACGTGCAACGCCAAGCGAAAAACCTTCATTTTGGTACTAAGCCACGCTATAAGCTTAAGTGGCTCCAAGCCACACGAATGCATAGGGCTTGCTGAGTGGGTTGTAGTATAGATGGTTATGAGTATTCATAATGCGCATTGAATGTTCAAGGAATGGAAGTTTTGGGCTGCTTGGGAGAACCAAAACTCAAGCTTATTTCTTGACCCGAAACATATGGGTAAGCATGAGAGAGAGAGAGAGAGAGAGAGAGAGAGAGAGAGAGAGAGAGAGCAAAGTGACCCAATCCCTTAGGAGAATATCCAATGGTCTGCAACACTTAAAAAAATCATACATCAGCTAAGACATCTAGCACATTGTCAAAACAAAGTAAATAAGCTACTTCCAGCAACTTGACGAAACCAAACTCACAGGCCGCTGGAAATAGAATGCCAATGACCCAATAGCTTAGAAAAAAAGCCCAGCCTAGCACCTCATAAAAATCTAGCATCAAATCTAGCGTTGTCAAAAGCCTCAAAACCAAGTCAAATGGTAAGCCATTGCAAAAACCAAAGGAAATTCATATGCGCATGAGGAATACCCATTAGACTAATGCCCCTACCCATGTTCCTTTCTTATGCAAGCTCAAATAGGAAAACCATAGAGAAAAGTGGAGGGCGCCTCACCCACATAAAGAAATCCAGTTGCGTGAAGATCTTGAAACCCTAAAAAAGGCTTTGTGCCTAGGTGCGTAGGCTAGGGAAGTTTCACCAAATGAGGTTGAAATGGAAGAAAGGGAAGGGAAAATGAGAGAAATGCCTGATAAAATTGAGGGTTCCAGCACCTATAAAAGGAGGCACCTTCTACCCAGCAAAGACACAATCCTGGAGCGTGACCAAGCTTTGTCAAGCTGCTGGAAATTTACTCAAGACAGCCTCATTCTTTATTTCCATATCTCTCTTTCTTCCTTAGTCAAAATCCCCTCAAATTTCTCTCTACCCCTTGCTCTAAACCTTCGCTTCCATAAGAAATTCAAGTTCTTTCCCTCTACTGCTAAACTCATGAAAGCTTAGCTTCCATGCCACAAGCTTCTCATGCCAAACCATAATATTGATCTGTAACAATTGTCTATCTTGTTGGTGAGAGGAACCAAAGTGTTTCCTAAGGCTCCACGAGCTTTTGGAAGCACTCTTGGGGCCTGGTTCTTAAACTCAAGCATAGGGGCAAGCGTACTCCCCCACTACTAGAAGCACCAGATTCAAGCTCTGGTTCTTCCATCTTATCATTATATATATGTATATCCCTTTCTCTCTCTCTCTTCCCAAAAACCTTATTCCAAATATGAAACAATTATTTTCTGAAGCCGAGTTGAAATCACGGGCATCACCTTTTTGGTGAGAAATCCAAAGGCGCGACCAAGCATTCGTCAAGCTGCCAGAAGCCCAATCAAACAAGTAGCAGCTGCTAGAACACCTATTCCACTATGTTTCAAGCAAACCCCTTCCAACGTCTGCTCCACCTCTATCATCAAGCAATAACTTCACAGTAGCTAATGTACCATTCTCATCAAAACTTCAATGTACTGAAGAGCCATTAAAGAAGACCAAAGCACTCCCTAAGGTTTCAACTCTTTCGGGGTGTTTTGGGGTTTGGTGCCGCAAACTCAGACAGGGGCGCAAGAGAGCTCGATGCAGTAGTCCAACAAGCCCATTGTAGCTCTCAACAAAAGACCCCAACAAAAACCATACCCAGAAAATTTCTCACATGAAAATAACCTAATTCTCATACCTAGAAACACATAAAATAACAAAATCAACACCCAATTCATAAAGGAATCATAATCCTAAAAGAATTTTGACAAAGTTTGCATGGATCCAATTCATTAGCCAATTCAAGTAGAAATCAAAACCCAAATCATATAGTTGAATTGCATTCCCTTTTTTTTCTTTTTTTTGGTTCGAAGATATGCTTTCACTAAAAAGCTAGAAAGGTTGCAAGAACGACCTTAAAGTGCCACAAACAAACATAACAATGTGAAAGATTGAAAAGTAGTAATAGTCGAAACAACAAAATAACATAACTGACGTCTCAGCAATAGAGCACTTCGGGACCTCTAGCCATTTGAAAGCCTATACACTTGGTGCACAAGGGAGTCCATCGTTACCGAAGACAAAAATAAGGGAGGTTGGGGGTGGTGGTGTGGGTGCGACAACGCCGATGCTGGGATGGGGTGGGTTTGGTTTCTTGTTTTGTTTTTTTCTTTCTTAATTTTATTGGAAGGGCAAAATTGGACTTTTAGACTCTTAAAATTAAATTGAACTTATGATACTTGCCATGTCATGTTGTAGATTGTTGGATTATTATAACAGCTGAGATGAAGCCAAATGCAGAAAAATGGGTGGATTCTAAACGCAGAGGCTTGAGATCCAATGAAGACTATGCATTGCATTCCTTTCCCCTCTCTCTCTCTCTCTCTCTCTCTCTCTCTCTCTCTAAAAAAAAATATTTTATGGAAAAGAAAGAATATCTTTTACGTACCCCCAGTTTGGCAACCTTTTTTGAAATGATACAAAGTAAAATGTCTCTGTTCAGAAAAGAAAAATTAACTAAATGTCATTATCTTGTTTCCTTTTAAGTTGCATTAAATCAGGATAAATGCTTTGAAATATCACTATTGTAGAAAATTGACAAAATATTGAAATTTTATGTGTGTCACACCTTTGTATTCGTCGTCCTTGAAAATGTATTATACGCTAATATTGTTTGCAACGTTAGTATACAGTGAGACCGCGTCGTTCCTCCTTTGGGAAACAGAAAACCCCGCCAACTCTGAATGTCCTCGCTCGCTCATCCGTTTGCCCTCTGAGGGAGAAACCTTAGTAAAATCGAACCCGAGAAAACTCAGCATGGTCAAACTTATCCCCTTCCATTTTCGCAGGAACCAAACAAGAAGTCAACCAAATCCTAACTTTAACTCAGCGAATACTACGAGGCGACTCTCCTGCCTTTTTCGTTATAAAACCCCAGAAACAGACATTTAAGAGACCTTGTCGACTCCGACACAACATTAGAAATGCTCTTCAGACATGCAACTCCAAGCATTATCTCTAATTAATCACTCTAAACATTCCCTTAAACATATTCAAAATCACACTTCTCTGCTTAAAAGTGTTTTCCTGATTTCATCTCATGGAAGATTGCAGACCTCTTTCATCATCTCAGTCATCCAAGGTGATCAATTCTCATCTTGTCAAACCAGTCTGCTTTTTTTCTTTTTTTTGTTTGTTTTGTTTTGTTTTTTGTTCTGTTTTTTGTGGTGAACATTGGAAAGCAGAGCAAATAGAGGGTTGGATTGAAATTCCAATATAATTTCACAGCCTGAAGTTACAACAAATTGTTAGCTTATAGGTATAGATGTTAAGCAAAGAGGTGATTGAAGTGTTATGCAGCATGAGTTTTCATTTATTACAAAGTTATATGCAAAAAGTTTGAATTTTTTTTTACTTATCATCATGCAGAAGGGTCAAAAAGTTGGCCTGGACAGCCCGTATCGGCTGCTGTATTGTTCAAGCAAGGGTGACAAAGCAGGGGTGATGCATGAGTTAGAGAAAGGTGTGAAGCCCAATCTGGCTGACTATGATAAGAGAACAGCTCTTCATTTGGCATCCTGTGAAGGCTGCACTGAGATTGTTGATCTACTTCTTCATAAAGGTGCTGATGTGAACTCCACGGATCGCTGGGGCCGCACTGTAAGTTCATCCAAAATTTTCCAATTATATACTAATAATATGCTTTGACACATAGTTAGAAACAAATACTAAAGCATTTTACAAAATCCTTTAGGTATGTCATAGTTAGCAAAAAAATTTCTCCAATTATATATAAAGGATTAAGCCATGTGTTGTTAATATGAGTGATCTTGCAGCCACTGTCAGATGCTCGTAGCTTCAGTCATGAGGCGATTTGCAAGATATTGGAGGCTAGAGGTGGAATAGATCCGGTATTTCACTTTCCTAATGCATTCACACATGTTACAAAGATCAACAGATTATATTTGCTTTTATAGTCTGCAGTCTGCATTTCTTCTCAATCGATTCATCTACATGTCCTTACATATTGTTCGAAATTCGAATTTACTTACTGGCAAATGTAATCTTTTTATATGTTAAAGGTAGGGCTTGACTCCCAACTTCCGTGCTATGAAATTGAACACACTGAGGTGAACATGGATGAAGCAACGCTTATTGGAGAGGTAGATTTTGTTAGTTCAGTTTCTTCTGGAACATAATTGCAACAAAGGCACCTCAGCGCACTTTGATGTTCTTTGTTCAGTAGGCTTTGTGTGAAATATCTAACCTCTGCACCTGCACTTTTTTGGTTTTCTGTCCCGTTCGTGATACTTCATATGTACTTAAAATTTCCTAGCAATGCAGGGATCATATGGTGAAATTTATTTAGTGAAGTGGCGTGGTACAGAAGTTGCTGCTAAAACAATCCGATCCTCCATTGCTTCCAATCCCACAGTGAAGTGAGTTTCTCTATCTGCATATCTTGATCTAATGGTTTCTAGTCATCTTATAAGTGGCAGCAAAATAAACAGATCATGGCAGTTAAAAGAGAAAGTAATCACTGATAAGAAATAACAAGTATAAACTTGATGTAAACTATCATACCAACGAAAACCTCCTATGATCTTTCTCATCTTGTGTGGAAAGGGTTGGTCACATCATGTGCATTTTAAACAGTGTAAATGTCTGCATATAGTTTTGAATTTGATAAAGATTTGGTTAGTCTAGATTTTTAGTCTGCATATATTAAGCACAGAACCATGCTATATGGTTTGCTAAAGTCGTAAATTGATGCCAGTATCTTCATTTTCCGGATTCAACCAAGTTGAACTAACTTTGCTAATTGCAGGACTATCTTTCTGAAGGAACTTGCTTTGTGGCAAAAGTTGCGCCACCCTAACATAGTGCAATTTCTTGGTGTTCTGAGGCACACTGACCGCTTGATCTTCCTTACCGAGTATCTTTGCAATGTAAGTTATCTTAGTACTTAATTTCCTTTTCTTCCTAAATTCATGTTCATGTTTAAACTTTCCCAATTTTGATGCACCAGGGAAGTTTGCATGATATATTAAAGAGGAAAGGAAGACTTGATTTACAAACCGTAGTTTCTTATGCTTTAGATATCGCCAGGTACTCATATATCCTACTAATATGAAATTAAAGTTATAAATTGATAATGACCCCCCAAGGGACTATGAAAAAAGTATCTTTTCATTCTTGTCACATATCTCATTTGTATATGTTACTATTTTTTCTCCCTTTTTTTAGACTTTTCATGTGAACTTCTTGTTGATGACTATGTTCAAAAATGTTGCAGAGGTATGAATTATCTCCATCAGCATAAACCACGCCCTATAATCCACAGAGATTTGACACCAAGGTAGAGCAAGGAAACAGTATTAAAATGCATTTTGAAGTGAATTATACAGATTGTTCCCTCCCCGGCAACCAATGCTTCTTCTTTGTTCTATAGAAATGTGTTACAGGATGAAGCTGGGAGACTCAAGGTCACAGATTTTGGCTTAAGCAAAATTGCACAGCAAAATGATGTATCTGGTTACAAAATGACTGGACGAACAGGTTCATGTAAGAGATGCCTTTTCACTAAAAACCAAGTATATATCCCTAGCAATTTGGTGCTAGCTCTAATGCTCTTGTCATCTTTGCTAGATCGTTATATGGCACCTGAGGTTTATCGTCGAGAATCATATGGGACGAGTATCGATATCTTCTCATTCGCTCTGATAGTACATGAGGTGCATTTGCTTTAAACTTTAGAAATCTTATATTCCAGTAGTCATTTATGAAGATGATTTCTTATGGCATATCCAATTTGAGCCTTTCCACTATGTCATATATATTCACAGATTTTGCTTACAGATGTTTCTAGGAGGACCACCTAATCTGGCAGAGGACCCGGAGAAAATTGCAGACAAGCGAGCATATGAAGATTCTCGACCGCCTCTCTTCTCTTATTTGTATCCAGAACCAATCAGGACGTGAGTGTTCTTCGACTACTTTAAATGTTATCCCATAGCAGGTTGTTAACAAGCACAAAAATAAACCTTACTGCTACATACAGTACAAGCATTACTCAAAAAGAGTCTTTAGGAACCTGTCCTAAAAATTTTCTAGCAACCCCAAACAGTTGGAGCTGTCATGCTTCATTTTGCTGCCAATTAGAATCCATTATTCTTGAATTTGGTTTAAAAGTGAGACAATAGCCTCCAACCGAACTCAAATTTAATAGAATCATTAATCTTGAATTGCACAAGACACATTACTCTCTTTCTTAAACAGACATTTGTTTTGCATATGATTATGAAGTAAGCGTTCTCTGCTTTGAATAATTTAGGCTCCTTAAAGAATGCTGGCACCAGAATCCAGATTGCCGGCCAACATTCGAAGAGATCATTTTGCAGTTGGAGACAATTCAAGAGAAATTTCAGAACAAGAAAAGAATGGGAACCTGTATTGGTGCTTGTGCCATCTCATAAGATGGGATTATGACAGACATATGTTTAGTTCTTTTTCTTCTTCTTTGGGTTTGTGTATATAGGCATGTGTGTTACTTTCTGTATAACTTCTTTACAAGAGTGACAACTTATCATATTAAAGTTTTAATTAATTTTGCTTGGCACCCAGCTTAGTATAGTAATTATGCCTTCTCTCTTCCCTACCTTTCCAAATTCTTATAAAGAGTACTAGCTAGACATCCAAAGTTTTCACTGGCTCTCCATCAAAATGTCAAATTTTCAACCAACAAATATTTAAAATTAAAGTTCAATAAGAAAGGGGAGGGTGCAATAAACAACTATTAAAAGAGAAGTGATTGAATGCAAGCTTTTAACTCCATTGTGTAGTGTTTATAAATTATATTTGGAGAAGGATAAACAAATCGTCTGGGTGGTGTAGTCGGTTATCACGCTAGTCTCACACACTAGAGGTCCCCGGTTCGAACCCGGGCTCAGACATCTGAAAATATTTGTTTTTATTTTGTTTTTGGCTTGGCAAGATGCAGAACATAACAACAAATGGAGTTTTCCCAATTGTTCAATTCTTACTGTTTTCATCATGAGATGTTTTGGTTCATGTTAATCATATTGTGATGGCCTAAAAGCCCCAAAAAAAACCCCTTAATTCCTCTCCTTTGTAATTTTTGTGGGATTTGGAGATAAACGCTTCAAAAATTATGTATACATCAACACAATTAAAGTTGCAGATTGCAAAGCCTACTAGATTGTAATGTTGCACTCAAAGCCAACTATCTACTTAAAAACAAGACTCAGAAGAGCCAAAAGTATGACAAGGTGACATATACATTGATGAAAAATAATCCTCTATACTTTTATATTTACAAATCTCAACCCTGAGGTTATTTTAATGCATCATTTAGATTTCAGAAAGTGCCAAGAAACTTATAGGTCTGCAGACTCGTGAGTTTATGTATAGGCGGCTGTATAAGAGTTTGGAGATGATCCTGACTGAGTATCTCATCCAACTAAGACTTAGGCTGACCATTTTGAAACTGCTGCTCAGGCTGGATCTTTCCTTTTGCAGCAAGCCGCGCTTGAATTAGTTTTTCTCTAGCAAGAGCCTCCCGTACATTGGTTTGAACTGACTTACAAAGGTCATCAAGGGCAAGCATTGGAAATGGCTCCTCAATAAGAACACCCACCTGCTATCAATTACCCTATTAGAGCATGCATCATCTACCAATAAGAGATCAAGGAGAGGTAACACATATAACAGAGTGGCAGATAGGTTCTCTGAAATCTTCTGCCACCGGCTTTCAGTAATCCAGTTCATTTAGGAGAATGAGGAGTATGGGACTAAAATTCACTTTCAGAATTCCCACAATCTGCTTTGAACAATTTTTGACGGTCTATATATGTTTTAGAGTAGTAAAAGTAGGCGTTCCAGAATGAAACATACATGAATGTATGATTGGTTTGAGAATGACAATTAAAAGGTGATGGCACACACCATTTCTCTCATTCAGCTTATACCAAGAATGACAATTAAAAGGCAATTTACTTTGCCTGTGCCTGATTATCTCAGTCGTATTAAAGAAAATTGTTGACAAACACAGCATTGAAACAAGGAAAAAACATATATGTTAGAAAGCAGGCAGAGAAAAGAACATACTTCTTCAATGCAGAACAGAGAAGCAGCACTAATAAAAGTAGCAGGAACCACAATCCAGTGGCAGTCATCCCAAAGTATGATAGGGAGAGTGAGATGCCAGAGGACTAGAAACCTTGAAGTCAAGCGCGTATATGAGAGGGGGATGGGAGTACCAATTAGTTGTTCACATACGCCAATCCCTTCATGGAAACAAGAGATTTTTGATTGCTGTATAATGATTAAGTCATGTAAGATACTGATTGAGTTTCTTCATCCATAAAGCTCATATAACGAAAATAGTAATTTGAAACTGTGATATTAATCTAGGAAGGGATTACCAACATAATTCTCCTTGAGTCCTCCAAATTTAGCAATCGAAGGCTCTGGGAGATGAACTCAATAATGCAGCTGGGTCGATGTTTTGAATTCAAAACAACTAACAGATCATCTAATTCAAGCAAATTTTGGAGGTCCTGTCTGATATCTGAGCCATAAACGACATGACACTGCATTTAAAAGTTAACATCTATCAATTGATTGTGCTACCAATATCAATGTGATCAAATAATAGTTCCAGAAATGAAAAAGGCACAGAATCAGGTTTTCTTCAGCACAGAACTGAAACTAAAGGTAGGTTCTGGCTCATGTTAAAAAATTATCTGAGCATCTCTCTACCAATTATGCATTTACATTGGGCCTTCAAATAATGCAAAGGATTCCAAAATTATAAATCATTGCTAAAATGCCCTACCATTGAACTAACTTGTCTAATTGGAACCACCAACACTCTCAATATTATATTAGTACACAATGAAAACTTTCTGCATGTTACATTGATTTCATTAAATTCGAGTCCTCCGAAACTATCCTTAAAAATTTGTTTTCAATCAGCAAATCTGATGAACTTGCAAATATAAGAAGGCATGCTAAAATTTGAACAATTAACATCGAAAAACTGAAATTCACAAACCTTGAGTGCAACAGGAAAGGCCACAATATACTGCAAAAGTGCCTTCTTCAGCTGTGCATCACCTGAATTTTCAACTGCGGAAATGATCTGCCTTGCGAAATCATTAGCCCCTGCAATCACCTTAGTCCAAGCCTTCCTCCCTTCTTCAAACCTTGAATAAGAAGCCTCTGTCCTGAACACCAACAACAGCGCCAATGCCGGTGCTGTCAGCTGGTACGGCAAAGTTGAGGACCTCAACACCGGAAAAAACCCCGGAAGCCAATTCAATGAAACCGCTGAATTGTAGCTCGCAATCACCACTGCCACTAAAGTAAAAGCAATGACTGGTGGTATCAAAGACAAGATTACCCTTGACGAAAGGCTCGTAAGAAAGTGCCGGAGATGGCGGTAAGAGCTTCTGTGATGAACCCATTTCTCATGGTCGTAAAGGGTTCTGTTCTGTCTGAAGCCACGCTCTTTTATGCTGTCTGCCCAGTCGGGTATGATCTGGAGTATTGAGATTGCGGCTTGTATTGGAGAGGAAGATGAAGATGATGATGATGGTGGGTTTGGGGTTGGGGAGGGTGAGCAGCAGAGGACTTTGAACTTGAGGGTTTTAGGTTTGGAGGGAAGGGTTGGAAAAGTGTTTGGGGTAGAGTATTTGGATGAGAGAGAGATGTTGGTGGCGGGTTTGATGGGGTTTACGGGTTGTATCAGCATTTGTAGGAGTTAGAGTTTGGAGGAGGGAGAGGGAAGAAGAAAAGGGCATGTTAGGGTTTCACAGAGTGTGTGTGTGAAGAGTGTTAGCTAGGTTGAGAGGGAGAAAGTAGATGAGTTAGTTAAACAACGGTTATATGTGAAGGAGGTTTTTACACATGTCCAAAAATCTGATACTAACAAAAGTGAGTATGCTAGTGGGACCCAATATCAGTGACAGGCTCATCTGAACCGTTCATTTGAATACCCCGCCATAAACAACCTCCACACCATCCAACACATTGCCACAGCATTACCAATCACTTATATAAAAATCATATTTATTAATCCTTTTTATCTCAGTTCTTGTTTTCTTTATGTCAGCTTCTTAAATTTCAAAGCACTGTGCATATTGAGGGGCATTTGAGCTTCAGGTGACCCAAGAATCATATCTATACCGAGTTAGGTTTTATCTCAACAGCAAGGAGAAGATCATACATGAGACAAAACATGAAATATCTTCTGCAAAAGGAACACAGGGTCCAAATATATCACCGCATACAACTTACAAGAACAGTATAATCATTCTCAAAACGATTATCTTTCTATACATTGTTAACTGCCTATTAAACTAAGGATGTTCCTTAGCACTGTTAGGGGCCAGCTTTTCAATTTCTTTTTCAGGTTGCCTCTTTGCTCCAAAGATGAAGTCTTTCACAGAACTTTCAGCAGACTGTATCGCCCTCTTAACCTGCCATCACAACTTCGTGCAATTAGTATTTGAAACAGTTACCGTACACCAAGTATTAACAAAACCGATATTTACCAAAAGAAACTATGACAATCGCCAATTGGGAACCTACTAACAAATTGAAAGTTTTCTAAGACAGTAAAAAAGAACATGAACAGAGGAAAGAATCTCAGCTTTTCATAACCATTGATTCAATTAAATTACAAAAGGCATCCCGCCTTATGTGGAAAGAAAAAACATGCTTTACATTAAACAATCTAGTCTTTAACTACCTAATACCTCATCACTAATCTCAGCCATAATCTTTTGTAAGTGGAGCCTCATCACACTACACTTTCAAAGGCTGATATGCTATCCTTACAGAAACAACAAACTTCCATTATGTGTGACAGATGATATATAACTTGTATAAATATCAATACAAAACAATTTTTGCAGCCCTGAAAGCCATTGTCCCGGGATGCTTATGGTTAAACCGTCTTTGTCAAAATAACACATTCTTGCTGTCGTTTGTTCTCTCTTAGTCTCTAATGATATCCTAGAGAAGTTGGCCTTTCTTTGACTGAATCCCATGACATCCTCTACTATTCTCACTAAGAGGTGCCTCTTTTAATGACTGCACCTATTTGTAACTGCAAATTTTTCACTATTCCATTGAACATCGTATAGTTCTAATTTCATGAACAAGTCATTCTTTAGTACACTACTCAATGTTCCGAAAACAAGGCCAGCATAAGAGCACTCACATCATATTTTTCTACCTCTTCATCATGAACAGTCAAATCTAGATGATGGAAAAGTTTCTTTGGTCATGAACAACCAGATGTAGATAATCAAATACGAAGACATATATGAAACCCAATCTTTAGTCTTGCTTTCATGGGACCTAACCATGTTAAGTATATTGCAATATAAATAAAACGTCTTTGCTACAGGTTAGTGACTAAACAAGCAGCACATTAAACAGCAACAAAAGCAAAATCGATGCAAAGCAAAAACAAGATGCCCAACTAGCCCAATTGCAAAACCCAAGTTTAGTCCACAACTAGCAACTACAGATCAACCCCCAAAATCGAAAGACCCCAAACATTGTGAACTAAAAGGGCATATCATACATCTCAGAATTTAATTAGCTGCAAAACAAACAAAGAGAAAATTGTAACACCAAGACTAGGTTTTCGTTTTCCCCTTACCATTTCTCAACAAGATTCAATAGTAATTTTGGGAAAAAGAAATCACGGGAAGGAAAAAGAACGTACAGGGTCGAGAGCATTGGGCTCAGAGCCATAGTCAGCAGTCAAGAGGAAATAGCCAGCAGTAACGGTGGCCACCATAGTTGTCCTCCTCACCAGCTTATCAGTTTGTGAGTTCATCTTGGTAGTTTTGCTTTCACTTGGATTCTCTGAAAGAAAAAAGGGTTTAAAGTTACAGACTTTGACACTTGTTTTAGAGAAGAGGTTTTTCAATTTTGGGAAGGGAGAAAAGAAAGTAGAAGGCGGCCTTTGAAGAAAATGGGTTTTATATAATATCAGAAACTACCCTTTGGTTTGCAGTTTATTACACATTGTCCCAAGAGACTGCTCTGCAGTTATTACTTCTTGACCATCTGGGTCTCTTATGTTTAACCAGTTAAGCTTACACTGACAGCCAAACACACCGCAGATATTTCTCATCCTGCAAAGCCAGAAGCCTAAAGTTCCTCTCTTTTTTCCTTTATTTGGTCACAGAAAGCCAATAGTTCCTCTCAGCTCTTCATCAATGGAAGATCCCAACCCAGCCCAGCCCACAGTCACGCAAATCGCGAACCCCCCAAACTCTGAAGAAGTTCTCGCTCCACAGCCTCCCCCGTCTTCTCTTCCTCCCAAGACCAAGAAGAGACCCCTTGACAATGATGCCCATATCTCCAACTCCAGCTACTTCAAGGTTCGCGCCGTCCTCAAGGAGATTCGTCCTCATTTTCTTGAGGTACATTTCAGACCCATTTGTCAAAGTTTGTATCTTGGTCTGAATTTGTTGTAAATTTGGAGAATTTATGTGATCTGGGGTTTTCTTTTTATTGAATTTGCTTTTTAACTTGGTTGCATTTTGATTTGAGGTACATTATTCGGGCTTGTTTGGATTCACAATTTGCTTTCTTGAGCATTTCTAATGATTTCTTTCTTTTTATTGTTCCGTCTCTTTCCTTTTTCTTTTAAAAATTTACAAATGTATAATCTTTAATATATTTTTTTTGTGGGTGAAATCAAATGTATAATCTTTGTCATTCTGCGCCCTTCTACTTTTGTTTTTTGGGGTGCCCTCAGCAGCTTTCGTAGGAAAGTTGGTATAAATGGTGATTTTGATGGAAATGACTGTACTTGTTAAACATGTACCATTGATTGCTGCTTTTGATTTTGTTTTTATCTTACAGGGTCTGTCGCTCTTTTAATTTTTTTGTTGCACAGGACATTTAATATAAAGTGAAGGATGAAGACAAGAAATTTAAGGTTCAAGTAAATTGAGGTGTTGTTAGCTTGCGTTAAGTGAAACTGTCAAAAGTAGGGTCTATTTGCTACCATTTCTGTTTGTGTTTGATTGTTTTAGGCTCAGATGAAGCTATATGCCATGGGTAGAATTAGGAGATCATGGCTGCTGTAAAGTACATTAGGTTCTGTAGAGACTGCTGCGGATAGGCCATTGGGTGTTAGCTTGGTTCTTAAATTGTTGGTCTATCAAAGTTGTGGATGTAATCACTCTCAATTAATTGCTCTACATCCTAATGTTTTGAACTGCTTCTTTTGTTTGCTACATTATGTGAAGTAAGGAGGGGTAACTTTTTGTCTTTTGTTATCTTGAAGGTTCTCCGGACCCCTGACTTTCGATTATGCAAGGCGGCCAATGACATCCAAGAACGTAAGCTTGTGAAGATTTTATTTTATTTGTCATTTTAACACAGTGACACATAGGTATCCCTTGATTCGTATGAGAAAGCTAACCTGATTTATTGTGTCCAACTTCCATTCACGCCCTAACTTGATTTATTAATTCTTCGTGTTGATGAAAATGTAGAGTTTCATCCTTGAAACTTAGTTTGCCGTATTTTCCTTGTTGGCCACCAAATTCTAGGATATCGTTGTCGTAATATTCAGATGGACTTTGGCCTCCTTTGTGAGGAGACATCTGTCTTGCTCATCTCTTAAATTCACACATGGTTTTATCCTGAGTTTTGAATTTCTTGAGCTCCATGTATGCCCATTTTTGTAGTTTTTGTTTTCTTAATCCCATTGGGAACAATTTAGAATCCCAGGTTTTCAATGACAGAGCCAATTGCATAGGAGACATTGCTTATTACTTGTCATATGATGGACAAGTAGAAAGTAACTTTTTATGGATTGATTATGAGATGTATTTTCAACCCTGTATGTTGCAAATTGCAGAGGTGAAGCTTCTGATGGAACTATACAAACAGATGACAGCAGAAGCAGTTTCCACAGCAAGATGTAAGAATGTGCCAGAAGGCCAGCCTTTATCAGGTGAAAAGTCCCAAGATACTAGAGCTTCTGGAAAACCATCAGAAAACAAATTTCCGTCAGGTATATCCAGCGAGAAGGCTGAAGATGGTCAAATTCAAGGGACATATGTTGTTGGAGGTTCAGCTTTTGGCTGGAATTTCATCACCTTTTTAGGCAGTGAACCAGTCTACTGTGGGATAACAAAGGAGTCATTTCGAGCTAATGGGAGCAAAGTAACAGTTCCATAATCCTACTGTTCTATGGTCCGGTTGAAGTACATTAAGTAGGGATATAAAATGATCTCTGATTCTTGCTATCTCAGTGTTGCTTGAATGGTAGGGCTAGCAAAGATTCTTGAACCATGCTCCATGATATTAATATAAAAGGGATTCATTGATTGTTTGATAAATGGAAATGGGTGTAATGTTTTAATTTGAATGAGTTGTACACTATGATTCTTCAAAAGGGATCAGTGAAGATGTTGTAATATTCCGATTTCCGATAAGTTTGGTATGTAATTTTACACTTGAGATTAAGAATGAAATTTGTGACGGTAATCCCAGAAAGATGGGTTGTTTGAGAAGTGTCTCTGCTGAGGATGCAGTACTATTTTCTTAATGCCAGGCTATTCATCTGCTAGCACATCAACTAAAAACGGTTGGGGGTGGCCAGCACATGCAGGCCTAGGTGCAAACCCAGACCAAGGTAAGCCATCTGCTGCAATATACTTTTTTTCTTTGATCCGAAATGCTGCCATACTTCTTTCCATTGTAGCCCAATTGCATAGAAGTCTTTAGAAAACGATTGGGTGTCCATAGAATCACCCTTGGCATAAGGAGAACAAATAGACAAAGTCAGACTCAATCACAAGCTGAGAAATATCCCTATCTCAAATAACATTAAAGCTTTTCTGATACAAGAGAACTGAGTGCCTCACCTTCAACAAAGGGACACCTGAAATTCACAGATTGTTCAGTCAAAAAGATCACTTCAAATGTGAGCTTCTTTGTCTCGATCATCTTCATGATTTTAGTTAGCATGGACGGAAGTTGCTTATTCAAACTCTTTTGTGGATTGGTGGTGGTTTTTTTCTACAGACGAACCCTTCCCTTGGATTTAATTCAAAAAATAACAGTATATATTCTTGAGTTAAATCAGCATAACCACAAGAGTTTTTTGTTTTTGTTTTTTCTTCTCTCGTGGTTTGCTTGGTTCCTCTCTCTCTCTCTCTCTCTCTCTCTCTCTCTCTCTCTTCATTTACCCGTATTTCATCTCTTGCATGCTCTGTCTTCAAATGGATCACATGCTGCCCATGAATGAATTGGCTCAATGTGAAAAAGGCAATGGTTTTTTCCCCTTCCTATTCCTATTTTGACGGCAGCAACAAACAGACCAAATTGTCTTCAATTTCAATCATCATTTGATGCCGCATGACTTGCTGTGGTTGCTACATGGGATCCCACTAAAACTGCATAAGATTTTACTACTATTTTGTCAGGACGAATGAGTGGTTGCGTGCAGCATGCTCCGGAAGAGATTGACCCTTCCCCGAGTCAGTCCAGTCGGAAAGGGAAGGGCTCGCTGTCTAGACAATCTCAACACTTCCCACTTTCACCCATAATCATCGCTTAGACTGGACTCTTTTAACACGCGTTCTTTAAATGCACTGCCTTTTCTTAACTGGTCTGTCAATTTTTTATTATGTTTGAACTTATTGATGTGTATGAGTTCCTATCGTGTATTGGGGGAACAAACAAAAAGGAAGACGGATTAGTCAATGAAATAATGTATGGAATTTCTATTCTTTCTTTATGTAAATTTCATATTAAATGACGAAGAAAATTCTAGAGGAAGACAAATTAGTCAATGAAATAATGTATGAAATTTACATTTTTTCTTTATGTAATTTTCATATTAAACGACAAAGAAAATTCTAGAGGAAGACAGATTAGTCAATGAAATAGTGTATGAAATTTCTACTCTTTCTTTATGTAATTTTTCATATTAAATGACTCAGAAAATTCTAGAGGAAGACAGATTAGTCAATGAAATAATGTATGGAATTTATTCTCTTTCTTTATGTAATTTTCATATTAAATAACAAAGAAAATTCTAAAGGTAGACTTATCAGAAAAGGATACATATGCTCATAAATGAAAAAGTAAAATGCATGTCCTCCTCCTTTGTTCTGAGTGGGACAAAAGTGGGTGTTTATTAGACTTGAGGAAGGCTTCTACCAATCAATCAATGAAGACTAGAGGAAGACTTAAATACCAATGAAGGCTCTCTTTTGGTTGGGGGAACGTGTGTGTGGGTGTTAAAACTCATTGGAGAAAGACTAGAGGACTATACCACATCATGTGGTAGATAATGTGGCAATTTGCAAATAACTTTAGTAGCAAGTGAACTGTACTAGCCACTTACAACTTTAAGCCTGATCATTCAAATAATGTTTGCATCCTCTGTTTTACCGCGGCTGCTAGCATAAAGAAAGCCGATGCTTTTGTTGCCTCTTCTACCTCCATGCGGCATTGCTTTGTCGGGCTTTCTCCCATTGTAGAGAATTCCCCACTATCACCTTCGGTGGGAGTATGGGTTGTGTCTCAGTTAATGTGGTTGATCTTTTTAATTTCCTTAGTTAGCTTTGCCATACCAACTACCTAATCAAACACAGGGCCCCTCATCGAAGAGAAATTTACTAGCAAAACTATATAAGACTTTTAATAGTTGTCACATATGATTATGTGTGTTAAACCCATTTCAACCTTAACCCTATAATTACACAGAGTAACAAGTATTATTTATTGAATTATCGAAACAGTACAATATTCTCAACAACTCATTCTTGATACAATAATTGCCTAATATAGCTGTAAGCTCTCATTTACCAATTCGGTTAGAAACTAATTTCTTAACTAATCAATTAATAAACTGACTATGCCAGCTTATCACTAATCCAACTCAACAATGATGAAGGTTCCTAACAATGTGATCAGTCGATGTGACGTAGTGTTATTGATGAAAATATAGCCATTCCTACCACCTCATGTAAATCCCACAAAACTCCCGTTCAAGGAGGGTAAGAAAGTATGTGGAATGCTAGCAACCTTCTCTCCAACCTTCATTTGGACATTCTCCATTTTCCTCATGACATGTGTTACTTTCCTTACATTAAAAACAATGTAATTAATGCATCAAATAAGATAACATATGTTTCCAAATTTACTCTTATTTTTTGTATTGATTTTAATGTTTCCTTAAATTTATTATCCAAATTTGTTACAACTTTCTTATCACCTTGTTAAAAAATTAAATAAGAAAAAACATTAATTTTTTTTTCTTTTTAGAAAGACTCCAACAAATAAGACTTACCTAATTAATGGTTTAGAAAGAAAAAAAATCAATAATCAGACTTACCGAATTAATGGTTTGAAAATGCAATCAATGAACTTCCTTAGAAGGACGTCTTTTGTTTGTATAAAAAAATGATTTTTTAAGGTCATTATTGTGTTTTTTTTTTAAAAAAAAAAAAAAAAAAAAAAAAAAAATTTTAATAGACATAAAATACTTTATTAAAAAAAAAAACGATTTTTAATTTTTTAAAATTTTTTACAAAAAAAAATTGTTAAAGAGAGTTGTAAAAAAGAGATTTATATAAATTGAAGGACAATACATTTAATAAGGATAAACTTGGAAAACAAAAAGTGGTTGGTTTTAAACACAGCATGTGTACATGTGCAATGGCCAAAGCATCCTTCCAAGGGCGTTTCTTTTACCAAAGATGGGAAATTTGCTGCAATTTGCACAAGGCGTGATTGCAAGGACTACATTAATCTTCTGTCTTGTCATACATGGGAGATAATGGGTGTATTTGCTGTGGACACATTGGACTTGTCTGATACTGAATGGTCGCCAGATGACAGTACAATAGTGATATGGGATTCGCCTCTCGAATATAAGGTGGCAACTTCGTTTCTTTTGGCTTTGCTAAACCAAAATGATGTGCAGTAAGTTTGTTAAATAATGGTTTAGTTTGAAAAAAATAAAAAAAATCATGGTGTGGTTTGATACAGGTTCTAATATACTCCCCAGATGGGAGGTGCCTTTATAAGTATCAAGCATATGAAAGTGGATTGGGCGTAAAAAGTGTTTCATGGTCTCCTTGTGGCCAGTTTCTAGCAGTGGGTAGTTATGACCAGATGTTGCGGGTTTTGAATCACCTGACTTGGAAGACTTTTGCTGAATTTATGCATCTATCTACCGTCCGTGCTCCCTGTTGTGCTGCTGTTTTTAAGGTGATTGTTTGTTAATATATTAGATAGCCAGATATCATGTTCTTTTAGTTTGTTGGATGATTTCTCACCCCCTTAATTTGTAAAATGCCAGGAAGTGGATGAGCCATTGCTGCTTGATATGTCCGAGTTATGTTTAAGTGATGATTTTGCACAAGGCAATGATGGTAAGCATGACTGTTGGTACATTTCTCAAAAGGAGGATTGCTGTTCTTTCTTAACTTATTAAACATTTGCAAACTATGAAAGTAGTGTGCTGTATCATTTGTCTGCATACACTACCCTTCTACATTCTTGTTTAGTACTTTAGTATTCTATATCAGGTTCCTTTTTTCCTGTTGTTGGTGTGTGTGTGTGTATTTGCCAGGTTTCATTTCTGCCTTGTGATTGGATCCTTTTACTTTTCTTCTTTCCCCCTTTTTTATTTTTTTATTTTTCTTTCCAAGTAGATGCTTCTGAAGGACATTTCAGAGTTAGGTACGAGGTTACAGAAGTGCCCATTAGTTTGCCTTTCCAGAAGCCTCCTGCAGACAAACCTAACCCCAAACAAGGAATTGGTAAGCCCTTTCTCCCTTTGTACTGTTTTGGTATGCAAATAAATACAAATTTTGTAGACCCCAGTCAATGCAATAGCTCAAACATGAAGATAGGTCTTAAGATATTATCTGGTGTAATTACTCCTGTAATCACTCCTGCAATATATAGCCTTTAAATGAAGCTAAACCTAATCTGCTGAAAAACAATCAAAGTGGTCTTTGTTCTAGCTATTTACATTAGCAGAGTGGAGATGCACTTAGAAATTTAGGCGTTCATAAATGCATCCGCCCAGCCATCAGATAACATTCAATGTCCTTGAGAGAGGCCATGATGGTTGAGCCCAGTCATACTTTTGGACAAATGTTGCAAGTTGAGGAACTTCAAGTTGTGATGTCAAGTTTATTGATTCTAATTGGACCTATATCGGAGTTTGATATAGATATTGCAGTCAAATATGTTTGCATGGGATATTTCCCAATGACCTTGAATACTTTAAAAAAAATTGTATAGCCGAACGGCTATACGCTTCACGTGCATACTTCATTTTTTTCATTTTCTAAAGTTAAAAAAAATTATAAATTGTATAGCCGGTCGGCTATACTTCATTTTTAAAATTTTTTTTGGGTGAATATATCCCTTCGGCTGTACTAGGTTTTTTTTTTTGTTTTAATTTTTTTAATAAAAACTGTAGCCGGTCGGCTATACTCGGTTTTTTTAACTTTTTTTAAAAATAGCATAGCCGTTTTTGACACGTGGGCGTCTAATCGATAGACGGGTCCTTTTTTATTTAAATAAATAGTATAGCCAATCGGCTATACGCGTGGTTTTTATTCATGTTTCTCACAATAGTATGCCCAGACATGATCAAACAAACTATGGTGCAACTAACCATAATCAGCTCAATGATATTCCTCCTAATGTATGTGTGGATCTATTTGGCAGTTGATAATCACTTTCCCCCCTCCTTTTTTCCTAATCTAGAAGATGAAATTGCAGGACGTATCTACACCATCTTCTGGAAAACCAAAAGCCAAGAAAAAGATAGTGATGTCGTTATGTCATCAGTCGGACCAAATCAGACTGCAATTCAAGGTTGTTATTGGGTTTTAGAACTCTCTCTCTCTCTCTCTCAAGCGTGATCTCACATTTTTACTTTCAGTATTCATGTGAATGACTTATTTTGCAAAATCTTAGTTAGACTGCCAATGTCGGTGGAGGATATCTGCGGTAGAGCTGAAATTTTCAGTGATGATCGGGAAGAAGCTGAGTGGTTATCTATGCCTCTTTCTCATCTTAGAGTGCTTGCAAATGAAATAATGTCTCTTCGAGCAAAGGGGCATCTACATTTGGCCCCTGTAGATTCTTTTGTTAGATTGTTAAGGATTTTAGATCATCAGATACATCGAGCTGAAGGCTTGTCTATAAGTACATGTGAGCAGGTGAGCTTGTTTTATGTCCTGCATTCTTTCTTGCATATAGCATAGCTGTTGTGGTAGTTTGCTTCTTAAACTACATTTCTTCAGGCTTTTGTGCTATTCTTCTTGTTTATATTTTCATTGAAAGTTTGTGCTATTTTTAGTTTTGCTTCTCCATGATTTTTTTTTTGGGGGGGGTCTGATTTTAGAATCTCCATGCAAGTAATGATGTTACTGAGTTGCCTTGCAATATATTGATTGTTTTAAATTTCATCTTATAATGGTCTTGTTATCTCAATCACTGTTTGTCTGACTCCATTTTTTAATTTCTTTTTCCTGAAATTAATAGTATAGCCGGGCGGCGATAATTCCTTTTTAAAAAATTTTATTCCAATGAGTAGTATAGCCGATCGGCTATACGTTTCAAATATAAAAATTAGGTCAGATATCTTCTTCTTTCCAGCGTCGCCTTCTCCTTCCTCTCTCTGTATCGATCTCTCTCCCTCCCTCTTTCTTCCTAACAAGCAGCGGATCCTGCGCACTTCAACCGCCTTCGTCCACGCCTCAATGGCAAAACGCCCGCCCAGACTCTCCTAGGGCCGCCTAGACCTTCCTACAGTTGCCTAGGCCGCCTAGAGCCGCCTAGAGCCGCCTAGACCTTCCTACAGCCGCATAGGCCGCCTAGAGCCGCCTAGGGCCGCCTAGAGCCGCCTAGAGCCGCCTAGACCTTCCTACAGCCTCCTAGGCCGCCTAGAGCCGCCTAGGGCCGCCTAGGCCACCTAGGCGGGAGCCCAGACGCCGATTAGCTCCCTGGCGCCTACCCCTGGATGCCACATCCTGGAAGGGTACCTCTTGGTGTACTGGAACTGACGTAAGTTAGTTCGAAATTTAAAGATAATGAGCTTTTGGTTGGCGTGGAATTAGGATTACACTGTTTTCACAGTCATGTGGCAGGTCACTAGTGAATCAACCTTCCTAATCTGATGATCTTGTACTGAAATACTAACTAATAGGGTGCATGCAACCTTAGGCCATTTCACTTGATTTTGTTCCATCTCCTGCATTGAACCTAATCCCTTCTTAACTTTGTGGTTCCATTGTTTCCATCGTAAAGCTATGCATGTTGTACAGGTTTCATCTCTTGTTGTGGTACAAGGATGATCCAAAATCACAGCAGAAGTTCATGTACTATCTTGCTAGACTGAAATCAAAACAAGTAGTGCTGGATTCTGGGACTGTTTTTTCATTATTGACAAGGGATTCAATCAAGAAGATTACTTTAGCATTGGGACAAAAAAAAAACTCTTTTTCCAGAGGGTTGGATAAGATTCTTCATTTGCTTCTGGTTAGTAAGCCTTTTCATTTACTCCCTGATTTATTGTATAATAAAATCTCTATTTTGACAATTTAGTTGATTGCAGACAAGTTTAATGGAGAATTCACAAGTCGGGTTCATCAACTTGGCCAATAGGCAGCTCAGCTCTCACATGGTTGCAAGGATTCTGGATTTCCTCATAATTTCATCTACACAAGTAGAATATAATAATAATAATATGCTGAACAAAACAGTGAAATCCCTCACAAGAAACTGTAAGAACAAACAGCATCAAAAACAGAAGAAAAAACCAAAAAGATGACCAAGCCTTAAGCAGCAGGCGCCACTGATTCTTTCCTTGATATGTAGAGTAGGAAAGTAGGAAAAGTTTCTAACCAAGAAGCATATCCTTGATGGAATGTAATTCAGATGCAACATCACTGATATCCTTTCGGTTCGCTGGGGATTCAACAGAACATGCAATTCCAAGTTTAAATATCAATCTCTGTGACACGATCGGGAAAAGCAGTCTTCACAAAATTATGAAGGTTCAAGCCATCACTAAACAAGTGGTCAGTGGGTCTCCTTCCCGTAAACATCTCTAACAAAAGAATGCCAAAGCTGTAGACATCTCCACTTTTCGACACTTCACTTCCCATACTCTGTAGTTGAAGTATCAGAAAATATTGTCACCACAATTCTAAATAAAATGGCTCTCTTAAATTATGCAACAAAGTAAGAGTAACTGATTATGTGCGTGGAAATGAGGGCATGGAACTGTCTATGCAAATGATCAATTAATTGTAATTAGAACCAAGTTAAAAGATAAAGAAAGGCAACAGTGAAGTATACAGGAATATTTACCTGGAGCAACATAGCCAACCGATCCCTTTATGCCAATGGAACTTGCTTGATTTGCTGAAGCCTTATCGGCTAATTTTGCAAGGAATCTTGCAAGTCCAAAGTCAGAAACATGTCCAGTCAACTCTGCGTCCAAGAGAACATTGCTTGGCTTGAGATCACAATGGACTATTGGTGTTTCGCAATCGTTATGAAGAAAATCAAGTGCACAAGCAATGTCAATGGTGATGTCTAGCCTCTGAAGAAGATTTAAATTCTGGGGTGCATCTGTTTCCTCTTTCGTTTCAATAGTCGAATGCAACCACTTTTCTAAGCTCCCATTGTCCATTAACTCATACACGAGAGCCTTGAAATCATTACCTTGATAATCAACAGTTGAACATGCAGTTATAATCTTGACGAGATTTCGATGCCTGATATTTCTTGACGCCTCACATTTCGCCAAGAAACTCTTAGATGCTCCATGATGTAACATGTTAATAAACACCTTGATGGCAACAAGCTGAGCTCCATCAAAATCAAGGACTCCTTTATACACAGACCCAAAACTAGCCACACCAATCAAAATCAACAAGCTGATCTTCATACTTGCATATCTATACTGACTACGGAGGGTTGAAATTACCACCACCACCACCACACACATGGCTTTTTTTTTCACAATATCCATGGCATTCACCCTCTTTCCGATAATCCATGTTAAAAGAGTACAGCCGTGCGGTTATACTCCTTTTTTTTCTTTTCCTGAAATTAATAGTATAGCCGGGCGGCGATAATCCCCCTTTAAAAAAAATTATTCCAATGAATAGTATAGCCGGGCGGCGATACTGTTCAGATATAATATATAAAAATAGTATGGCCGGGCCTTTATACTCCTTGTTTTTCCGTTCAAATTGATAGTTTAGCCGAGCGGCTATACTTTTCGAATATAAAAATTAGGCAGATATCCTCTTCTTCCCAGCGTCGCCTTCTCTCTCTCTCTCTCTCTCTCTCTCTCGTCTTTCTTCCTAACAAGCAGCGGATCCTGCGCACTTCAACCGCCCTTCGTCCATGCCTCAACGGCAAAACGCCCGCCCAGACCCTCCTAGGGCCGCCTAGACCCGCCTAGAGCCGCCTAGGGAGTAAGAGAATATGAAGTTCCGAATCGACGTTGGCACTGTCAGATATGCCTCTGCAGGAAGCAACTTCTTGTTTTACAATCTTTCTGTAGGTCACAATGCAAAGATGATGGGACAAAAGATCGTAATCGTTCAGGAAGAAACACTGAAGTTGCTTTTTCAATTACAAAACTTGAGGTTGTCCAGCAGATGCTTTTGAATTACCTTCAAGATGCCGCATGAGCTGATTTTGGGCATCTCTTTGTTCGCTGGTATGTACTCACTGAACCTCATCCCTTCTTCACTTTGTGGTTCCATTGTTTCCATCATAAAGCTATGCATGTGGTACAGGTTTCATCTCTTGTTGTGGTACAAGGATGATCAAAAATCACAGCAGAAGTTCTTGTACTATCTTGCTAGACTGAAATCAAAAGAAGTAGTGCTGGATTCTGGGACTGTTTTTTCATTATTGACAAGGGATTCAGTCAAGAAGATTACTTTAGGCAAAAAAAAAAAAAAAAAAAAAAAAAAAAAAAAAAAAACTCTTTCTCAGAGGGTTTGATAAGATTCTTCATTTGCCTCTGGTTAGTAAGCCTTTCATTTACTCCCTGATTTATTATATAATAAAATCTCTATTTTGACAATTTAGTTTATTGCAGACAAGTTTAATGGAGAATTCACCTGTAATTAGGGCCAAGGCTTTATGAGCGGTAAGCGAAAAAATATATTTTTGGACTTTTAATCCTTGAAATGGAAATTGAGAATTCATTTTATGGCTCTGTTGGCAGAATTTAATGTCTTAATATCTTAATATGTTGAGCAGGTCAGTATAATTGTAGAAGCTGATCCGCATGTGCAAGTGCTTACTGGAAAGGATATTGCAGGATAAGCATAAAAATTTGTTTGTCCTTGGCTAGGTCGCAGTTTTTATTCTTTTCCTCTTCCACAGGATATTGTTTGCAAGACAGTTTATGAGTTCTGGTTTGAGGAACCTACTGGTTCACAAACTCAGTTCTTTGGAGATGGTAGCTCTGTTCCATGGGAGGTGGCTAAAAACACTGAACAGATTGTTGAGATGTTGAGGAGGATGCCAAGTCATCAACTTCTTGTGACGGTCATTAAAAGCAACTTAGCCCTTGATTTTTTTCCCCAATCAGTTAAAGCTACCTGTCTCACTTGCATCTGTACGCAAGCGCTGTGAGTTAATGTGCAAGTGCTTACTGGAAAGGATATTGCAGGTATTTTCCCCCCATCTTCTTGACTTGCCAAAACAATTTGGTTGATATTTAAATCTGAATGTTCAGAAATTCTTATTTGTCAGTTAGAGGAAATGGCTATGCAGGAAGGAGAGAGGCGGACGCTTCCATATGTGCTAGCTTTGCACGCATTCTGTGTTGTGGATCCAACACTCTGTGCACCAGCTTCTGACCCTTCCCAGTTTGTGGTCACTCTTCAAATTATATCAACTCCTAGTATAACCGATACTAGGAATTTTTTTAATAAAAAATAGTATAGCCGCCCGGCAAATTTTTCAAAAAAATAGTATAGTCAGGCGGCTATACTCGTTTTGTAAATTTAAAAAAAATATATTATAGCCGAGCGGATATACTTGTTTCACTGGACGCCGGACGGGGTTTTTTTTATATAAACCATTTTTTGACACGTGGGTAACTCGCGCTATGAGGCTGCTCTTTTTTAAATAGTATAGCCGCACGGCTATACTCCATTTTTGTATAGCCGGTCGGCTTTACTAGGTTTTTTTTTGTGGTTTTTCATGAGTAAAGCTATTGTTTCTTTTTATTAATTAAATAATCTCTTAGCCTTATTTAATTACTTTAATTAATAATTATTTCTTTAGTGAATAATTAGTAGCAATATAAGGGGAAATTACGGAAGAAAATGACAGAAAACCCGACAAACCTTGCAAGATTTATATGGAAACAGGAAAGTCAGAAGGATCACCCCGCCTCGGTGGATCATATGCATTCCTTCAGCAAAACAATAAACATGTCGTCTAGTTTACAGTCTCTGTTTAAATATATACATTTCGAATCACTACACTACCTAACAAAAAAATACACTGCTTGCTACTCATAGTGCAAAGACCACAACTATTTTGATTGGGAATAAAAAAAGATGTTATGAGTATTCAGATACCAATATTTTTAAACTAAGAAAAAAAATTAGCAACCTTTTGGAGATGCAGGTTTATCAAGATCAAATGCCGTTCATCTCACAATCTCTACATACCCAAAATTCAAGATGGGGGTTTTGGCCGTGAGATTGATCTTAATAAACTCACTTTTTAAAAGAGAGGCAGAACCTAAATATAACATTTTTGGTTTCTTGAAAATTTAAATATGGTGTAGGACGAGGGTCCAAGTGATGGGTAATGGCGGTTCACTTGGTTTGTCTAATGTTCTTCAAAGTTCATGTGGCTGATGTTTGCTTTTAAAGTTCAGCCTGAAACTTGGTTCATAAATGTGTGTCCTGTCAAAATAGTCCTTAAACTAGAGAGGAATCAAACTATCTTCCTCGAATTACAAAATTGGGACCCAGGAAGAAATTGAAAACGAAAATTCTATTCGATCATTGACATGATTGTGGCTAGAGGAAGCAGCTAAGAGGCCCTTTTTGGAGGAGACATGTTACTGATGAGAGAAGTAGTTGTGCTGACGGTAAATATTTGTACCAGGAACGCTGTGAAATTTGAAACATAAATATTACTCTTTACCCAACTTTGGTTGTAGTAGCATCACATCAAGAAAGCACAGATACTCACCAATTGCAGTGCGGGTGGCCTCGAGAAGTTCGAACTTCTTTGTTTCCCAGTTACTTGGATTTTGGAAAACCTACTCAGTAATTTCATACAAGACAACAATCAGAAAATTCCGACAAAAACAAGAAGGGGCAAATGATTCAAATTTCTAAGTGATAATCAACAGTTGTAATAAAGAACTATCTTACCTCTAATGTTAAATTTCCTATAGCAACACAAGCAATGGAGAGAAGTATTCCAATAGATGATGCAACAATGTAAACTTTCAACAAACTCACTCGGCTGCGCCTTCGACCTTTGGCAAAATAAAAAGTTGTATAACTACAAATGCAAAAACTGAAGTGAATTGAAAGAAAAATGAAGATTAGTAACAGCTTACCTAACTCCCCAATGATCAACGAAATAGAACCAATAGCAACAGATGAAATAGCAATCACATTGGGACCTTCCCCATTTGATGTAAATAGAAATGTATGTAGGACTCCTATCAATTGAATGACTATACCGTTTATATATGTATTGTTAGCTCAAGTGCAAAAAAAAAATTCACAACTTGCTCCATACTCAACTCATTTTCTAGAGTACCAAACCATCTTAAAGCTCAACTTGCTACAAAACTTCAAATTTCAATAACTAATATAACCCAATTCAAATATTCAAATATAATTATTACCTAATTAGAGTATTACAATTTACACATGAGTATTAAAATTAAAGATGGCCAATGATAGGAGAACAATATAAAAATGAGTCACAGATCATGATCCTAAACAGCTTGAATAAGTGGATGCATTGGGTATGCTCGGCCTCGGAAATCAAGATTGTGGGGATAATAATTCCTCATATATTATAGTCTCACGGTTATACTATTTAAATATATTATTTGAAGGCGTATAGCTGCGCGATTAATGTAATAGGTGGGCAGATTTCTGTTGTTCAAGGTCTTTTGGAAGAGCTGCCTGGAGAGTTTTTAAGTTACATGCGTTCCATGGACATGAAGCCACTCACCTTCCATGTAGCAAGCCAACCATCTACATCATAGATTCGTTCTTCTTCGCAGATGCAGTAGTTCAATCTCAAGAATCTGTTCATTATCAAACATGTTACCAATGTAACACCCCGACCCCAAATTATCCCATGTTTTAATTTATTTAAGTGGAATTGAGAAATTACCCGTGGGATAGGGGTATTTTAGTCATTTTCTTGCCCGGAAGGAATTTGGGAATTCCGGATGTACCGTTGCGTAGAGCATGGCGAGATGAGTTCGTAGACATGTAGTGGGCTCGAATCGGAGTTGTAACGAGAGAGATATGATCAAATGAAGCTCAGTGGCATAATCGTAAATATTTGGAAAATGGATTTTTGGTTAAAAGACGGAATTGCCCCCGTCTCTCTCACACTCTCTCTCTCCCGCGCGTCCCTCTCTCTCCTCTGGTTCGCGGCCGCCACCACAGCCGGCCACGTTTTGGCCGGCCGTTCAGTCATCCGGCCACCACTCGGGTCGGGACCGGTCCCAAAATGACCGGCCTGACTTCGCCGTCCTACCCCACCCATTCTCCGATGTCAGCCGGCAGCGGTATCGCCGGAAATTGCAGAAAAACGGCCGGTTTTTACCCAGATTTTCCGGAGCTCGTTCCGGCGATTCCGGCCACCAAATCTTGCGATCAAGGTATGGTTTCTCACCTATTTTCCGAGCTCTAGCTGCCTGTTGGGTAGGAATTGATCGATTTGTAGCGTAGGCAACTCGATTTACGAATTGAGTTTCGGCCGGATTTCGGGATGAGATTCCGGCCACTTCCGGTCAGTTTTTGGGGTACGTCCAAGAACAAAAGTGACTCCAAATTAGGTGTTTTACCTAGGGTAGGAGTCTTGAGCCGTGATTTGTGGTTTTTCCGGCGATGCGATATCGCTTTGGACACCCACGCGCTGCCGGCGCGTGTGGCGGCGCGTGGGCACTGTAGCTGAGGGGCATTTTTGTCCCAATGTGATCCTTTTGATGTCACGAGCGCGTGGGTGTGCTCGGATTTCAATTTGGATATTGTTAGAGTCCCGAATGGATATCGCATATCGCGTATTTTCCGGGTTCGCTGGGTTTGGACCGTTGGATGGTCCTGATATTATAATATGTTGATCTAGGTATTACCAGGATCGTGTAGGATTCGACGGATCGTAAAACGGAGTCCCGGATACTCCGGAAATGCCAACCCTGGGGTTAGGGTTTTAGTAACTGTCCGATCCTGCGATCGTGAGCGATCCGACCGTCCGATCTGGACCAAACTTGCAGGACATGTGTCCTAGAGCCTATAGAACCTATAGGAACTTTCGGATTGGAGTTTGGAGGTTGTGGGCCCCGCAGGCCCGTTTGACCCTAGGTTGACCGTGAGACTCCCGAGATAGTCTTACCTTTCCTTGAGGGTTAGGATGACCTTAGTGACAGGTCTTGAGTGTTGTTGAGTTAAATGGATATTGTGGGTTTAGGATATAAATTGGTGAATTTAAATGTGGGAGTTTATGGAATGTTTTATTGGTTGATGTTATTGTATGATTTATTTAATTGATTGTGTGGATGTTTAATGATATATAAAGTGATTGAATATTAGTTTACAGTGCTATACGCACTACCCCACGTACCCCTCATATTGTGATTATGCTCAGGCCCAAGTGATAGTGTGAGGTCGCACGCGTCTTTGGGTTAGCCGGCGTGTTGACAGGCCCCGTACGTGGCCGGGTACGTCCCGACGTATGAGTGGGTGATATGATGGTATAAGGGCTGGTGAGAATGTAGCCAGGCCCAGTGTGAGGTCGCACGCGTCTTTGGGTTAGCCGGCGTGTTGACAGGCCCCGTACGTGGCCGGGTACGTCCCGACGTATGAGTGGGTGATATGATGGTATAAGGGCTGGTGAGAATGTAGCCAGGCCCAGTGTGAGGTCGCACGCGTCTTTGGATTAGCCGGCGTGTAGACAGACCCCGTACGAGGCCGGGTGCGTCCCGTCGTATGAGTGGGAGATATGATAGTATGATGGCTGGTGAGAATGTAGCCAGACCAAAGAGAACAGTATGATGGCTGGTGAGAATGTAGCCAGGCCCAGCGAGAGGTCGCACGCGTCTTTGGATTAGCCGGCGTGTAGACAGACCCCGTACGAGGCCGGGTGCGTCCCGTCGTATGAGGGGAGCTATGTGATTATGTTTGGTGTGTTGTGATGGATAAACCCGAGAATGTATGTATTTATATGGATGTGATGGTTTAATTGATATCAGGAGCCAGGATTGATAGGAAAGAGCTACGTGTGGCTTGATCCCTTAGTAGGGTACGTAGGCAGCCTGGGACAGCGCCTAGGTGCAGCCACGACCTAGACACCACTTAGGTGGTTTTATTGAGTATGATGCGGACCCCGCGGTTGGTCCCGAAACTTGGTTGAATTGAGGCTTGTCCGGTGGACTGAGTGAGTGAAGGTGTGTATGGTTAGATTTCGAATTGGATATATGCATGTTTAATGCATTAAGTTATTTTAAAAGCAGTGTGAGTAGTTCTGCTAGAATCATTTGAAGGCTGGAGGCCATTTATGTAAATTGCCTGAGATTATATTGTGCGTGCTGCTGGTTGGGTTATAAAATGTGTTTTATGTAGGTGGAAATTTTGGGGAATGTTTAATTTACAGGGGAGACTGCCGAAATTTTGGCAGAAAGTCTCGTGCCCTAAATCCTCTCTGGTAAACGAGGACGTAGATTTAAGGAGTAAACCCGGCGTGGGTGTGATGCCGGGGTCTCCGCAGGGTTCGTCTCGGGTTCCGGGAAATTCGGGACGGGTCCTGTCAGCTTGGTATCAGAGCTTAGGTTCAATTTCTTGTGGACCCCGCACCTTGTGTGCATCCTTAAGTTGTGGGATCATGATGGGTTCCGTCACGGGACGTCATCATTTTGATGCGGAGGATTCTTTGACATGGATGGATTTAGGGTATTGATGAGTACACTTAAGGGTGCCACGTTCCTTGAAACGTGTCTATCCAAATTGTCGTATCTCAATATCCTATGGAAGGAAACGGAAGAGCTGAAAGTGTTGAATCTGCTGAGGTGAGATGAAATTGTCAGAGGTAGTTGATGGACAAGTTACATGGGAATGGTGGAGTTGTGAGTCCGACCAAGGAGGGTCGTGACAAATTAAATTGAGAAGTAGGTTGGATGAAGTTTGTAGAGTTCTTATGGGCAGGAGGACATGGAGTTGATCAATCTACTTCTAGAGATCCTCCATTGCCTGAACATGTTGCTAATTCTCGATTGTGTGCAGTGAGCACGTTTGAGCAGAAATCTTTTATCTGAATCAGAAATGGGTCATGGTAGAGAGAGGAAGATGATGATTACAATTCGGTAAAAATGACCCTTTCTGACATCCCTCTCAAAGAATCGTGTTGACAATATTGCTTATCGATTCTAACGAAAGAAGGAAGATATCAACAAGTCAAGGAGTTTGGACTTCTCTTAGTGGGAGAGCTAGAAGAGAATCAAATCACAAATGGAATGACTTGGCTGCCAACTTGGTTGTGGAGGATGAAGCATGGGAACCCGAGCAGTAGATGCGGGCCCAGTACCCACACCCTTTGAAGTGGCAGGTATGAAATTTCGGGGACGAAATTTTTATAAGGGGGGTAGTCTGTAACACCCCGACCCCAAATTATCCCATGTTTTAATTTATTTAAGTGGAATTGAGAAATTACCCGTGGGATAGGGGTATTTTAGTCATTTTCTTGCCCGGAAGGAATTTGGGAATTCCGGATGTACCGTTGCGTAGAGCACGGCGAGATGAGTTCGTAGACATGTAGTGGGCTCGAATCGGAGTTGTAACGAGAGAGATATGATCAAATGAAGCTCAGTGGCATAATCGTAAATATTTGGAAAATGGATTTTTGGTTAAAAGACGGAATTGCCCCCGTCTCTCTCACACTCTCTCTCTCCCGCGCGTCCCTCTCTCTCCTCTGGTTCGCGGCCGCCACCACAGCCGGCCACGTTTTGGCCGGCCGTTCAGTCATCCGGCCACCACTCGGGTCGGGACCGGTCCCAAAATGACCGGCCTGACTTCGCCGTCCTACCCACCCATTCTCCGATGTCAGCCGGCAGCGGTATCGCCGGAAATTGCAGAAAAACGGCCGGTTTTTACCCAGATTTTCCGGAGCTCGTTCCGGCGATTCCGGCCACCAAATCTTGCGATCAAGGTATGGTTTCTCACCTATTTTCCGAGCTCTAGCTGCCTGTTGGGTAGGAATTGATCGATTTGTAGCGTAGGCAACTCGATTTACGAATTGAGTTTCGGCCGGATTTCGGGATGAGATTCCGGCCACTTCCGGTCAGTTTTTGGGGTACGTCCAAGAACAAAAGTGACTCCAAATTAGGTGTTTTACCTAGGGTAGGAGTCTTGAGCCGTGATTTGTGGTTTTTCCGGCGATGCGATATCGCTTTGGACACCCACGCGCTGCCGGCGCGTGTGGCGGCGCGTGGGCACTGTAGCTGAGGGGCATTTTTGTCCCAATGTGATCCTTTTGATGTCACGAGCGCGTGGGTGTGCTCGGATTTCAATTTGGATATGTTAGAGTCCCGAATGGATATCGCATATCGCGTATTTTCCGGGTTCGCTGGGTTTGGACCGTTGGATGGTCCTGATATTATAATATGTTGATCTAGGTATTACCAGGATCGTGTAGGATTCGACGGATCGTAAAACGGAGTCCCGGATACTCCGGAAATGCCAACCCTGGGGTTAGGGTTTTAGTAACTGTCCGATCCTGCGATCGTGAGCGATCCGACCGTCCGATCTGGACCAAACTTGCAGGACATGTGTCCTAGAGCCTATAGAACCTATAGGAACTTTCGGATTGGAGTTTGGAGGTTGTGGGCCCCGCAGGCCCGTTTGACCCTAGGTTGACCGTGAGACTCCCGAGATAGTCTTACCTTTCCTTGAGGGTTAGGATGACCTTAGTGACAGGTCTTGAGTGTTGTTGAGTTAAATGGATATTGTGGGTTTAGGATATAAATTGGTGAATTTAAATGTGGGAGTTTATGGAATGTTTTATTGGTTGATGTTATTGTATGATTTATTTAATTGATTGTGTGGATGTTTAATGATATATAAAGTGATTGAATATTAGTTTACAGTGCTATACGCACTACCCCACGTACCCCTCATATTGTGATTATGCTCAGGCCCAAGTGATAGTGTGAGGTCGCACGCGTCTTTGGGTTAGCCGGCGTGTTGACAGGCCCCGTACGTGGCCGGGTACGTCCCGACGTATGAGTGGGTGATATGATGGTATAAGGGCTGGTGAGAATGTAGCCAGGCCCAGTGTGAGGTCGCACGCGTCTTTGGGTTAGCCGGCGTGTTGACAGGCCCCGTACGTGGCCGGGTACGTCCCGACGTATGAGTGGGTGATATGATGGTATAAGGGCTGGTGAGAATGTAGCCAGGCCCAGTGTGAGGTCGCACGCGTCTTTGGATTAGCCGGCGTGTAGACAGACCCCGTACGAGGCCGGGTGCGTCCCGTCGTATGAGTGGGAGATATGATAGTATGATGGCTGGTGAGAATGTAGCCAGACCAAAGAGAACAGTATGATGGCTGGTGAGAATGTAGCCAGGCCCAGCGAGAGGTCGCACGCGTCTTTGGATTAGCCGGCGTGTAGACAGACCCCGTACGAGGCCGGGTGCGTCCCGTCGTATGAGGGGAGCTATGTGATTATGTTTGGTGTGTTGTGATGGATAAACCCGAGAATGTATGTATTTATATGGATGTGATGGTTTAATTGATATCAGGAGCCAGGATTGATAGGAAAGAGCTACGTGTGGCTTGATCCCTTAGTAGGGTACGTAGGCAGCCTGGGACAGCGCCTAGGTGCAGCCACGACCTAGACACCACTTAGGTGGTTTTATTGAGTATGATGCGGACCCCGCGGTTGGTCCCGAAACTTGGTTGAATTGAGGCTTGTCCGGTGGACTGAGTGAGTGAAGGTGTGTATGGTTAGATTTCGAATTGGATATATGCATGTTTAATGCATTAAGTTATTTTAAAAGCAGTGTGAGTAGTTCTGCTAGAATCATTTGAAGGCTGGAGGCCATTTATGTAAATTGCCTGAGATTATATTGTGCGTGCTGCTGGTTGGGTTATAAAATGTGTTTTATGTAGGTGGAAATTTTGGGGAATGTTTAATTTACAGGGGAGACTGCCGAAATTTTGGCAGAAAGTCTCGTGCCCTAAATCCTCTCTGGTAAACGAGGACGTAGATTTAAGGAGTAAACCCGGCGTGGGTGTGATGCCGGGGTCTCCGCAGGGTTCGTCTCGGGTTCCGTGAAATTCGGGACGGGTCCTGTCAACCAAGGACTAATTTCAAAGTGCTTTTTGTTTTGTTTTCGTTTTTAATTTCATATATAGTGCTTTATCAGTGCCTCACCGAAAGGTTTGGACTCTGATTCCAACTGCTTTTCTGCTTCCTGAAAGTGATGTGAAACCTCAAATTCCTTGTCATTAGATTGGTAACAGACCATATTCACTGATAGTTCAGGAAACAGTTAAGTGAAAACCTTACCTTCTTCATCATTGTCTCTTTCTTCCATGTTTCTATGCCCTTCATTAAAGCTTTTGCTGCTGTAACTGCCAGAACTCAGAAGAAAATCTTATAAGATTATTCAGAGTATTCAAAGTAAATGAGGAATTTGTGTTCAAAATGTTATTACCTAAGAAGAGAATGATAAGTAGAACTGTGACCATCCAGTTGGCGAACATGACGTTGAAGGCAACTCCTATGCTGATGCCCAGCATGAGCATTGGCTGAAAGAGCAATGCCAGATCATAATCTATAAAGGGGCATGTCCAGTGTTGGGTGCCTAAGTCTCAAATTGAAGTATACTGTTGAACCTGCAGCACCCATTATCATACCTGCATGACCAATAGGATGGCATACAGTACTTCAGTTCTGTCTAAATTGAATACATTAAGAATAAATTAACAAGTTAAAAGAAAAGATTAAAAGGAAAAGTAGTGATTACTGACACTTAGAAATGGCAGTGGAAGACTTGGGATCAAACCAATGATCAAGGCAAGCATTGCCTCCACCCCCAACACCTCCCACACTACCCAATGCTGCACCAGAGAATCCAACTATTGAGCCAATTAACTACAATTTTCCAACCAAACTTGATCTCCTGAACAACCAAAATACATATGTCAAAGTCAAAATACCACAACAGTAAACATGAAAGGAAGAATCATAAAATCTTATTGGAAAAAGTCAAAATACCCTAAAATTAGACGTAAAAGTTATATCCCCTTTATGTTCTCGCTCTCTCTCTCTCTCTCTCTCTCTCTCTCTCTCTCTCTCTCTCTATGCGTGTGTGTGTTCTTGCTGGAGATGCATTAACTACGGTGTTTAAGGGAGATCAAACTCACTGGTGGAGCAAGTTTGAGTATATGTCTGCACAAAGTTCAGATACAGTTAAAATCATGGTGCTAGTAAACCAAAAGGTTGTAGGAACAATGTAAGCATCATCTCTTTCTTTTCCAATTCTCGGAAATCTTCTTTAAAAGTTAAATCCTTGAACACACTGTCACGTATATCTGAATAAATGGCCTAGGCGGGCGCTAGGCGGGCTAGGCGGGGGCTAGGCGTCTAGGCGGGCTAGGCGGGGGCTAGGCGGTCTAGGCGGCTAGGCAGGCGCTAGGCGGTCTAGGCGCCTAGAAGAAAGAAAAGGTCATTTCGGAACTCCAAGGTCGGGACGAGATGACAATGGTGATATGAGGCGAGAGAGAGAGAGAGAGAGAGAGAGAGAGAGAGAGAGAGAGAGAGAGATGAAGATGAGATTGAAGAAGACGTGTTATGTTTAGGGTTTAAAAAAGGGCCTGAGCAAGAGAGAAGGGCATGGGCTTCAGAAATACAACATTAAATGGATTTTGCATTATGAAATCACTAAAGTAACCACTAATAAGTAACAAATAACAAATTAATATTTTAATATTTTAAATAAATAAAAATTATATTATTTGTTTAATATATAATTATATATCTTTTTTATTTTTCATGATTTTGGTATAAATTTATAATTTATAATACTAAATAATTTATTAAAAAAGGAATGGGCTCCGATTACTCCTTTAGGCGCTAGGCCCGTGCCTGCCGCCCCCTTACTACATAGTGATTTTTCGAACATTGGGATTAACATGTTGGTAGATTGAGGTGTAACAACACTTCAATTTACAACCCTGCAATTTTAATTGATTCCAATTCCCTTATGTTTGTGTTCATAATTAACTAAAAATTAGTTGCATTGCATGGAGTTTAGATTTAACTTTTCTAGTATAATTTTTCTCAAGACTATAAACAAAGAAGCAATTTCGTCAATTCTCAATTGATTGTATAGTGGCTACATGTCTCTGGAGTATGCCATGGGCGGGATGTTTTTTGAAAAATCTAATGGCTACAGCTTCGGGTTCTTAGAATTGGAGATTATTAGTGGCAAAGAGAATACCATCTTCTATTGCAGTGACCAACATATAGGCTTCCTAGCTTATGTAAGCTCACACTCTAAATCTTAATGCAAAATCGTATCTTTCATACAGCTTAAGCAACCTATATGAAGCTAAATGCAGCCGAGTTTAACAATTCTAGCCAACATACATGAAATTTTGTCAGGCATGGCACTCATGGAATGAAGGCAGGGGTTTGGAGTTGGTTGATGAAGTATTGGCAGATTCATATTCACCTTCAGAATCTCATGGATTTCTGTTTTTGAAACCCAAAGGCATTGCATATGCATGGGTCAAGTTTCAGATTGGCAAGCACATGGAATTGCATACAATTATATTGGATTTTTGCCTCAGTTTAGGTGCACATTGATGTGCCCATTTTTTTCACAAACATGATCCAATTGGTATTTGGTATAACAAACACAAGCAACATTTACAAGTTTTGGCATGCAGGTGGCATACCAAATTCACAAAGCGTAAGTGGGGATATAGGGAACCAAGGTCCCAAAAAGGAGTTCTCCAAAAGATGCAATTCCCGACACAAAACTCTCGTCTAGGGACTTGGGGGATTTCTATTTGTGAGGTAAAATACCTCAGGTCCAGGTGGTCGGGTTGAGCTCGATATCAATGGACAAGCAGGGCTTGAGCCTTGGGCGGGATGTCTCCGGAGTATGAGTGCACGATAACTTTTTTAGAGTTCCAACTATTCACTTTTCTTTTTTAATAAAAAATTTCAGAGAAATATTTGTCACAACGAGTCTAGCATAAGGAACAGGGCAGGAGATTGTATAAATTTCAGTTTGTGTTTAGGTTTAAAGTATTAATACAACAACATGTTGAGGCAATATGGAGAATTGGATAAAATTTCAAACCACACCATTCATAATATGATTCATATTCCTCCTCAAATAAAAATCTAATCTATATCATAAAACATATAATTTTTTCTTTTATTAAAAAAGACATAAACTACATCTGACTGTATATATAGCCAGTCAATCAATGGGTAAATGCGTAGGCAAGAACCTAAGGTATATAAACCCTATTTTTTTTTTTTTTTTTTTTTTTTTTTTTTTTTTTTTTTTTTTTTTTTTTTTTTTTTTTTTTTTTTTTTTTTTTTTTTTTTTTTTTTTTTTTTTTTTTTTTTTTTTTTTTTTTTTTTTTTTTTTTTTTTTTTTTTTTTTTTTTTTTTTTTTTTTTTTTTTTTTTTTTTTTTTTTTTTTTTTTTTTTTTTTTTTTTTTTTTTTTTTTTTTTTTTTTTTTTTTTTTTTTTTTTTTTTTTTTTTTTTTTTTTTTTTTTTTTTTTTTTTTTTTTTTTTTTTTTTTTTTTTTTTTTTTTTTTTTTTTTTTTTTTTTTTTTTTTTTTTTTTTTTTTTTTTTTTTTTTTTTTTTTTTTTTTTAAAGGGGTTTTTTTTTCCCCCCAAAAGTGAAAGTTTATCACTTTCATTCGACTCGTTGTTTACAGTGGCCTCATAATTGTCTTTATGTTTTTTAGAATGAAGGACATAAGGAGAATTGTTGATGATCCTGCAACAACATAAATCATGTGTAAAGTGTTTTGTAAATTGTTCAATTATAATTAAATCTCTTAAAAAAAAAAAAAAAAACCCAGTATAGCCACTCGGCTATATTATTTCTTTTTCAAAAAATTAAAAAACCGAGTATAGCCATGCGGCTATACTATTGCTTTTAAAAAAACGGAGACTATAATATTTCTTTAAATTTTTTTAAAAAAAACGGAGTATCGCCGTGCGGCTATACGATTTCTTTAAAAAAAAAAAATTAGAAACCCGCAGTATAGTCGCTCGGCTACACTATTTCTTTAAAAAAATTAAAAAACTAATTATAGCCGCCTTACTATACTATTTCTTCTAAAAAAATTTGAAAAAACCAAGTATAGCCGCGGTGCTATACTATTTCTTTCTATAAAAAATAGGAAAACAGAGTATAGCCGCTTGGCTATACAATTTATTTCAAATAAATAAATTTGAAAAACCGAGTATGACCGCGCGGCTATACTATTTCTTTTAAAATAAATATTTAGAAAAACCGATTCTAAAGCTTAATTTCACACCAAGTGCACCCATAATCAGCTTTATACTTTCATTTCATGGTTCTTAGGGCATTCATTTGAGTTATCGTCCTTTTGTTGTGATGTGTGACCAAAGCAAACCTAACAGATCGAACTTTGTTGGCGAGTCCTTACTTAGTTAGGATTTTAGTTACTTACCATTTATCTAGTCATATTATAATTGAGATTTATTTCCTATTATAATTTATATTTATTTTCTATTGTAATTTAGATATATTTCCTATTTTATTTAGGGTTAACACATCTTTGTACTTGTATAAATACCTCCATATTGGAGAAGAATAATAATATGAGAATATATGAAAATTTTCCCCTACTTTCTTAGGGCATTCATTTGAGTTATCATGCTTTTGTTGTGATGTGTGACCAAAACAAACCTAACAGATCGAACTTGACTACATTGCTAGTGATGTCTGCATAAAGATTCAGATAGATTCATTCAGTAACAAAATTCAAAGCAATAGTGCATAAAAATTCAGATAGATTCATTCAGTAACAAAATTCAAAGCAATAGTGCGTCCCCTGCAAATGCAGAGGAATTAGAAAGATCAAACTCTACATTTCTAGTGATGATCTTGTCTTTTGAAAAGCTTCTTTAGTTATACAGAACTACACAGTAAAATAACTTACCTTAACAATGTGAACAATAAGAAAAGCCACCGAGACATACACAAGCATCGATAACTCCTTCCAGTAAATGTTGTGTGATATAGGTACTTGGACAGAGTTGTTCACAAATTCAATAAGACAGAATCTGAAACAACTTCAAAATTGCAGATAACCAAGAACTTGGAACTGACCTGCTCATCTTGCAATGAAACCATCTGCAACAAAGGAGATGTGCGCTTTAGAGTTTTCTTTTAGTTCATATTAGTGCATAGTCTCTAAACTTGGTCTATATATACACTCACCGCCACGTTTGGACTCCAATTCCAACTACTTTTCTGCTTCCTGAAAATCATGCAAAACCTCAAATTCCTTGTTAGTACGTTGGTAACAGACCCTGCTCATTGATAGCCCAGGGGATCCGGATAGTTGTGTGAAAATCTTACCTTCATCACTGTCTCTTTCTCCCATGTTTATATGCCTTTCATTAAAGCCTTTGTTGCTGTTGTATCAGCCAGAACTCAAAAGAATATCTAACAAGATTATTAGGAGTGTATATTATGTAGACACTACAGAGAATTTTTTTAGTTGGATAATGGTTGGTTATTCTATAAAATTTTCCTACATTTTTCCAAATAATTCAAGAAATAGTGACTTTCAGAAGGAACAAAGAAAGTTAATAAACAATCCAGTAGAAGCTTTGAAAGTATAAAAAAATAGTTCAAATGTTTGGTGTTGAAAGCATTTTTATGCCAAGTTTTGAAGTTTCTAGAGAACGATTAAGCGCAATAAATATAAAGATTTGATGTGCTTTTCTTTTAGTTGTGTACATATTCCATTTTATCAGTTCAGTTCTCATTCTTCTCAAAGTAAAAAATTAGTTGGGAAATTGTGGTCAAAATGTTATTACCTAAGAAGAGAATAATAAGTAGAACTGTAACCATCCAGTCGGCGAACATGACGTTGAAGGCAACTCCTATGCTGATGCCCAGCACGAGCATTGGCTGAAAGAGAAATGCCAGATCATAATCTATAAGGGGCATGTCCAGTGTTGGGTGCCTAAGCCTCAAATTGAAGTATACAGTTGAAACTGAAGCACCCATTATCATACCCTGCATGGCATGTAGTTCTTTAATTCTGTCTAAACTGAATACATTAAGATTAAGTTAACAAGTTAAAAGAAAAGATTAATAAGAAAGGTGATTACTGGAAGACTTGGGATCAAAACCAATGATAAAGGAATTTAGCCGCGCGGCTATACTATTTCTTTTAAAAAAAATAAAAAACCGAGTTTAACCGCGCGGCTATACCTTTTATATATGTACTGTTAAATCAAGTAGTGCAAAAAACAAATTCACAACTTGCTCCATACTTAACTCATTTTCTAGAGTACCAAACCATCTTAAAGCACAACTTGCTACAAAACTTCAAATTTCAATAACTAATATAACCCAATTCAAATATTCATATATAATTATTACCTAATTAAAGTATTACAATTTACACATGAGTATTACAATTAAAGATGGCCAATGACAGGAGAACAATATAAAAATGAGTAACAGATCATGATCCTAAACAACTTGCATAAGTGGATGCATTGGGTATGCTCGGCCTCAGAAATCAAGATTGTGGGGATAATAATTCCTCATATATTATAGTCTCACGGTTATACTATTTAAATATATTATTTGAAGGCGTATAGCTGCACGATTAATGTAACAGGTGGGCAGATTTCTGTTGTTCAAGGTCTTTTGGAAGAGCTGCCTGGAGAGTTTTTAAGTTACATACGTTCCATGGACATGAAGCCACTCACCTTCCATGCATCAAGCCAACCATCTACATCATAGGTTCGTTCTTCTTCGCAGATGCAGTAGTTCAATCTCAAGAATCTGTTCATTATCAAACATGTTACTGAGGATTAATTTCAAAGAGCTTTTTGTTTTGTTTTCGTTTTTAATTTCATAGTGCTTTATCAGTGCACTCACCGCCAGGTTTGGACTCTGATTCCAACTGCTTTTCTGCTTTCTGAAAGTCATGTGAAACCTCAAATTCCTTGTCATTAGATTGGTAACAGACCATATTCATTGATAGTTCAGGAAATAGTTAAGTGAAAACCTTACCTTCTTCATCATTGTCTCTTTCTTCCATGTTTCTATGCCCTTTATTAAAGCTTTTGCTGCTGTACCTTCCAGAACTCAGAAGAATATCTTATAAGATTATTCGGAGTATTCAAAGTAAATGAGGAATTTGTGTTCAAAATGTTATTACCTAAGAAGAGAATGATATAAGTAGAACTGTGACGATCCAGTTGGCGAACATGACTTTGAAGGAAACTCCTATGTTGATGCCTAGCATGAGCATTGGCTGAAAGAGCAATGCCAGATCATAATCTATAAAGGGGCATGTCCAGTGTTGGGTGCCTAAGGCTCAAATTGAAGTATACTGTTGAACCTGCAGCACCCATTATCATACCTGCATGACCAATAGGATGGCATACAGTTCTTCAGTTCTGTCTAAATTGAATACATTAAGATTAAATTAACAAGTTAAAAGGAAAAGTAGTGATTACTGACACTTAGAAATGGCAGTGGAAGACTTGGGATCAAAACCAATGATCAAGGCAAGCATTGCCTCCACCCCCAACACCTCCCACACTACCCAATGCTGCACCAGAGAATCCAACTATTGAGCCAATTAACTACAATTTTCCAACCAAACTTGATCTCCCGAACAACCAAAATACATATGTCAAAGTCAAAATACCATAACAGTAAACATGAAAGGAAGAATCATAAAGTCTTATTGGAACAAGTCAAAATACCCTAAAATTAGACGTAAAAGTTATATCCCCTTTATGTTCTCTCTCTCTCTCTCTCTCTCTCTCTCTCTCTCTCTCTCTCTCTCTCTCTATGCGTGTGTGTGTTCTTGGTGGAGATGCATTAACTACGGTGTTTAAGGGAGATCAAACTCACTGGTGGAGCAAGTTTGAGTATATGTCTGCACAAAGTCAGATACAGTTAAAATCATGGTTCTAGTAAACCAAAAGGTTGTAGGAACAATGTAAGCATCATCCCTTTCTTTTCCAATTCTCGGAAATCTTCTTTAAAAGTAAAACCCTTGAACACACTGTCACGTATATCTGAATAAATGGCCTAGGCGGGCGCTAGGCGGGCTAGGCGGGGGCTAGGCGGGCTAGGCGGGGCTAGGCGGTCTAGGCGGTCTAGGAGGGCTAGGCAGGTGCTAGGCGGTCTCGGCAGAAGCTGGCGCCTAGAAGAAAGAAAAGGTCATTTCGGAACTCCAAGGTCTGGGACGAGATGACAATGGTGATATGAGGCGAGATAGAGAGACGACGATGAGATTGAAGAAGACGAGAGGTTGCGTGTTATGTTTTAGGGTTTAGAAAAGGGCCTGGACAAGAGAGAAGGGCCTGGGCTTCATAAAATACAACATTAAATGAATTTTGCATTATAAAATCACTAAAGTAACCACTAATAAGTAACAAATAACTATTAAATATCCAATACACAAAATTGCTTACACAACTCGAATCAGCAGTATTTTTCCTTTTCTGTCTCATACTTCTTGTAATAAAAATTCATTGTTTCAGGTGAAGGAAAACGAATAAAGTTAATGCTCAGCCTCATAGCTATTTGTTTTATCAGTATCTCGGTTGCCATAGTGTTCAGCTTGCACAGACTGCAATCTAACCAAAAAGGTAAGAGAATGAAGTGATCAAGGGATAAAAGAGTTCAAGAATGAGATGCTGTCGATTTCCAAACTCCAACATAAAAATCTTGTGAGGATCATGGCATGCTCCGTCCAGGATGATGAGAATTTACTAATTTACGAGTTCATGCCAAACGGAAGCTTGGATCCTCTTCTATTCAGTTAGTTTCATTACTCTTTGTTACCTAGTGATGGTCAATTTTTTCATTGTGAAGTGCAAGGGATTGGGATGTATTAATGACATTACTGTTATACTGGCTATAATGAAATTTCGTGTTGATGTTTCTTGTTTGTTTTAGAATTGTCAGTCTTGCATATGCATGGGTCAAGTTTCAGATTGGCAAGCACACGGAATTGCATAGAATTATATTGGATTTTTGCCTCAGTTTAGTTGCGCATTGATGTGCCCATTTTTTTCACAAACATGATCCAATTGGTATTTGGTATAACAAACTCAAGCAACATATACAAGTTTTGGCATGCAGGTGGCATACCAAATTCACAAAACGTAAGTGGGGATAAAGGGAACCAAGGTCCCAAAAAGGAGTTGTCCAAAAGATGCAATTCCCCACACAAAACTCCCATCTGGGGACTTGGGGGATTTCTATTTGTGAGGTAAAATACCTCTTGGTCGAGCTGAGCTCAGGTCCAGGTGGTTAGGTTGAGCTCGATATCAATGGACAGGCTGGGCTGAGCTTTGGGCGGGATGTCTTCGGAGTATGAGTGCATGATAACTTTTTTGGAGTTACAACTGTTCACCTTTTTGTTTTTTTTTTAAATAAAAAATTTCAGAGAAATATTTGTCACAATGAGTCTAGCATAAGGAACAGGGCAGGAGATTGTATAAATTTCAGTTTGTGTTTTGGTTTAAAGTATTAATACAACAACATGTTGAGGCAATATGGAGAATTGGAGAAAATTTCAAACCACACCATTTATAATATGATTCATATTCCTCCTCAAATAAAAATATAATCTATATCATAAAACATATAATTTTTTTTTATTAAAAAAAACATAAACTACATATAACTGTATATATAGCCAGTCAATGAATTGGAAATTGCGTAGGCAAGAACCTAAGGTATATAAACCATAATATCCCCTCAACAAGATCCTTGATTAACTGACCTAGGAGAAAAGTATCCTAAACGTGAAGGGAATGGTAAAAGTGAAAGTTTATCGCTTTCATTCGACTCGTGGTTTACAGTCGCCTCATAATTGTCTTCCTGTTTTTTAGAATGAAGGACATAAGGAGAATTGTTGATGATCCTGCAAAAACACATAAATCATGTGTAAAGTGCTTTGTAAATTGATCAATTATAATTAAATATCTAATGTGTTTTGAAAAAAATAATAATAGAAAACCACAGTATAGACAAGCGGCTATACTATTTCTTCTCCAAAAAATTAGAAAACCAAGTATAGCCGAGAGGCCATACTAAATATTTTTAAAAAACAGAGGCGATAAAAAAATTAGAAACCCCCATTATAGCCGCCGGTTATTCTATAAAATTTTCGTACATTTCTCCAATTAATTCAAGAAATAGCGACTTTCAGAAGGAACAAGGAAAGTTAATAAACAATCCAGTAGAAGCTTTGGTGTTGAAAGCATTTTTATGCCAAGTTTTGAAGTTTCTAGAGAACGATTAAGCGCAATAAATATAAAGATTTGATGTGCTTTTCTTTAAGTTGTGTACATATTCCATTTTATCAGTTCAGTTCTCATTCTCAAAGTAAAAAATTAGTTAGGAAATTGTGGTCAAAATGTTATTACCTAAGAAGAGAATAATAAGTAGAACTGTAACCATCCAGTCGGCGAACATGACGTTGAAGGCCACTCCTATGCTGATGCCCAGCATGATCATTGGCTGAAAGAGAAATGCCAGATCATAATCTATAAGGGGCATGTCCAGTGTTGGGTGCCTAAGCCTCAAATTGAAGTATACAGTTGAAACTGAAGCACCCATTATCATACCTGCATGACCAATAGGATGGCATATAGTTCTTTAATTCTGTCTAAACTGAATACATTAAGATTAAGTTAACAAGTTAAAAGAAAAGATTAATAAGAAAGGTGATTACTAACACTTGGAAATGGCAGTGGAAGACTTGGGATCAAAACCAATGATCAAGGAATTTTGAATCCAAACCTCTTCAGTGATTTTTCCTTGCCAAGGATTTCTTGACAAGATTTTCTGACTGACAAAAAGAATAGAGTGAATTTTGTCTTGCGTTGAACTATACCTAAGGAGGAATTCCCAATTCAAGAAAAAGGGGTCCCAAGAAGAAACCGCCTCCCAGCCCAAGTAGGCTACCCATCATACCAGCTACTATCCCACAGCTGCAGTACGGAAAAATCTGATGCAACTTCCAGTTTTGTGATTTCCTTTCCTTTGGACGCAATCACCCTGGTCCTTTGCATAAGAATTTGGCTTCAAAGAGCGTAACGGAGACTGCAAATGGTACCTACGAAATGATAATATTTATGTTCAACTGGACATCATTCTTTTATGTATGCTTGAGTGTATATAGTTATGTGTTTCTATAGTGTCCGTGAAAGAAATCTTACTACTCTGGTTGTTAACTTTACCTGCAAGGAGTTCAGGACCCAATAATTCAGTAACAAAAGTTAAAATCATGGTGCTTTGGAAGCAAATGCAGAGGTATTAGAAAGATGGAACTTGATTGCATTGCAAGTGATGATCGTATCTTTTGGAGAGCATTTTAAGGTCCGGTATGCGAATATATGAGTTCCTAGAAAAGCTTCTTTGGTTGTACAGAACTACAGAGTAAAATAACTTACCTTAACAATCTGAACAATAAGAAAAGCCACCCAGACATACACAATCATCCATAACTCCTTCCAGTAAACATTGTCGTCGTTGTGTGATATAGGCACCTGGATAGAGTTGTTCATCATATCAATAAAACAAAAACTGAAACCACTTAAAAATTGCAGATAACAAGGAAGTTGCAAAAGAATACAGGCTTAGAAGTTCTGATATTCTTGGAACTTACCTGCTCATCTGGCAATGAAGCTGGACCACTGGGTAGCAGTTTATAGTCTTCTCCAGAACCATCCGCACAGCTCAATACTATCTCTTTTAAAAAAAAAAAAATTAAAAAAACCGAGTTTAACCGCACGACTATACCGTTTATATATGTATTGTTAGCTCAAGTGCAAAAAAAAAATTCACAACTTGCTCCATACTCAACTCATTTTCTAGAGTACCAAACCATCTTAAAGCTCAACTTGCTACAAAACTTCAAATTTCAATAACTAATATAACCCAATTCAAATATTCAAATATAATTATTACCTAATTAGAGTATTACAATTTACACATGAGTATTAAAATTAAAGATGGCCAATGATAGGAGAACAATATAAAAATGAGTCACAGATCATGATCCTAAACAGCTTGAATAAGTGGATGCATTGGGTATGCTCGGCCTCGGAAATCAAGATTGTGGGGATATATAATAATTCCTCATATATTATAGTCTCACGGTTATACTATTTAAATATATTATTTGAAGGCGTATAGCTGCGCGATTAATGTAATAGGTGGGCAGATTTCTGTTGTTCAAGGTCTTTTGGAAGAGCTGCCTGGAGAGTTTTTAAGTTACATGCGTTCCATGGACATGAAGCCACTCACCTTCCATGCAGCAAGCCAACCATCTACATCATAGGTTCGTTCTTCTTCGCAGATGCAGTAGTTCAATCTCAAGAATCTGTTCATTATCAAACATGTTACCAAGGACTAATTTCAAAGTGCTTTTTGTTTTGTTTTCGTTTTTAATTTCATATAGTGCTTTATCAGTGCCTCACCGAAAGGTTTGGACTCTGATTCCAACTGCTTTTCTGCTTCCTGAAAGTGATGTGAAACCTCAAATTCCTTGTCATTAGATTGGTAACAGACCATATTCATTGATAGTTCAGGAAACAGTTAAGTGAAAACCTTACCTTCTTCATCATTGTCTCTTTCTTCCATGTTTCTATGCCCTTCATTAAAGCTTTTGCTGCTGTAACTGCCAGAACTCAGAAGAAAATCTTATAAGATTATTCAGAGTATTCAAAGTAAATGAGGAATTTGTGTTCAAAATGTTATTACCTAAGAAGAGAATGATAAGTAGAACTGTGACCATCCAGTTGGCGAACATGACGTTGAAGGGCAACTCCTATGCTGATGCCCAGCATGAGCATTGGCTGAAAGAGCAATGCCAGATCATAATCTATAAGGGGGCATGTCCAGTGTTGGGTGCCTAAGTCTCAAATTGAAGTATACTGTTGAACCTGCAGCACCCATTATCATACCTGCATGACCAATAGGATGGCATACAGTACTTCAGTTCTGTCTAAATTGAATACATTAAGAATAAATTAACAAGTTAAAAGAAAAGATTAAAAGGAAAAGTAGTGATTACTGACACTTAGAAATGGCAGTGGAAGACTTGGGATCAAACCAATGATCAAGGCAAGCATTGCCTCCACCCCCAACACCTCCCACACTACCCAATGCTGCACCAGAGAATCCAACTATTGAGCCAATTAACTACAATTTTCCAACCAAACTTGATCTCCTGAACAACCAAAATACATATGTCAAAGTCAAAATACCACAACAGTAAACATGAAAGGAAGAATCATAAAATCTTATTGGAAAAAGTCAAAATACCCTAAAATTAGACGTAAAAGTTATATCCCCTTTATGTTCTCGCTCTCTCTCTCTCTCTCTCTCTCTCTCTCTCTCTATGCGTGTGTGTGTTCTTGCTGGAGATGCATTAACTACGGTGTTTAAGGGAGATCAAACTCACTGGTGGAGCAAGTTTGAGTATATGTCTGCACAAAGTTCAGATACAGTTAAAATCATGGTGCTAGTAAACCAAAAGGTTGTAGGAACAATGTAAGCATCATCTCTTTCTTTTCCAATTCTCGGAAATCTTCTTTAAAAGTTAAATCCTTGAACACACTGTCACGTATATCTGAATAAATGGCCTAGGCGGGCGCTAGGCGGGCTAGGCGGGCTAGGCGGGGGCTAGGCGGTCTAGGCGGGCTAGGCGGGGGCTAGGCGGTCTAGGCGGTCTAGGCGGGCGATAGGCAGGCGCTAGGCGGTCTAGGCAGAAGCTGGCGCCTAGAAGAAAGAAAAGGTCATTTCGGAACTCCAAGGTCTGGGACGAGATGACAATGGTGATATGAGGCGAGAGAGAGAGACGACGATGAGATTGAAGAAGACGAGAGGTTGCGTGTTATGTTTAGGGTTTAGAAAAGGGCCTGGACAAGAGAGAAGGGCCTGGGCTTCATAAAATACAACATTAAATGAATTTTGCATTATAAAATCACTAAAGTAACCACTAATAAGTAACAAATAACAATTAAATATCCAATACACAAAATTTCAGGTATATCACGAATTCTGAGTATTGATACTACGGAGAATTCAAGAGACACTCTTCAAGAATATATCATAAACCAAGATCCATCGGAGCTATTCATCTATAATTTTGATAGCATATTGATTCCAATTCCCTTATGTTTGTGTTCATAATTAACTAAAAATTAGTTGCATTGCATGGAGTTTAGATTTAACTTTTCTAGTATAATTTTTCTCAAGACTATAAACAAAGAAGCAATTTCGTCAATTCTCAATTGATTGTATAGTGGCTATATGTCTCTGGAGTATGCCATGGGCGGGATGTTTTTTGAAAAATCTAATGGCTACAGCTTCGGGTTCTTAGAATTGGAGATTATTAGTGGCAAAGAGAATACCATCTTCTATTGCAGTGACCAACATATGGGCTTCCTAGCTTATGTAAGCTCACACTCTAAATCTTAATGCAAAATCGTATCTTTCATACAACTTAAGCAACCTGTATGAAGCTAAATGCAGCAGAGTTTAACAATTCTAGCCAACATACATGAAATTTTGTCAGGCATGGCACTCATGGAATGAAGGCAGGGGTTTGGAGTTGGTTGATGAAGTATTGGCAGATTCATATTCACAAACATGATCCAATTGGTATTTGGTATAACAAACACAAGCAACATTTACAAGTTTTGGCATGCAGGTGGCATACCAAATTCACAAAGCGTAAGTGGGGATATAGGGAACCAAGGTCCCAAAAAGGAGTTCTCCAAAAGATGCAATTCCCGACACAAAACTCTCGTCTAGGGACTTGGGGGATTTCTATTTGTGAGGTAAAATACCTCAGGTCCAGGTGGTCGGGTTGAGCTCGATATCAATGGACAAGCAGGGCTTGAGCCTTGGGCGGGATGTCTCCGGAGTATGAGTGCACGATAACTTTTTTAGAGTTCCAACTATTCACTTTTCTTTTTTAATAAAAAATTTCAGAGAAATATTTGTCACAACGAGTCTAGCATAAGGAACAGGGCAGGAGATTGTATAAATTTCAGTTTGTGTTTAGGTTTAAAGTATTAATACAACAACATGTTGAGGCAATATGGAGAATTGGAGAAAATTTCAAACCACACCATTCATAATATGATTCATATTCCTCCTCAAATAAAAATATAATCTATATCATAAAAATATAATTTTTTCTTTTATTAAAAAAGACATAAACTACATCTGACTGTATATATAGCCAGTCAATCAATTGGTAAATGCGTAGGCAAGAACCTAAGGTATATAAACCCTAATATCCCCTCAAAAAAGATCCTTGATTAACTGACCTAGGAAAGTATCCTAAACGTGAAGGGAATGGTAAAAGTGAAAGTTTATCACTTTCATTCGACTCGTTGTTTACAGTGGCCTCATAATTGTCTTTCTATTTTTTAGAATGAAGGACATAAGGAGAATTGTTGATGATCCTGCAACAACATAAATCACGTGTAAAGTGTTTTGTAAATTGTTCAATTATATTTAAATATCTTATGTGAAAAATATAGAAAACCCCAGTATAGCCACTCGGCTATACTGTTTCTTTTTCAGAAAATTAGAAAAACCGAGTATAGCCGCGCGGCTATACTATTGCTTTTAAAAAAACGGAGGCTATAATATTTCTTTAAATTTTTTTAAAAAAACCGAGTATCACCGTGCGGCTATACGATTTATTTTTAAAAAAAAATTAGAAACCCGCAGTATAGCCGGCCGGCTACACTATTTCTTTAAAAAAATTAAAAAACTAATTATAGCCGCCTTACTATACTATTTCTTTTTAAAAAAATAGGAAAACAGAGTATAGCCGCGGTGCTATACAATTTATTTCAAATAAATTTGAAAAACCGAGTATGACCGCGCGGCTATACTATTTCTTTTAAAAAAAATATTTAGAAAAACCGATTCTAAAGCTTAATTTCACACCAATTGCACCCATAATCAGCTTTATAATTTCATTTCATTGTTCTTAGGGCATTCATTTGAGTTATCATGCTTTTGTTGTGATGTGTGACCAAAGCAAACCTAACAGATCGAACTTTCCTACATTTTTCCAAATAATTCAAGAAATAGTGACTTTCAGAAGGAACAAAGAAAGTTAATAAACAATCCAGTAGAAGCTTTGAAAGTATAAAAAAATAGTTCAAATGTTTGGTGTTGAAAGCATTTTTATGCAAAGTTTTGAAGTTTCTAGAGAACGATTAAGCGCAATAAATATAAAGATTTGATGTGCTTTTCTTTTAGTTGTGCACATATTCCATTTTATCAGTTCAGTTCTCATTCTCAAAGTAAAAAATTAGTTAGGAAATTGTGGTCAAAATGTTATTACCTAAGAAGAGAATAATAAGTAGAACTGTAACCATCCAGTCGGCGAACAAGATGTTGAAGGCAACTCCTATGCTGATGCCCAGCACGAGCATTGGCTGAAAGAGAAATGCCAGATCATAATCTATAAGGGGCATGTCCAGTGTTGGGTGCCTACGCCTCAAATTGAAGTATACAGTTGAAACAGAAGCACCCATTATCATACCCTGCATGACCAATAGGATGGCATGTAGTTCTTTAATTCTGTCTAAACTGAATACATTAAGATTAAGTTAACAAGTTAAAAGAAAAGATTAATAAGAAAGGTGATTACTGGAAGACTTGGGATCAAAACCAATGATAAAGGAATTTAGCCGCACGGCTAAACTATTTCTTTTAAAAAAAAATTAAAAAACCGAGTTTAACCGTGCGGCTATACCTTTTATATATGTATTGTTAGCTCAAGTAGTGCAAAAAACAAATTCACAAGTTGCTCCATACTTAACTCATTTTCTAGAGTACCAAACCATCTTAAAGCTCAACTTGCTACAAAACTTCAAATTTCAATAACTAATATAACGCAATTCAAATATTCATATATAATTATTGCCTAATTAAAGTATTACAATTTACACCTGAGTATTACAATTAAAGATGGCCAATGATAGGAGAACGATATAAAAATGAGTAACAGATCATGATTCCAACTGCTTTTCTGCTTTCTGAAAGTCATGTGAAACCTCAAATTCCTTGTCATTAGATTGGTAACAGACCATATTCATTGATAGTTCAGGAAATAGTTAAGTGAAAACCTTACCTTCTTCATCATTGTCTCTTTCTTCCATGTTTCTATGCCTTTTATTAAAGCTTTTGCTGCTGTACCTTCCAGAACACAGAAGAATATCTTATAAGATTATTCAGAGTATTCAAAGTAAATGTGGAATTTGTGTTCAAAATGTTATCACCTAAGAAGAGAATGATATAAGTAGAACTGTGACCATCCAGTTGGCGAACATGACGTTGAAGGTGTTAGAATTCTTAGTTTCAGCATTTCATGTTTTGGATATTTTGGGAGCAAAGAAGGGAAAAAGCACAGAAGAAATGAGAGAACGTTGCTCTGCAGAAAATGAATAATGCTTCTGTGTATTTCATATCAGATTTACTGTTTGGGTATAAATCGATAGGCAGAGAGAAGAAAAAAAGAGATATTCTTCCCTGTACCATATTTACAATAAGCTCAAGTTCTAGCATCCTATTAGATGCTTACACATGTCACTTAATCCTATGCTAGAGATTAAAACACTTGGACTGTGATCCAAGGGTGCACAATAAAGCTGAAGAAAAATAAACAACTAAAGGAAATAAAAAAAACAGAGCAGACACAATTCCTTTAGCTCCAAAAACTCGGCTGAAGGATTACACACCAACATTCCCTTCTAATCCTTTAGCCGACTTAACACCAAGTAATTCCCTTAAGTATGCAAACCTGTCCTTAGGCAAAGCTTTAGTCAGAATATCTGCAATTTGCTCCTCAGTTCTGCAGTAGACAAGTTCTATCTCCTTGGCTTGAATTGCTTCTCGAATGAAATGAAACTTTCTGTTAATGTGCCTTGACTTCTGGTGGAAAACAGGGTTCTTTGCCATAGCAATTGCTGATGTGTTATCACACATTATCTGTGTTCCTTCAATCTGTTCTTCTCCAAAATCTTCAAGTACAAATCTCAGCCACTTTGCTTGAGAAGTAGCCTTTGCAGCACTTATATATTTTGCCTCTGCTGTAGACAAAGCAACAGTATTTTGCTTAATTGAAGCCCACGAAAACACTCCCGATCCCATAGTAAAAACATACCCTGAGGTACTCCTCATGTCATCTTCACTTCCTGCCCAATCACTATCACAATAGCCAATAAGAGTAGTTTCTTTTCCTTTCTCAAATACAATTCCAAAGTCTATTGTTCCTTGAATGTATCTCAATACCCTTTTAGCAGTTCCCATGTGTTTCTTGGTGGGATTGTGCATGAATCTTGCCAAGAGGCTAGCTGCGAACATTATGTCAGGCCTAGTTGCAGTCAAGTAGAGCAAACTGCCCACAATCTGTCTATATTCTCCTTCATCTGCAGCCTCACTTCCATCATTCTTACTTAACTTCTCATTCATTGCAAGTGGTGTAGCCACTATTTTGCAATCTTTCAAACCAAATTTTTCAACCAGCTTCTGTCCATACTTCTTCTGATGCAAGAAAATCCTTTGTTTAGACTGAATCACCCCCATTCCAAGAAAATGGTGTAATACTCCCAAATCTGTCATCTCATAGTGTTCCATCATATCTCTCCTAAATTCTTCAATCATTTGAGAGCTGCTACCCGTGTACACTATGTCATCAACATATAGAGAAACAATAAGAACATCTGAACCTTCTGCCTTAACATATAAAGTTGCCTCACTTGGACTTTTCTTGAAACCGGCCTTGTTGAAATAGGCATCAATCTCGTCATACCAAGCTCTTGGTGCTTGCTTCAAACCATACAAAGCTTTGTGTAACTTGTATACCTTTGTTTCCTCATCCTTCTTTACAAATCCTTGTGGTTGCTCCACATATACTTCCTCTTTTAAAACTCCATTAAGAAATGCAGATTTCACATCTAGTTGATACAAGCTCCATTCCTTATGTGCAGCAAGAGCAATCAAAGTCCTAATGGTGTCTAGCCTTGCCACAGGGGCAAAAGTCTCATTGTAATCAATACCGGGCTTTTGTGAGTAGCCTTTAGCCACTAAACGAGCCTTGTTTTTCTGCACAGTACCATCCAGATTCAGTTTAGTCTTGTAGACCCACTTAACACCAATCACAGGTTTAGCAAATGGTCTCTCGACAAGTTTCCAAGTGTCATTTTTTTCTATCATTTCCAGTTCAGCTTCCATTGCCTTTCTCCATGACTCATCTTGAGCTGCATCTTCATAATTTTCAGGTTCCACAATACACACATTACACTTAGCCATGATTTCACTTACACTTCTCCATTTCTTTGGTGTGTGATCAAAGAAATGAGAACTTTCACCTATGCCTTCATCTTGCAGAGTGGTATCTTCAACTATTTGAGTTTGTGTATCCAAGCTTTGACTTGGTTCAGCTTGTAATGTGACTTCTTCATCCATTTGCAGTGATGTATCCAAGCTTTGACTTGGTTCACAGCTTTGATTCTCAGTAGGCAAAGGGACTACCATTTCTTCTTCATTTGTATTTTCCCACTTCCATAAGCCATTTTCATCAAATTGCACATCTCTGGACAGAATTATCTTCCTAGTACTTGGATCAAACAGCCTATATCCCTTTTCACAGAGACCATAGCCTACAAAAATACACTTGTGACTGTTTTCTTCAAGCTTATGCCTCAATGCTGAAGGAATAAGCACATGACAAGGAGATCCAAATATTTTTAAATGTGCAATTCCTGGTTTTCTGCCGGTATAAGCTTCAAATGGTGTTATCTTGTTAAGAGCCTTGGTAGGACATCTATTCAGCAGATAGACTGCTGTATTTACAGCTTCTGCCCAAAACTCATAGGGAACACCTTTCTCATGCAACATGGACTTGGCCATTTCCACTACTGTCCTGTTCTTCCTCTCGGCCACTCCATTTTGTTGTGGAGAATATGCCATAGTTAGCTGCCTTTGAATACCAGATTCCTCACAAAACTTGTTGAATTCTCCAGATAGAAACTCTCCACCCCTGTCACTTCTCAAGCCTTTTATCTTATACCCACTTTGCAGCTCAGTCATAGCTTTGAATTTTCTAAAACATTCCAATGCACTTGACTTATTTCTGATGAAGTACACCCATGACATTCTAGTAAAATCATCTGTAAACAGTAGAAAGTACCTGTTTCCAGATAATGATTCTGTTTTCATTGGTCCACAGATGTCTGTGTGAACCAATTCCAAAGGGTTTGAAGCTCTCCAAGTGGATTCCAAAGGGAAAGAATCCCTATGCTGTTTTCCAAGCATACAACCATCACATACGACTGACTTCTGCTCCAAGTGAGGTAAGCCATGAACCATCCCTTGGTTCTCAAGCAATTTTATACTTCTTTCATTTAAATGCCCCAGCCTCTTATGCCATGTCTGCAAGCAATGTGTGACACTTGCTTTTAGGACCAACTCACTCGCAGGCATCATTGTCAATGGAAAGCATCTGTTATTTGTCATCTGCACCTTTACAATCAGATTTTCTAGTGACTGATTGTCATAAACACTCACCACATTTCCTCCAAACACAAGGTGATAGCCATGTTCCATCATTTGCCCAACACTAAGCAAATTTTCTTCAAGGCCAGGTACAAGCATTACTTCATGAATGTGCTTCTTGCCTAACTTAGTTTTTATCACCAAAGTCCCTTTTCCAGCAACTGGGACCACTTCTCCAGTTCCCATCTTCACCTTAGAGCTCGAATTCCTTTGAATATTGACCAAAAGTCCCTCATCTCCTGTCATGTGGTTACTACAACCACTGTCAATATACCAAGAGTGATTTACCTTCACATCAGTTGCAGCATTACACACATAAAACAAAGTGCCACAATCTTCCTCCTGATTTGCATAATTCACTCTCTGCACATTCTTGTGTCCATAGCAATCTCTGATCATATGTCCAGGCTTCCCACAACCATGGCATTTAGGTTTTCCTTCATACCAACATTTTCCATAATGAAATCTGTCACAATGTTTGCAGGCCATTTTGTTTCCATCGTTGGATTTCCAATTTTTCTGAGATATTTGATCTGCAGAAACAATTCCATTTTCAAGGTTTTTCCTACCAACATTCAGACTAGGGTCAAGGTTTTTCCTACCAACATTCAGACTAGTGAAGGCCTTTTCTGTAGAATTCTCAGTGTGTCTATCCAATCTGAGCTCAAAGCTCTTCAGTGAAGCAACAACCTCTTGAACCTCAAGTGTTTCAAGGTCCTTAGAGTGTTCAATTACAGAGCAGATAGAATCATAAGATTTAGGTAAACTAAACAATAGTTTCTGGACAATTCTCTCTCTAGATAGTTCCTCACCATAACTCTTCATATGATTTACTATATCAAACAACCTAACCAGATATACAGATAAAGATTCACTATCCTTCATGCGGGTATATTCAAATTCCCTACGCAGCCCTTGCAATTTGACATTTCGTACCTGTTTATCTCCTCTGAATTCCAGCTTCAGAATATCCCAAGCCCCCTTCGAAGTTTCCTCATTCACGATCCTTGGAAATAGCTGATCTGAAACAGCACTTTGGATCAATCCAAGTGCACGAGCATCCTTCATCAGAGTCTGAACCACCATAGACTTCTCAGTGTCTACAGCCTCCTCTTTCTCCTTCTTCAGATCTAGGTCACTTAACCCATTCTCGACCAGATCCCATAAACCATGAGATTTTAGAATAGTTTTCATTCTGATACTCCAGAACTCATAATTTTCGCCATTGAAAATTGGAGTTCGCAGCTCAGAGGTACTCGATCCTGCCATATTAGACATTGGATTTGAGAAATCGCGATCTTCAGATGAGCTCAAGTTCTAGCTCAAACAAAACCCTTCCGATTCAACCACAGATTCACTCCCAGCTCAGCAATCGAACCTGGCTCGCGATACCATGTTAGAATTCTTAGTTTCAGCATTTCATGTTTTGGATATTTTGGGAGCAAAGAAGGGAAAAAGCACAGAAGAAATGAGAGAACGTTGCTCTGCAGAAAATGAATAATGCTTCTGTGTATTTCATATCAGATTTACTGTTTGGGTATAAATCGATAGGCAGAGAGAAGAAAAAAAGAGATATTCTTCCCTGTACCATATTTACAATAAGCTCAAGTTCTAGCATCCTATTAGATGCTTACACATGTCACTTAATCCTATGCTAGAGATTAAAACACTTGGACTGTGATCCAAGGGTGCACAATAAAGCTGAAGAAAAATAAACAACTAAAGGAAATAAAAAAAACAGAGCAGACACAATTCCTTTAGCTCCAAAAACTCGGCTGAAGGATTACACACCAACAAAGTTTTTTTTTTTTTTTTTTTTTTTTTTTTTTTTTTTTTTTTTTTTTTTTTTTTTTTTTTTTTTTTTTTTTTTTTTTTTTTTTTTTTTTTTTTTTTTTTTTTTTTTTTTTTTTTTTTTTTTTTTTTTTTTTTTTTTTTTTTTTTTTTTTTTTTTTTTTTTTTTTTTTTTTTTTTTTTTTTTTTTTTTTTTTTTTTTTTTTTTTTTTTTTTTTTTTTTTTTTTTTTTTTTTTTTTTTTTTTTTTTTTTTTTTTTTTTTTTTTTTTTTTTTTTTTTTTTTTTTTTTTTTTTTTTTTTTTTTTTTTTTTTTTTTTTTTTTTTTTTTTTTTTTTTTTTTTTTTTTTTTTTTTTTTTTTTTTTTTTTTTTTTTTTTTTTTTTTTTTTTTTTTTTTCCCCCACAAAGGTTCTGTTTGCTGAAGGGGGAAAGCACTTTTGTGGATTTGCTTTTTAGTCTTGTCTTTTGCCTCTAGGCATTGCCACTAAACTTGTGGATGACATGGGTGGAAGCTTAGTCAAACTTTACAAGAGCATTGAAAATCTCAGTGACACATACTACAACCTGCTACTAACAAGGACGAGGCCTTGCTGAAACCTACGACACTTTCTGCTGGAGCTAATGTCCTTCGGATTTTGACCAACGATGATCCAAAGGCCCGCCGAACAGTTCTGTTGTGTGACCAGTTGCTGATATGTCTCAGACAACCCTAAGCTATTTGTCCACGCTGCAGAGGAACTATAGTCCCGCAAGATGTATATTGCTTCACCAGAACTATAAGGCGACCCTTGAGATGACAAAAAGAAATTGGAAATGTAGCCTAGTTGATGGAAATGTTATATTGGTAATAAAGACACATTTATTCACCCATCTGTAAACTATATTCCCTATATATAGGTAATGACAGATTTGTACCTGTAGGGTTGGCTTTGTGGTCGACTAATGCAGGGTCCAAGGTGACCCTCCTACTTCATGATCCATTCACCATTCCATCCAAGCCTATAAATTGGTCTTTTTTTTAAATGCTTAAGCATATGCTGCCCTTCTCTGTCCTCAATATTGCCTGAATGGCTACCACCAACAGCGCTACTGTGAGTTTGAAGCTCCTGATTGACACAAAAAGCAACAAAGTTCTGTTTGCTGAAGCAAGCAAGGAAGTTGTGGATTTTCTCTTCACTCTTCTGTCCTTGCATGTTGCAACTGTGACTAGGCTCCTCCTCTCTAATGGTGTGGTATGGTTGGTTGCTTAGGAAAACTTTACGAGAGCCTCGAAAATCTCAGTGACACATACATGCAACCCAATCTTAACAAAGACTACCTGCTGAAACCCAAGACAACAATTTGTGGCGCTAACATCCTTCATTTGGCAGCCAACAATGACTCGAATGCGCCTAAACTGTTCTACCTCTGCAAATTGCAAGCGCCATATTTCTGATAGTCCTGTAACAACTTGTCCAACGTGCATTTCACTCAAAATATCCACCCAGGTGTTTTATGTTGCTCCTCCACCAGAACCTACTGGAGTGACGTCTGGCAATATTAAGAGCGGATACGTCAAGAGCGACATTATGTACATGATAATGATGATTTGGAAGTGAAGCCTATGTCTACTGTATCAAGTATCACATTGCTTAAAGCGTTGAACTTTTAAGACGATTGATGCTTTTGAAGAGAAGGTGGTTGATCTTGACATTGAAGAGGTTTGATCTCTTTTGTGAAATTTGTTTTGTTTACAATAAATAGTGTTCTCTATCTGTGTCTATTGATTGATACTACATATTTTGTTTTTGCTTCTTAGGGTTTGAAGTTGGTGAAGGCATCATTGGAGTCAAAAACCGCTCTTACAAATGTTTTCCTTGGTAATAAAGTGCATGAAGGTTTCAACTTTGGTCCTCTAAAGAAATTGAGCTTTTGGAGGTTCATTTTAGTTTGTGGATTGACATTGACTATATTGGCTTACATTGGATTATTTCAACGTTGGCCCTCTGATCTTATTGGTAACAAATATTATACCGCAAGATATGGTAAAAACGACCTAACAAGTCCAAGGAAACCAATCTGCTTTCCCAATGATCCTTTTGCACTGTCGTTGATACAAAAATGAACAAGGAGAACCGATAGTGCGGCTGAAGTAAACTTGCTCATCTACACTGCTCCGCGGGGATAAATGTGGACTTTATGAAGCACTGATTCTCTAAGGCATTTGCACTGTTTTGTTTTTGGTTTTTTCTGTTGATTTTATGTTTTGGGCCTCCATTTCTTAGTTTCTTTTCGGCATGATCAAATCTCAAACCAGTTGGCCGGAGACCAACTTTCATAACAGTGCTCTGTTTTTTTTTCCATTTGGGCAGTTCTCTGTCCTCTTTGCACAAAGAGTTACAAGCAAGCAAATAAGTTATTGATTTTCTTTTCACTCTTCTGTCTTTGCATATTGGTGGTTAACATTTGCATGAAACCTATGGTTAACTAACACGGACACCTTGCAACTCAAACCCTTGTCATGTCACACAAATTCTTACATCAATTTTTAAACACATCAAATGTAGTTTTGTTTCTAACATGGCAGTTTGCAAGCTTATAAAAGCTTCTTGATGCCTTGCATTACAGCTCCTCCTATTTTTCACACCAGATTAATCCGTACTCACGCGTACGTGTGACAAAATTACATGTTCTAGTGATCTATTATCTTCTCTCTCTTTATCTATCAAATTGCTCTCCTCTTACTTGATCTATGAAGTTCATCATCCATTCCAAAGAATAAACTCGTCCATGTAATTATGGATCAGTCTTCTTGATGTCATCAATGGCAATCACCAAAAATAATGTGAAACTCCTAGTCCATGTAAAAAAGCCACAAAATTCTGTTTGCTGAAGGGAGCATGGGCATGTTAGTTGGCCTTTTCACTGTCTTTTGCCTCTAAACTAGTGAAGTCTGAAGATACAATACAACTAATATGAAAAAGCAAACACAAAACAAAACGAATTGTAAATCTGGCTGTTGGTTTAGTTAATGAATGCAAACTAGTGGAAATAAATACATATTTATTCACTCATCTGTAGATTATATTCCCTATGTATAGGTAATGACAGATTTGTATATGTAGAGTTGCTTTGTGGTCGACTGTTGATGCAGACTCCAAGGTGACCCTCCACCTTCTTGATCCATTCACCATTGCCATTTTGAATAATTTTGAATTTAGGATACTTTTTTTTGTGAAGCTTATAAATAGGTCTTTTTGAAGGCTTAAGCACATGCTCCTTCTTCTCTGTCCTTAATATCCCTCAATGGCTACCACCAACAGCACTAGCATGAGTTTGAAGCTTCTGATTGACACAACAAGCCACAAAGTTCTGTTTGCTTGTTGATTTCCTTTTCAGTTTTCTGTCTTTTCATGTTGCAACTGTTACTAGGCTCCTCTCAACTGATGGTATGGTTGGTTGCTTAGGCAACCTTTACCAGAGTGCCGAAAGTCTTAGTGTCAACTCATACTTGCCACTCAATCTTAAGGACACCCTGCTCAAACCCAAAACAACAATTTCTGCGTCCAATATCCTTCAATTGCCATTGCCGACCAACAATGACTCGAATCTTTCTAAATTGTTCTACATTTGTGTGAGGTGCAGTAACCGTATTTCTGAGAGCTATGGAATCCCTTGTCCACAGTGCAGATCATGTAACATTTCCACCCCGGTGTCTTATGTTTCTCCATCTGCTCCTACTGGAGCAACCTCCAGCAATATTAAGGCAGGCTATGTCAAGGGTGGTGTTATTTACATGATAATGGATAATTTGGATGTGAAGCCAATGACCACCGAATCAAGTGTTGCAGTGCTTCAAAAGTTTAATGTGAAAGGGATTGATGCTCTTCAAGTTAAGGAGGTTGATCTTGGCATGCAAGAGGTTTCATGTCCAATACATTTCTCTAACTCTTTATCAGTGGCTTGTTGATCTATTTCGAGTGCTAAATGTCTTACGTGTATGTTTCTCTCTCTTGTAGGGTTTGAAGTTGGTGAAGGCATCGTTGGAGTCAAATACAGCTCTTACCAATGTCTTCCTTGGAAAGAAACTGCACAAACTTTTCAACTTTGGTCCTCTAGCGACATTGAGCTTTCGGGGTTTCATTTTGGTTTGTGGATTGGGATTTCTATTCTATTACTTTGGATCATGTAAACTTTGGTCCATTGATTCTATTGGTTTCATTCATTATATCTCAAGAAAACTCATCCGCCATCGCAACAATCATTCAGCTTTATCGTTGATCCAGAACAAATAAGGAAGCCAATTCTGTACTGATGGAGGTTGAAGAAAACTCATCCGCCATCGCAACAATCATTTCTCCCTAATTCAAATGAGTCTTCATATTTATGTGGATATTGCTTTCTGATACATAAATTCACGTTGTAGCTAGCCAAAGCCATCAAACGTTGTTCCATGCAGCTGGTTCTTGATATTTTCCGGGGTTGGGCTTGGTGGAGTGAAGCATGAAGTTGCACGCTGCAACAGCGTCTGCAACTGTGAGATAAATCCATTCTTGACATGTTTTCTCAATCAACTCTGACTTGTTCATGTTCTTCATCACCTCGCTTCCTGGGTTTGCCAGTACAAGCTAAACTTGATAAATTGAAAGAGACTGTTGCAGATTTTTGAACCTGGAGCCCCCTTCTGTCAACAAGCTTTTTGACCTCTTCAAACATGCTTATCCCATTTGTGTCTATGTTACCAACAGCTGCAAATTAAACCAGAAAACAAATTAATTTCAGGGTAAAAAATGTCACATTAATTTTCTTTATATATATATATGCACTATTTGTTTCCCTTAATTACCAGTCATATCCAATATCACATATTGTAAGCTACTTTCCCCTGCAGATTTGATCCTATCTTCCTCATCATTTATCCACCTTGTAATCCTGAAAACAAGTAGGACTTTGGGTCAACTTCCAAATTGTTATTTTTAAATTTGATTATAACATGCAAGAGTGTGTTCAGGTTTAATTAATTAGTACCTTTTTCTTAAGTAGTTGGTATTTGCAAAGTAAATGGGAGCGTCAATCTCAAGTATGAGAATTCCAGGAACATTGCTTGCATTGGGATACTGCTCAACGTTTCTGTAAACCATGGAATTCGGAAGGTTTCCTTGAACAAAAGTCCTTGGCCTTGCCACAAACAAAAGTACCCTGATCACAGATATTGCAACCTACACACAAGAAAGAAGAAATATTAGTTCTAATAAGTAATGTTAAGTTGTTGATATGGTGTTATTGTCACACAATAATTTTTTACTGGTGTAACATATAGTTGTACGTACCACTAAGACTAGGCTGATTTCAACGCTGCCAAAAAAAGACGCCAATACAGGCACTCATGTAGACAACAAAGTCAAATGTGTCAACCTTCCAGAGGTGAATTGCGGCTTCATAGTTCATGAGGCCAAGCAAGGCGGCTATTATAATAGCAGACAGCACAACCAGGGCAGTGTAATGGAACAGAGGAGTGAGGAACAACAACGTGAACATAACCACAATTGCCATGACAACGTTTGACATTGCCGTCTTGCATCCTGCATTGTACTTAACTGCTGATCTGGAAAACGGCCCTGAAAATTGATGAATTTTTTTCGCTTAATTAGCAACATGAAATGAATCTAATTAACCCTTTAATTTAATTAGTATTAAATGTGTACGATGAGTGATTAACCTGTGGTGAGGTAACAGATATTGCAACCTACACTCAAGAAAAAAGAAATATTAGTTCTAAGAAGTGATGTTAAGTTGTTGATAAGGTGTTATTGTCACACACAATAATTTTTTACTTGTGTGACATATAGTCGTAGGTACCGCTAAGACTAGGCCGATTTCAACGCTGCCAAAAATGACACAGATACAGGCACTCATGCAGACAACAAAGTCAAACGTGTCAACCTTCCAGAGGTGAATTGTGGCTTCATAGTCTATGAGGCCGAGCATGGCGGCTATTATAATAGCAGACAGCACAACCAGGGCAGTGTAATGGAATAGAGGAGTGAGGAACAACAATGTGAACATAACCGCAATTGCCATGACAACGTTTGACATTGCCGTCTTGCATCCTGCATTGCAGTTAACTGCTGATCTGGAACACGGCCCTGAAAATTGATGAAAAAATTTCGCTTAATTTGCAACATGAAATGAATCTAATTAAGATTAAACCCCTTAATTTAATTAGTATTAAAAGTGTACGATGAGTGATTAACCTGTGGTGAGGTAGCAAGAAGTGCAAGAACCAGCAATGTTCATCATCCCAATGGCAATCATTTCTTTGTTCCCATCAATGTGGTAATTCTTGATCATGGAAAAGCTTCTCCCTACTGCTATTCCTTCCTGCACATAGCAATTAGGAAAACCCACAATCCATTAATTGTTATAATTAAGAACAGTTTGCAATACAACATGTTCTTTCTCGTGATCAACTGGCCTAAACAACATCAGTAACTAAAGAACTATGTTAATTACTTACGGCGAGAGCTATACTCCAGTTTTGAAAGCTGTTGTCAGATAAGGAGACACAAACACAAGGTCTCCAAAGGACATTGGATTAAGCCCCTTTTTCAGCTTTCCTATCTGACAATATATACCCACCAGAAAATTCAGGCATTAATTAAAAAAAAATTGTCATTATAGGTAAAAACCAAAATACAAAATACAAAAAGCTTTTATAAATTACATACTACTTTTATAGGCTAAAATCTCTATTGCTCTCTATAGCAATAACTTTTCGACCACATCTTTGTGTTTTCAGGATGCAAAACACATAATCAAACGCCAGTTTTCTTATAGCAGCCATAAAAAATTGAAGCAAGTTCATAATTTAGCTAAAGTCAAGGAAAAAAAAAAAGGACCCGCCTAGACCCGCCTAGGTGGCCGCCTAGCGCGTAAGCCGATTTTTCCAACAGCCTAACTGAACAAAAGCGCAGTTTATAGGTTTTGAGCTCTAATTATGAACATCATTACTGAATTTAACATTACAGAACAAAATCCACCACCTGTTCTAGATGTCTGTGCATCATAGATTTTCCAAAATAAACAAAATATAAAGATAATTTAGTTAAAACTACAAGTAATCAGAATGCGTTCCACTAAAAAGCAGGAAGCAGAGTAATTGGAGACTGAGCTTAGTGAAAAGAAAAACCTTGGGTTGAAGAAACTATCCCACCAGTCAGAGTCTGCGGCTTTAGGCTCGACTGGAACCAAGCTTAAGTTTTTCTTGAATTTCCTATCTTTCTTGCTTTTCTTTGATTTCTTGGGAGGCGCCATGAGAGCTCCAATAAGGAATTCCCACCCCTTTTTTGGCCTTCAACTTGAAGACTTTGATGGGAAGCGTGATTCAATGAAGCGAGCCAGGCAGCGAAGGAAATTTAAAGTTTGTATAGCCTTTTTTGACCCTTTTTTGTTTAATAAATAGTATAGCCGCGCGGCTATAATATTTAAATATTATATTTATATTGTATATCCCCACGGCTGTACTATTTAAATATAATATATTTAAAATGTATAGCCGTTCGGCTATACTGGCACGGCTGCACTGGTTTTGACACGTTGGCACCTAATCGCTAGGGAGCCCTCCCTTTTTTTTATAAAAAAAATAGGACAGCCATCGGCTATGCTCGGTTTTAAAAATAAAATAGTATAGCCGGCGGCTATACTTATTTGACACATGGGCAATCCCTAGACGGTTCCCTTTTAAAGTTTTTTTGGAATATATCCCTTCGGCTGTACTTTTTTTTTTTATAATTAATTTTTTTTAATAAAAACTGTAGCCGGTCAACTATACTCGGTTTTTAACTTTTTAAAAAAATAGTATAGCCGTTTTGACACGTTAGCACCTAATCGATAGACTTCTATTTAAATTGCGGCTATACTCGGTTTTTATTCATGTTTCTCACAATAGTATGCCCAGACAGGATCAAACAAACTATGGTGCAACTAACCATAATCAGCTCAATGATATTCCTCCTAATATATCTGTGGATTTATTTGGCAGTTGATAATCATTTTCCCCCCTCCTTTTTTCCTAATCTAGAAGATGAAATTGCAGGACGTATCTACACCATCTTCTAGAAAACCAAAAGCCAAGAAAAAAGATAGTGATGTCGTTATGTCATCAGTCGGACCAGACCAGACTGCAATTCAAGGCTGTTATTGGGTTTTAGAACTCTCTCTCTCTCTCTCTCTCTCTCTCTCTCTCTCTCAAGTGTGATCTCACTTTTTTTTTGGGGGGGTCTGACTTTAGAATCTGCATGCTAGTAATGATGTTACTGAGTTGCCTTGCAATGTATTGATTGTTTTAAATTTCATCTTATAATTGTCTTGTTATCTGAATCCCTAGACGGTTCCTTTTTTAAAAAAAATTGTATAGCCGAACGGCTATACGCTTCACGTGCATACTTCATTTTTTTTCATTTTTTAAAGTTAAAAAAAATTATAAATTGTATAGCCGGTCGGCTATACTTCATTTTTAAAATTTTTTTTTGGTGAATATATCCCTTCGGCTGTACTAGGTTTTTTTTTTGTTTTAATTTTTTTAATAAAAACTGTAGCCGGTCGGCTATACTCGGTTTTTTTAACTTTTTTTAAAAATAGCATAGCCGTTTTTGACACGTGGGCGTCTAATCGATAGACGGGTCCTTTTTTATTTAAATAAATAGTATAGCCAATCGGCTATACGCGTGGTTTTTATTCATGTTTCTCACAATAGTATGCCCAGACATGATCAAACAAACTATGGTGCAACTAACCATAATCAGCTCAATGATATTCCTCCTAATGTATGTGTGGATCTATTTGGCAGTTGATAATCACTTTCCCCCCCTCCTTTTTTCCTAATCTAGAAGATGAAATTGCAGGACGTATCTACACCATCTTCTGGAAAACCAAAAGCCAAGAAAAAGATAGTGATGTCGTTATGTCATCAGTCGGACCAGATCAGACTGCAATTCAAGGTTGTTATTGGGTTTTAGAACTCTCTCTCTCTCTCTCTCTCTCTCTCTCTCTCTCTCTCTCAAGCGTGATCTCACATTTTTACTTTCAGTATTCATGTGAATGACTTATTTTGCAAAATCTTAGTTAGACTGCCAATGTCGGTGGAGGATATCTGCGGTAGAGCTGAAATTTTCAGTGATGATCGGGAAGAAGCTGAGTGGTTATCTATGCCTCTTTCTCATCTTAGAGTGCTTGCAAATGAAATAATGTCTCTTCGAGCAAAGGGGCATCTACATTTGGCCCCTGTAGATTCTTTTGTTAGATTGTTAAGGATTTTAGATCATCAGATACATCGAGCTGAAGGCTTGTCTATAAGTACATGTGAGCAGGTGAGCTTGTTTTATGTCCTGCATTCTTTCTTGCATATAGCATAGCTGTTGTGGTAGTTTGCTTCTTAAACTACATTTCTTCAGGCTTTTGTGCTATTCTTCTTGTTTATATTTTCATTGAAAGTTTGTGCTATTTTTAGTTTTGCTTCTCCATGATTTTTTTTTGGGGGGGTCTGATTTTAGAATCTCCATGCAAGTAATGATGTTACTGAGTTGCCTTGCAATATATTGATTGTTTTAAATTTCATCTTATAATGGTCTTGTTATCTCAATCACTGTTTGTCTGACTCCATTTTTTAATTTCTTTTTCCTAAAATTAATAGTATAGCCGGGCGGCGATAATTCCTTTTTAAAAAATTTTATTCCAATGAGTAGTATAGCCGATCGGCTATACATTTCAAATATAAAAATTAGGTCAGATATCTTCTTCTTTCCAGCGTCGCCTTCTCCTTCCTCTCTCTGTATCGATCTCTCTCTCTCTCTCTCTCTCTCTCTCCCTCCCTCTTTCTTCCTAACAAGCAGCGGATCCTGCGCACTTCAACCGCCTTCGTCCACGCCTCAATGGCAAAACGCCCGCCCAGACTCTCCTAGGGCCGCCTAGAGCCGCCTAGACCTTCCTACAGCTGCCTAGGCTGCCTAGAGCCGCCTAGGGCCGCCTAGAGCCGCCTAGACCTTCCTACAGCCGCCTAGGCCGCCTAGAGCCGCCTAGGGCCGCCTAGAGCCGCCTAGACCTTCCTACAGCCTCCTAGGCCGCCTAGAGCCGCCTAGGGCCGCCTAGGCCACCTAGGCGGGAGCCCAGACGCCGATTAGCTCCCTGGCGCCTACCCCTGGATGCCACATCCTGGAAGGGTACCTCTTGGTGTACTGGAACTGACGTAAGTTAGTTCGAAATTTAAAGATAATGAGCTTTTGGTTGGCGTGGAATTAGGATTACACTGTTTTCACAGTCATGTGGCAGGTCACTAGTGAATCAACCTTCCTAATCTGATGATCTTGTACTGAAATACTAACTAATAGGGTGCATGCAACCTTAGGCCATTTCACTTGATTTTGTTCCATCTCCTGCATTGAACCTAATCCCTTCTTAACTTTGTGGTTCCATTGTTTCCATCGTAAAGCTATGCATGTTGTACAGGTTTCATCTCTTGTTGTGGTACAAGGATGATCCAAAATCACAGCAGAAGTTCATGTACTATCTTGCTAGACTGAAATCAAAACAAGTAGTGCTGGATTCTGGGACTGTTTTTTCATTATTGACAAGGGATTCAATCAAGAAGATTACTTTAGCATTGGGACAAAAAAAAAACTCTTTTTCCAGAGGGTTGGATAAGATTCTTCATTTGCTTCTGGTTAGTAAGCCTTTTCATTTACTCCCTGATTTATTGTATAATAAAATCTCTATTTTGACAATTTAGTTGATTGCAGACAAGTTTAATGGAGAATTCACAAGTCGGGTTCATCAACTTGGCCAATAGGCAGCTCAGCTCTCACATGGTTGCAAGGATTCTGGATTTCCTCATAATTTCATCTACACAAGTAGAATATAATAATAATAATATGCTGAACAAAACAGTGAAATCCCTCACAAGAAACTGTAAGAACAAACAGCATCAAAAACAGAAGAAAAAACCAAAAAGATGACCAAGCCTTAAGCAGCAGGCGCCACTGATTCTTTCCTTGATATGTAGAGTAGGAAAGTAGGAAAAGTTTCTAACCAAGAAGCATATCCTTGATGGAATGTAATTCAGATGCAACATCACTGATATCCTTTCGGTTCGCTGGGGATTCAACAGAACATGCAATTCCAAGTTTAAATATCAATCTCTGTGACACGATCGGGAAAAGCAGTCTTCACAAAATTATGAAGGTTCAAGCCATCACTAAACAAGTGGTCAGTGGGTCTCCTTCCCGTAAACATCTCTAACAAAAGAATGCCAAAGCTGTAGACATCTCCACTTTTCGACACTTCACTTCCCATACTCTGTAGTTGAAGTATCAGAAAATATTGTCACCACAATTCTAAATAAAATGGCTCTCTTAAATTATGCAACAAAGTAAGAGTAACTGATTATGTGCGTGGAAATGAGGGCATGGAACTGTCTATGCAAATGATCAATTAATTGTAATTAGAACCAAGTTAAAAGATAAAGAAAGGCAACAGTGAAGTATACAGGAATATTTACCTGGAGCAACATAGCCAACCGATCCCTTTATGCCAATGGAACTTGCTTGATTTGCTGAAGCCTTATCGGCTAATTTTGCAAGGAATCTTGCAAGTCCAAAGTCAGAAACATGTCCAGTCAACTCTGCGTCCAAGAGAACATTGCTTGGCTTGAGATCACAATGGACTATTGGTGTTTCGCAATCGTTATGAAGAAAATCAAGTGCACAAGCAATGTCAATGGTGATGTCTAGCCTCTGAAGAAGATTTAAATTCTGGGGTGCATCTGTTTCCTCTTTCGTTTCAATAGTCGAATGCAACCACTTTTCTAAGCTCCCATTGTCCATTAACTCATACACGAGAGCCTTGAAATCATTACCTTGATAATCAACAGTTGAACATGCAGTTATAATCTTGACGAGATTTCGATGCCTGATATTTCTTGACGCCTCACATTTCGCCAAGAAACTCTTAGATGCTCCATGATGTAACATGTTAATAAACACCTTGATGGCAACAAGCTGAGCTCCATCAAAATCAAGGACTCCTTTATACACAGACCCAAAACTAGCCACACCAATCAAAATCAACAAGCTGATCTTCATACTTGCATATCTATACTGACTACGGAGGGTTGAAATTACCACCACCACCACCACACACATGGCTTTTTTTTTCACAATATCCATGGCATTCACCCTCTTTCCGATAATCCATGTTAAAAGAGTACAGCCGTGCGGTTATACTCCTTTTTTTTTCTTTTCCTGAAATTAATAGTATAGCCGGGCGGCGATAATCCCCCTTTAAAAAAAATTATTCCAATGAATAGTATAGCCGGGCGGCGATACTGTTCAGATATAATATATAAAAATAGTATGGCCGGGCCTTTATACTCCTTGTTTTTCCGTTCAAATTGATAGTTTAGCCGAGCGGCTATACTTTTCGAATATAAAAATTAGGCAGATATCCTCTTCTTCCCAGCGTCGCCTTCTCTCTCTCTCTCTCTCTCGTCTTTCTTCCTAACAAGCAGCGGATCCTGCGCACTTCAACCGCCCTTCGTCCATGCCTCAACGGCAAAACGCCCGCCCAGACCCTCCTAGGGCCGCCTAGACCCGCCTAGAGCCGCCTAGGGAGTAAGAGAATATGAAGTTCCGAATCGACGTTGGCACTGTCAGATATGCCTCTGCAGGAAGCAACTTCTTGTTTTACAATCTTTCTGTAGGTCACAATGCAAAGATGATGGGACAAAAGATCGTAATCGTTCAGGAAGAAACACTGAAGTTGCTTTTTCAATTACAAAACTTGAGGTTGTCCAGCAGATGCTTTTGAATTACCTTCAAGATGCCGCATGAGCTGATTTTGGGCATCTCTTTGTTCGCTGGTATGTACTCACTGAACCTCATCCCTTCTTCACTTTGTGGTTCCATTGTTTCCATCATAAAGCTATGCATGTGGTACAGGTTTCATCTCTTGTTGTGGTACAAGGATGATCCAAAATCACAGCAGAAGTTCTTGTACTATCTTGCTAGACTGAAATCAAAAGAAGTAGTGCTGGATTCTGGGACTGTTTTTTCATTATTGACAAGGGATTCAGTCAAGAAGATTACTTTAGGCAAAAAAAAAAAAAAAAAAAAAAAAAAAAAAAAAAAAACTCTTTTTCTGAGGGTTTGATAAGATTCTTCATTTGCCTCTGGTTAGTAAGCCTTTCATTTACTCCCTGATTTATTATATAATAAAATCTCTATTTTGACAATTTAGTTTATTGCAGACAAGTTTAATGGAGAATTCACCTGTAATTAGGGCCAAGGCTTTATGAGCGGTAAGCGAAAAAATATATTTTTGGACTTTTAATCCTTGAAATGGAAATTGAGAATTCATTTTATGGCTCTGTTGGCAGAATTTAATGTCTTAATATCTTAATATGTTGAGCAGGTCAGTATAATTGTAGAAGCTGATCCGCATGTGCAAGTGCTTACTGGAAAGGATATTGCAGGATAAGCATAAAAATTTGTTTGTCCTTGGCTAGGTCGCAGTTTTTATTCTTTTCCTCTTCCACAGGATATTGTTTGCAAGACAGTTTATGAGTTCTGGTTTGAGGAACCTACTGGTTCACAAACTCAGTTCTTTGGAGATGGTAGCTCTGTTCCATGGGAGGTGGCTAAAAACACTGAACAGATTGTTGAGATGTTGAGGAGGATGCCAAGTCATCAACTTCTTGTGACGGTCATTAAAAGCAACTTAGCCCTTGATTTTTTTCCCCAATCAGTTAAAGCTACCTGTCTCACTTGCATCTGTACGCAAGCGCTGTGAGTTAATGTGCAAGTGCTTACTGGAAAGGATATTGCAGGTATTTTCCCCCCATCTTCTTGACTTGCCAAAACAATTTGGTTGATATTTAAATCTGAATGTTCAGAAATTCTTATTTGTCAGTTAGAGGAAATGGCTATGCAGGAAGGAGAGAGGCGGACGCTTCCATATGTGCTAGCTTTGCACGCATTCTGTGTTGTGGATCCAACACTCTGTGCACCAGCTTCTGACCCTTCCCAGTTTGTGGTCACTCTTCAAATTATATCAACTCCTAGTATAACCGATACTAGGAATTTTTTTAATAAAAAATAGTATAGCCGCCCGGCAAATTTTTCAAAAAAATAGTATAGTCAGGCGGCTATACTCGTTTTGTAAATTTAAAAAAAATATATTATAGCCGAGCGGATATACTTGTTTCACTGGACGCCGGACGGGGTTTTTTTTATAAAACTTAGAAATTGTATAGCCGATCGGCTCTACCATTTTTTGACACGTGGGTAACTCGCGCTATGAGGCTGCTCTTTTTTAAATAGTATAGCCGCACGGCTATACTCCATTTTTGTATAGCCGGTCGGCTTTACTAGGTTTTTTTTTTTTGGTTTTTCATGAGTAAAGCTATTGTTTCTTTTTATTAATTAAATAATCTCTTAGCCTTATTTAATTACTTTAATTAATAATTATTTCTTTAGTAAATAATTAGTAGCAATATAAGGGGAAATTACGGAAGAAAATGACAGAAAACCCGACAAACCTTGCAAGATTTATATGGAAACAGGAAAGTCAGAAGGATCACCCCGCCTCGGTGGATCATATGCATTCCTTCAGCAAAACAATAAACATGTCGTCTAGTTTACAGTCTCTGTTTAAATATATACATTTCGAATCACTACACTACCTAACAAAAAAATACACTGCTTGCTACTCATAGTGCAAAGACCACAACTATTTTGATTGGGAATAAAAAAAGATGTTATGAGTATTCAGATACCAATATTTTTAAACTAAGAAAAAAATTAGCAACCTTTTGGAGATGCAGGTTTATCAAGATCAAATGCCGTTCATCTCACAATCTCTACATACCCAAAATTCAAGATGGGGGTTTTGGCCGTGAGATTGATCTTAATAAACTCACTTTTTAAAAGAGAGGCAGAACCTAAATATAACATTTTTGGTTTCTTGAAAATTTAAATATGGTGTAGGACGAGGGTCCAAGTGATGGGTAATGGCGGTTCACTTGGTTTGTCTAATGTTCTTCAAAGTTCATGTGGCTGATGTTTGCTTTTAAAGTTCAGCCTGAAACTTGGTTCATAAATGTGTGTCCTGTCAAAATAGTCCTTAAACTAGAGAGGAATCAAACTATCTTCCTCGAATTACAAAATTGGGACCCAGGAAGAAATTGAAAACGAAAATTCTATTCGATCATTGACATGATTGTGGCTAGAGGAAGCAGCTAAGAGGCCCTTTTTGGAGGAGACATGTTACTGATGAGAGAAGTAGTTGTGCTGACGGTAAATATTTGTACCAGGAACGCTGTGAAATTTGAAACATAAATATTACTCTTTACCCAACTTTGGTTGTAGTAGCATCACATCAAGAAAGCACAGATACTCACCAATTGCAGTGCGGGTGGCCTCGAGAAGTTCGAACTTCTTTGTTTCCCAGTTACTTGGATTTTGGAAAACCTACTCAGTAATTTCATACAAGACAACAATCAGAAAATTCCGACAAAAACAAGAAGGGGCAAATGATTCAAATTTCTAAGTGATAATCAACAGTTGTAATAAAGAACTATCTTACCTCTAATGTTAAATTTCCTATAGCAACACAAGCAATGGAGAGAAGTATTCCAATAGATGATGCAACAATGTAAACTTTCAACAAACTCACTCGGCTGCGCCTTCGACCTTTGGCAAAATAAAAAGTTGTATAACTACAGATGCAAAAACTGAAGTGAATTGAAAGAAAAATGAAGATTAGTAACAGCTTACCTAACTCCCCAATGATCAACGAAATAGAACCAATAGCAACAGATGAAATAGCAATCACATTGGGACCTTCCCCATTTGATGTAAATAGAAATGTATGTAGGACTCCTATCAATTGAATGACTATACCGTTTATATATGTATTGTTAGCTCAAGTGCAAAAAAAAAATTCACAACTTGCTCCATACTCAACTCATTTTCTAGAGTACCAAGCTCAACTTGCTACAAAACTTCAAATTTCAATAACTAATATAACCCAATTCAAATATTCAAATATAATTATTACCTAATTAGAGTATTACAATTTACACATGAGTATTAAAATTAAAGATGGCCAATGATAGGAGAACAATATAAAAATGAGTCACAGATCATGATCCTAAACAGCTTGAATAAGTGGATGCATTGGGTATGCTCGGCCTCGGAAATCAAGATTGTGGGGATAATAATTCCTCATATATTATAGTCTCACGGTTATACTATTTAAATATATTATTTGAAGGCGTATAGCTGCGCGATTAATGTAATAGGTGGGCAGATTTCTGTTGTTCAAGGTCTTTTGGAAGAGCTGCCTGGAGAGTTTTTAAGTTACATGCGTTCCATGGACATGAAGCCACTCACCTTCCATGCAGCAAGCCAACCATCTACATCATAGATTCGTTCTTCTTCGCAGATGCAGTAGTTCAATCTCAAGAATCTGTTCATTATCAAACATGTTACCAAGGACTAATTTCAAAGTGCTTTTTGTTTTGTTTTCGTTTTTAATTTCATATATAGTGCTTTATCAGTGCCTCACCGAAAGGTTTGGACTCTGATTCCAACTGCTTTTCTGCTTCCTGAAAGTGATGTGAAACCTCAAATTCCTTGTCATTAGATTGGTAACAGACCATATTCACTGATAGTTCAGGAAACAGTTAAGTGAAAACCTTACCTTCTTCATCATTGTCTCTTTCTTCCATGTTTCTATGCCCTTCATTAAAGCTTTTGCTGCTGTAACTGCCAGAACTCAGAAGAAAATCTTATAAGATTATTCAGAGTATTCAAAGTAAATGAGGAATTTGTGTTCAAAATGTTATTACCTCAGAAGAGAATGATAAGTAGAACTGTGACCATCCAGTTGGCGAACATGACGTTGAAGGCAACCCCTATGCTGATGCCCAGCATGAGCATTGGCTGAAAGAGCAATGCCAGATCATAATCTCTAAAGGGGCATGTCCAGTGTTGGGTGCCTAAGTCTCAAATTGAAGTATACTGTTGAACCTGCAGCACCCATTATCATACCTGCATGACCAATAGGATGGCATACAGTACTTCAGTTCTGTCTAAATTAAAAGAAAAGATTAAAAGGAAAAGTAGTGATTACTGACACTTAG